GGCGCATCCTGGTACTTCAATTCAGATATTGGCCCCGCACTCCACGCTTGCCATATTGTAGAACAGAAGCAGTATCATCTGTATCCCAGGGACGATGACGACCAAGATGACGAGGCCACCATGTATAGCTCACGGAGACTTGGCGAATTATGGCTACGCACCTGGTCGTCGAGCAACAGTATTCTCTTGTTATCCCATCTCCACGAGCTGTTCGATGCCAGGCTTTTCTCAATCGACCCGAAGACACACAGAATCCGCGCCTTCGTTCCATACGACGTCATCACGGAATATCATGGCCGAAAAGCAATTTTGCCTCGGGACGTTGATCCATTGGCGTTACGGCATCATTATGACATGTGCTGCATCGAGAACATGGCCGCTCAGTTTCCATACATCGATATGATGACATTGTTCGAAGATAGCAGGATGACTTCTGGTACCAAGACACCAGCTAGTGCAAAAACAGACCTTCCAGCGACTCCAGGCTCAGGAGATCCAAACCTCACAGGTGATCCGCCTAAGAAACAGTAGCTCGTGAGGCGAGGCCGAGATCCACCATCCGACAAGAACACTGCGGCGGATACAGTAGGGTTGCCGCCTCGAAAAGAAGACGGCGGTAGTAAAAGAAAGAGGTCAGACAGTGGCGAGTTGAACCTCGAGTGCCTACATAATGTATCTTACAGTGATAGTTATATCACTTCGTTAAATAGCAGGGAGTTCTTGGCAGATGTCAACTGGGAACTACAAAGGTTTAAGGCTACTAAACTCAGCTAGATAGGCTACTGTATTAGTTACTACTGGTAACGATACCCAATGTCATTTTTTCCGGCCCGCTCAATATTCTTTGATCTAGTTCTGTGTCTTATATATTAAGACATAGACTTAGTAACATATCCCCACAATTTATTACTAGGTACCTACCTAGGTATTTAAGTGGCATCTGGCATCCAATTTTTTTTCCTTTTCTTATCATAATAATCACATTCTCTCCATCCTTCTCGCAATATCGGATCTCGGATTACACTATGGCCAACATGGAAACTATGCTTGCTGTTGAATCAGCATCAGATTATATCCTCTATAGGATCAAGAGAAATGATCAAGTCGCCTATGTCAATATTTCAAACCCGGATATTATCCCAGAAGACAGCCGAACCTATGGACCTTCAGCAATTGCTGCGCTTAGCAAACTTGATGCATGGAAGGATACATCCTGGGTAACTCTTCATGTCCATTTAAATGAGAAGGGCTTATGGTATGAGAAAGATACTTTACCACCTCACTCAGTCCCGAAGGATATTTTATTGGATCGCTACCCAATGCATGATATCTCTGCCCTCCCAGTCCTTCGCCATATAAAATATCGAACATCTGAAGTCTTATATAATGGAAAGGCTTCAATTCTTAAAATCGCACGGTTCCCGCATGAGATACGATGGGTTATCCAGGAGATTCAAGCTTATCATTCTCTCGAAGGATCGCTACTGGCTCCGAAGTTGCTTGCTTATGTATCAGAATCATCGTCTTCAGATCGGGTTGTTGGTTTTCTAGTTGAGAAGATTGAAGGACGCTATCCTACTACAGAAGACCTCGAGGCTTGCCAGCAATCTCTCAGGCAACTACACTCCTTTCTTATCCATGGTGATCTATGTAAATATAATATCCTTATTACTCAAGAAGGTTTAAAGTTTATTGATCTGGAGGACTCAGTTCTGATTGGCAATAATCTTTGGTCAAGCGAAGGGGCGGAGAAGGAAATGCAGGGCCTTCTTTCAAATCTAGCTGATGAATCTGGTCGTGGGCGTCCTATGGAGGATTAGGTGAGAGCGCAAGTATTAGTTGGCTCGTTATTGAGAAGGTCTTGGAGTTTCTTTTCGATAGGTGAAAGTTTTCGGATGCTCACTTTCATGTTAAGGATGACTGTCCCTAAGGTATTCTAGTGGTGTCATAAATGATTGAATCGATACGCTTCTGGTCATGCATTTGGCTGTTTACCCGAAGCCTCAATAACACTGTATTCCCTGTTCCTTGTTCCGTCCCAGCGCCCATTTACTGGGCGTAGAGCTCGGCCGCCGAAGGAGGTATCCGTCGTATGATCCAAATTCTGGAAATTAACCTTGATATAACGACACAATTGGGGCCCACGGCCAAGTTATACTTGACAGGCCCTTCTTAGAGTTTTTGCAGCTGCTGTTGCCTATGCCTTGGCTGTGTAAAATGAAAAGTCAAAAAAAATTAAAAAAATTAAAGTTGAAGGTTGGGTACGGACCGGAAATTGGTCAAAAAGAAAAGTATATCTCAAGTCATATGTGGCTTGATCTTGGGATATTTTATGTCAATCGCTTGTCTGGTACCGTGAATCCCCTAAATGTCGTACGTAATTGGCATCGAAGTGCACTGGCCCCCACGTCACTTTTTTTTGGAGACACCCCACAATCTCAACCATCTTCCTACATCATGCCCGTACCATTTGCCTCGACCCACGGCAAGCATGGCTTCCACCGGAGCAGCAACAGCGACATTATCCGTCGATGGAGTCGCTGCCATGAGCGATGCTGAGCTCGGCCAATTCATGACACAATATCGTCGCCCCGATGGCGGTTACGAGCTTCCCGTTTGCGGGTGGGACATGCTGTCCAAGGATGAACGAAACCGCCTCGCCGAGAGACTGAAGTGAGCCCCCCCGAGCTGCTCCGTGCGCGCATTCGTGTTGATCGTTGGTAACGACATAGGGCCCAAGAACGAGCTCTAGCCCAGAGTCCCACCGCATGTTCCCGCCCTCTCGATCTCGAACACCTCGATGCACGCCTACGTCAAGTATCGTCCGACAATAACGGTTCACTACAACTCGGACCACGACCCATAGATTCCCCAGAACTACATACCCCTCCTTTCGACCCAGAGGCCTTCAAAAGGACACAGGAGATACGGACTTACCAGGAGCTCACCAGTGACGGCGGCCGCCCAGTGTACCCGATAGATCTTCTTGAGGACGTTTTAACCGACCCAAGCAAGTATACCGACATACTGCGGCCTTGGCAGGGACACCCGGATAACACATTTCCTGAGGGCATATTCATGAGACAGTTGCAGAGCTGGCAGGATTTCCGCAAGTGGCAAACCGATAATCGCGGACGTGACGATGATGATAACGATTTTCCTACATATGTTAGGCGGTGGAAGCGTATCTGCAAGCGGGATTTGAGGGCGGGCGCTTATATCGAGTGGTTAGCCGAGGTCGAAGCTGATCCGTCATGCCTCAAATCGGATTGGGATCAAATGCAATTACTACGCAAGCGGCAACGACGACTCTACAGAGAACACGGCTGCGATAGCTTCCACGGCTATGCGGAGGCAGTGAAGCGCCGCCTCACACGTCACGGCTTCGTCCGCCCCATCCAGCTACACGAAGACCCCAAGAAACAAGATCAATTAACGACATGGATCGAATACCTCAACTACGAGTACTGGTGGTTTGACAAACACACTAGCGACATCGAACGCCTAGAGCCAGATCACGACAAGGCTTGGCAGGAGCTCGTGGATTTGAAGATACTGAGGCCTCACGAGACAAAAGAATTCGTGCGGACTATAGCATCCCCGATGGAGCGCCAAACAGAAGACGATAATGCCTTGAAGGCAGTGAAGAGAGCAGAGTTGGAAGCGAAAAGGACCTATAATTTAACTCAGGAAGATCCGCAGCGTTTGCGTATTCCCAGGGCAAAGCGGATATCAATGATGAAAGAGAGCACAGAGAAATTGCTTGCTGCAAAGCGACAGCGAGAGAAGACCCGAGACCGGAATGATCGAATGGGGGAATTTATACGGTGGACATTCGATTACGCGGACGCGAAGAGAGAGGCTGCTCGTCACCGCACCTTGGTGCAATGGGTCCTGGAGCAGATTCCTTTGATCGAGGCCGAGATGGCTGAGTCCCGAGCAAAACAAGCCAAGCCTGGTCAGATCAAAAAGACAAAGAGGAGGCTACCCACCGACGAAGCGCCTTTGGAGAAGCCAAACCCCAAAAAGCCGAAGCTTGATCTTCAGGATTCAAGCCCGTCTACAAGCAGCAGCGCAGCGGTCTCGCTCAAAGCTAGAGACACGCAGTTGGACCTCTCCATTGTGACCGACCAAGAGACGGACCAACGTCTACAAACCAATAATTTTACCCGACGTTCGCCTCCGTCAGTGGATAACGCTTGGGATGTGTCTCAAGGACCTCGTCGTAGCGCGCGTATTGCAGCACGCCGAGAGGCCTCCCAGGTGGTTCACGAGCCTAAGATTTCCCAACAGAGACGGCCATCAAGGCTAAGAGCGAAGCCTCTACGAACTTCAAAACCTCGTCTGCCTCCCGAGGGCACAGCAGTTTCAGCGGCAGCGAAGAGAGGATTGCGGAGCGGTAGTCGGCAGCATGAAACCAAACCAGCAGGGATGTCACAGAGGCGTCGGCGGACAAGGCGTAGCTGATGAAAGGAGATTGTACTTAAGGTATAATCAAAGGAAGTCCTCTTTTCCATATAACATTTCTGGCCGGCCGATATGCTTTTCCGCCATTTCATCCATCTTGATTCTGGATGGCCTCTCGGATTGTTTTGTCAGAATAAAGGGATCGTACTCGTACGGAGCTCTTAATCTAGCCGCATTTACCGGTTCATTATGAAAGAGCTCTAGTTGGGGCGGTAGAGAACGGAGGGTCCTACATGCATGCCTGTATAGTGGTTCATTCTCTAGGTGTGGTGCGAGCCAAAGGTTAGCAGCGTAACAGACCGTGATGAATGAGCGTGTTGCCAGATCAATTCAATACCACCTTAGATTCGTCGGCCCTACCGAACTACTAAGCTTGTCTGCTAGTAGTCAACGCCATTCCTAGTTGCTATTGTGTTGGGGGGAAAACGAACACCACACGGATTTGCGAGCTTGAAGGACAGACTACTAACCATACCAAAATATAATAACCTTCTACAACAGCTATAAAAAGGAGGTTTTGAGTTTTATATATACTCTTATTTGATTAAAAAGTTCATATTTACGGCTAGTTAATAGACCTATTGTAGCTGCTGTAAAGTCACAGAAAGATGCATCTTTCAAAAGAGGGGATTTTCAAAAGTGAAAGTAAGAAGTGTGAAAAAGGATGTTGATTTTTTTCCAGATAAAACTAGCTAATTTATCTAGCCCGGCAAGAAGCACAAGAGCGCCCCGACTCATTATTCTCCCTCAGCCCCACTACTTTGCCCTTGGATGCTGTTATATCTCCCGCTCTTTTGTTGCGTCTACGACGTTTTGCACGTCTTACTACTGCTCCTACTGCTAGTGATGGCACTGCTAGCAGGATCGGCAGACGGTGGCACGCTTGACTTGGCTGCCGCTGAAGCTATCTCCCGGCTCTCTTCCAGAAGGTAGTCCAGGGACTTCCGAATCCCCTCCAGCCGCCTGTCCCTGCCCCAGTCGATGATGTTGCGGACGTACTTGCGGAACTTGAGGAAATGCTCGGGGTCATGGAGGAGAAAATTCTCGACGTTGGCTATGTAGTAGTCGAGCTCATTTTTCTTCCATGAGATGTACAGTCGCGCCTTCGTATCACTCATCGCGATGCTAAAGGCAGCGCTGTCAATCGGATGGATCAAGTCATTCTTGCACTGCATCAGATTAAATTATATGCATTCAAGGGATAAGAAAGGTTGCCTAACAAGCCGGTCCACCTACATGCATCTCAGCCATCATCAGTAAGTACTAATCCTCGAATACATGTAAAATACTCGAGAATATCCCAAGCAACTATACACAACATCATGTCATTGTGATGGCTTGGAAACCCATGCTCAAACAGCGCATGAGTGAAGGCCGGGGCCGAAGAACGGCAGCTTCATGGCAACTGGGTAGTCATCCGAGTGTAGATAGTATTGAACGTTTTCTGGTTTTCATTTGGATTCGCTGGATGGCTGGTTGGAGCTAGGCCTTTGGGATAAAGAGTTCATGGTTGTAAGCCATCTCCTCCAATGCGGAAACATCTGGAAAATACGTTGGGGTGCATTGTTGGCTGTACAATCTATGCAGCTGACATGATTCGGAAACTCTGACCACATAATCCAGGGAGCGGACCACATCAGCTAATACACAGGCTGCCTCATTACCCAACCAATGATTAGGGCCAAACACGAGCTTCTGCCATCATCACCAGCGAGTATGGCGAGTTTGCGCCTTACTTGAGTGGGTAAACAGCCGCTGTTACTGCCGTCAACAAGTTGGCTCATTGCTCGAGACCAGGCCATCTTGCTCGCTTAGATGCGACGCAAGCTTATCATGTGTTTTATTTTGTTGTTTTCTGTATTCCCGCGCATGCGGCTGTCCCCGGGGTGTAGAGTACTTGTCCAGCGATCCGGTCATGTTGATCTGCCGGCATGTACGGTTCAGACCTCGTCATCCCATCTTAATGAACTCTGGATGGGATGTCAGAGAACAGGGCGTCGTGCATGAATGTCCGGTGCAGTGACTCGTTTCATAGGTGTGACGCGAGCCAATGGTTAGCCGCTCAAGTAAGGCCATGATGTTGGCCGTGATGAAGAAGGCTAGTTGGCACATGGGACATGCGCACGTACATCGTATTTGACGTCCTCCACGATACCTACGACCCCGACATGGCGCACCTCCCAGGTAAAAACGACTTGCCGATCATCTCAGTCTTCCTTAGCCAGGAGGAAAGCGCAAGCATAGCAGGGAGACCTATGGCGAACAAGGTCAATAGCGATATCAGGCCGCCGTTCTTTGTCGACCACGCCGACGGAAAAGTCCCGTTCTACACTAACCCAACCCACGTTCCTCTTACACTAGATCATAGACTAACCTAATCAACTCCTCTCAAACATCCCAGCGACTCGGGTAGTTCCATATGGATTCTGGCGTGGGCATGCGCCAAGCGCCGCATGTGTCGGTCGAATCTCTCACGTTCGAACCGTCGGCGGCGGGATTCTGTGCGTCAGAACCTTCGCAAGTTACGGTTCGCTTGGCTTTCATTAAGGAGTGGCATCGGCTTTAGGTGGCTCGGGTGAAGGGGCACATAATGACCTGGAGCAATCTAGTGTGTCGTCAAGATCTTGCTTCTAGCGTGAGACTTACTGGAAGAGTAGTCATTCAAACTTCGAGATGGATGATGTCGGGACAAGGAGTCGTCCCAGCGTGGTCAATATCTGCTGCGGCACTATAGGAAGAGTGGACTTCATCCAAAATCATGCCCTTTGATGGCATCACAATCCATTCAATAGCGTCCGTGACCCTGGAGTATGTCTTAACCTCAATCACCGCCGGTTGATTGCTGCTCTGCCACTTAAAAACCACCTCGTAGCCTTATCAACCATCTTCTCTTGCTTGCGCCAAGCGAGGGTGTAATATCGGCCAAGGCCCAGTGGGCAAGAAATTCGCAGCAAGCGCCATATTGGTGTTTCTTGAGGCGTGCCACACTTGTATGAGTTAGGCCGGGCATTGATACGTGCGGCACCGAAAGCTTTTTCCTTCTTGCAAATTACCGCTGCCAAAGCGAAGCTGCCACCATATTTAAGACTACTGTTTCCCTGCTATTGATAGGAATTATCCTAGGCATCTTACATCTAGGTACGTAGTTTGATTGTATTGACCCAGGTAATAGCTCCTTGGTGGCTTACACTTCACGGCCACCGTCGATCTCGGCAGCGGTTTTCTCTATATACTCAATATGAATTGTTGAGTTGAAGCATTTACGTCCCTGAATGTATCGGAGGGAATATAATTGGTGCTGAAGCCATCTGGGATCTTCCTCTTGGCAGTGACGCAAGGAGCGCAGCTGAGTGCCACATTCCGTGTAGATTTCTGTCTGGACAAGAATAAGACACGAAAGCGCGGCTTCTTTGGCCATAAGCCCAGTGGCTTCCTCATTTCTCAGATTTGATCGCTTCATAGCCTAAATGGCCATTAGGAAAAAAACAAACCCCATAGGGTAGAAAATGTAAACATGGTACATCACTAAGCACTATTTCCAACGAACAACCGGGTTTCTTATCGTATTTCCGAGATTTTCCTCTTCGACAGCGACTAGAAGACTCGGCTGTCAAATTGCCGAGGCGTGTGTGTCTCAGTCCCAGTTTCAGCTCAACTGAAGCTGATAGAGGAGGCTTGTGTGGCCTTGGATGGTGCTTATCGCGCGCTACCGGGCGTCTACTATGTACGTTTTCCTTCCCTTTTGACCATGTCGCGGGGGGATGCTCGAGATGGTCCCGATAATGTTGGCGTGATTATCGCAGGGCGGCGGACCAGGGTGTATGTGATTGGACATGGATGTTCAATGTGACCATGATCCCCCTCTTCTCTCGTCGTCTCCTTCGCTATCATGTAGATAATATTCCGTCCGCTATGTAAGACATGCATGCAATGTCCCAGACAGAGACTCCCAAGGCCTACGTAATGGCATGTTAGTTAGGCTCTCGCTGAGATCTGCGGAGAAATCAAACTGGGAGATGTGCGTTCCGGCTGGCTTAGCGCTTATTTTGTGCAGACTGGTGGTGTGGAAACTGTGGAGAGCAGTTATTGAGCAAGGTGATTGGACAACTGTGATCCATCCATCCATAGCTGTTGAGTTGCAGAGCTCATTAATCCTGGTGCTTTGTTGGGAGGGGAGAGCCCGTTGCTCCTCCATCACGCTGTACGCAATCCCCCTTTCACTTCCGCCCATTCGAGCCCGAGGCCCGGCGCAAGCGTTATGGGCTGAGCCGGCAGAAAAAGCAATACCAGAGTCAGTTGCATTGTTCTTCTAAGACGTGGCTTGTTTTGTCCATCCGGTGTGCCAGACCTGCAGCCAAACAAATGCCCACCGCTGCCCATCAGCCCAAAGTGCAACTGGGAGGATGAGACCTGCACGCACACCTCCCTCGTCCATTGTCACCTGCACAGTACAGTGTGCTGCAGTTGGTACTTGCCTCTCCATTCAGTGCATGCCGCAGGAGCAGCGGTAGAAGCACGTTGGTCGCACAACGAGTGTGCGTGCTTCTGCAGGTGCTCCATCCCTCTGCACTTGTCACGCTCCAGGCATTAAGCAATTGCCGCTCGCCTGATCTCTCCTTTTCATCTGCATGTTCCCCGTCTCCTCGTTCCTCGCCTCTAGCCGTCATTGCATCGCAGGCCGTGCTCTCCGGCTCATCTTGTATCACGACCCGCTTGAACCTGTCTCGTTGTGTTCTTATTGAAGCGCTGCTGTGCTGGTCCCATTTCTCTTGCACTAGCAGCATGTTTATTCTTCCTCCTGTCGCTGACACAACCGATTGATCGATCGGTCAACTGATTTTTCGGCCAGCCGGTCGCTCCCTGTCTCTTCCCCGTCGCCGAGCTTGTGCTGGCGCTGGCGCTCCTCCATATCATCAGACAAAGAATCAATCAATCTCGTTTCCAATCCAATTCGCCTTCACGCATCCCTCCCTGAACCATTATCCCGTCGTCCCTACTCACCATGCCCGGTGGTCGGACCTCATTAGTGCCCATGGCGTGGCTGAACGATGCCCGCCGGTCCCTCAGCGAGGGCGGCACTCGTTCAGGCCGAGATGTCGTCGATGCTCTGATTCCTCTTCTAAGCGACTGGGACATCATCTATCTTCGCCAGAGAATAGCAGAGCTCCGCGGCACTCCCACCGCCTTGGCCAAATTCACCGACCTCTCCCTGGACTGCATCTACCTCATCCTTCCCTACCTCACCATGCGAGACTTCCTGGCCATGAGGCTCGTGTCCAGGGAGTGGAACCGAATCTTATCCCAGCCCGAGCTTATCGTGATCCTCTGCCGCATATACTTCCCAGGCATCAGCACAGAGAAGGCCATTGCCGCCGGCGCCAACGTTCAAGAGTTCTCCAACATCGCCCGCCTATACAGCCGCAAAAGAGCAGACACCTGCGGCAAGATGTTCGTCCCATGGGATATTGAATTCCACACTGCCGCCACCAACATTAATACCGCCATACGAGATGACCCCACTGGTGACACCGGACCTAGGGGCAAATACCTGAGACATCCAACTTTCGAAACTGTCTGCGGCGATGGCAAGCTTGTCCTGTTAGCCCACAAGAACTACCTCCTTGTAGATGACCTGGCCTCGGGAACCCGAATGAAGCTGGCCCTTACCGCCGACCCTCGGGTTGTCCGCAGACTTATGAAGGTGGAGGCCGTGACCGGAAAAATCATCGTCATGTCGTCGCTCCCAGGGCCCTCTCTTGCAGCCATAGCAGGCCATCCAGCCCCCGAGGCAGCCAGGCTTCGAACAATGTAGGCATTTGCCATACTCCTTGCTTTGTCCTCCTCTTGCGCTGCGCTCCGTTCCTTACCCTTCGTGCTCTTACACTCTGACCCGACCGAGCACCGGCGGTCCCAGAAGCACCCTTGCTAACCAATTGGCCATAATCTAGTCATGTCTACCATTTCGAGCTCAAGGTTTGGCGCAATGTCATACTTCCCGCACGTATCGACGAGTGCTTCGCCTACGATGAGAAGTTCGTCGTCAGCTTCCACTCCAAGGCTGTCATGCTGTGGACGTGGACCAAGGGACTAGTCGAACTTCCCTTGGACAATCCGGCGTTCAACGTGGGACCCCCAAGCGCTGAAAATTTATATTCTTCCGTTGCCGGCGTCTTGTTCCACCCTCTCGATGACAACACTATCTTCTTGGTCTGGGTGTATTTCTTTAGCGGTGTACATGGTATGCCATTCCCCTTGAGTTCATATTCTCGTAACAATAAGTCGATCGCCGAAACAGGTCAGCTAACATCTTTGTAGTCAGCCAGAATCTGTTCACCGTTGTCGTCGTAAAATACAATTACGAAGCGGACGGCGATCGTTGGGTTTCAACGAAGGATTATAGACACTCTATCTCTCATCCGATACCCGATCCTGGACCTTCAAACCACTGTTTCGGAGGGCAAACAGATCCGCTTGGCGCTTGCTTCTCGCGCCGCTTCAGCAAAACAAGCCCCGATGGCATGTACCTCGTTGGTCTCTTCTTCCTCGTCAACTACATGAGTGAGCAGGATAACGAGGGCATGTGCGAGTGCGTGCAACCGTCTTGGGACAAGGACTGCGTGCGGGCTCTCACGTTCAACGTCTGCACCGAATCGTTCAACGAGAATCGTTACTATGGCTTCAAAGACTCTTGGGCTGTTAATATCAGAACCATACTGCGCAAAGGCCGCGGAGTCACCGACCAGGGAACTTTTGATCACGTCCAAGTGTGGAACGGAGAGCTGTTCAACATGGTCATCCAAGTTCTCGCCACTGGATTGACGCCTGTAATCGAAATCATCAGGGGCCGTCAGGAGAACGGCCTTCCCATAGCCACGCTGTCCGGTGACTACGATGTAGAAACATTCAAGCCAATCTCAACACAGCGCGCCTTTGGCGATGGCCCGTTTCAGGTCCATGCCGGCACTGACTATCTCGTCCTCGCTGGCGGCCACGGCTATGCCCTTTGGCGATGGGACAAGGAAAGGAAGATTCGACCGGAGAAGCAACAAGCCGGTCAGGATGAGCCGTGGCTGGCCAATGGCGAATACGTCTCGCCCGACATGAGACACTTTGACCAGTCAAGCGAGGAAGACTTCCTCAAGGAGCTCCATCCTCCCTACGCTGATGCGCGCTGTGAGCTTTACGATGTGGTGGTTAAGCTCTACCATGCCCCCAGAGATATGGCCCTGGAGCGCGTGACTGATTAGGAAGACTGGCTCGCGGGATGTGACAGACCTGGGTGCTGTGGGGATCCGAGAGGGATCCATTGCTGACGGGGAGATTGTAAGTCACCCCCTCTGAGTATGTAATAATGTCGAGGTTATGCTTTATCGATTGCTGGTGTCACGCTCCTTTTTGACGAGTTGGGGTAGGATCATGGCCACTTAATGTGTTCACTGAAGACATGTTCCCTTTGATATCCGCATACCACGACTCAAGGATGAGTTTGTTGTATTATTTGCTCGTGGAGATGTTTCTAGGGGAAGGTTGAAGTATCATGGAATGGCTCTCACTTAACATGTTTGCTGGATGTGTGTTAGCTCTTAGCTTTAGTTCAGATTGATCTCCTTAGATATGAAAGATGACCTTATGATCCGTAGCTACGGCAATCCTCCCCAAGACTTGAAATGAATGCAAGACCACTGTATCATCTGCAGGTCCTCTAGGCCCCCTTTGCCTCAGGGCTAGGTCATGCAGCGTGTGGCTACGGGGCGGCTTGCTGCCTGGACGGTAGCAGCGATAGTCAAGCCCACGTTCCGCGTTACATGAAGAGCGAAAGTAGACGGCTCGATTCGGTCGAAATGATGAGAGCGCGATAACCTCTGCGTACGGCAAGGATTGACACTTCGGTGGTGGCGATTATCGTAATTAAAGTACACTTCGATTGTTATTGCGTGGGAGTAAGACTAGGGTAGATACCAATTTGTATTATGTCTTTGGTTCTATAGAGAAACATCGGATAAAGAAAATGATCTCAAACTTCCTCTTTTCCACCGTCGTTCGCTTGCTGCTGTTGGGACGAAAAGTGCCGCTCCAGGGTCTGCCAGCCCCCTTTTATCGCTTGTTCCAAAATCCAATATCAATCTCTGAAGGCTCATAATACAATCGAGTAACATACGAGCGAGTAATGCCATACTTCCGGCGATGCCCATTTACCAATATGAAAGTTCCCTCAAGATGGAGACGCAAGCGACAAGGGCGGCTGCTGTCACTGCCAAGCGCGCCCACCCCTGCTTCTGTGTCATCACAACTCGCCGGAGGGCGATCTCCTCCATCTGCTGATCCAGTTCGTCCATCAAGAGGTCGCAGTCTGGGATGTGTTCTTTCTCCGGCGCGAGGTCCTCCATCCGGTCGAGGTGCATGGCGCGGCAGAGCTGCTTGTGCATGCTTTCCTTGTCCACTGCGTCTCCATACCGCTTCAGCTGGGGCTCTTCTTCCAGTTCTCGCTTCGACTCACGCATGTGAGCGTTCTGGGTGAGCTTGGAGGCCCAGTCGTTGTTGATCTTGGTTGCGTGGTTGAGTTCCTCTGCGGGAGTTTGCTGCATCGGCGCCGGCTTCTCGGCGTCTTTGATTCGGCAGAGGCGATCGAAGGCGTCTAGGTCTAGCATCGCGAGTGCTCTAGTGCGAGGTTTCGGGATGTGGTGTGCGCGCTTTGGTCTTTACTTGAGTTTTGGTTGAATGCAGAAGCTTGCTTTTGAGAGGATTTTATGTTAAGGAGGGAGAAAAGGGTTGAAACATCATGGGAGGAAGCTGGGGCTATATAGTTTGGCTCGAGGTGTGAAATTACTCACACCGTCGTTGATTCACTATCAGAATTATGCTTGTTAAGTAAATGATGTTTGGTACGACGGTTGCCATCGAAAGTTCACTTCACTGGCGGCCGTTGCCCGGTTGCACGGAGAGGCGGGTCTAACACCGTTGCACAAGCAGGGACAGCAAGCAAATGGCAAAATTAAGTCTCACGATTCTACTGGCCGACCGTTCTTTGTTCCAGCTGATCAGAGATGCTTGTGGTTCTGGGTCTTCATAGACTAGTTGTATGCACTGGGAGAACGCACATCCTTTGTTCTTTGGCGAGTTCGAGATTGATATTTGTATCTAAACGATAACGCTACGGATTAGAGGATGATGTTGTTTATTGAATTATTCGAGGAACGAGGCTGCAAGTCGCGCGAGACTTTTCGTTCGTATTAGTTCCGGCTCGGTGGAAGCATTCTGACACTCCTCCAGGCTCAAAACAACTCGAGGAATAATTTTGCTAGGAGCATATGCCAGGCCGCTTGTCTCTTGGCGTATGGTATCGCGCATACAATCCTTTGGCTGTTATCTAATATCTGCTACTCCAACTGCGCGAGATTCCAACTCTCCCCTTCCTTCGTTGGAGTTTCTAGAAACAACTTGGCTCGTTTGATAGATACTCACTAGCTAGACTTAGCACTACTGTGCAATCCCAGCTCGCTACTGAAGGCTACATATGGACTGACGACCGGGATACGGGTGGGTAATGTTTCATGTTCACTTGCTAGTAGGTGAAAACTTGATACACTGCTACTCTGATCTGTGATAACTAAAACTGGACAGAAAGGGCGCATTGCATCTCATATGAAGACAACTCGCGCTCATTATTGGGTACGTACTCCTGCGAATGGAAGGATTTTTGTTGATCGTACTAGCTAACCGACCCCCGACAGTTTTGGTTACAATGGATCTGTTGGGAAGCTAAACAAATAAAGTGTGTAGGTCATATTCCTGCAATTGTACTTAGAACGCAACGTCGTTGTGTTACCCAGTGACAGATTAGGCGAGGTAGAAATCGTTCTGTAGGGGGTTCCCGGTGAGGCGGCCCGAACAGGCGCGAAACAATCAACCGGATTTTCTATTCTTGATGACAAATAGCTCGGTAAGCTCGCTTCTGTGTGTGGGAAGGAAATTGGGAGCTCGATATTGCTATAATTCTTATCCCCAGTTAGGGCTGATGGCATGACATGAGTCTTTCTCGAAATGGAAAGGGGCATAACCAATATGGAGTCTCATTGTCGGTTAGAGACGGAGGCGATTCGTCTCGCTTAGCTTCGAGGCAAAGGGCCGAACCGTTGGACCATGCACCGGGAGAACTTACACAGCATGCTCCCGGCATGAAGGAGGATGACGGCATCAGGAGGGGTAATAAGGTGCCCAGATATGCTTGGGGAGCGGGTGCTGTCTGGGGAAGTGGATGCAGTTAAGGAGTCACTTGGGGTTACACAGATCCTGATTGACAATATTGTGGAGAGACCAAGTCCGAGATGCAACTCAACGAACTGCAGCTGGTATCGAATCAAATTTGAAGGCGGCACTTGGAGACGGGAGATATCGGGAATGGTGAAAGCGTTCCCTACGAAACTATCGGGAATGGTGAAAGCGTTCCCTACGAAACTAATCTGGGAAAGACGCACGCCAAAACCAATGTACAAATCTTGCACGATCGCTGCCGGCGACTTTCAAACAGGCATACGAATGAAGAGTCTTGCGTAATAGTTAGACACAGAGGGCCGATTGAATGTAATCCAAGAAATCTGAAGTTGACGGAGGCAAAGGGCGGGAGATCCCATTCCGTATGCGCAGCTGTGCCGCCCACGTCAGTTATTAGTGTTACACGGAAAGGCAGCTTGACGGTCAGCATCATATCAACCTTGCAAGCTCGTCCGCCGGTGTGTATGATAACCTCGGTTATCGTACGTCTGTGTACACAATTGTGCGAAGACCCTGGGAAGGGCGGGGATCGCCTAGATTCTGCCACGTCTCAAAACGTCATACATTGTGTAGGTACATCAAGATAATGGCACTCTTTCAATTCTTTGAGGTATTAATACATGCGTCAAAACAAATTACGTTTTACCTTCACGCAGGACCGCAATACCCGTGCTGCCTTTGGTCCTTCTCAGCCAATAAGATACGACTATCGCAGTCAGCGAGTGCCGGATTTCGGCTTGGGCCAATGCAACACTTGAGGAATTGCACCGTTGCCGCCGGAATAAGACGGAAGTACGTGATACGGATGACAGAATAGGGTCCAAAAGACAAGTAACAAGGGTCAATGATGATTTTCCCCAGAGGTAGATCTCATTTGGGTAGCAGACAACACACACGCCACCCAATTATTCCAATTAGAGGTTCAAACGGAAGCCCTCGACCTATGAAGATCGGCGGGTTGTTTTGAAAGTATCATGCAGCTGCGAGGCCCGCAGTTGTGCGTAATTACAGCTCGCCATTGGCTTGCAGCATCGGTGTGCCACATCAACATCTGTCCCGTTGTTGTGGTTAGGTAGCTTCGTGCTCGACGAAGCGTATGGCCTGCATGGCCCTTTCAATGCACTACACTTTCCCTCAGGAGCTAAGACAGGTATCGTGTAGTATCCGCGTACAAGACACGAACTGATGATAAAAGCTGGGCATTCCCCCACGTTTGTCTTTTATTTCTCCTCCGCATTTCTCTCCTTCAGAACACTAGTCGATATACCTTTCAACCAGAAAAAAAAAGCAGCCTTTCATACTTGGTTTCACTCTTTGCAAGGAAAAGGGGACCATCACCTCTACGATTGCTCATTCACCATGGAAAATTTCATACACTGTTCACACCACCCAATATCCAAGCCATCACGTCTCTGGGCTGCGTCATCCTTCCAATACGGAGACGCCGGCGCTCTCCAAATAGACCATGCCAATGATGGTGATGAGTATGACCTTCATCTAGGTGAGACCTGAGTGCTGACCTCAAAGCGGCAAGAACACTCGCTTGCTCCTTCCCTAAGCTCTGACTAACACGCAATTGGTTTTAGATCTCGGCACACAACATGTATCGCACCCGTTGATGGTGTCCCACGCCCAAGGAGACAACTTGGATCCTAGTATTTTCTTCATCCCAGAGCCTCAGGAGATGCAGAGGGACCCTCTGATCCGTTACACCTTGAACCCCGACCTCGTCAACACTTTGCGAGATGATTACGGTCCCCCGAACCATGGCAAGTTTTCAGCGGCGGAGACATTATCCCAATTCGATCCTTCCTCGCAGAGCGTGCACCATGGGGACGAATGCGCGCCTCCAGGGCTTCTCGAGTCACCCGAAATGTCGACATTTGGAGTCTTAAAGACGCTCGAAGGATCACCGCCGACTGTAGACTTGACGACACGTACGGCGCCGCCACCAGAGCAGTGGGAGGTAAACAAAGCGAATATATGGACACACTACATCCGACAAAACTTGCCTCTTCCTAAACTGATTAAGCTGATGAAGGCAAAATACGGGTTTACAGCCAGGCATGTACCCAGAAATCCTTAGTCTATCGGCGGCGCATACTAATCCACTGTCTCAATAGTCCAGCAATGTACAAGAGACGCTTCGTAGAATGGGGATGGTCAAAGTACAAGCCTCGGCAAGCAAAAGCGAAACAGGCGCCCACCTTTTCCATTTTGAAACCTTCAAACTCGTCCCGCCACGCACCATCAGGGCGATTCAGTTTACAAAATGATGTATGGCCGTTACGTTCTGCCTTGATTCCGGTCGACAGTATTCCTGTCAAGTTGATTATGGATGATCTACTCACCAACGTGAGCAAAGTGTATCATTCAAGGTGGGAAATTGAACGAAGATGGAAAGTCGATAATCCTTTCCGCGTCTTGGAGGACGAGTACGATAATTTATTCGTAAAGGTGGTCAGTTTTGCCAACGATTCTCCTGCATATCGTTCTGCCACCTGGAAATCCGGAATTGGAGACATCTTCAACGCGCTGGACCCTGTCATGGAGGAGTGCGGTCTTTTCGCACTGCCGACTATCTGGACATCCGTTTTTCGCCTCCTTAAGGCCAAACAGCCGCAGGCCGCTATTGACATGCTGTTGCGAACTATTCGACTAGCCCGTATACATGATTGGGACAAGCCATTCCAACATATCCTACAGCTCCTACCATCTTTGGTGAGGATTGTCGGATCAGACATTACACACCTTCAAGACGGTCTGAGGGAGGCGTACCGTCGATGCCTTGACGAGACGGGATCCTCGTTGAGCCTCAGCAAACTCACGCTCCTGTCACTGCGTGGCTTCTTCGTCAACTATGTGGACAAGCAGTGCTCAATCCAGCAAAGAAAAACATTGGCCGAAACGAAAGACTTGGTCGAGGAATCTAGAATTAAAAATGGCGTGAATTCTTCCACGACCCTCGACATAATGGGACAATATTTGTTCATTCTTCAGTCACACCCTGTTTGGGAGCCTGAATTGGAGAGGGTTGCAGTAGAAATTGATCAACAGATCAAGCAGCTTCGACTTCAAAAGAAGGGCCCCCTTGATGCGGAGTTGTCGATGACTTGGAAGGACGCGAGACATGTCCTTGCCGAGTATTACTATCGTAAGGATGATGTCCCCAGAGCTATATCCACATTGAAAGAGTATATGACTCAATGTGCTGGTGACGGCGATGATGGTTTTGATCACATCGCCAAAACGAAGCTCGATCTCTGGAGCAAGAATGAAAAGGCCAGGCTGGCCGAACAGAATGAACACTACTCATTCTGCAACCAATTTTGTTCCTGTCCTTGGCGAGGAGTAGACTGGGATTCCCTTATTTGGGAGCACCTGTGACTCATGAATTTTTGTTCTTGGAACCTTTATAACCCGATTTACTTATTTTTTAATCCGAATCTCGATATCGAATTTATAGGCGGATCAAATCATTCATCGCCACTCTTATAGATGCCCACTTGGGCGCGATTTACCAATAACTTACTCTCAACATCGTCCTCACTTTAGCGCGAGCCAGTACGTCTGCTATAATCCGTCACCTATATTGGGCAATACAGTCTGTCTGACTGCTATGAATCGTGTCATAAGGGCTCATGCATCGTATCAAGTAGTCGAATGAAGGGGTCTTAATGCATATCTCAAGAGAAAAGCGGGCTTGAATCTATATGTATGTGTCCGAAACTCAGGTCGGGCAATGCTCCTTATGCGGAAAAAAGTAATTATGCTCCGCAATATCACAATTTATTTCATTGAGCATTGCTCGATTTCTCGAAAGAACTTGTTCTGCGTGTACAAATCTCACTGACGGGATGCAGGTGCTAAAGGTCAAATTTTGACTAGTCCTTCTTTTCTTCCTGCTGCATCTCATATATCTTGTTCCATAGGTCTTTGACGATGTCCAACTGCCTAGCTGCCTGCTCCTCCAACTGTGCGATTTGGGTTCCCATGTCGGCTGCTTACGCCTTGTTCCTCCGAGACCGGGAGCTGGAGCCGCTTTCGGATATCATTTCCATGAAGGTTCTCATCTGTTCAACTTGCTGCTGAATATTGCGTACTATTTCCTCCTTCTCAGTTGAATCCCTAATCAACTCGTCCAGTTCTTGTTTGAATCTGTTTTGAGCTTCGTCATCCATTGCTCTCCAATGTGATGCGATGAGATCTTCGAGAGTAGGTTATTCGTTATTCATAAACCTATTGAAATTCATGAACTCACAAACGTATAAGGGCTAGATATTGTGGCTTTATAGAGGGTTCATTTATGTTGGATCATTAGGGAGCTAGATGTGGTCAATGACGGGAGGCGCATGCTCTATATGTCTTGCTAAATGAGTTCATGAATCCATCAATTTTGCGGGGAGCGATCCAAACACCAAGTGCCCTAATTAGCGCTGTAATCTAGGCAGCCATGGCTATTGTATGGTATCATTGACTATGTATGCATGAATTCGTGGTAATAAGTGGTTGGATGGTTGAGTAACAAGCCCTACCTGAAAGCGCTGATATCAAGCATTTCTGCCTTCTATTGCACCTAGTACAAGAAACGGAGGCTAATCCTCTCACGCTTCCTGCTCTCGTCCTCCTTTCATGGATCGCTCCCCATCCAAGCGTGTCAAGTTGCCTTGCATCTGATCACTCCATTTCCGCAACTTCTCCAACGTCTCTTGTGTCCCCGCAGTCCAGTTACGAATATCTTGCCATTCTTCCTCCTCTCTCTCATCAAGGAGGTAGTTATCTTTCAGATACTGGGTGTACCGCTCAGATGCAAGCAACCGCATTTCTAGCCCTACCCGTAGCTCCTTTTTCTCAGGTTGATGGAAAAAGCTAGGGACGACCTCGTCACGAGGTGTGTTGTAGAGCCTGGGGTATATGCATCTGTAAAAGAGTAAGACGAGGTCAGATGGATCTAGGAATATATACGCCATCGGCAACCGGGAATCGTCTTTGAAGTCCCAGGCTTGCGCAAGCTGAGAGTGACTAGGCGACTGCTGTTTCATCGATGACAGAACGCTCATGAACTCAGATGAGAAATCAACCTTGGAGTAGATGGACCCTGTGTCATGGCCCGTGATCCACGACGGGGGTAGGAAGGCGTGCTGCGGGACTGTAGTCGAGAACTCCCAGTCAATGACGCCCTGAATGTGAAGTTCATCATCCACGATGATATTATCGACGCGGAGGTCAGGGTGGGATAGATAGAAGGAGTCCCTTGGTGAATCAGCCTTTAACCCGAAAGTCTTCTGGGCTTCCTCAAAGCTCAAGGCATGAAGTGCAAACTCCTTGCGTTCTGCCTCCTGTCGGCCGAGTTCTTCAGAAGGTATTCTCCACATGGCCTGCAGTAGCCTATATTGCTCCTCCAAGAACTCCTTCGCAGTGGTAGCAGTGAAGCGTGGAACCGTATATCCGTCAACTTGGAGTTCATTCTTGCGCATTGAGAAGGCACCAGTGATTCTCGGTCCGAGTTTGAGATCAACGGCTGATTGAGGCGTCAAGTACTCTTCTTGGGGAAATATTAACTTCCATAATCGGGGCCAGGCTCCAACCGTCTCGTGTGGCATCAACGAGCCTCCTCGAGGGAATTTGAGCCTTTGCAGTTGGGAGAATAGGTCGACAACTTCCCTGAAAAATTGGCGCCGGCAGCATTCTGAACTATCCCGAAGCCTTTTTTTCGTCAGGGGCTGTCCGTTGATGTAGTCCAAGACCATGAATACTTGATGCGCTGAGGTATCTTGCCGAAGTCGACAACGACCGTAGGCGTATACTCGAGGGACAGGAATGTTTGTGTGGTCCCGCACATATCTATGTACACTACATTAGTACAGACTGGCGACGGAGGTGCGGGTAGAGCTTACTGCATAGTGTAGACCTCACTGCAAACCTTGTCCCAGACATCATGGACCGCTGGTTCAACGGGAAGCCTGACAAGTCGCGTGGAGGCATCAGGGAAGTCAAGTATGAAACAAACATTGAAGCTACCCTGGCGTCGGCATCTGATATTGCATGGCAAGCCACCGTTAGACTTGGAAGCTAGAGCACGAATGGCTTCCGTGTCGATCGAGTTGATGAAATCATCGGCCTTAAGTTTGCGCTGCTGATCCGTGAGAGGCCTGAGACTGGTCGTAGAAAAGGGGGAGCAACTAAATAGGCAGGCAAGACGCGACGTCCAAAGATAGCGAATGCGGGTAAGGCAATATATCCATGGGGTGGAAAAAAGACGCTTAATAATTGAAAGCATCGGAGGAGGTGAGCATCGATGCGATTATACGTGTGGAAGTTGGGGATGGTGGAGGCTTACCAGCCAAAGCTGGTATGAGATGGCGGGGCGGCTTGACACCTAATATGTAAGGGTAAAATCCTGGCGCCTGCACGAGAACAAGAGGATTTTTAGCGCCACAATTGGGATCAGCCACAATGAGTTCCCAAGCCAAACCTAGGGCGACCCTCTTACACCAAGTACCCTATACCACAATTTAACCTCATCGTTCTTCGGCTCGCTTCTCATTTCAAACTACCTAGGTAGGTAGTGTTCCATTATATCCTCACCGTCTGTCCTCAGGATCTGTTTCCATCCTAACTCTCCGTGTTCAACAGTAGTCAGGTTTCAAGCAGCAACATAACTCGCGTCTAGCACGTATTACTACTACCATTAAATTATTCATTGTGTTCAAATGTAGTCCAACTTTATACCTGAATTTCCCTTCCGTATTACTACAACAATTATTTGTATCGTCCTATGTGAAGATTTCTCACAGGGTAGCAGTGGGGATCGTAGTGGTTTATCTGGTTTACACCTGTCACAGATATTCGCATCTTCAAGGGCATTGGTTCCTAGGATTCAAAATTGTCTATTCTCATAGCGAGTCTAGCGTGTAGCTTGGAAGTAACTAAATTGGAAATACATTTAGGTTGAGTGAACTGAAGACTGTGATCGTGAAGAAAAGTTGGAACGGAATTCCTCAAGAGACACGGAGAAGTGGAGCTGACCTTACTTAACCCATAACACCATCCAAAAGTCCCATCTCAAGCTCACTGGCAAGGGTAATAATCACGTGTGTGCGAGAGCGATTTAACGATAACTTGTTGGTTGTAGACAACAACTAGCTTCACAGGGGGTCGCGAATTTTCATTCTCCGATCTGTACGCTTTCCAAGCCTAAACTGAATTTCAAATCAACTCTTGGTCTCATTCGACATCAAGTCCTGGGGAATATCATCATGGAGGACACTGAGAATAGCCCTGCCAGCGCAGGCGGCTCGGACAGATCTGAATCTCCTGAACCTATGGCGCCAATGCCGTGGATGAACGAGTACCCATGGGTGGACTTTTTTGAAAACGAAATACGTTTCGAGTCAGATGAAGTCGACACCGATTCCATCGAGACCAGGGTGCAGCAGCTGATGCAAATCTGCCATGTCTCCAAGGGGTATTGCTCTCGATGCGAATATCTATTCAGCCACTGGCCGGCACTCGACAGCGGAAGCGACTGGGAGTACACTGTGGGACAAACTTACACCACAGAGGAGATTGAAGCCTCCTCACGGTGTGGATGCAACATGTGTGGGTTCCTCTGGTCGCGTCTTCTCAAGTCCGATCACCTGCACCGCTTCAGGAGGATTGAAGCCAGACTGGCAGCTCTCGGCCGCCCCGGGCGGTGTTCGCTCTCTATTCAAAATTGGGGTCAATCGAACGATAATCAGATTATATGGCTAAACCTTCCTGGTGTAGAGACCACGCACTGCAACTTCCCTACGGCTGATGTGGTACGGGCCTGGTCGTTCACGTTGCCGATAACTTGTAAGTTAGCTATCGATATTCCGGGAACGTAGCGACAACGTTTCTGATATCTTTGTAAAGCAAATGTGTGGGAAGAATTGATGGATCCAGTCGAACTTGCAAAATCCTGGATCTCCGAGTGTAAGGAGTCTCATGTAGACTGTCGCCCCTTGAGGAAATATGAGGGGCCGCGCCGACTGATTCGCATTTCCGACGCTACCGTGAGACTGGTTGAATCAGATTCATGGGACGAAACCCCGGAATATGCCACCCTCAGTTACTCTTGGGGCAGTGTTCCCTTCACCAAACTTACGAAAGAAACATTCTCATCCTTCCTCCGCGAGATACCGTTCGAGATCCTCCCAAAGACATTCCATGACGCAATTCGCCTTGCAAGAGAGCTAGGTCTCTCATATATCTGGATCGACGCTCTTTGCATCATCCAAGATGCCGAAAATCATGAGGATTGGCTGAAAGAGTCTGTTCGGATGGATTGTATCTATGGGGGTTCTCAAGTGACGCTCTCTGCGTCTTCTGCATTGGACGCTTTCCAGGGATTCTTCCCCACGACGCCCAAGTCCAATGGCGGGTTCGTTGCACGTATCCAGACAGACAAAACGTGCAGGGTGCAGGACTTTTCCCCGCCTGAAGTGTACGAGGAGGCGGTCATAAGAACCCACCTCGGAAGTCGAGGCTGGGCGCTTCAAGAAAAGTCACTGTCGCGTCGAACGTTGCATATTGGTGATTGTGGCGTTTTCTGGGAATGCCAGAGCACGACAAAATCCCAATTCATCCCAGAAGGGTTCAGTAGCATGATAGCGGCGCATCGACTTGTTCGTCCTGAGAATAGCGAATGGCACTGGCCCCAGATAATCTACATCTACTCTAGGACGAACCTGACACTCGAATCCGACCGGCTGCCTGCGCTGTCCGGTATGGCGGCACGTCAGAACGCAATCACTGGAGATGAGTATCTTGCGGGCTTCTGGAAAAGGGACATTGTGAGTATGCTCACTTGGATCTGCACGAGTTGGCTGGCCAAAAGACCAAGCTGGCGCGCGCCCACCTGGTCATGGGCCTCTATCGATGGCGTAGCATCGGCTCCGGGTACATCCGAGGCAATGAAGCCCCAGGCTCGGCTTTTGGATGGTTGGACCAAATCTGTTGGCGACAATCCGTTCGGTGCAGTCTTGGATGGGGAGATCACTCTAGCATGTGCCTCACTCGTCCGCGCTAAACTGGATCGCACTGGTATAGAAGAATACCGCTACAGTTGGTGGGAAACGAGCTATGAGCGGCTTGGGTCGAAAGAGTTCCCACATGTCATCTTCCCCGACTTTGAATCGCGCACGTTCTCGGTGGATCTGGATTGCTTGGATGTGGAAATGCAGGGAAAGCAGGAAGATGTCGTTCTCCTTCCCCTGCTCTGCGGCCTCACTGGAGGCCGAATCCAAGAACGTCCAAAGCGTCACAAGGGAGACGAACCTAGTTCCACATTAGAGGCGGGAACCTCTGAAGATGAAGCAGATGAGACAAGAACACTTACAGGAAAAGCAGACAAGTCCGAGGTGGAGGAGGACTTGGAGTATCTCCCCAATGGCGAATGCTGGCGAAAAGAGAGAGTGATCGAGGGCATGGTGCTGAGAGTGGTGCCAGGTGTTGCCGGTTGCTATACCCGGCTTGGCCATTTTAGTTTCGATAATTCTCCTCAATCCGCGAGGGGGAGAAATTTCTATGGAGATATGAGCTCTATTGTTCGGGACAAAGGCGCAGAGACGGCTAGGCTGGGATGCATAAGGACGGTCTCGAGCGACGAGCACCCAGAACAGAAGTACGTGATTAGCATCAAATGAAAACTACAGGTTTTGTGCGCCCTGGAGGTGTCGGATACCCGTCTTGCGGTAGAATATATCTTGGAATAAAGATGGGCGGATTGAGAAACGCAGAGGGCAATCGGAAGCATCGACGTCATTGAGTCCGCGAACAAATTGGAGCAATCGCACATCAGCCAGGCGATGTGCACGTGCCTTCCATGTTCCATCGCAAGCCTCCGTTCAGTGCCTACATAACTAGGTAGGTAGGTAGGTAGGTAGACGTTGCCTACATGCCTACGTCGGGTGCTGTGAAATCTCCCTGGCACATATGTAGGTACTTGGTGCCTGGCTGCGGGGTCGGACCTGCTTAGGTACCTTAGCTTACACGCGCAGACTCGAGGACTCCTCATGTTAGTCCTCGCAGACATGAATCTACAATCATCTTTCCTCAATCGCTTACCTCGAACTACACATATCGCGACCTATAGATTGACTTAATCATCTCGCACTCCTAGACACGATGCCCGCCTCGCCCTGGATTGCTGCTGTCAGATCGACCCGGAATTGGAGGGCTGACTAAGTTGAAGTGCACTCGACAAATGTCATGCAGCGCCAACGATCCATCCGAAGCACCAAATCCTTCGACTAATAAGAGCAAGTCAAGCCCCCACAGGTGAGGGATTCTTACTGTGCAATCTGCTATTTTTACTTCCGGCGCTGACGCTCGTGGTGCGCAATTGTGGGCAGGGCCATCAGCAGCAGAGCCCGTCAAAGTTCAGTCACCGCCACCGTCATTTCTGCCACGTCCTCAAATCAATTTCCTCCCTCAACACCATCTTTCCGCCCATCGACCGTGTGTTTGGGACGCCTGCTCCATCAACGAGTGGCTCCAAACTCTGGCTTGATTGGCGCTTTTCTACTGTCAATATTACACCATGGTCAACCTGATTGAAGCCGCGGGGAGCGGCAAGATTGAGCGAGTCCGGAAGCTGCTCAATCAGAACGCCAAGATCGAGGCCCAAGACGAGGAAGGGTACACGGCGCTGGCCAGGGCAGCAAACGGGCAGCTGCGTACTGCCACACTGCTCTTGGACAAGGGCGCCAACGTGAACGGGGGCAAATTCCCGCCTCTGCTTGAGGCTGCCGCCGAGGGCCACCTTGAGATCGCCAAGCTCCTCATCAACAAGGGAGCCGACGTCAACCGCTGCGAGGAAGACGCCGACGAAGAGATCAGCCCGGTCATCGCGGCCGCGAGCAACGGCCATCTTGACATTGTCCGACTCTTGCTGGACAACGGCGCCGATGTCGAGGCTGCCGGTGAGGATGAACAGACACTGCTGCACACGGCTGCCGAGGATGGCGACATTCCGCTTGCTAAGCTGCTCTTGGAGAAAGGCGCCAGCTTGAGAGCCCTGGACTCTGAGGGCAATACTCCTCTTGCGTTGGCCGCCAAGACAGGCAGCGTCGAACTGGTCAACCTTTTTCTGAACAAGGGAGCTGACGAAGAGGCCCGGGAGCGGAGAGCATGGTCGCCCCTCCATTCCGCCGCCGAGGAGGGCCACCTCGACATTGTCAAAATCCTGGTCCAGCGCGGATGGGATCCTGACGGCACCGTCAACGATGAAGCCACTCCCCTCAACACGGCAATTTTGGCCGGAGAATACGCAGTCGTCAAGTATCTGATTGAAAAGGGCGCCGACATCGAAGCCACATCCGAGGGCCACCCACCGCTGCATTATGCAGCCAAAGAAAATGACCTCCGCATCACCAAGTTTCTTCTAGAGCACGGTGCGGATATCGAGACTACCGACAACACTGGGAGTACCGCCCTTCACTGTGCCGTCGACGAAGACGCGATCAAGACTGCCAGGTATCTAATCAAGAAGGGTGCCAACATCTCAGCCAGAGATGGAGATGGACGTGGTCCTCTTCATCTCGCCGCGGTTGAGGGATCCACCAGCGTTGCCAAGGTTCTAATCAGAGCCGGCGCAGACATTGAGGAGGTTGATGAGACGGAGTGGACGCCGCTCGGACATGCTGCTGATAGCGGGAGCCTCGACATTGTCAAGCTTCTTATCCAGAATGGTGCCGACATCGAAGGACGTTCAGGGGAAGGCTGGACGGCCTTGACTGCGGCGGCGTCGTCCGGGTATATCGATGTCGTTCACTACCTTCTTGAGCAGGGCGCGGATATTGAGTCGGCGACTGATGAGAACTTTACCTCGTTGGCCCAAGCTGCTCATGCAGGCTTTGTTACCATCGGCAAGATGTTGGTGGACCGAGGTGCCAACGTCGAGGCCGCCTCCAAGGATGGAACTACCGCTCTTCATCTGTCAGCTGAGAATGGCTACTTCAATTTGACAAAGATTCTTGTAGAGAACGGCGCCAAAGTCGATGCCAGGGATAGTCAGGGCATGACACCTCTGCACTTCGCTGCCGAGAACGGCCGATTGAAGACAGTCAAGCTCCTGCTCGCCAAGGGTGCTGAACTAGACGCTGTTACCAAAGATGGATACAGCCCTCTCTCGTCTGCTGCGGAAAACGGGCGTCTCAAGACAACCACGTTTCTCCTGGAGCAAGGAGCGAAGCTCACTGCCGTGTCAGAGAATAATAAAGTTACTCCTCTGCAGTGCGCTGCTCGTTCCGGCGAGGTAGAGGTTGTCCGGTTTCTTGTCTCCAAGGGAGCTGATGTGAATCTCCCCGGCGAGTTCGACATGACGCCTCTGCACGAAGCTGCAGATTACGACAATCTGGAAGTCCTCACTTATCTCCTCGAGAAGAATGCGAACCCTGATATCCCCAGCACATCTGGAGCTACACCTCTGTGTGCGGCGGCCCTCAGCGGAAGCATTGAAATTGCGAGAGTTCTTCGTCGGCGACTGGGTTCCCAACCCCTCCCATTTGACAACTATAACCGCTCCCCTCTCTTCTTTGCTGCCTCCCGTGGCCACCTCGGCATGGTGAAGATGTTCTTGAAGGGAAACCACAAATTGCTTCGGTCCAAGGACGTCTACGGATCGACGGCCGTGTGCTCAGCGATGAGGAACGGTCATGAAGAGGTTGTCCAGTACCTACTCCCCTATTTCATGCCGTCCATGAACTCGCCAGACTTCCTCGGCAAGACATTCAAGTGGTGGCTCACCGAGGTGGGAACGCCCGGCATGCGCAAGCTGTACAAGCAGGCGCGGGCTGGCGCGAATAAGATCCGAACACGCAGCGAGCGTGACCAAGACGATGAGGATGAGTACGAAGACCAGATATGGCGATACTGCGACGTCTGCATGGCCACTCTTTCGGAAAGGGACCCTTACTTCAGCTGCGACATTTGTGACGGTGGGAGCTTCGTCATGTGTTCAAGCTGCATCAAATACGAGGCTCATTGCAGGGAGGCATCGCATAAGATGCTGTCCAAGCATCCAGTTGCCGAGGATGATGGCGACGAGGAAGAGGAGGACGAGGCGCCGGCGGGGGGGAAGAAGAAGAAGCGTGGCAACGGAAGAAGGGCAGAGGAGGAGGAGCGAGAGGAGTCCGAATAGTCACCTACCTATTCATAGAGTAGCATGGCTTAGCACTCATCAAACAAATATACTTGGCCTAGAAATCGTTACTTTATGGGATTTTGGATAACACTATGTTGCATGTAGCTGCACTCATAAAACCCAGCACCCTTCCTCGTGTGCAAAGACGCGTTTGCCCTGCTTAGGCTGGCGGCTGTCAACAGCCGTTGGCAACGTTCGGCCTACGCTACGTGCCAGCTCAACTCACCTCACCTCACCACTGCACCTCCTTCACTCCACCTCACCCTCGCCCTCATTCTCACTTTCAAACTTGACTTTCCACCTTGCTTGGCTTTTCATCCTAAACACAATAATCCCAAACCACCTTCCCCTTCTCCCAACTTTCCATCCCAAAGCCACACAACAAGCCCATCACACCTTCCCCTTGACTCTCTATCCAACAATAAACAACACAATAAGCACCTTCCTCTTGCTCTAATGATGGCAGGCAAGAGAAAGAACAAGACCTCCTCCAAGGCTCGTCGCCAGGCGCCGAGATTCTTTCCTCCCCTCAACGCCTCCGAAACACCTAACCAACTCGCCGGATCGCAGGACCAAGCTGCAGGATCCGAAGATCAAGTTGAGGCAACACCCAGCCAAGCTCAAGTTGCATCGATCCAATTTGGAGAGCCCCAAAGCCCAATCAGAGTCAAGATGCCACCAACCGAAGCTGCTGCGGTTCCACCAGCCCAGCCTGGAGGATCCCAGGCGATGCCGTCCTCGAGCAGCCAGGTCCCGGCCGCACCAACAACCCAGGACGCAGCATCCCTCAAGGCCGAGCGTGACCGCCTCAACCTCAGGATGAAGGACAACGCGTGGAACCGCGCCCTCTTGACCACCCAGATCAAGCAGACCCAGCGCGACATCATGCGTACCAAGCTCCTTGGCACCTACGAGAGTATGTATTCCCCAACCAGGTGTTCAAAAGAGAGAAGAAGAAAAAAGCAAATTAACTGACCGATCCCAGAGCGCACCGGCGACTTGCTCTCCGAGTTCATCCTCAAGCTGCACAAGCGGGAGCGGGAGCTGGAGCAGCTGGAGGTTGAGCAGAAGAAGCTCGAAGCTGCGGAGAAGGAGAAGAAGTGAAACCCCGCGAAAGTAGGACCTTGCCTCCTTCGTTCTTGCGAGGCTGAATTTCGAGAACACCTACTTTTCCGAGTAAATCGATCTCATTATTCTAAAAAAAAAAATGGTCCTACGGGGAGAGCTTTGGTGGTCATTGAGAGAGTACCTGGGGTTATCTGAGGAGCCGGGGTAGCAAGGTCAGGTAGTGTGAGTGTGCGATCGCTCCACCTACCATGATATGAGCCTAGAGGATTAGCACGCAGCTCCAGATAGCCCAGAAGAATTCATCATGAGTTGAAAAAGTGCAAGCTAGTCATGGGCTGGCCATTGTGACGCGGAGACCCTTTGATTGCTTGTGTTGAGGTGATGTGTCGAGGCAAACGAGTCACACTGCCTTGATTATAAGACCACTCGACGTTTTTGGGGAAGAGCATTGCTGCCCGAACACGCTGAGAACTTGATCGAACCCCAACTCAATACTCTAGATTAACACAGTGCTGTTTGACAAGAAGCCATACCGACGTGGTGCTGCAACAAGCCACGGAAAACGGCTCAGAGCAATGCGTGACAAAGGTTTGAAAGTTAAGGTTTTCCATCTCGTCTCGGGTCGGAACTCCGTGAATGACCCAACTCAGTTCCCCTCGTCTCATAGACTCCCATCGCAGTTTTGAATTCCTGTAATCTTTACCATATATTGAACTACCATTGATTACATACAGAAGAATTGTATTTCTTTGCCTCCATCCCCAAACTTACATCTTCTTCGAGCATCAATTCCGAGCGAGTACTGCAAAGGCAGCCAGGCCACTGATTGCCGAAGACACCGAGTCGAAAACATGATGCTTTCTATTTTCTCAATCTTTGACCAACGGCTTCCCGGCAAGACGGCACCCAAAGAAGACCAAATCTCACCTCACTCCCGCGATGATCACGGCAACACCCCCCTCCACCTCATGGCGATGAAAGGCCTCAGAGCCGCAGCAGCCCTCCAGATCGAAAACGGCGCCGACGTCGACGCGACGAACAACGACGGCGACACCCCCCTGCACCTCGCAGCGCGGGCCCGGCGCAGAAAGGTCGCATCCCTCCTGGTCCGGACCGGGGGCGCCCGCACCGACATCAGCAACAGCGACGGGGACACACCCCTCCACCTGGTGGCCGCGACGGGGCAGGTCGGCATCGCCGCGCTGCTGCTGGCGGCGGAGGACAGGGACAGTGGCGGGGTCGGGAGGAAGAATAATCGGGGGAATACGCCGCTGCACGTTGCCGCGCGGGCGGTGCAGGATCACATGTACACGTTCCTGCTGAGCCGCGGCGGCAGGTGGGATGTGAGGAATGGGGATGGGGAGACTCCGAGGAGGCTCTACGGGTTCTGAGCGAGCTTGTTCGCGGGCCTTGTATTCATTTTGTTTGAGATGTCGGGCTCTGGCATCTCCCATTGCTGTTTTGACTTTATACTCGAGTTCTCTTACGCATTCGGCGGCCTGGGTACGGTGGCAGGTGGAAGGTTCGGTATCGGAGGTACATGGTATGAAGATTACTCTTCCGTCATTCTGTCCAAGGCATGGGAGGGGATTGAGTTCCGGTAACTGTTTTCGTGGATTAGCAGTTGCAGAACTAATAAAAACGAGTTTCCCAAGGGAGAGAAGAATTAATTGTATTCACACTGGTGCAAAGTGCCAAGTGGTCCAAATGTGAATGCTTCGTCCAAACTGTTCCGCTCGATGGTTGCTCGAGAGGATTATGATGCTGGCTTTTTATAGGTATTTAGTAAACACATAAAATCAAAAGATCATCGTAAAGGCAGCTTTATGCGCTTGGCAGTCGAGTCATCGCAGCTCGTGAACGCTGGAAGGGGATGTTGATCCAGCCAAGCTCCTCAATTCTAAACCCCAAGCGCCGCTGGAGGCGGTACTGGATTGGAAGGCAGTCCCTACCCAAGTCGCCGGCGTTCCTGCCGGTGGTGGGAAATGGGGTCGCCCGGTGATAACCTAGGTAGTGGCCAGGGCACCTTATCACCCACTGTCATGCGATGGCTGCATCAGTGGCTTGCGTTCTGTCAGGCTGCGGCAGTCGCTCCTGCTCTCCGCATCCAAGCTGCAACCACTGAGGCCATGACCATGGCCATGATGCACAGTTCAAACAACAATACGACGCAGTGCATTCAGAAGATAATGACCGCATCCGTTTGCCAAGGCCATTCGAACATCATTCAGTCGCTATCCTCCGAGAGAACAATGTCTGTCAGCTGCAGCCAACCTTGCACGTGGACGCCCATTTGAATTCTAGCGGGACGCCAAATCGAAGAACAATACAAACCCAAGCCCACTGACTCGATCGCTTGGTGAATTCGGGATTCCCGCGGACTCGAATCGGTGGGTCGAAATAAACCTTGGATTGTTGATGGCTCGAGAAGTCTAGTTTTGACCATTGTCAACTGCTCGGAAAGAAGCGAAAGCCAACAGCGAAAGTCACCAACCAATGAAGTTCCACGAAAAATTCCTCCCGACGCAGAGATAAGTTCACACGCTCGTCTCTTCCCATAGACTAGTTCTCGGCTGTAATCGACTAGTTCTCAGCTCCCAGACAAAGACAGATCGCGAGCTAAGACCCCAGTGCTGTTGTAGCAGCCCTATATATAAGAAACCGCCATTCGCCCCTCAGGGAACATAATCCCTCTTCCATCGAACAACTCGTCCGATCATACAACCAAAACTTACAAAAATCCAATTCACACTCTCGCCATGTGCCAAAGCTACCAAGAATTCATCATGCCGTGCCAAAAGGCCCGACATACACGTTGCATCGCCTCAACCCCGTGGCCGATCCGACCACCTTTCCCTATGTTGGATACAGATTATAATTAAGTATCGTTCATAGGGCTCGCCAATATCGAACATCTTTACATACACGTTACTCGTCGTGTTACGACTAATAAAGCCACAACCTACCAACGCTACCGTCCTCGCTATCGCCTTACATCCGCTGTTCACCTCGGAACCTAATACGCAACGCTCACCATATCACCCGCGGAAACCCGTTATACTGCGCCCTACATTATCCTCCCATATACCTTTCCCAGTCATTCCACAGCTCAATTCAGCAACCGTCTCCATCATTAGAGATGATCCTCCGGTAATGCGATGAGGTACCAACGGAGGGACACGTACGAGCGATTCTTCGTCACAGCCTATCGATCGCTTTGGACCTCATTTAAACGCTCATTCTGGAAATGTCGAGCCTTTCATTCGAACAACCAAGAGTGACTGGTACTCGGCGCCTTTCCGTGGATGGAGATATTTTTGGGACGAACATGACTTCCTCGAATTTGCCTTTCTTGCTTTGAAACTACCTAATGGCTATATAGGAAAAGATGAATAGAAGACAGCTTATCAAATTTTGGTTCTCTAACATTCTTAAACGACCTATCGTCCTCTCTCGATACCTCGGCTCTACTCCAAACTCCTTGATTTCGAACAAGCGGGAATCAACTCACCCAAGAAACTGCACCTAATCGCAATTTCGGATCTATTAACCATCAATATATCGTGACCACATTAAGAACACTACCCGCTTCCACCAACAACGCATTTAAAGCAAGCTCTCAACCATGGCATGCCATGGGGTTCAAGTTGGAATTTGGGCATATATGGATTCTTGGACAATCCCCCATTCACCGAACGAACATGTACTGGCCGGCTGGGGGCTCTACAACGATCTGCGAGTCTCGCCTCGAATGGCCACGGCAAGAGGCGAGGTGCAGTGCCATCAGTGTGAGCAGATCAAGGAGACAAGCCAATCAGCCCAGAACTTACCGTAGCATCCGGACCGCCGCGTTCGGGGAGAAAGTCTTCAAGAATGACAACGAACTATTATTGTGGTTTGACAAGGGCTGTACAGCAAAGCAAAAGCAAAAAGCAGCAAATTGAACGTGATGATGATTAGGATAAAAGCTATCTGTTGGAAGGTTCCAACCAAAGGTTGGATAAGTATACGATTGGTCGGACCCACCCGACCAATCGATAAGTCTCACCGGTTATCGATAGTCAGATAACGATATCAACAATTATGTCAACCCCGACGGCAATATTTAACAGAACAACAAAAGAAAGAAGCTGTTCTGAGCATGATCCAGGAGGTGTCTTTGGAAATAGAGGGGGTCGAGATGTATGCAGAAGTCATTTCCACGTTGTTGGAAGATGTGACTCAGCCCTCCTCTTTCTGTCACTACGTTACTAAATGGGGAATATTTCTTTAATTCTGTCAAATGTCTCAAAGAGTTTCAAGAATTTACACAAAGTATTTCTAACCCAAAGCATTCTTTTAATACGTGTGTTCAATTCCCGACCTCTTGTGTCCCGAGGTTGTTGATACACCCAGCATTTATTCGCCTACCCTATAGCCAAGACACACATGTCAGGTTTACATCGTGGAGAAGATCATGGCGTTGTATTTCACTGAGCAAGTCTCTTGTGTTAGATAATGAATTGTGAATCAAGGTTATATCAACTTTGCCTTTTCCTATATTGGCGCAAATGAGGAAAGCAGCGTGCGACATCTGGGGAAAAGCAGGGGACTAATGAGATAGTCCCTTGTGGTATTTAGGCAGCCCAGTCGTCGTTGAGACATGTGTCCCTAGACCAGGGGTTGGTTGGTTGAAGTACAGGAGTGATGTCATGTCATCAGATAACAAAGGCTTCAGGGGTATGAGTGAGGGCACTCAATGTTGGACAAAAAGTTAGACAAAAAAGGACTGTTTCCCTCTAGACTCTAGAATACAAAATGATGTCCCATCTGCCTGCCGGTCAAACAGCCGATCGAATAAGCGTATGATTAACTCTCATCGGATCCCCGGGAGGAAGTCTGTCCGTTTCAGCTTCGGTTGGTGGTGCCCATCAAACAAACGGCGCTTCTGGGAGGCTTCTAGCCGCCGCAGGATCCAAACGACCCGGCCAATAGACATGGGTGAACCCCCGGTGATATGGGTCAGGTTAATGCGACGCTCGTTTACAACCCCCGTCAAGCTTTCCCACTTCCCTTACTTCCCTGCTGCGCCCTACACTGCCCTGTTGGTCCGTGGCGAGGCATGTGCACCATCACTGCGACTTTGTTTGTTCTGGACCCCTGCACTCGGATGCGTCAAAGCCTTCGAGGATGGCACAAAGAGCGGGGGAGAGATGACAGGACTGTGAATGTATGCCGATCGTGCTGCGGCTTCCGTGAGACAGAAAGACCTTTCGATTCGCTCCAATTGCCCATTTGGTAGTGCTAATTTCCCCCATCGTCAGCGCACAATCCGCCGTGGCTTGGCGCCCGTTCAGCCTTCTCGGCCTAACAAGGGAAGAGAAGCGGTTCCGTAATTATAATAATACGACCTCGCCTAACTCGTTGGTCTGCAACATGTCACCCGCGCCATTTTGCTTCCCTCCTTCGTATACCAAGTCATGGAGCCGCAACAACGAGACGGGGCCAAGTCTCTGTCGGCGCAGGTCCTGCCCGTCTTCATGACGCGGCGATACAGGACGGTGGCCGCTGTCGCTATTCTGCTCTTGATGCTCTGGATGTACCATGGATTTGCGCAGCGCAGCGGCGTGCCGCTACCAAGCCATCAATTTGGCAGTCAAGACAAAGCGGATGGCCCGGCGCTACCGTTATTACCATCACCACCACCAGTGTCCGAGCCGACCAGCATTCCTGTCGAGAAGCCAACAGCAGAAACTCACAGCCACCTTGAGATCCCTCGGAAGATATGGCAAATCATGCTGCCGAGAGACACCAAGGGCAAGAAACAGACGCCTGACCCGAAGGTTCTTGAAGACACACCCTCCTGGTTGATTATGAATCCAGATTATGAATAGTGAGTCTTCCACGAGCAAATATCAACCATCTCTCGATGAACGACCGTTCGGCACTTCTTTTTCGTCCTAGGACTAGCTTCCAGATGGCACATTGATAGGGCTGGCTCAGCGCACTAGCTGCTTTCGTGCAGACGGGTAGGGCGAGGTTCCCAGAATAGATCTGGTAGCTTATCTGACGGACGCCACTCTTGGCCGGAACTTTTCGATCTCTTGAAGTGGCTAATTACCACACTTCTTTGCTATTAGACTGACGTTAGCAAGAGATTGTTCCGCAGAGTTCAACGTCCCAAGGTAGTAGCTATCACGGATATCCTGTCAACCTTGCCCATCCTAAATCTAGAGAGGAGATATTGCACTCACCTTCCCTGCTTGGTTACAGTTGGCTGATATCGAATATTATAGCAAGCTAGTAGGGGGGAAAGGGGCAGACGAATTCGTTAGCCAGCACTTTGCCGATAAACCCGCCATCGTCGAGACATACCAAGGACTCCAGAACCTCGGCATGAAGTCTGATCTTTTGCGCTACCTTATCTTGGACGTCGAGGGAGGAGTATACACCGATACCGATACCGTCGACGTAAAACCGATCGACGAATGGATACCTGCTCACCTCAAAGGCAAGGTGGGATTGATTGTCGGCATCGAGTTCGACCGCCGCGACGGGGGCCCGTGGGCTGAGATTCCGCACTGGCTCCAGTTCTGCCAGTGGACGATTGCCGCGGCACCGGGACATCCTGTTTTCCCAAAGATGGTTAGCCACATCCTCGAAGCGGTGGAGCGATACTCGAGCGCGTATCAGGTACCGGTCAACAAACTCAACCCGACCAGCTTTGAGGTCATGAACTCGACTGGCCCGGCTGCCTGGACAGACGTGGTTTTCGAGCAACTCCAGGAATACGAACCCACATTAAAGGAGCTGAAAGACCTGTCATTTATGACCGAGCCGAAGCTGTATGGCGATATCCTAGTACTAAGTATCGATGGGTTCGGGATGGGCCAGCGGCATTCACATAGCACAAATGATGGAACGATCCCTAAAGATGCGTTGATGAAACATCTGTTCCGAGGATCATGGAGGGGATAAGGAGTCTTGATACCCACAAATGTTGGAAACGTGCCTGTAATTCAATGATTTTGCATTGGATACCAGTAGGTCGTGTTGGGCCTAGCTATGAGGTTTATGAGAATACTTTTTGCGTTTCTTTGTGACCCATGCCTTAGGTTTTCCTTCAACGAAACAGTAAACTTGAAAAGGTAACTTGTGATGAGTAGGTTTAGTAAGGTTATGCACCTGCTACCCCTTGTCTGGGTGGATTACAAATAGAATCCGCCGTCCAAAACTCTCGACTTCAAAACGCTTGCTGAAAATGCAGCAAGGTCTATCATTGAATGGAGTGAGCTCCATTCTTCAATCAATAAGTTGCTCGGAACTCAACCGACTGACGCATTCCGTAGAGAAGACCAAAATCATGCACCCACTCGAACAAGCAGGATCCACAGCTGCCATTGGCCCCAAAGACACCAAGGTCAATGAGCATGACTTTTCGGAGTTCTTCGTCGTAGTAAACATCGAACGTGAACCCTTGCTTCAACATGAGCGCGTCCATCTCTGTCTTGATGTCCAAACGACCGGTGATGTTCTGGTGAATCTTCCAAATGCCCATCCAGATCTCCTCCACGACAGCGTTTTGTTCCTCCCGAGAAAGTGTGCTGAACCGCCACTTCTTATGCCATTCCTGCTGACTGATGGCAGTGACTCTTCCCGTGTCAGGTTGGCAGTAGACGCGGTATTGGCGATCGCCACGGATGCGAGGATTGAAAGGAAAGAAGATGAGTTTCACATTGAGAGAACCAGACAAGAGAGTCTTTCTCATTTCGCTCATTGCCGTCTGAGAGGTAGCAAGGCGTAAGCAGACATCCATGGGTGAAAGGATCATGTTTTGGGGTCTGTCGCCGTCGTGAAGCTAGCACGTTGCGTCCTTTGGAGACGAAAATTCGAGCCGGACAAAGAGTCCTTGAGAGGGAATGAAGAGTTCGCTGAACGCGGGATAGACCTCTTCCCGAATCTTTTCAACGGTGGCTCTGTTGAACTGGCCGGTGAGCATAGCGTTCCCAGATGCTTCCAGGAGGACATGTCCTTGCCGTCGGGACAGGCGGACGTATTGGATAACAGATGGGTCAATGTCACGGCTCTCAAGGATAGCAGGCAACCATCTCTGCATGCCGTAAGGTCTTTCGTTTGGCCTCTCCAGTGGCGGGAGCAGCTTTTCGTCGCAGAAACGAGAGTTGAATCTTTTTGGTGGACCGGGCTTTATGTCTTCTTCCACTGCCTCGTAATTGATACGGGAAAACTTCATTGAGGTAGGCATTGTGAAAACACGAGCTGCAAGATATCTGCTGTGTGAAACGGGTGTTAGTTTAAGAACTTGTGAGATAATGAGACGAGACCAAGGACCACGGGAATGAGTCCTGGGATGAGGAGAGAATAATTTGAGAAATTAGAGAGGCGAGCTCGGAGATTGCAATGTGTGAGTCCAAGGGCTGGAAAGGGCCAGATTCAAGGATTAGGCACAAATACCATGTAGTGCGACTTGGGAGAGTGATGAACGAGGCGGAAGAAACATGGAATATTTGTGAAAAGGAACTCGAGTGTATCTTGGACGGGGAGTCACACAGTGGAAGAACGCAGGATAATACGCAAAGGGGACATAGAAAAGCAGATGAAAAATTGTTATGTGAAGGAGAGAAAGGACAGAAGTCAAGAGAAAATGCTTGCCACAAAAGCCCGGGAGAACTTACACCAGGAAGATGGATGGGTGCACTCTTTGCGCAAGCACGCAGCAAGTAGGGAGACGAGGTTTTCGAGCAAGGTGCTTTAATGATGATGTCTGGGGTGATGTTGGGTAAAAGATGTTACGGGGTAAAAGAAGAAGAGGAGAGGAGACGAGGACGGGAGAAGAGAAGAGGAGGGGTGATGGGAGTTGGGGAGATGACGAGACAAGAAGTGATGGATTTGCCACGTCGAGGGTTCCTTCTGTTTTTCTTGAGATGTGCTTCAGGAGCAAGCAAGGTGACTGCTTTGGTATGTGTGAGGGTGAACACTTCCCAGTTGCCATTGCTGCCTGGCAGCCGAGGACATTGCAGCCCGTTTTCTCAGGCATCCAGGCATTCGACGACAGCCACATGACGACATTTCGCTTAGGACGTCCTCATTCGCGGGTACGAGGGTACTCCGAGTGGGCCAGTTAACAGCCAGGCAACGGAAACCTATTTGTGCCTCCCACTTCTTGATTCCGCGTCCACTTGGCAATCTATGCCCAAGTTGCCACTCACATGCAACGCCCAGTTTGGTCTCAAGCACACTTAGTATACCTCGGTAGTTGCCTTCCAATTGTATAGAACTGATCAACTACCGGGGCTGCCGGTAGTAAGGACTTCACCTATGGGTGAGGCCGGCACGCAAGAGTGCCCAGTCAACGTGAAACTATGTTAGACGGTTGCTTTTTGAACCACTCTTGCTCTACTCCGTACTTCCGCAGAGCCGGGCATGTAGTACTGATGGAACGACTCTGTTCTGTTCTGTTCTCGTGATGGTAGTAATGTAAGCTGGGTGAGCCCGAGCCAAACAACAATGACTTTAATACACGGCTCCCGAATTCCACCCTTGTGTCCTGTTCACATCTGTGGTATCCGTGTTTTGATGTCCACCCTATAGCTCCAAGCATGGTCTTTAATGATGTCACCGCCTCGGTCTTAGGACCCTCCAGCTGTGGTTCGTCTACCTACCTCCAGATTGATACAGCTCTTTCCAATGCGACCTACACAACCTCCACCTCCTGTCCCGGTAAGCTTATTACAACGACAATCCCAGTCGGTTCTATCACTAACCATTCATTTACAGGAACGAGACACTTCGAATGTTCCCAGGCAGTGGCGCTCTGTGTGTGCCGCTGATTCGACCCGACCCCCAATCAGACACGGTCTAATGATTCGAGTAAACAGATTCCCGATGCAACGTCCGATTACTTTAGAACCCACCGTAATTACGAGTCTTGCGGCAAGGAGAAATGGCATGTGTGCAGCTACGACTCAGATCCCTCGGGGTGAACGCTTTTTGGTTGTGCCTGTGCGCTGTAGCTGTTCCTGATGGTAGACTACAAGACCATTGACGGCAGTCCCGTTGGAGAACTTTATGTTAATGGGCTGGAACCCCCTTGAATACGAATACCATCTGCGAATTGCATCGAGGCAGTATCTATCAGCTCCCTCCACTCGCCATTGTTTGCTTCGGTAACGGATATGCATCTTGTTGATCAGGAGCCTGAATAGCAAATGTCACACCCCTGTACTGGCATATACCCAGCTATCTGTATAATGAATATATAGACTTGAATCCAGAGTCTAGGATGAAAACATCACTTGGCACATCGGAGCCTTTCTCACATCTTCCGTTTATCTCTAAGCTCCCACTCGTCTTGCCTTGATGCTCGAATTTTCTTATTGGAGTTAAAGCTGGAAAGAGACATCAAACATCCCGAGAAGTCACTACTCTCCGTAGGAAATATGAATTGCTGTCACTTTATTGGGTTCTACATCAGGAGAGGGCCGTTGCGATGCTCTGTCAAGCATAGTCGATCCTTCTTGGGCCTCAAAAGCTGCCGAGACTTGGACACATCCACAGGAGGTGAGATGCAGACACCTGACGACATTTGCGTGGACTTTCCTTCGTTTGCAGGCCAAGCACAGCAGCAGCCAGGGCCTCGGTTTGCCTTACAGCGTCGGAGCCCAGCAGGGGGACCTGCCGCTGCTGGGCCAGTATCGGCCACCAAAGCCCAGGCAGGACCAGCTGGGCGCGGTCGAGCAGCCGCCCAGGTGCAGCGGCGGACCTTTCGACCTCACAAGCCCCTCCCAAACTCCCGTCCTCTACCTACTTCTCTACATCCACGTCTTGAAATTCCTTCGAACAACCCGCACCCTCACGTTTGCCACTGTTGATAAACACCACCTCCTTTTGATTCAAGCATCGTCCAGCTACAGCCTGCACAAGACTTTGTGAGCAAAACCAGTGAACGCGTTTCAGCACAGCACCGGATTCTGACTTGATTTGAGAAAGCCGCCCCCAAAGAAGATAATACTTTTTTGAACCCCCCTACCAATAATATGGCGTCGATCACCAACTCTTTGGTCCCCGCTCAACGCCTCGTGGCGCCCACGCAAATGCCGATTATCCCAGAAACGATGGCCCCTATCATCATCACTGGCGAGCCGGTCACGCAGGCTTATGAAGACACGACCCTTTTGGTAGATTCGACACCATATACTCCGCGCACGGTGGCCCAATGGCCTACTAAGACAATCAACGGGTCGACACCGACCCATGTCGAGATCTCAACTGAATATCAGAGTTTGGATTCGGCTTCCCCAGGAGCGTACGCCACCGATACCAAGCCCCCAATGCCCACCATCTTCCGCTATGAGTTTATCCTCCACAAGGCCGAGACGTCACAGAAGGAAGACTACCCATCTGAGGAAGAGGACAGCATCCAACTCCGCAACAGGCTCGCCGCTACTAAGTGTCGACGCAAGAATCAGCACGAAGCTGATAGTCTCGAGGTTCTTGCACGGGAGCTTGAGCCCAAGAACCGCTACTACCTGATCCAGACCAAGACCGAGAGGCGTGATGACGTGCACTACCTTAAGAACGAGATACTTCACCGCTCCGAGTGTGATTCAGACCTTATCCAGGATTATCTCCTCGACGAAGCTGAATATGAAGCGAAGAGTGGCACCACCAAGACCATTCCCAAGCGCACCGGCACTGGTAAGATGCCGCGAACTCTGAAGATTGCCTAGATTTCCTGGCATCTGGAAGCTGGACCAACTCCAAATACTGTGACATTCATATCAACCGGACATCATTAGAGTGTCCCAGACAGGCTTCAAAGGATTTGACAGGTTTTAGCACCTCTCCGTATTTAATTATTGTGCTTCGTTTTGCACCGCAACAGTTTATTACTGTAAGAAGACACCCCTTTCACCTTGCCTAGCCAGATTGGCTCACGGAATGGTTGGACCGAGTTCTCATGGGACCTATGTATTCTTTTGGAATGAGTTTGCAGGGTGTATCGTGTTCTGTTTGTTTCTGTCGATTCTGTGATTCGTTTTGGAGTGATATCGTTATTGAACCTCACAATAGAAGGTTATGGTAACGTGGGAACGGTGCAGTTGATCGTTAAATAGGTCTTGAGATCAAGTTGAGGCCGGCCGCATGGTATTAGTTAACATCACCTGTTAATCTTACGCCTTTCATCTTAAAAATCCACCACAACGGCCTCCGTGATGTGCCTAGGAAAAAGCATGCCTCTTGCTCCCTTAGGTAGTTTGTCAACTACGTGGCGACCTAACACGCGGCGTCTCCCCTTCTGCTCTTGCTCGAGGACCCATGCCGGTAAATTATCAGATGCTATCTCTTGATGGTGGGAACCCACTGCGTCGAGAAAATGATTTCTTCATCATAAATACCAAGGTGAGATTGATCTAATTAGAACAGGAACTGGCTTGGACTGCTATTGATTATCATCTTCTAGAAAAGCATCTTGCCCCTTCTGCATAGATTTGACCTCGTCCGCGCCTCTCCGGCCGGTATGTTCAAAAGGAGCCAGAGATCTAATGCGAGGACACTTGCCATATGGTGCATTGAATCCTCTCCCGCTTTGTTTTTTTCAGGGGTCAGGACGGCCTGCAAGGAACAATTCCACATTCTTTCGAGCTTCGCCTGATGCCCGCCAAGGGTGACAGAAGGGATGAGACGCCAAAGCAGTGCCTCAAGCGCCCATAACAAGAAAGGCTCTGTGTTTTGTCCGCCACAACTTGGTCCTAAATTGCCTTTAAAAACTCAGCAAAAATCACTATAAAGTAATTCAAAGGTTATAGCAAGAAGTTGTATTTTTTTTCAAGTCTTACTGTATCTCTTTGGCTGTAGTGCATAGCTAGAAAGAAGACGCAATGCGCGCCCTCACAGCAGGAGATCCACAAATTTATGTGGACCCATATGCGGGAGGTACACCAGAAACGAAAAAAAACGAGCGTTCGGGATTAAAAAAAGATGTCCTCTTGGTCTATCAGATGTGCTGCCTTCTCGACAATCACGTCGCATGGCCTTTTCTTTTTCTTTTTCTTTTCTTTTCTTTTTTTTTTTGTTAAAGAAGTCATAGTCGTTATATCTGATCTCGCTGTTATTGCCAAGTAGGTGATGGAATATGTTTCCACCTCGGCTGTGTTGTTCGTAAGTTTGCGTCCAGAGACAGAAGCTTGGGAAAAAGTCCAGCTGGGTTGCTGTCTCCAGCCTCATTGCTAAGCTGTTCTATATTCGGTGTACCTTCCATGACACACAACATGCAACAAGGTGCGTTCCTTGAGAATTACCATGGTTGAAGATCTAATCCTGGAATAGGTACATAGAAATGGGTCTATCAGTTTCCCCTGAGCTATCAACCCGTGCAAGGCTTAACCACCAGACGGTAGCATCTCTAGAGCGTCAACATTTTTGCCCTTGGTAGGCTCAATTAGATAGTCACTTGTAATGATGGCGGCTTCGATCGATTGTTGTTTATGTTGTTATCAAGATCATGATGCGCAGCCTCAAGGCAACTCTTGCGCTCCTTGTACTCCGTAATGACACCGCCTCCCCCCTTCAGCCATAGAGTTTAATAGCCTCGTACCTAAATGGCCCACTCTCACCTCCGAAGTCACAAGGACAGGTGTTTGTATTATCTAATTATGAATCTCAATATTAGCATCCGTTGTAATTAAACAAGACACTGCCTGGCAAGCCTGCCACGAATGAAACCCCTCGCCACGGCATGAAGGACCGGGTCAGAACAGACAGATTCGCGGCGACGATGTAAAGGAACAAATCTACCATATCTGCTCGTTGATATCGACGGACAACCGAAAGTTACTAGAAGAGGAATTACATCAGTCTTGGGAAGTTCGCACATCGTCGCTTTGGTAAGACACGTAACGGATTTCTGCTCTTGTGTTCAGGTCGAGTATGGTCTCTTACCGCATACTATAGACCCTGATTCGTCTTGTCTCCAAAATCGCGCCACGCCTGCTGTGATAATAGAGCCCCGGAGAAAGGGGCGCCGACCTTGTCAACTAGCTAAGTAAAGCCGTTCATGACAAGAACAGACATACTGTTGGCTGAATCTTTCTCAGGCGAAGAAAGGAATTTGGCACTGGTCGAAGTTAATTACCTGAGCCCCTGCGCACGAATTTTTGAGATGATTCACCATCAGCACGTTTTTTGCACGTTGACTTGGTGCAATGGGCTGTGAGTATGGGTCGATGTTTGGAAGAGGATGGATAACACGGCGTACCCGCAAGGCAAGTCGAAACTCCAGTAACCATGCCCTCCTGTCTAGCAAATTGATTAACGAAGTACTCCAATGCCTCTTTAAAGGTCTGCACCTAAAATCAGAACACCAAAGCGTACCTGGCTGTCGGCCGCTACTCGTCTAGGAGAGGGTGAGAAGATGTGAGCAGACCACATCAGTGACGCAAGGAGAGTCTCCAAGACAATACGAGCGGTAAATGAGATTGAGATTCCAACTGTCTGCCATCTAACATGACCGCGGGCCGTGTCGGGGAGGTGTGAGAATTCGGCGTGGTTTAGCAGTCCTCTTCCGATCAAGTTCTCCGGCCACCATTGGAAACCAAGTCGGAGCCCGTAACATGACGCTTGTAGTGGATCGAGTTAAGATTCGATGGCCTGTGACGCTTCCTTGTGGCTAAACCTCTCAGCCAAGCTAGTGGTGATCGTGATGAAGGTTGAACAAGTGACGCCGTTTTGAAGGAAGGGCGTACACGGGACGATGCGGTCGTTTCTCAGCTCCGTTTCGGCGGTTTACACATCAACCGTTAGCATTTCTACCTACGACTCGGGGATCTTTCATAGTGTGATGGGCTTACTCTCAAATTTGCTCACCGGAGGATCCCAAAAGCCAATGGCGTCGCAGGAAGAAGAGGCCTTAGCAGATCTCCACACAGACACACATGTTGTGGGTTAGACGAAAGCGAGACTCGATTGAATGGATAGGCAAATCATATGCAGACTGGAGATTCGCTTTGGTCTGGTCGAAATGAAGGTCTGTCCAGATTGAGAACGGCAGTATGCAAACGACGGTTTGCACCGGCTTGCGACGTGCCACGCCTGTGATGAGATTTAGAGAGCACATCTAAGTTTTATTGGCTGTGCAAGTGTCTTGTATCATCGCAACGTGAAATTTGGAAGCTGCTCGCCGAGAAGGTAGTCGTGCGCACCTTCCCTATCAATTTCGAGACCCCGACATCCACGAACAAACAAAATGCACGAGAAGACTGCATTTGGGATGAAAGAAAGTAGTAAGGCTGTTTTTTATTTCAACGGCCATCTAGAGGGTCCAGAGCCTATCTGATCATTACCAGTGATGGAGCGGGATGGATAGTTGCATATGCAGTATGCAACTATCGTGCTATGTACGTACTGTGGGCGTCCGTCCAGCCCGTCCAGCCTTACCCTCCTCCTCCTCCATCTTTCTGTCGACTCACCTACTCGCAGAAGCCATCCATCGCGGCGTTATCCAGCGGTCAATGTACTCTATCTGAGGCGAGATTCTAAAGCATGGAATCATCAGCAACAGAGCCCCCTCCAGGCCTTGAGCAGGAAGGAGAGGTGAGCAGTCGCAGCCTCTCGTCGTCTTCTTTGCCGAGCCCTTTCGACTCTCCCATCGACCAAAGCTTCAATTCAGAGGCATATGTCAGCCAAACTGCTGCTCAATTGGTGTGGCAGGCGCAGCCAAAGACAGACCTAGACTTGCAGCCATTTTGTCTACCCTTCCACGATGCATATCCTTATCTTGCCAAACTCCCTCGATTCAACAAGGAAATACATGCCTTGCCACCATCTCAGGGCGCGCCCAACGGTTTCCACCACACACCCTCTCATCAGCTACATCTGGGCGGCGTTTACCAGCCAAGCAGTCAATACTTTGTGGAGCAGCCACAGCCCATGGTTCCTGTCCCAAGCCCAGCAATCCCGCCACCAATCAACGTGCCATCCGTGGGTAGCGGTTTAGCCTATCAAACAAACCTGACGCCACGGGGGTGCAATACGTTCCAGAATGCTGAGAGCGATGCATCCAATCCAACTGCAAGAGTCTTGGGTAGTACCGAGCAGTATGTTGGCAATAATCTCCACACCCAGCACCAGACGAGCCCCAAGGCAGGCTCCGCGACCAACTCCACGAATGGTTCGCTCCCTGTTCAACGGGGAGGTCGTGAGTCCAAACAGGACCAAACCCCCGCGGTAGCAAAGAAGTTCCTCTGCACGTTCTGCTGCGACTCGTTCAAATACAAGCGGAGTTGGTCACGGCATGAGCTCTCGCAGCATCTGGATCTTGGCGGATGGAAGTGCACGCCGTTTGGCCCTCTGACAGTATCAACCGTCGATGGCACGCTGGCCTGTTCATACTGCGGCCTCGGCAACCCGACAGTAGCACACCTCAAGGAGCACAAGAGCCACGAATGCAACAAGGCGAGAGTCTTCCCCCGCAAGGAAAACCTCACCTATCACCTCATGCGGACCCACAAGGCTAAGCCTGCCCCCCCGTGGACGAATACGTGGGTTGTGAAGATGCCGAAGATAACATCGCGCTGCGGATTCTGTGGTGTCCGATTGGAGTCGTGGGACGAGCGCGAGGATCATCTGGGTGAGCATTTCTCACAAGGCAAGACGATGCGGGACTGGCGGGGAGATCATTGTTTTGCCCCTTGGATTGCGGCTAAAGTCCGCAAAGCCATACCTCCGTATATGATTGCCGGTTATCGATCGCTGAAGTAGAAACCACTTAAAGTGGGCAAATCGCACCAGCTGGTCATTCTGAGCTTAAACTTGGCCTCATCCTCACCGGTCATATGTTTCAAGGCGAGATAGGAGGTTGCAATTCGGCAGTAAAGGCCCGCTAGGTAATACAATTGGTATAATTAGTGCTAGGTTATTGGGGAAAACAACTTGGCACACCTTGCTTGTTCATGTTCTCTCATGTAAGGATGCATCTTGTCTTGAGCTAATGGCTTGTTGAGATAAAGGGGTAAGCGCTCGGAAAAGAATTGATCTTATGTCTCCCGCAGTACAAAAACCTTCCATAGCTCTGAGGTCCCATGCTCTTGTATGTCGTGTGGGGGAAGTGCAGGGTCACACCCGTAATGCCTACCGTAGATCCGCCCATAGATCTCTATATCCCCCTACCTTGCACTAGATCTCCTAAGGCGTCCTACAATCGACCCACCAGCCATTTGGAACTTTACAACCGACTTCGTAGAGGCTCAACCTCACAAACCGGTGTGGAAAGCCCTGAGCGTTATGTTCGCGAAATCGAGGCCATGATTGAAAATTAAGTACCCGGCTTCCCAAGGTAATATCCAGCCGTTGACGGTGATACTGCTGGCCATCCGCCCTACACTCTGCCTACTTCTCCGTGTCCTACAGACGTGACGTGCTAAAAAAGCAGCTCTCTGTGTTCATCTTGCTAAAATCATTCTGATGGCTGTGTAAAATCTGGGACCCGGGAGTTGAAAAATTGGCGCGAGGTTTCCTAATCTCAGCACTCACATCCCCTGTATCCGCTGAAACGTCAAGTGCCAGGGCCGCTGAGCCAATACCTCTTGGTATCTTGGGCTTTTAGCGGGCTTGGCCTTTGCACATTTCCAGCTCGGAACAGGCCTGAGAGACAGGGAGTCATGGCGTACACTGCATGGTTTCCTCTGGGTGTGATGCATGTTCTGTTCGAGCTAGATGAGGTTTCGATGCTGTAATTCCCGATCATTCTGGCCTCTATATCTGTACAATATATGTAGTGCGCTGACTTCATCATTTTTATTCTAAGACTTTTAGAATTCTTGTTGAGCATCAAGCCTGTGCTGATTGAAGCGGATCGCAGCTATTTATAGGGTAGTTGCAACCAGCCTGAGGTTATCACATGGTTCTATTGGGTTCGACACCTGCAAGACTTGCATTCGGAGTTTGACCGCTTTTATTACTGGCTGCAAAGTGCCAACTTTTCAATGGTGGCGGTGCATTGTAAGAATCTACCAAGCTGAAAACGCCCATGTCAAGTGGTTGACTGAGGCGCCAATCCAGAAAGACCCCGCATCAATCAATCAGCTTGGGCCCAAATCTACCTTGTTCATCTCTTCTTTCTTCTACACACCTCTCGCCACTCGCCAATAATCAGACATAGAGGGGCCATCTTGTGCAGCTGAACGGTCCGAATCCAGAATGTCACTCCAGGGCCTTCCTGTGGAACTCTTGACGGCCATTCTTGACTGTCTAGTCCCTGATGATTGGTACACCTCGGCGGGGAGTCGCGATGCGTGCCTCAGCCTTCGGCATGTTTGCCGTAGGTAACCCAGCAGTTCTCAGTCCCTTGTCCCCGATGCGCCATTGTGATTCTAACAATACCCCTGGGTAACTCACAGGTCTATTCGAAACCATTATCTCACGAACCGCCATCCAAAAATTAGACCCCGGCCGGCTCAGCTATTATGTCAATGCGCCTAGGAACAAGAGCGCAGCAAAATGGCTGCTACTCCATCAGGTCAACATGGATCCGGAAAGCGAACTCCCCGCAGTCCGCCATGTCAGCCAGTGGGCGAAATTCATGAAGGCCCAGAGCGACTGGGACCCCGACAACAGCATCAGCATCGACAAGTGGCTGGAGGACGTATGCGGCGCCGTCACCGACCATCTCGGGGCCAGGTGGGTGTTTGAGAACTTCATCTGCTACAGATCCGGCAAGCCCCTGGCACTGCCGGGCCTGGGCATCAGCATCGCGCGCCATCTGTTGACCCAATCGCGTCCAGCGGGCCCGAACGGCGCAAAGATTGTGCAGTTGACTCACGGTGTTTTGCAAATTGCTGCCTACCAGGGGAACAACACGGCGGTTGCGTCCATACTGGAGGCTGGAGCCGACCCTAATTATATTCACTCTCACTTTGGGCATCCTGTCCACCACGCTCTAACTAATAACCATGTTGAGACGCTTCGACTGCTGGTTAGATACGGTGCTGAAATCCATGCACCTGGTGAATATGCGGCTCTCATTAGACGGGCGGCAGACATGGGACATGTCGAGTGCTTTCGATATATATTGTCCATGATCCGGGACAACGAACTGCAATACCTTAGTCTGTGTCTCACCGCCGCAAGAGCAAAGGGTCATATGGAGGTTGTTCGGGTCCTATCTGAATGGACTACTGACAGGCAACAACAGCGCGAGAAGAATTCTAGCTGGCTCGACCATCTCAAACTGTGGAAAGCTAAACCGCGACCCACATTGGACCTCGAGTTCTTCTGCGGAGAGTACGGTTCACCAGTGGACGTAGCTGTACGAAACAATCATGTGTAAGTTTGATAGGAGGGTCTTCCGAGGCCGTGAAGCATAGCCTGGAGAAGGGAGGGGAAAGTGTATCAATAAGTAAGATGTACAGGGGTGGACTCTGCTGCATGTCGCGGTGAATAACAAGGTATTTAGACATCGCGGGGCGTCTTCTTGGGCATCTTGATAAGATCCCAACATTGTGGACGAGGGGTTGGTTCACAGCGATCCATCTTGCTGTCTTGTGTGAGAGTGTTTCTCTTGTGAGTTGATGTTGCGGCATGCTGCGATCAGTTGCAAAATCAGGCCCAACAAAGACGCACAGATGCCCTTGATACTTGGAAACAAGCCAAATTTGATGTTGTTACCGATTTGTTACGACACTAGTAATAATCGTTGGTGTAGGAAGGTATTTTAGTTGCTATTTTTTATGATGACGTCTTTGTTCAAGAGCTAGTCGTACACTTAGTAGTAGTCATCACGTCCTTGTTTCAAGTGAGACAATATGATTAGAAACGATTCTACTTGATAGCTGTCCTAAATATCCATTCTTTGACAGGGTTGAGGCAAACGGTTTTCTCCTAGTCCAATCTGTAGCGCCGTCGTATCTTGTGAGTCCTCAATCAATATGTAGTTACCAATCTTCCGTTCTGCATGATCTGTAAGTTACGCATTGTGGCCTGTTGCAGGTCCAGCCACCGCTTCCTCCCTTCGTTTACTCCTCTTCCTGGAGACGCATGAGCTTGAGCTTAGCGGCATGAAGCTGGTCTTCGAGCTTTGCCTGTTTGGCCTCGGCAGTTTCATGATTCTTGGTTGCCTTCTCATGGCCGTCTCTCCATGCCTTCAGGAAGGCCTGGCCAGCCTCCGAGTGCTTCCACTCGGTGGTCTCTGCAGACCACCGGTCGTTGAACTCCTCACGGATATTGTCAAGCGTCTCCTCGTGGTGAGACGCGGCTTGGATGGCGACTTCCAATCTCCAGCGAAGCTGGTCGATGTCCTCCTTGAGTTCTTTCTGTTCGATAGAGTTGGCATCAGGTTCATGTGCGGCGTCGGCTTCGCCTTTGAGGCTGGAAAGGGGGTTCCTGTTAGCTACATGCCGCGACGAGATGGGGATTTCTTTTACTAACGCCTGGACCAGTTCGGAAAACATGGTGGAATATGGATGTTCCTTTTCTAAGAGAAAAGATTCCTGGATGGGGTTTCTTTGTTTGCAGGCGGGCGGTCTCTTGATCTTTGAATAACTGGCTTGACTAGAACGAAGTTGGTAGCTTGTCAGTATCCTTTGCTGAAGTTACGCCCGTGGGCTTGATGTATCTGCGTGGCTAAGTTGTTTATCTCAGCCTTCTCTGCAACTTTCAGAGAAGTCTGCGAAACTTGCACAAGTTTTCTTGGAGATGATTATGAAGATGTTTCTTCATGGCATCAACTTGCCTTGCTTTCTTGGGAACTAACTTTCAGTACCAAAAGTTGGTTGTAGGATCCTTGTGCTAGTACTGGATGATGGGAGGTGATGGCGTACCGTAATGACGATGTGTAAGTTGCTCGTGCGAGTCGTGAGAGTAGGCCAAGATTCCAGGTGCAAAGATGAAGAAGTTGAAATCAAGAAGGTCAGCAAGTTCGAAAGATATAAGGGCCCAAAAAGCACCGCGTGGTAACACAGGCGGGGCATAGATTCAAGGGGGGTGTGAAATGTGTTTGCCCGGGTGAGCAGAGGGGTGAGGCATCCCTCCGGAGTCAACAAACAACCTACAAACGGTCACTGGCCTTGGAATTCTGCGAGAAGGTTACTGGCAGAATCCAAGGAAATTACACTTTTTCTGGCCCCCATACAATCTCTACTGTCTGAATTTAACATGAACAATATGTGTGGCCTACCGCCATGCCTGCTGACAGTCGCCCTCTCGAACCGTGGGCTTGCCAGGTCGTCTCCAAGTATGTAGCCTTATGTCCTAAAAGGTGAGATCTCCTTTCTCACTAGGGATATTTCAGCATGTCTATGGGATTTATAGTGGGGTGAATGTGGTCGGTATCGGCGTTCGCGAGAGGTGATGTGGAGTGACACAAACGTCCGCACAGGCCAAGGAGGGTTCGCTTGCGAGTCGTTCGGGGATTTAACCAAGCCTACTCACCTGTCAGTGTTCGTGCCCATGGATTCACAGTGGATAAAGGAGCCACTGGCTAGTACTTTGCCTGCTACGGCACAGTGTTGTTGTGATTATGCTCTGGTTTTTCTGGTCGTGACTTCAGCGGTACATGTAGGGCGCGGAGCGAGGGTACAACTACTCTGCTACACGACACAGGCCCGTAGTTTGCATTAGTCGTGCGAGATCTGAGCGTGAAGCCCTGTAGAAGTGATTTTGGCGTGACAATGGGGAGGTTTAAGATGTTGAGGAAGGAATCGATGGCGACGGCCTGCTGGCGTGTTTATCCCAGTGGAGAATGTGAAGTTAGCAAGACGCGTCTCTGGTCCGTATCCCGCGAAATATACCCCCGTAGGATTTTTAATGATGAAACAACGTCCATGTTTACGAAAAGCCCTTGTTTTGAATAAAGACTGCATACTGACCGCATTCTTGGAGATGTGGCGAAGTGAGGAGATACTTTGGATCACCGCCAAGGCACACCTCCAAGCTCACTGCGCGAAAGTCATCAGGAGATTTTCTAATCTAGGCTCGCATATTCTTCTGCTCGATTCAATCTTATTCTTCATTGAAACATTGATTACGATTACTGGATCCTATACGCTCAGGGATGGCGCGAAGCACGTTCCCGACTTCGGATCGAACACTTCGTGATCTCAGTTGGAAGACGAGATGTGCCAACCAAAAAAACTACTACGCGAGAAGCTCTACATAGATCTATTTCTTTGGAACGTGAGGGATCAGTGAATCCTCATTTACAGATGCAAACTTCATAGCATACTAAGCCTCTCCGCCTTTTAAGGGCCTTTGTTTGGCCTCGGGGATCACGAACCATCTCCCAACCACTACCAATCTTTGGGCATCAGAGTCACTTCATGAGGCATCATTGAAATCATTCTTCTTCATGACCCAGCATAAAGCTGTGAACACAATGAAAAAAGGGGTTTGGAAATCAAAAATTACTCCCCGCTGGGCCCCGAAGGACCAAGCTATAGAGATCATCCCGCGAAGTGCAATGCAGGGGATACTCTACCTAGCCCGCCGATTCTTGAGCTGGCCGGCTAGAGGAAGGGTAAGTGTGAAGAAGAAAAGAAGAAAAGGTTCAAAGACGGGGGAGCGTCGAGGGCCTTTATAGACGATTTTGGTGCCTGAGGCAGACTTACTGATTGCGCACGATCAGTGCCGCGGGATCAGTACATCGAAAAATCGAAATGGCCCGACCAATGACAGCCGTGGGCGATTTTATTTTCCTCAGGCTTCAATTTACGGCTCGCTGCCAGATCAGGTGCAGAGTCTGGCCCATCACGGTTCTCGGATCAGCGAGGGTGAGCCAGCTGCCCCTCGTAGCCCCTCCCGTGTCACTCGCCCCTGCCTACATTAAATTGCCCCCCCCGACTCTTGTTGGTGTTGATACCTTTGGGGGATAAACGGATTGCCCGGTTACCTGTCACTTCGTACGTATCTTAACTCTAGCCGCTTGTAGGAGATTTTGTTTGTTTTAAAACAAACGCCACCGCATCCCGCGAGCTTGTCACACGCGGAGCTGTTGCACTGAGGTGGACCAACTCCTTCATGATGCCAGTATATTTTCACAAAAGCCAAATTGTGACGAAAGCACTGACGATCAATAACCCCATGCCTCGATTTTCACTTGCTCCCGTGAAGTTTACGTGTCGTATTTATTCCAACACGGCATCTTCGTGTGCTTCTCACTGCCCGTGTCATGAAACAGCTCCTGATTTATCATATGCCGACAAGAATTGGGACAACACGGAGATGTTTCACGAAAAAGCTGACGAGGGGCCCCAAGACTCGCAGTACCAGTATACAAAGATTTGTGAAGAGGTCATCTATAAAAAGCAAGGGACCAGCAATAATAAATAGTGTCTGGCGCAAAATTCACGTTTCCCCTTCCTGGCTGTCACCAAAGTTCCTCTTGGAGATGCTGTTATATCGTCGATCGAGCGTTTGTTGAGTCAGACTATTGAACGTGATATTTTACAAATTACACCTGTAGTAGATCATGTGAGTGTTACTCCTTGACGAATGTCCCGTCCGTCTGCATCTTCCCAATAACCGGCTCAAGCAACAAGGGCAGCAACTCCGCAGCGTCCCCCGCAAACGCCAAGTCTCCAGGTTCCATTTTAGCCATCTGCTCCGGGTCCTGGGCGGTAAGGTCGATCGTGACGATACGAGCTCCCTGTGCTCGTGCCCTTCCGATGTAGCCAGCAGCTGGCCAGACAAGGGCGGAGGTGCCGATCACGAGCATCATGTCCTGTGCCATAGGAGTGAGCCAGGAGTCCCAGAAATGACGTGAAATTGAGTAGTCTAAACTTACCAAAGGTTCTTGATCGACAAAGCTGTCTGCCCTACGAACAAGATTAATGTCCAGCTTTTCGCCGAACCAAACAACATCCGGGCGCTGCAGACCGAGTGGGCACTGGGGACATTTCGGCAGATCCTTCTTTTCTATCCTGTCGATTGGGTTCTCTGGGTCCATCAGGGGGAGGATCCCATCGGGGTGATCGGTCGATGCTGGAGCGAGAGCCGGGCATATGGGGTCGTCGAAGTTGTCTTTCTGGACCCAGTCGCAGATCGTGCACTTCAGATTGAACAGTGAGCCATGGAGGGTCAGTAGGCGATCAAGCGGATGGTTGGCCCTGCGTGAGAGGTCTCCGGGTTGGTCAGCTCGGGGCCATTGACAAGAACATACAAAAAAGGGGCTCAGGCTTACCTTCAACATTCTGCGTCATGCAGAGGAATTCAGGTCGCTCTTGGGCGAGGGCAGCTAATGCTCGGTGGGCGCTGTTGGGCTCGGCCTTCAGGGCGGTGTGTCTCCGGTTGGCGTAGAGAAGCCAGACGAAAGACGGATCATCGCGAAAAGCCGTCGTGGTGGACAGCTTGTTGACGTCATATTTCTTCCACAGTCCGCCTGGACCGCGGTAAGTCTCAAGTCCGGAAGGAGCAGAGAGGCCTGCACCACAGAGAGCGACGATGCGCCGACTCGAGAGCAGAGCCTTGTGGAAGGTCTGGATTTTGGCTTGTTTCTCGTCTGACATGATGTGCAATGTGATAGTTGCCTATGTGTGCAAGAACAAGGGTGTTCCAACGCCTGAGATTTCTAAATCATGAGCGAGGGCTAGAGGAATAAACAGGAACGGTTAAGTGAGAGTCATTATTATACCAAATTTTTTGATACCAGCATTCGTTGCCAGGGGCGCGATGGCTGCCTTGGTGCAGGTCGTCAGGCGGCGGAATAATATGATTGGGTGGCAATCCAGGTGGTGCTGACCTGGATATGACGGCCACCACGAACTGCCACTGACTGACAAACCTGAATGGAATTTAAAAAAAAATCGGGATTTTGATGGCCCAAAATAACAAACAAGTAGATCTATATTATTTAATATCTTTACATACAATAATACCGTTCACACACTGGGTAATGACGCCTCGGGCAATTGGGGGTAGGAACAGACTAGCAAGAGTCGGCCAAATCTACCCCTCCTGCATCATCGCTTTCGTTAGTCGATGTCGTCGTATTAAGTCTTGCCTTGAGAGTATTAATTTGGCAGTAGACTGAAAATTAGTATAAGGGTCCGTTCAAATGTAGCTAAGTCGTAGACTTCATGGCGAATCAGACTTATTCAGCCTGTTGGGGCCAGAACGCCCTCCATGTCGTTTATCCTCATCCGAGTCGGGGCGGACTGTAGAAACGCTGATGACAGTCTCGTTCCTGACGTGTATTCCTTCCTCGCCATGTGCGGAACCGCCATGCTTCTGAGACTCGGGGTCCCCTGAAATCGCAGTCGCAGTCGTAACACCGAACCGTCGATAGGCATCTTCATAACCCTCTCTCGATGTGCTCCGGTCCGCTCGCTTTGTCTCCGCCAGCTGATATGTCGATCCTTCGTCATCCGCTTCACTTGCGATAGCAGTCATGTTCTTTGTCGATCTGCCACGTCGAGATTGGGCGTGGGAGTTTCCTCCGTACGTGCCGTACGTGCCGCTGTTGGCGCCAGCTGAGCTGCCGGGGAGCTTGTGTCGGAAAATGAAGTTCAATGCAGGTCGGAAAGTTGGGAGGCATGCTATTACTTGTTAGCAGGGGGAACATTGATATCTAAAAGCAGACAATCATACCAGAGACAGTGGTCAGATTGACCTCGACGCCCGCCCACAATATGATCTCGCTTATATTCCACGTGAAGTCTAACGCCGCACCATCGAAAGACACGGCTTTAACAATAAGGGCAATTGCGGCGATACAGATGCTACAGAGGCACGCACAGTACGGTCAGCTTGTTGTGTTGAACGTTTGCATAGCTTGGATGATGGAGATTCCACTTACAACAGGCCGAACAAGAACATAAAGGTGACCGCGATCTTCTGCATCAGAGGGAGATTGAGCTTCATGATTTGAATGACAGGCAGGGTTAAGATTGCCATGTCAATCAATGCGTGAACAAGGGTCGTGCCGAAGAAGAATTTTGAGGAGTCGATGACACAATATCCCCCCGCATTCGAGTCCCAGAACGCCTGGACAGGAGTGCATTGGAATGTTCCCATGAAGGTCTGCAGTAAGATCAATAAATGTCACAACAAAGGTGCAGGCGCATGTTCATTGGGTTTGGCTGGTGGTGGGACGGGAAACCTACTCTGACGACGATCCATATGACTGAACATCCCAACAGAACCTGGATCGGAATTTTGATATTGCTGATGCCAAACATTCGCCAGTAGAAGGCCAGGATAGAGACCTTGCCAAAGAACAATCCATATGCGTAGAACAACTCGATGATGAACAGAAAAAGTTTGTTGATACGCAAGATGTCCTCGATGCTCCCTGCATCTTTAACATTTTCGATGTGTTGTCCAAGGCCGTTGCGTAACCCTAGAGGAAATTGTCAAAATTGACTAAATGGGTGATCGAAGCTTGATCATTGGGAATGCTTACAGATGGCTAAACATATGAACCAGACAACATCAACAACCTATAAGCATAACAAGTTAGCCACCGCATTCTTTGAACTCATATGGCAGTCCAAACTACCCACGTAGCCAAGAATAGCAAATGCGTCGTCCCACCAGAATTTGGCTCGTGTAAGATATCGACTTCCGAGGCGTAGACCGATGGAGATCGTCGCGAGGGCAAACGTAAAACCAAGTACACCCCAATGCAGGGTGACTTGAGACTCCATGGTTTTGTAGCTTTCCTGGGGCGTTATGGAATATCTGCCTCTGGTCGGTCAAACAGGAAAGCCAGGTCGAGAGGCGCAAAGGTAGCAGAAGGCGGAGTGAGAGGATAATGTTTCATCATGGGGTGGGTGGGGGAATCGTTCCGGTATATGGCATCGTGCTAGTTTGAGAATTGCCTGACAAATTTGATATTTCCTAGTTCATCCATCTGACTCCATGATTGAATCCATTTGGAAGCGAGTGCCTTGGTTGTTAGCGGGATACTAAATTACTGAAGGATCCTGCCTAGCCTCTAGCGATGATGGCGTCTAAACGGTCTTTCTTGTCAAACTGCGAAAGGTTTAGAGGCTCGAGAGACGTTCAGGGGACTGGATTTCGCGTTCAAATTCTCTTCGCTTTTGTGTGACAGGTGCTAACTACCTCCCTGGAGTTTTAGACCATGTAGTCGGTTTCTAGCGGCGCTCTATCCCAGGCACTGCATAAAATCTAGGTCGTTCAAGGTATGGGGGATGGTGGAAGCTCGCTCATTAGAGTTAGTTCACCACGCTTGTGTTGGGTTAGCCCAGGTTGCTTTGCACATCACCCCGTGGGATCAACGCCTTTCTGCGAACTGCCACTAATGCCAGGGGCAATGCCAAGCTTTGTCGGCAAACGGACCGAATGAGTGCCAATCAAAGGGTGAGAGTGGCCTCGAGGTTGACAAAAGTATCTTCCACCAGGTCGAAAAGAGTCAGCAGCGAGAAGCTAACTCAGTAAGTGGCCGTTACGATGTTTCCCGGGCGTGTTCCAAGAATCTTGCAGGAATCGTGGGTGCTCATTGGCTGACCAGACCCACCAAGGTACTGGCCACTGCCGTATTAGGTCAGATATGCGGGTCCAAACGCAGACTTGCATCAACCCAGCGCACGACACCCTAAGGTAAGGTACGTCGCAGCAATCAATCAACCACACACCCTACCTCGCACACCAGCCATCGCAGCGCACCCTACGTCCCTATGTACGTCGCAGCAACGCATCAATCACCCCGACGCAATTGCAACGCACTAGGAATCACATCAATCAACCCATCGTCGCAGCGTATCAATCAACCAACCCAATGCACAAGGCATCGCGCACCGTATTTATATTTTGGCATGTCGGATCTGGCATCTTAACTACTATTTCAACTTTTTACTGTGTACTTCAACTCCCTCGTCCTCCCCAACACAGCGCACATTCCTCTCGACGATCCAGCTTGGTAACCCCTGGCACACTCGACTCATGCTCGATCTGCCTAAAATCGCCTCCGTGAGTCGTGGCGAGTCTTGCTTCATAGGTTGATGAGTACCTGAAGAGGAGATATCAGACAGCAGATTCCAGAATCAGCAATTGCCAAGTATTTCAAGCGATCTCCCCAACAATGAACCCGCAGATTGATCTGCCGGCTTCCATTTTCCGAGTGCCGGGATTTGTGCCGACTCTGACAGCATGACTCGCATTCCATAATCTCGGGAACTCTTGGGATCCCAAGTGGTTTAGTTTGACATTAAACCATGAGTTGACCAAGCCCGCAAGAGCCTAGCACCGGCCCCACGTGTATCTCGCTTGATTCCCTTCAGGCAACGCCCTAACATAAATGTAGATCCTTTTAATTGCCGGGTTAGGATAACCATGCTTCTTTGTCGTCGATCGCTGGTACGCTCGTGGCGTGACGTGGCCGGTCTTCTCCCAATCACAGCGAGATCCGGCCAAGACTAGCTTCTTCGTCCCAAGTCCATGGTTTGCCAAGACAAGCCGTTGCTTCAAGAAATGGAAAATCACGGAGGGTTTAGGGGTCCATGGCCCAGTGACCTAGGTATAGCGTCCAATTGAATGGGGAGAGCGGTCCATCCGATCCCAGCGACGGCCAAACAGACGATGCGAGTCACGCGGCACGCCTCATGAATACTGCGGCTGTTGTGACCACGTTTGCTCAAATGAAAGCTCAAATGTACAATGTGACTTTGTCGAAATGTTGCTCTGACAGTTGTGAAGGTTGATCGAGCTTCGGCCGTGCCTGTAAACCGTTAGCCTCCCTCTAGCACAAAACCTAACCTACCCTGTTATGTAGTTTGTCAAAGAGTCAAGTACACTACCTACGTAGTTAGCTGTTCAAACCTGTTCCATGAAGATTTGCGCATTGATCTTGCTGGTTTGGAATGTCTCGTTATTATTTGTAGTCCTGGGAACTTAGAAATATATTGTGTTTTTAGGACCACTCCCGTCATGAGATATGTTACACCATTTGTCCGCAAACAGTTGCCTTGGTGTCATGCCTTTCGGGTTTGAAAACAAAGTCGGTTCAGTTTCGTCGCCCCACTACCTACTTAGTTGCACCAATAAACATAGGATCCGATGGTTAACTGAAATGTTTTAACCCATCATTGTGTTGTGCGATTAGGTTTGGACATATGATGAAAACGTATATAGCTTCGAAACAGCCAGCACAGACTAGAATAGACATGCATCTACTGATTGCTTGAAATACGCTCGAAAAGAGCATCTATTCTACTCCACATTCTCCGATCGTCGTAGCTCGAGTGTGAATATCCGATCCTTTCATTGACATCTTTAACCCCCCGACTGGAACTAGTGTGCGAGAACAACAAAAATGGGAAGACACCCCTACCTAGTCACACTTTGATAATGGTTTCAAGTGCTCTGAAATCAACTCCACAGGGGCCACCTTATCGTTTCCGACGGGCGAGATATTGCCTGTCCAGGGTTAATAGTGAAAGATTCTTGAGGAGTATCAATCTGTGTGACTTCTAGTAGCTCCTTGAATTCCGTTACGGGAGAAAACTTGCCACACTGTGAGCAGGGTTCCACCCTGCAACTACGATGTGATGCTTTGCGGCATACTTAGTTTCGATCACGCCCGTGCCATAGAAGCCGAGGTCTTTCGCAGTGCTTCCAAAGGGTATACCCGTCAGTCGATTTATCGTCAATTCCACGGATGCGATTCTTAGTCTCCTCTGTTGTTAGATTCCGTCCAACGTCGAATTCTTGCCAGTTTCCACAGCGAATGTCTCTTTCAGGGGAGAGGCGAGCACGGCTCTCGCGGTCAAAGAACCAAAAGCCGAGGTGACTTGTCAGCGGAGTCTTGGATAAGTCTATGATAATTGTTAGTTCAGGCATTTTCATGGAAGCCGCTATTACTTACCAAAGGTCAATTTAGCAATGAGGTCGTTCAACGTTTTCCAAATCGCTTCCGTGGTATTCCGATCATCCTCCAAGCGTTGCTCCAGTATTGTCAGTTGATTCTATAGTGATAACTCCTGAAAGTTCCGTTGAAGATGTGCTTCTAGAGTAGCAGTCGGACTGTTATCGCCTAGTGACGGGCTTCGTACGTTCGGTAAATCCGTGAGCTCAAGATGACTTGGTGTAGTGGGATGTATCCGCGTCGTTAAATATGTACTGGAGATACATTGTTGCCGATAAGCGAGTATAAATCCCGTCTATAACTTTAATGTTTAGCTCGTTCAGGAGATCATCGGTCGTGTTTTGCTTTGCCGTGTCGGATTCTTCCTGACGAGGGGTTTCATCGCTTTTACTACTGTCAGCAAATGAAACTGTTCCTTATGGGCCGGGAAGATAGTACGCTAGTCCAAAGTTTTCAGGGGAAGGCATCTTGGTACACGGCATTATCTTCGATTGACGTACGAAGCCGGTCTTCTTCTGATCGGTCGAAGGAAACACGTCGGGTTGGTTCTTATGTGCTCGGTCAAGGATCTAAGAAATGAGTGTTAGTGCTGTTGTATAGCAACTAGGGTTAAAACTGGCTGACCATTTGCCTCTTATCGTCATAAGCATTGATGTCGTCAGACCCGGGCTCGATAACGCCTCCGTCATACACCTCGCCATCCAAGTGCGAGAATGCCGTGGTGTGATAGTTATCTCCTCATCGGACATAGCCCTCGCGGTATGTCGAGTGATTCAAGATAGCAGATTGTAGACGGTCGGGTTGGACCTTTGAGTCCTTGACATCGGCAAGTGTTCGGACGCCCGGACCGACAGCATTGATGAGAATACCGTAACCCAACCGGTCCAACTTCGTCAGTGGCCCAACAGAGACTCGCTTGAACTGCACGCCCCGCTGCTCGAGCCAGTCCGCATGCAGGGCAGAAAGACGGGCGGTGTGATCACGACGGTCTCATACGTCATGCCGTAATTTGACGCCTCAGGCATTTCGCTCTTAGACAACCACCGGAAGCCTGACACTTTGTTCCGATACTAGACCTACCTACTCAGTAGACCCATTATCCATGATGTCCCTTATTCGAATCTTCCGAACGCTGGACTTCGGATGTCGCTCGGCCAGCTGACCAAGGCCAACCAAACCGTCTAACTGCAACTTTTGCTCATACTCGTTTGTATCATGGGTGCTGAGCCAGAATGCCGCTGCCCAGGGAATTGTACGTTCCTTGCTCAGAGCATCTCCAGAGACGTGCTGACCCACGATCGTGATTTCAGTCTCTAGGCAATTGACTGGCAATCGCCATGCTAGTAGCATTCTCTCGATTAGAAAAAGAAATTCATTCATGCTGTCTGAAACTAGACCCACACGGCTCCTAGGATTGTGATTTTCGTCATGGTTCGTGGATTGGCAGCTACTGAGCCTCGGTAGAATAACACGCAATGTCTGTCAGTTGAGTATGACTTCTCTGATGCTCGAGATGAACTTTCAAAGCCTTCCCAATCTAATAAATAACCGGCACCGAGATCAGGTGGCTGGATCTTAACTCACTCCTGCCCAGTCCTCTTGTCTTCGCTAAATCGACAAACAGGCAAGACAACCACACAACTCCCAACGCGTCGAACTCGGCCACGGATCCGATGCGCAGTTACTCAGCACACAAGGCAAACGAATAGCCTAAAGACATGATCGGGCCGGGGAATTGATGGGCTCGAGTTCCATCTACAAGCTTTCCGTTCTTGCGGCAACGCTCTCGATTCTGCTGGCATGGCAGACTCGTCATTATAGCTAGCTTATTCTCGACTTCTGGCTCCCCCTGTGACGAGTTCTTCTTTGTTTGTTACAGAAGGCTGGATCAAGTGCGAGCCTGAGGGCCAAGAGGTGTCCACGGCTACGAAGGGAAACGTAGCATATTTAGAGCGTGGCAGCAAGGTCAACTTTGAATTCAGCGAGGACTTTCACAACGTCGCCGCTTTCATCTCGCCAGATGGTGAGAAAGTTAGCTTGGTGTAAGGTCTTAGCCATGGAGACTGAATATGATAGCAAGTTGTAAAATCTTCATCTTCATGACCTACTTCCTTGTTCGATGCAGATATCACACAAGGGACTTCGTTCAATAATCTGAGTGTTTATTTTTCTATTTCAAGTGAAGTGGCATTACCACCTCCTCGCTGGTACTTTGGGTACCGACTCCGCTTCTACAAGGAAACTATCTTGATCGGAATAGAACCAACCTGAATGGAGAGATAAAAGGTTTGCCATCATTTGTGCTCTAGGATCGGAGGCATCTCGAGTGATGACACGGACATGGAAGGAGGGGCTATGATGGAGTGAGAATACGATGGAACTTCCAAGCTTTTACTTGTATGTGGCCGGTTGGTTAGCTACTCCTTCAATCTTACGATCAGGGACAGGAGAGGGCCACTCGTAGCTTACCAGTACCGCTAATTACGGCGATCTTCTTTGCGGAGTCGGAAGAAACCCATCGTAAAGGTGCGCTGTACTATGTTATTTTACATCAATCGGAAGCCACACCTTACTGATTGCAACAATCCAGGATAGGGGAACAAAACCAGCCGTTTGTCTGCCTGTCTAAATCATAAATGGCCCGACCGGCGCTGTGCTGAGATTTCCCCCCAAGCTTCCACTACATAACACCCAGCGTGGAGGTCCGGCAGGGTTCCCGTGGCAGAATTACCAAGTTGGTCTGTAAATCGATGAGATTAACTCATAAATTCTAGCTAGTGCAAAACCAAAAATTTGCCAAGCGGCTTTCTCTGGACGGTTGGGATCGACCTGTGTTGATAATATGGGTGGATGCCTTACCCTTTGGGCGTTTTGACGAGCTCCTGAGAGACGCCTATTTTAGTGCCACACAGTGTGAAGCTCCACCGTCTTCCCTTTAACACCACCCTACCCTTGACACCATCCTCCCCTTGACACCATCAAGCGGACACCTTTCAGGCGTGAAAACCCTCAGAAACTTCATCTCATCAAGCCTTGAATCAATCTCGCCGCCTCCTACATTATCATCGCGAGAGCTCATCCAACATCTTGTTGTCGTCAACTGGCACGCTCTTTTGTGAGCCTTCTCTCGCCATGCTTCTCTCTCCTGCCGCCCTCGTCGTGGGCATCTCGCTGTCCGTCATCCTGCTCCTCTACAAGTTCATCATCTACCCCGCCTTTCTATCTCCGTTTAGCAATCTCCCGGCGCCTCATTGGTCATGCCACATCGCTCCCTTTTGGCTCTGGTGGGCCAAGTACTTCCACCATGAAAATCGCCTTCTTCACCTGAATCACCTGTCCAAAGGCGTGGTCCTGCGTTTGTCTCCGGGAATTCTAAGCGTCAGCGTGCTTGAGGGGACACCGAAGCCTTTGATTTCGGGCGGTTTCCTCAACACTGAGCTCTACTCTCCAGGTTTTCCCAACACTGAGCTCTACTCTCCAGGTTTTCCCAACACTGAGCTCTACCCTCCACCTGTTCCCCTCAACGAGTATGTGTGATTCCCCATCCCTTCCACCGATAGCCCGCTCACATCATGGATCCTGCAGGGACGACGATATCTTCACCTTCGAGGATAACGCAGACCACCTCTCACGCAACCGCATCATCTACAACACCTTCTCCAACTCGGTCGTCCTCAGTTCCCCTACCGCCCAGGACTCGCTCAACGATGTGAAGCCAAGTAACATCGAGGAGGGCTATGCCAACCGCCTCGCGAGCCCAAGCGACATGTTTGAGCACAATTCGGCCGCGCATGAGACCAGCGGGAACACCTTTGCGTATGCCTACGGCGATCCCTCTCGCCAACCCAAGGTCCAGAAGAAGCTCAGAGAGGAAGCTCGCACGCTCGAACCCCTTTTGAAGCCCCCCCAGACGACTGTCGAGCTTACCTTTCTGGCCGCCAAGGACGTGAAGCCATGTACCTACCCGAGGCCGCCATCATTGAGACCCATGGTCTATACCGATCTGTCCCCGGCGTTCACTCCCGACTTGTCCCACCTAGACAGTGAAGACTAGGAGGTCACGACAACATCCCCGCCGGCACGATTGTTCAGCGCTACGCCTACGTTCTTCACCGAACCACTGGGATCTTTCTGAACCAGAGAGATGGAATCCCGACCGGTGGATCAATGCAAGAAAGGAGTAGCTGGGCGAGATGTGCCGCTACTTCTGGGCCTTTGGCAGCGGCGGATGTACGTGTATAGGGGAGCAAGTTCGCATGGTTTTGTAAGTTTGCATCAAAGCTTCTCACGCTTTTATGGCCGATGACTGACTTATCCTCGCAGCGATGAAGCATAATGTCAGAAGTGTTTACAGCAATTGCACCCCGACGATACACGATCATGGAGGAAATATGACTTTGATTGATGCTTATCTGGCCGGCCCCAAGGGACATAGGCTTCAGATCAAGTTTGAGAAGAGTTCAAGAGTAGATCATGATGTTAAAGTGTGTAAGGGGCGAGCTAGAGCATAATCCGTGAGAAAGTAGGCAGAGTAATTCGCCACAATGAATTAAAAAACCATGCACGATTCCAAACTGATTTGCAAAACAAAGTTGCCACCATGACCCCGAGAAAAAGCCATGTAATCCGCAAATTTACCCACGCTCAACTCTCTTGTAATTCCATAGACCAACAATCGACTTAATTAAGGAAGAAGAGTATATTTTAAGACCATAGCTAGGGAACTTTTCTTCAGCTGTGTAGCGATATCATATAGGGATAGTCGAGAATCTTGACCTACCCTATACCTCCAAATTTCAACATTTTGCACGAACACTCGTTTTTTTGTTCGGTGTACCTCCCGCATGAGTATCCACAGAATTCTGTGGAGACTATCTCTCCCATCATTCTACTTACCCATGAAGCTGCTCAAGGCCAGTAATTTGCAAGAAAAATAGGTCAAGTCATAGAGAACATAGATGCCATATCCCATCCTTGGATGCACGCAATTCCGACGTCATGCGGTGTTGTGGTCGTAGATGCGGTGAATTTGCACGCTTCTCGCCGCTCGAATTGCGCCGCTCAGCATCTGCGCTCACTACGAGCGGGCAACAAATTTCTGTGGGTCTCATGCGGGAGGTACACCAGAAACCAAAAAAACGAGCGTTCGTGTTCAAAGAATAATGAATATATGAAGCCTTGGAAGCTGCGAATCCCATATTGGATTCAGTTGCAATTAACCGAATTGATCCGGCCCAAGGACGTCAAACATCCCACCTTGTGCACCAAGTCGACATCCGACATTATTGGAATTGGGTTTTCCAACTTGGAGCCGTTCCGCTTGTTCAAATATCGGAACGACACAGCCCAATCCTCCCATGTAGCCAGCCCTTGAGTGAAAGAAAGGTACTTATATGTGACGCATGTCTTTACTCTGGCGGGCGGTATTTGATTGATGATGGGGATGGCTGTAAGCCCAAGGTTCGGTACGTCTTATCACCGCCGTAGTATATACATGTTCTTAAAATTGACTGTGCCTATTACAAGTTTGGTGACAGTTGACATAGGTATGTAGTACACATCTGCAACTGAGTTCTTCTGCTATTGCCCGAATCTGAAAACAAAGAAGACCCTTAGCATACATCAAAAGGCTATAATAACATCTTTACTATCTAGGACGAGCTTTGTTGGCTATCGTCATCGATGTAGAGGATATGATTGAGGGCCCAGTCTTGATCATTGGCATACGGATCACGATAATGTGTTTCCCTGCCGTTAACGGTGAGGGGATAGATCCAAGCGCACCCGGCAGTGCCATCTGGGGAGAACAGAGCGAGATTGTTGCGCAGAATCTCTTGCGCATGGCCCAAATGTTGATCGTCGCCGGTGATCCGACCGTAATGATGCAGAGCCACGGCGTCGAGCGTGCTCCAATGATGAGGAAACGTATCTCCCCAGTGGCGGTCCTTGCCAAACCAGTAGCCGTCCCAATGTCGGATGCCGACTTGATGCAAGAGATGGTCTGGTTGACGTCCTTGGAACCGGAGCAAAGTGGCTAACTGCAGCTCACCAGCCTCAAGCCATGTCCCATTGCCCGTCACACGATTCAGCTCGAGCATGAATATCGCGGCAGGCGCAACAATAGACTGTTCAAAGTTGACCTCAAAACGCGGGTAGTCGAGCCCGCGCCCTAGAATTACCTCGCCATGGCGGACAAACAGCTCCCGCACACGGTCGTAACGAGCAGTGTCGTTCCTCCGTTCGAAGAAGCGGAGCGACTCTAGGATGGGAAGCCCAATAGCATACAAGTCTCTGCCGCCTTCCCGGTAGAAACTCTCCAGAGTCAACATGAACCACTCGACAGGCGTCTTGCCGGCCGATGTAATTTTGAAAGGCAGCCGGGCAGCGACGATGTGAAACTGGAGCACCCACGGCCAGTTGTAGAGGCGCTTGCGGCTGGTTCCTGAACCTACCGGGCGGTCGTACACGTCGCCATTCTCGGACTGCAGTTTGAGGGTGACAAACTCATAGTACCTCTCAAACGATGACCGGACTTCGGTGTTGTTGAGGTGTAAGAGCAGAAAGCGTGCAATCGTGATGCCCATCCCCAGACGCTCCCGTCCCGTGGTCCTGTCCGTTCCCTTGTCCCAGAAGGCAATGGATTGAGCCTGGTTGTCGTATACGGCATACGCGCCCGTGTTGGGATTGTCTGCGCCATCGCTGACCTGCTGCTTCTGGACGATGAAATTGACTCGAGAGCGTATAAGCTCATCCACGGGGGGGATCACGTTTACGTATGCGGTTGAGTTGGCTTTTGTCCCATTCACAAGCTGAGTCGTGACTTGCAAAGATTGACGTCCGAGAGCTTTGGCTGCGTAACTGTATGTACACTCGTCTGCTGAATCGCACGAGATAGGATTACCGTTGATGAGCGATGCCGAGTTCACACCGCCCGTCATGTGAATTTCTGCCTCTTCTCCTACTACCAGCGTATGTCGAGCAATGTCAAATCGAATAAATTGTTTTGAACGTTGCTGACTCTGTTTGAAAAAGTCATCCCAGTCGCTATGCCAAAAGAGCGCCCACTCAACGCTTGAAGACTCGCCAGGTTGGAGGACCGGGAGAGCTGGGTGCAGCTGAAACACGCCGCGGGTGTTGGACAGGGTGATGATATCACGAGACTCGATGCTGTATCCGACGAGAGACCCCTCCGTAAGGACGAGGCCCAAGTTGCGACCGTGCCCGCCCATTTGCTCCAACTTCACCCAAGCATTCGAACCTCCATTCGCCCAGACGTGGGCGAAACTCCGATGGTTCAGCGAGTCGGACGTGTTTGTGTAGTGGTCATTGAATGGGGTGTAAATGGCAAGGGCGGCTTTGCTGCGAGCAGCGAGGTCGAGAGTCTCATCACCGTTGTTCTGAAAAGTGTAGCGCTCTATGAAAGTCGACGTAGTTGAGTCCAGTGTTCGCCGAACCGTAATATCCAAGGGCCCAGCGTTGTAGATGGCCTCGTATGAACCATCCCGGCCCGTCTTGACATTGGGCTTTGTCCAGTAAAATCTATGCAGATATGCGGCTCCCAGGTCGGCAAAGCCCAAGCCCCAGCGGCTTCCAAGCGGCTGCCAGGGTGCATTGCTGAGCGAGCTGACCCAATCTATAGATGAATTGCCCTGAGCATCTCGTAGACTGGTCACCGCGCCAGTGGTGTCGTCAATGTCGATTGTGAACTGTGTGTCCTGCAAAGAATATCCTTTGACAAGTAGGAGACCTGTAAGATTCAAAAGTCTCGAAGCCTTCATCGTTATGGTTCGGAATGTTGTCTTGCTGAGTCTTGCCCACTGGGCGATATTCTATCCATCTTCAAGTTGGACGGTTCAGGGAGCTTTTAGGCTTCCTCATCCTTCTAACAAATTTTCAGGATCACATCCGATGTAGTTTCACTCCTGTTGCAAATTGCTTAGATCGACCGAGGCCGTGCTCGCTGCTCCGAGTGAATTCTGCCGACAGACGACACCCAATGAGGATGAGGTACGACTCGGTGCAAAGTAGAGCGAGATGGGAGAGTACTTAGGTAGTATTCATCTATGAGAACGGATAATCTTGATGGTCCAACCCTAGCTGTCCACTTTTCTACAATGACAGATTGTTGAGAGGGCACCCAGCAGTTGGCCTCATCCAGTAACCCGTTATGTTGATGGCGATTGATTGAGTCACACGTGTCTACAAAACCACAGCAGTCATGGAGGTGCTCTCGCCCAGCTAGAGGTATTTGGTACTCGGATTCTCATGTGATTCCAGCTGCTTGCATGAGCGTGGCGGCCGCTGTAGGACTGGTGTAGAACGGAGATTAGGGAGCAGCTTCCTAGTTCGTCGTTCTAGTCTGCAGTCAGCCCATCGGACGGAGTGTAGAGTGCAGAGGTGTAAGGCATGTGGGGGAACAGGGGCTCAGCTCCAGAGTAAGCCGCATGGGGTGCAAGAATGTAGAGACGGCCGCCTCATTGAGGCCGTGATTGTGCAAGGTGACGTTGGCCTTATGCAGATGATCAACAGTGGTTTGAGTGACAAGACAGGTTCCGACGGCAGGGTGATCGCGCTTGGCAAGGCTGTTGGACAGAACCCTATATCGAGGCGTAGGTTGAAGGCTCGGCTCGCTGTTCGCCACAGCAGTACTTTGTAGTGGACCTGAAACTAGACATCCAACCTAAGTGACGACTCTGATTCTTCGGAGGCATATCAACGTTCCATGACGGGATGTTTGGTAAGGTCTTGGGCGGAAAAAAGAGACTGGGGCAGCGGCGGCTGCTTTCGTGGCATCGCGACCAGACGAGGTCTCGGTCGGTCAACGGCGTGGGGGAATGGCTTCTTCTTTGAATCTCGGGTCCCAAGGGGGTTTGTATGGTCCGTCGCCAATGTCACTTCTTGACTAGCATGATGCAATTAATTTAACCAGAACTACCGTGGTGATGACGGCATGCATCTGCGTGTCAGTTGCCCTCGCTCTTATTGATGTGAACACTCCACTCCCCTCCCGTTGAATGCTTGGCGGATCGGCCGACGCCCTGCTACGGCGTGTATACATGTGTGTAAGATTACATGGATCGGTGTTCGCGGTTCGATTCGCTCTTCGCTCTTCGCTCTTGTTTGTTGGTCGAATTCGCTGTGCCGTGAGCTTGTGGTTGATGCAAGAGGGTGGGTTTGACCTGCGGACTCGCGGAGAGCCGATGGCTTGCGTGACTTTAGAAGGGTAGGCGCTAAGCTACAGCACCAAGTCGCTGCTAAGGCGCATAATACAGCGGGTGCCTCCACTAATTCTAGCGGCCAAAGTCCCTAAAGTCAGCCACATAACCCGCTGGGGCCCCTAGCGCTCCGTTTCTGCCGCCCAGCCTGGTGGTGGCTTAGGCCCTCACTTCCAGCCCCAACTGAAACTCAAGCCTGATGTGCCTTCGGATGGGCTTGTCTGCCCCTGCGCTGAGCTGAAGCCACGCAGGAACTTTGGTTCTGTTGCAGTGTCTCGAGGGCTATCTCGCCCATTCCGGATAATGTCCTGCCAACCACCTGTAGTTTGCTGGGTTACCAAAGTTCTCTTCCCGTATCCACCTATCCCCGGGGCCCGAAGTCCCTTTGGTTCATCCTACGATATCACAGCCAGGACTCTCATGGGCTGCGTTGGTTGTACTAGTTTATGCTGACTTTTCAGAGCTTCACAAATAGTTGGTTGCAAAGAAAAACGAACGCTAATTTCCGATTGCCCCATACATAAGTTGATTTCTGTGTCTAGATATTTTCGTTGTCTCCATACCACTGCACACCCCCTCCTCCGTGTGTGAGAATATCGCCACCACCACCCGTGCGCGACCCCTGCAGCCCATCAAATCAGGGCCATGGCAACCTGCCTGTCAGCATCATCGCGTGATGTACTAAGGTCGATGCCAGAAGCTCATGATCGCGAGGGAAGCTCTGCCTGTAGCTGTCCACCTCGATGACCATGTTCAGGAGGTACTCTCTCTCAAACCCTTCGGCCCCTTCAAACGCCAGTGTGAGCGGTGTAAGTGACCATGTCGCAATCAAGGGATCCAGCCCATACACGAATGGGATAAACTTCCACGTCTCGAGGCACAATGCCCGATACTCCGCCCCATATACCTGCGCCTGAGCTAGGTTTCTGAGGACTGTCAGTTCATAGAGCATCCGGAGCAGAGCTAGCCGTAGCCAGAGTAGCTCCAAGAGGGACTGCCCGAAGAAGACGGCTGTTAAATGATAACTACGGCCTGAAATAGCCGCCGAGTCTGGTAGTTCTCGAATCTCCCCTAGTTCAAAGGCCTTGGACATGACGTCCTCGAATATGAAGCGGGCCTCGACCTCGGATTCGTTCAGTTCATCGATGAATGCCATGGTAAATAGTTGAAGCTCTTGGCTGGGAATGGGATCGGTAAAGATAGTTTGCGCGCCCCTGATATACCGAGGCCACCGCGCGTACAGTGTGCTTGTGAAACTCACTGCCGCCATGGCGGATTGCTTGATTTTTGGTTCCAGAAACTCGGCTGCTGTATCCTCGATTGCTTCTCTCCACGGCGAGTCAACTAAGAAATTGTGTCCGTCTTTCGCAAACCAATATGTAATCTATGTTATTTGTTAGCTATCCTCAGGTGATCCTGTTTGGAATTTGTTCTTCTTCGTCTTCTAACGTACCAAGCCTGCCATATTATCGAATATAAGACCAGAATATAGTTTGTCCTCCCGGTTCGGCGGGCCTTGGCGTTGAATCAACCCCAGGATCCCTTCAGTGTGGGATATCTGGAACGGTTTTCTCTCGCGATCAAAAAGAGCTTCTGATCGTTCAATGAGCGTAATGGCTGCCAGTGTCTCCATGCTGCATGTTTTGTCTCCATCTAGGCACCGGCGCAAGCTTCGTAATGCCTTTCCATATGCCTCCATGGACATGAAGTCTCCCACTGGCTGTCGCCGGCGATATCCCGCCCAAGCGGTGCAGAACAGTGACACTGTGTCGCGAAGACTTGGGCTCCGTGACAACAAAGGAGGGAGATACTTGAGGTACCCCATCTGAAACACCTTGACCAACTCTGGGCATGACTCCAACTGGGCGACTAACCGGCTTGCAACGCGGTCTGCAACAGTTGTCGGTTTGGTTCGAGGAACAGAAGGGGAGGACGGAGGCATGGCGGTGTAACCCCTGCGCTCAGAGGACATGGACCCTTCTTCTTTCCCGGGAGGGCTCCCGCCACTGGATGAGTTGCTGTTAGTTGGAGAGGGCATGCGAGACGAAGCCTCACGGCGACTCTGTGGACCACCGTCAACGAACTTTATCAGGGATGAAGCTCCCGGACACTCAAAATTCTTGAGCTCGCAAGGTGTACAGGTGGGCCATTTCTGATCACACTATGCCAATCAGTACAAAGTGAATTAGGAGGGAACGAGCGAGGTTTTATACCTTTATTTTTCTGGTTTTGCACCGCTGGCATGCTCTGGATGTGGGAACGCCAGGCATCTTAAGTTGAAGTCTTTGGCAGTCTTGTGTCTGTCCTCTCATCAAAGTCCTATGGTCCTATACAGAAATGACCGTCTGGACAGGTGTTTGTATTAAGAAGTACCAACGGAGTAATGATTGGTCGCCAATCATATATCACTAGTTAAATTTCGGATCAATATCACTTCACAGAAACTTGGTACCTGGCCCTCTTCGCTCCCCGGTCCATGCTCGATGGTAGGGTGGGAAGTGACGGGCTAGCAGGGATCAGGCTGCCCGCCTTTTTATAACTCGAAGTAGGGCTGGAATGCATAGTACCAAAGATCCTTACCAGGTACAGGTTTGCTCGTCAAGCAAGGTCCTCGTTGATGGTATGGGGCTCGAAAGGTTCCGTCTGTACCTGCCCACGTAGGCCTTACCATCGTTCTAGCAGCCTCCAATCCAAAGTCCAGACACATGTGGTTCATATAGCTATAAGCCATTCGGCCGGGAGCCAGCTCGGAACCCCGATCCCTGTCCCCCAATCGCTCCATCCCTGGTCTCAGTGGGGATGCCCTCCTCATGGTACCTATTTAAGTATAATTATGGGCACAGTAATCTGCCCAACGGTAGCCTGTCAGCCACCTAGTCCGTCTCAGAAACCGAAGTTCTAATTCATGGTGAGCAGGAAAGAACGAGCGGAGGCGCGCCGTGCGTGTAGAGGACAGCTCACGGGAAGTGTACACCTAGCTCGACCCCTTTACCCCTACGATCGTCGAGAATTTTAGACGCGCGCCAATTTATTACAAATCAACATCAGCCACAGGGGCTTTGAATGGCAATGTGTCTCCTCAATGCCCTGAGTCTGGCTGTTGATGCCCATGTCTGTGTGTATTCGGTCGCCCAAGCGGCCGTATTCTTGGTACTTTTGATTTACTAACAACGAGAACAAGACTTTGTAAGATCTAACCTTGATAAGTAACCTCCGTACTATCTTCTGGGCTGATCAACTGCGTGGCAGTAAGCCATCCAATGTTGAATCAGTTTTACAGTAGCATCGAGAGCTTATGTCTCCGCCGTCAGTCCGTCTAATTGTTTACGTATTCCACGACCCTTGAATCTATGAAAGAATCGCGCGGCCGCCTCTTGGATGGGATGGGAAGTGATCCCACCAACCTACGAGCTTTCAGCTCGCCTCTAGCCGTTAAAGCCGTACTACTGGATCCCCCTACGTTTAAAGTCTCAGGACTGGATCTTACCAACGCCACCAAACACAATGAAACTGATGCTAAATTTATCTATGCTTTGCTCAGCGCCACATGTGGCTCAAACTAGATCGATCGGAGAGGAAGCGGCCGCAACTAGGAGCACCAATTTGGATACACTAACACTACACCCCTCCCCCTTTACATGAGGTAACTTCCCCAGTCTGAGTGATGAAGTGCCCGGGAACATAGCTCGATTGTCCTCCGCGTACAAATGATTAAGTGCAATCTTCCTCCCATGACCAGCCGGGACTTGGTCCTTGTACCGCTTTATCAAACATACCGACATAGAGGCGGCGCTTCCCTACTCCCCGCCTCCAAGGATTTCAACCTCTGGGTTTATCGCAGCTGATACCTGCCCCAAAATCTGCGCGTGGCCGAGCACATTCCTCGAGCCCGCATGTGAGGCCTGCGCATTTTTGGATTGAGCTGGAAAACAACCATCTAGGGGTGACTAAAGATTCGCCTTGCGAAGATCAAATCAGTTCTTTTTTTTAAAAAAAAAAAAAATTTAAAAATTTAACAAGAGATTGGTGAAACCAATGCTGACTTTACATGATAATATAAGCTGGTATTGATTGGCATGTTGATATCTGAAGACGTCAGTAAGCAACTTCTTGAGACTGGAGGTATGGAGTCTTGCGTTGATACCGCCGGGACAAACGGCCTCGCTCCGCTTATATAGATGGATCACACCGTTTTCCTATGTATGATTCTGGTTGTTTCTTCGGTCGATGCGCCTTGCCCAGCTAGAATTCACAGCCTGAAAGGGGACCTCTGTAATCGAATACACAACCTAATCTGATGATGGAAAACAGTGCTTAACCAGATAAGCAAGCCCAAAAGTTGATCTAGACAGGAGTGCCAAGATTTAAGGATGTGTACTCTGCTTCAGATCTCAAGCCCATCGACTTACGGTCGCGCCAGTATCTCAGTCAAGGCTATATCTTGAGAATGGCTAGCTGACCACCACTAGACCCATCAATCTACTGTCTAAAGTCTTATTCCAGGCTAGATATAAGAATCTACTACGAAGAAGTATACTAAAGTATCTCTATTCACACCATCGGAAATAGCAGGCCCGCTTCTGAAGGGATCAAGGCTCTAACGCCCGATAGCAGGAGGTTCGTACCATTCAACTTGCTAGCTAACCAATTAACTATCCTCTTAAACGCACTAGAGTCGAGACTCGCGAGTTGTTTGACCGCGATACGCATTATCAACGCTACCTTCTTTAGGTTCAGTAGTCGTCTTTGTTTTGCAGCGAAGAAGAAGCGATTCGACCTACATATCTGATTATGTTATCAGCAGCGGCTGGGAGCGAAAGTCGTGTGCCTAAACACCCAGCTTCAGGACTGGAGCGTCGACTATTCGTTCCCATGCCCACACTGATTGTCTCATGTCAAGGTAGGAAGGCGATATTTCTTTCGTGTCGTGTGTAATTAATACTAGAATAAATCTACGCCCCTCTGAGCTAAGAAGACCTACATTCGCCAATATGATAGCAGCGGCATATATAACCATGAGCCAGACCTTTCTCCACGTATGGTGTAGGTTTATTCGATAGCTGCCTAGGTATAGGTAGTATGGTGTTGGAGTGACGCCGCTTCTCTGTCAAATCAATTCAACCATCGTGATACTCCTGCTACACCAATTGTGATATGATGGAGTTTGGAGGGCAACTTTGGATCGTTGGAAATCCCTTGTCTAGGAACACGCAGACCGCCGCCCTGCTCACCGTACTTTACCTCTATCCTATACGTGGAATGGTCCTTAATGACGAACCGATCCTAGTCATTAAATGTGAGACGAAAATGATTATGACTGGTCAATTCAATTTTAGGCAGGATAACGTCACAATACAAGCTACCTGCCTGAAAGTAATTCCCTCATACGAATTAAGGACAGACCATGCACAAGCTCATTAGCAGCTCCAGAGCATACTCTAGCTAGGCAGCGAGATACTGGTTCCTCTCCATCCGACACCAGCAGGGCTTTGATCGAAGGATACCTACCGAACACATAAACCTAGGTCGGATCAAATAGGGCGGCCTGCCTAATCAGAAACAACTCGAGTTTGATAGCTCTTTGCTTGTCGTATTGCTGCATCTACCCACCAACTGTAATGTAACGTGTGCCATTCCCAATGGCTGAGACTGGTCTCCACTCCCTTCAGCACAGGCAGAAGGAGTTATGCATGTCTCAGTCTTCAGCTGGCTGAGATAATGGGCCGCATCAACCAACACACCGAAGCTGCATGTTGGTTGGGTCTGGCTGCTCTTCAGCTCGTCATCAAACATGCAATCCCCGCACCTCGCAAGGCTTTCCATCTTTTATCTCTCTCAACGACCATCCCACCACCGAAAAGCCGATAATTTCTACCCTACCATTGCTAGCCAGCTGTGCCTGATAGTCCTGGCTTTGTGCCCAACCAAGGCCCGTGTCACATTCACTTTTTCTATTTGAGCGACCTCCCCCGCGATCCCGTTGCAGCCTCTTCTTCATTCTCCAATCCATTTGCCCGGTCGCAGTACTCGAATACATCTATCTATCCAACCCAGAGCACTACTTCTTCCTGTCTCATTGCCATCATGACCAAAACAACAGGTGCCAATATCTTCGAGGCTGAGTTTCTCTTCCTCACGGTCATGGATGCATTGTCTGCCGATGCAGTCTACGAAGATACCTTCAAGAAAAACCAGCTCGACCTGATGAGAATCCGTTTCATGCGATGCAGCCGTCTTCTTGGGCTTGCCCGTCAAGAAGTGCCATACGTCCAGGGCTCGCTGAGCGGTCTTGACCTGGTCGCGGTCTCTCAACGAATGTCCGAATTGAAGACGGCCCTGGATCAGAGCGGCACCTTTGTGCCTGCGGGCAGCAAGGCAGCCCAGGCCGACCCCGACTCCGACCCCGACTCGCTCAGAGGCTGGCTGGTCAACTTCCAGCGCAGCTATCGACAGAAGTTCAACGCGGAGCATTCGAATCCGGTATTGAAGTGGGTGCCAAAAGACCTTGACAGCATTCAGACAATGTGCAACAGTTTCAACGATGCGATCGTTGCTCTTGAAAAGCTCGTTGGAGATGACGTTGTGTCTCTCACCAGGGAGGACGCCATTGAGCTCGCGAGAGCACCGTCCCAGGCTAGCCTGATGGAGGCTGCGAAGGACACAGATTTCATGCTATTCGAGTTTTTGCAGGAGGAGCAGATGAAGCAGCAGCAGAAGCAGGCGGTCGATAACCACGAGGGGCAGCATGACCCGGAGCAGCACCAGGAACAGCTAAAGCGAGAGGAGGAGATACTGCAGAGAAAGCTGGCCGGAATACGGTCCGAGCAGTCCAACAAGAATCAAGACCATTCTTTGGCCCGGTCCGAGCTGCAGAGAAATATGGGTGCGAACAATCGAGATTATCATCGGTTGGTGGCCGGGCTACAGAGAGACCAAGCTGCGTGCGATGCAGACTACCGTCGGCAGCAGGCCAGGCTACAAAGAGACCAAGTCACGAGAGATGGGGCCCATCGTCAACAGGAGGAGAGACTACAGAGGGAGCAGGCACGAAGAGATCAGGATCATATTCTACAGATGACCGCGCTGCAGGATGCGTATAAACAACAAGAGGCCAACCTGCAGAGCAAGCTTGTCCAACGAAAGTCAGAACTAGAGAAAGAGCCTAGCCAGCGAAAATCTGAGCTGTACAGCATGATGCTCGATGCAGATCAGCTCTATAGTGAGAAGAGCATGAAGCTGCGAGCTCAGTATCATCAGGAAACGCAGGGACTTCGGGAACAGCATGACTTGCGGACACAGGAGTATTTCAGGGAGCTACTCGAGTTGCAGAACCAGCACACCCAGCGGGAGGACGAGGATCCGAAGAGGCAGTATATCTTGCGGCAGCAGGAACATTGTCGGCAGCTAGCCGATTGGCAGAAGAAGCTTGCTCTGCAGCAGTACGAGCTGGAGCAAGAGGAGACCAGAATAGACCTAGATCGTTCCCAATGGCATACCGCCAAGCAGCGGGAGCAGGAGGAGCTGGAGGATCAACTGCGGCAAATTCACGAGCAAATGCCGCCAGAGACGAGGCGAGAGATGGAGAATCGAGCCAGTGCCTTCAGCAAACCAAACTCCACCCGCATCTACACCTCGATCGCAGATATGAAGGCCAGAAAGGCTGCCGCGGCTGCCAGACCCAGCAGGGCCAGTACGGCCCATACACCAGGTACACCGAGCACAACCAGTTCATCCACCGTCCCTGGGAGCCCTCCCAGAGCATCTGACGCACCCAGCGCACCAAGCGCACCCGAGGGGCCAAGGGGGCCTAGCACACCTACATCTGGCTCGGCCGGTAAGTCTCGCACCTTTCTCTCTGGCAAGGTAATAGCTGGTAACATCACTGCAGCCAACGACCCGATCGTCCTAGACGGTCATCATCAATTCCGGACTGTGATCCGCAATGTTGTCGTCGACGATTCAAAGATCGTATTCATACCAAAGCCTGGCGCTTGAAGGTGAGAAGGGGATCCGTAATCGAAGCCGGCACCAAGATCTTCCCCTGCTCTCCGACACGTCTTTGAGATGTCATGCTGGGTCTGGAGACTCTCTTTTCTGCTAGGTCATGATCCAGTTTTTTTCTTCTCATTTCTCTATCTCTGTCATTATTTCATTGATTGATTGCTATTGTTTTGCACCGGTTATAGCAACTCCTACCTCCTTTACCACAGGCGAGGTGTCGAGTTAGGGTTAGGATTTTAGGGTATTTCGATTAAAATTAATGAACTTTCTTCTTTTTGTTAGCTCACTTCCTGGGAGAGTATTCTCTACTCGCCCAGTAAGAACCTCTTTGTAGACACAAGTCCTCGGACGGTCATTGAAGTGTAGCATACCACCTCATCGTGAATACCAATTCAGTTAGTCAGTGAGATGGGAGATTTCAGAATTTGCTAGAGAAAGGGACACATCTACAGATTAAAACTACCTTGTTACAGATCGACCGACCCTTCAGTAAAAGGGTCCAAACTGATTCCCATAGAAGTCCGGGCCCATTTGCCCCTGAGAGTAAGTAATGTCCGGCAAAGCCTGCCAGTCAGACCCCAAGACATCGAAGGCACTCTCCAGACTCTGGTCCGCCTCCGCCTCCACCTCCGTCTCCTCTGCCTGGTGTGATGACCCGGCCGATTTGACTGCCCGGCTGCCGGTTGTGCCCAGAGCCTCCTGCAAGCGTCGAACGAACTCGGGCGTCTCCAGCACCGTGCCGGCCTGAGCGTGAACCCGCTGGCGGACGTCCCACGCCCTGACCACGAGTTTTGCTTGCTGGGCAAAGGGCCGCTGGGTGAGGTCAAAGAGCTGGTCTTCATAGCTGTACACGGTCTCCACGAACCTCCAGCCGCGGTCCGTGAGAATGCCGATGGGGCGCTGGCACAGCTGCGCAACGAGGAATGCCAGGACGTCGAGGCGGAAGTGATGCTTGACGAACCAGACAAACCCCGTCTGGATCGAGACTTCGTATATATTCCGCAAGTCCTCGGCGGCAATCAGCACCGTCTTGAACAGGTTGTCCTTCTTGTTGAAGATTTCCGTGCCCCATTCTGGCTGCTGCCTCATGGGGATCGTCATCTCCCGCGTCTTTGCGACCAGGATTGGGCGCAGGGCCAAGGAAAAAACGTGTATGTTACCGGCGTACGCATCAATATACCGCTCCTCTAACTCGTTGAGGGAGTTCTCGAGCCTTTCGACGAGCTGTTTGTTCCGCTGCGTCAGTGGGAGAAGCAAAAGCTCGTCATGATCCCACGGATTGGGAGAATCGGATTCATAGAGGGACTCGGCGTCCGTCAGAAACTTGGCGAGGTGGTAGCTGTAGAGGCAGAACCCCATTTCGGTAGGTCCCTCTCTGGGGTAGATGGGCTCCGAAGAGCCGGGGAAAAGGTCGGCGTCGTTGACGTTCTGTGGCATCTTGGTGTCCCAGTTCTTAAGGAGCATCGAGTGGCTCAAACCGGAGACGAGGGCGTTCTTGCAGTCCTGCAGCACTATCTGCCACCATATCCGCCGGCGCATCTCTGTCTCGTAAGGGGTCAGGCCCAATGTCTCTCCATCGCGGTGGTAGCCCATCTTTTGTGCGAGACGAACTATCAGTCCGCCGAGAATCCAAGTTGCGTGGCTGTTGTAAGTGTTTTCGAGTGAGAACTAGATTTGAAAGCTTGTTAGCGAGGGGCATCAATCTGGTCCGAAGAAAGAAGCCCTCTTACAAAATAGAGTAACAAGGTTTGAAGCACGACCATGTCGTAGTTATTGAGGAAATCAAGCTTAGCAAGCGCAATCTTTGTGCCAACGTGAAGTCTTCTGAGGTAATCTTGTCGGGAACTTCCCAGAATCTCCAACGCTTCGTCCTTGGTCAACGAAAGTACGGCCATGGCGAAAATAGCAAATAGAAGTGCTTGGGAGCGCAAAGGGATGCTGTTGAAATCTGTTGACGCCGCCATGACCTGCGACTGCACCGTGGGAACGTGAACGACCTTGACAATGGGATTTACCCGGGCGACAAATACCTGCCAGAGCTTGAAGATATGGATTGGCTCTGGCCGGAGATCCTCGATGCTCCGGTTGGGGAACGGATCGGAGAAGAGTACATCACTATTGGCCGATGGCTCGGACCCGAAAGCGCTGCTATTGTCTGGCTCATCGGCCTCGACAAGCTCTTTAATGGCGTGAATCTAGATAACAAACCGTCAATTGGGTTTGAAACACAACCTTAGGAGTCAGTCGGGCCTCTCACTTCCTCATGAATGTTAACCCATGCCTGGCTGTCCATGAACTGGACCTTGCCCTTGTCATTGACCATTTTGCCGCCTGCTGACTTTGGCTTGAGGCGCGTCTGCGGCTCTTCGACGGAGACAGGCTCCGGTGCGCTTTCGTCCGTCCCTCTCGGCTGGGGGGATTGAGTCATTGGAGAGTTTGTCGAGCTTGTCCCTTGCTGCTGCTGCTTAAGGAGCTCCTCGCACCGGGCAAGGCGCTCCAGGAGCTCTTGCTGGGGGCGCCGGCGGGTGCGGGTTGTTATTCGCGTCCCCTCGATGCACTCGACCTGCGCCTGTTTCGAAATGGTTAGCCGGGCATATGGCGAAGGCTGCGCATCGAGCAAGGAGAGACGCCGCGATGAATAGACACCAGACCCCAGAGCTGCATGTGAGACAGGGCTTGTTGTCTCAAACTGGCAGGGCATACCATACCTTGATGCACTGCGCGCAAGGCCGCGTTGTCGGATCGCATTTGATCTTGCGCTGCTTGCACAAAACACATGAGCTCAGCCGGGGAGCCCGGGAAGGGTTCATCTTGAGCAAAGCAGGCTGCTGCAATACTCCAGCGCAGCCCTGACAAAGAATTGGGGTCAAGGTCAGGATGGAGAACAGGCAAGCATACGGCAAACGTGTTATGTGCAAGTGTGGTGCAAGTCGCAGAAACAGCTGGGTGAATCGGAAGGTGCAGGGTAGCCCAGCCCAACCAGCTGACTAATATGTCCCACCAAGCAAGGCAGAGAGAGGCACTCTACCTGTGCAAGTTCGGGTGGGCAGGGTCTTGCAATACTGTGGGCTCCAGGGAACTTGCTGCACTTGCAATGACGCATTGTCAACTTGCAGGGGTCTTTGCACGTCTCTAAGGACCGCCAAGCCCAAGAAGTGAGGGATCAGCGTCACAATGGGGCCCGGTCAGCCAATGAGCACCCGAGATTCTTGCACAACATCCATTACAGAGAGCCATGCATCATGAATGCAAAGGCAAGCATCAATCGAGGCGTAGATCCATTGGCTAAATTTACGGTTTCGCTGTGAATGTCTAAGGTGCCCGGTTCACGAGATTTAGGTGCCCTTCTGGGGCTTGCACGATCTTGCCAAAAGATAGTCCATGTTTGTCAAACCAGAGATCGATTGGGGTCCTCGGGAACTCTTGCTGGAGGTCGCCCATCCAGTCAAACTCCAAAGACTCATGCCGCCTCTTGCAGCCCTATAGGGTCTCACTGGCAAAATCTCACCCGTGGCTTCGCTAGCGTATGACTCTCTTTTCAATTAAATTTAAGCTTCCGTAGTAAGCATGATCTGGTGCCTGGACGCTAAGCAGAATGGCGTTTCAGCCCCAGCCGCGGCTGATCTATTCGAACAATCCGGACAACGGTGATTGGCTCAATGACCGGAAGCCACTCTCAACGGCTGAACGGGCGGGTGCCTCCAAGAGAGTTGATTGGACTTCATCTTGGTGATGGCTTCTGTAATGAGAGTCTAGATCTCAAAGGGGAGAATAATGAGAGTAAGCCGGTCGGAGGAGGGGACTATTTTAACGGAGAGATTGGCAGCTAAAATTGCTTGGAAATTCGTTTCACCCTCAAGCTCTTCTCTGCTTAAACACTCCCACTTTAACCACCATGGGTTTGCTTCATAGGTTCACCTGCTATGCAGCAGTGCTGTTGTTCTGTGTCTCAGTTTCTGAAACGGCAAGCCTCGCTCTCCCGCGAAAGGACACAGACGAACAACTCCCCTACCCCGGCACAGGAAGTCAGGTCACACCGGAAGACCTAAAAGCATTCCCTGTAATTTCTGACAAGGAACTGGATGGCATTTTCTCAGAGCGCATTGCATACCAGTACCAGGATTTGGATCTGACCAGCGTGAACACGTCCTCCCAAGACCTCGCCGCCCGCCAGGCCATCACTCGTCCCCGCATGGTCGACTGGAGACTCAGATGGGGTGTCTCCTGGCTCACAACTATCCAAGACCAGAACCCATGCAACAACTGCTGGATCTTTGTCGCCACCGCGCTCGTGGAGTCAATGACTCGAATCGAGCATGGGATTTGGGCCAAGCGCTCCGAGGGCGACCTTCGCGACGGCCACCTGACCGATCTGCCCCTCGCAAGCAGGCCTAATGACTACTGCGCGCAGTCGGGAGACTACGTCAAAGCGCTGAATTGGGTTCAGCAGAAGGGCCTCGCCGATCCTGGGTGCTGGGCCTGAAGTCCTACCAACACCCGGCCGACTGGATACCGGCCCTGCGTGGACCGTTCCGGACGCACTGTCAAGATACCTCAGGGCGTCGTCAGCCTTGGGACAGACCTGGAGAAGCAAAAAAACTGGATCGACAAGGTTGGCCCGCTTGCTGTCGTCTATGATCTTGTTCAGGCCTTCGAGGGCCTCAAGGGGGATACTGTATTTGTTGCTCCCGCCAACCCACAGCCCGGCTCGAAGCCAAGTGGCCAGCACGTACCGCTCATCGTAGGCTATGATGATGACCGAGGTGCCTGGCTAGTGAGGAACAGCTGGGGATCTTGGTGGGGAAATGGCGGGTACGGATGGATCAAGTACGGCCAGATGAATGAGAACAGCTACACCAAGTTTGGTGTTCGGTATACCGACGCTGACCCGTGGAGTCTCCGGCGGCTTCATAATGGAAACATGATTGTAAGTGGCCGCTCGGGCGTCAACCACAAGAACTTCGAGCTGGCCGTGTGCATCAGAGGGAGCGGTCACGGTGTCCACTGGATGCGAGCCGGTGGGGAGAACAATGACTTCTCGTGGAAGACTATTGCCAATATCTGGCAGCCGGGCGATGCTTCCCTGAAGTGTGTGGGGCAACCTGCCATCACCTCCTCTTTCAATCGCAATATTGATCTTCTCTACTGGTCTGCTGGCAATAACATTGTACGCAAGTACTATGATCAGAATACCAAGACCTGGAGCCAAAAGGAGGTCTTTGGAAATGGAAGGATCGGTGGCTATCCCTCGCTAGTTACGTATCATGGCGCATTCGTGTGCGTTGTGCGTCATCAGGATGGATCTCTCTGGCACTATGAGACAAACGGCGGATTCTGGAGAGCGAATAATGCTATCGTGACGAAGGGAGTCCGTATGTCGGGTCCGGCGCTTGTCCATGCCAACGTTGGCAAATTTGGGCATTACTACACCGTAGCTGTTATGGACGATTCAACTCTCAAGCTCTTCTGGCTTGATAATGATACTCCGTCAGCTCAATGGCAACCTGGCGAGTCTTTCGGACTGCTGATAGGGTGGACTCCTCCCGTCATGATCCAAACTAACTATGCCACCTCCACTGAGCATGGCATCGGTGACTTCGAAGTCTTTACTGTTCTTGGCGGACGCGTGATTCGGTACCGCCGTGATAACACGGACCTGAGAGCAGGCCAAGTACCTAAGAACGGGGTGGATAGAGAAGAGAGATGGAAGTTGGTGGAAAGCTTCAACAGTCCTGACGGCAAGGTCAAGCATGTCTGGAGCGCTATGCAGGGTCCCTTTGGACAGCAGTTGGAGGTGGTTGTGGAGCTCGAGGACGGTAGGATGCAGACATTGTTCAGAGAGTGGGCATGCAACTGTTGGAAGTTGGCTATGGCCCCTGGCGCGTCGATTCCGATCTCTTAGACGATAACCCGATCGAAGAGGGAATTTGTAAATTGGTTGTTGCCGCCGAGGACTCAATTCGTAGGCGAAAAGTTGGGGTGTGCTTTTCGCAATTTTGTTTTGAGTTCTTTGTTGTCAGTTGTTTGAATTTCTCATTAGTACCTTGTTTTCTTACCACATCGATGAGTGAGGATGATGGCCTTGTGAAATTGATTAAATCTTCCGACATATTATTGATCTGTGCGGAATGTGATGACTGAGCAGAGAAAGTTGGGGATTGATGTCCAGGGTAGTCACGTGGCTTGGCCGTGCAGTAGATTGGCCTTCAGTGGCTCAGCCGCCAAACAAGATGCTCTCGACTCCCGAAAATCATCCCCGCCGGCCTCACTTCGTATCCTGCCCAATCCCGTCTTGCCTCTCTGCCTCGCCATTGCCCGATGCGATTCTCATCCCACCATCCACCCGCACCTTGACCGCGACAATCAAGCGACCCCAGCTCCCAATAAGCATTGATTTTTCGCCCGTTTATTTGCTTGGCGAGACCAAACCCAAGCGGGAAGGTCGTCCGTGGTTTTTCGCCCGTGCAATTAATCTAGTGGAAACGCCCAGACTCGAGCCCTGCCGCTTTCTCCGACCTCCCAAATGACCGATTGACCCCATCGAGTAATTTGAGGGCATAGGCGAGCCTGCACAGCCCTGCAAGGCTGAATTGCCAGGTGAGGCCAAGACCTGCAGCGCCTCTTAGACCCCTTGGCATAGGCCTTCGAGAAGAGATGGACAGGCACCTGGTGCTGTTCTCACTCTGGACCCTAGCCATGCCAATAGGATTTTGCCAAGGTCAATGCATCCCGGGTTTGATTCGCCCCAGTCTTCTCCACATGGTGCCTCAAGCGACTCATTAACATTGCCATCTCGCCGGGAATAAATAAGCTGGGCGTTCCTCCTCTAAAGTGGAATGATATGACCTTACGCTCTTATTTGCGATTAATCCTCGAGTGACTAGACTTTCTCTGTCAAGACGACCACAACTCGCCGATACCCAACTACAACCTTGATTGTTTCGATACCTACAAGATCATCATGCGTGCCTTCCTCCTCCTTCTGTGCGCCAGCCTTTCTGCAACTATGGAAATCAACGCGCTTATCGGTGTTTCCCCCGTATCGCCCCTGTTCGAGTCAGAACTTCTCCCCCGTGCCAACATCGACCTGAAGTGTGTGGCCTCTATTGTGGAAAAGACCTTCCCCACCGAGATTCCTGACGCCCAGTTCGCCAGCTGGGTTCTCACTCAGTCGCCCGAGATGCCTGCCTGCACTGTCACCGTCCCCGCCAGCTTCTCCTCAGAGTATCTGAGCTACGACAAGGTCATATCCACCTTTGCCAGCACCATCACCTCTGCAGTCCAGAACGTCAAGTACACCTGCGGCGACCCTTTTACTGTCAGCTTCACCGACCACTACTGCGCCACTTCGCGCACTGTCCTCTTCACCAGCCGGAACAAGACCGACACCACCGTCCTGCCTGTGATGACTGACACTGGCCCAATCGTCCTCGGTGCTGCCCAACGCGACGCCGTGCCCCGAGCGTTGAGTGTTTTGGCGATTGGCACTGTAATAGTCGCGCTGGCTCTTTGAGATTATGACCGATATTTCCTCTACGACGTATATTTGAGTGCTGATGAGCGTTTTTGGTCAATCTGTTGATATGATATCCTTTGTATACCTTATGATTAATGTATATTCAGCATAGATTTGGAGTACGGATGCAAATATGTTTTCTGATCATTAATCGAATATGATTTACATAGCATCGCTCCGTGTATGTTCAACGTGAAATATATGTTTAACTTCATCAATCGCTGGAAACTATATATCAAGTCTGCTGACAGCGCTGAGTTCAGGTCTCTTCATACTTTGTCCAGGACTAACCGGAGAGAGTTTTGATAGAAAGTTGGAACAAAAGAAGATGTCAGACCCAACAACTCAACACAATGAATAGCCCAGGACTAACAAGTTTTCTTCTCACCATCTTCATCTTGAAATCATAACCGCCCAAGAAGAGCTACCTATATATAAATGCTGGGCAGAATATGCGTGTAATAAGGTCTATATTAGTTGGTTTATCTTTGTTGATTTGGTTCTGGTGTTCTTTTCTCTCCATCGATCGATACTCATTTCAGAATGTCGGATCCCACCAGCACCACATTCGGCATCATCCTTCTGGGGCATAGTAGTTGCATAACGGGACATCGTACAAGGTTCTGTGCTCGCTGGGAGGGGGTTGACATCCAACACAGCGATCAAATTCTGGACAGCATCAACCAATCTTTGAGGTATGAGTCTCTGAGTATAATATTCACGCCGTACGTTAATGCAGAACTTTCCCAGAGAGGACTTGATGAGGGGTCCGGGGGAAAGAGGCCTGCCTGTTGGCCCTAAGAGTATAGCAATATGCAGGGAGCTACCTCAGATGCGGTACTATCCAGTGCTCAAGGCTAATTATTGATTCCTCTGTGAATATTACTAACGGTGTTAAGGCCTGTAAGTATGTGACTGCTCTCAAACAAGGTGGTGGGCTAGAGTGATGTTGGTACCCTCGAAAGGCTAGGCAGTAACGGTGTTGTATGCAGGCGTGAGCACTAATACGATTTTGGCTGCTTCGGGGCAGAGCTGTAAGTCGTGAATGTTGGGAAAGATTTGGTATATAAAACCAACCGTATGCTACTGAAGTTTTATTTTACAATTACCTATAACTATACTAATACTATTTAGTACAGCTTTTTATCTATATATTATCTTCAACTACCTATGTATCCGCTATTGCCCAGAATTCCTTATTGTAAGAAGCCTCGCTTTTATTGGTACCTTCTTAATGACTGATTGAGTAACTAAGTTCCTTTGAAACCGTAATGGCAGTAATTACTTTTAATGAACCTATTACTTACCTGAACTGTGATTATTATGGCGTATATAATATGACCGGTGTCTCTACTTGTACTAGTTGCGGCAAAGGGGTTGCCACTACTGCCTAATTCCTAAAGGTATCTTCACGGCATTATTTGGTCAATATCCAAGAGTTTATGCCTATAAAAATGACCTCAGCTTGCTTGTTAAGCTTTAATAGATCTTGGTGATATGAGAATGTGGCTATCCTGGCATATTGTTGCGGTGGTAGTATTAAGTAGTTCTCCTTTTGGGGGGTTTCCCCCCTATAGCCTCTCGCTTGGGTCCTTTGCAATAAATTGACTGATCAAACCCTTGTTGGTATTACTTTTCTGTATTCTGTCTTATATTCCTTCCTGGAACCTGTATATAAAGTATTAATTAATATACTGTATATGATAGTCCAGTAACATATCTATTGGCTTTCCTCTTATAAGGCCCGGCGAAAATGCTATAAAAAACGAAGCAAAATATAATATTCAGTGGCCAAGAGAGCGCTACTAAGAAGTCGGTATGAAAATAAATGCCTACTTACTGTTCTGAAACCTCCACTAACTGTCCAAAGTATTATTATAGCCCAGTCTTTCCAGCTGCTGAGTGACTTTATGATGCTAATCCCTTTTCGTATTGTTATTACTATAGCTTAAATCTATCCCTGGTAATAATTGAAACTTAGTCCAAACCTATTCGATTGGAATATATCCTGCTAGCTCCGAATTAATAATACCCAGCGAGCCAGTTAAGATATCGATAAGAATGTTCGTAGGTCTAAGGTTATAATGGTAAAGATCAGTCTGGAAATATCTATTAATATCTAGGTATAGTTTGTAAGGAGCTGCTCTGGATATAGAGTATTAGCTGCTCTGCTTGCTCCTTTGATCAGGTAATGCTCTAAAATTTGATTTCTATTAATACTTACTATATAATTACCCTTCTACCCAGCTAAGTAGTTATAAATATTAGTAATTTTACTGATATAGTGCTGGCGTATAGTGTTATCTATATTGGGCTATATATTATTAAGGGTCTGCCCTGATATATAAGATATAACTAGGAAGTAAGCTGACTTACCTCTAAAGTGGTAAAGTATATAGGGAAATTTAAAACCCTGAGGCTGTTAGTTACTAAGGAATTGAAGAGTTATATGCTCTCTTGTGCAATAGGGGTACTCTGTACGATATACTTTGATAAAAGTATTACCTACCCGCTATATAGCTGCCTTATTATCTACCGTATAGATGCACGGTACTAAAGTTGAGTCTTCGGTGAGTGACTTGGTGTTAGGAAGAGGGTAAGATATATTCGAAAGAATAAAGAACTTCCTATTGCTGTTGCTCCAGGATGAAAGTTCGGTAGAACTATTTTCAGGAGGAGATGCAGAATAGATGAGGAGAAGCTTTTGTATGATCAACCAGGATATCTATTAATCTCCTGAATTAAGTTATTAAGGTGCAAGGTAGTGGATAGATCTATCGTATAAGTAAGGTTGGATGAATAAGATTAATAAAAGGTCTGAGTTTTGTAGCTCCCTTCGCTTATATAAGGCACTTTTTTAGACTGATAGGAGAGTAATTACTAAGCGCTGAGGTTGGCGGTAGGTTGTTCAGACAGCAGCCTTCTATTAAGGTTAATAAATTTATAATATCTTGGAACAGATGGATAGATAAGTAATAAAAGGAAATAAATTAATAAACAAGCAAACTAATAAACGAAAGTCAGCACTCCGTAGCGGCCTCGGCGATCTCCTAGGGCTATTTATCCACTTCAATTTACAGGGGCGCGCCTGCCCCCTGCAGTTACTAAATTGGTCGACCGAAATACGCTAAAAATATTAACTTACAGTAAATCTTTTTAATAGTTCTAACCCTGCCCATCCCTCCCAGAACTGGTATCTTTGGGTCAACTTAGCAATAACAACGTGGCTCACTGGCTATATAACCCCGCGCTCGCTTTTATTCTGCTCTCGGCTACGAGTCGAGAGCTGATTCCCGCTATGGTTGGTGTCGTTAGGTCTCTCGCATGCTAGAATTGTAAGAACAGAAGAACCAAGGTAGTTGAACCTCTGAAATCACCCCACGTAGGGGTCTGGTACACCGTTGCATTGTATTGATACAGGACAGTACGACCAAACGTGGCCGATATGCGGAAAATGCTCGAAGAGAGGGCTCAAATACCCTGGTCTATCTAATTTGATTAGATTCGTCGATGGGAGCACTCATCCAGGCAATGACAAGGGGGACAGGGCCCTGGCAACCACCCCAAGGTCGCAGACGGAGCTATCGTCCGCATCTTCAAACGCTGCTGCACGGTCTGGCACGCACGACGATCCTCGAGTCTAGGCCCGTCAATAACCGTGGCATCTACCTTCCAGCCTCAGACGCACCCTCCAGCTACCGAAAATTCAAGCTTATCCCAGTCCCCGCGCGGGTGGCGTCCACCCCTGAAGACCGCGTCGGGTCACGGCTGGTCAACTCGCTGCAAGCCGATAGATATCTTGCCGGAATTTTCACTCTGCTACAGCACATGCCTGCTCGTGTCTCCTATAGCCCGTGTCTTAGGGATACTATTAGTCTGTTCTGTTCTACCTATGTATGCCTTCAGAGGGGCGACCCTATATCTATGGACCTGACGATTCTAAAAGATTATGGCAAGTCTCTGCGGACGCTACGGCGAACATTAGAAGAGAAGCAAGCTGGAGATCTGGAGACGTTCGCGGCTGTCGCACTCATCAGTCGGTCAGAGTCTGTTTTCAATCCTGCATGGAACCCGTTTAAACGCAGTCATGCCGAAGCCATTGTCGCATTCGTTGCCAAATGGGGTCTGCCCAAGGCTGATTGCGATTTCCACTCGGAGATATTGTTTCAAGCCCTCGAGGACATGGTACGCATTCTCCAAGTCTTAACTAAGAACACAGCTAATCAGGCCTTCTCGCCGTAGATGTTTCATTCTTTCAGTCATGGAGTGGCACCGATATGGGATAAACATCCCCATAGGGAAGCGATCGCGGAAGCCTCGTTGCGCTTCTTCGCTCCCGCCCTACAACCATATGGAGCACCATTGATCCAAGTATTCATGGAGTATTTCACCAAAGCCCCCAAACTTCTATCAAAGGTCCTGCGGATCAACCGAGACTCATCCTCGCCGGGAATGCGAGATCTGGCAATCAAAATCGTCAACGCCTTGGCCGGAGACACTGAGCGGGCGCGCAACGCTCTAGACCCGCTCCTCGAGAAGGCGTTTGAATTGGGCGAGATCAGTGAAGTGGACGCTACGGAACCCGATTTCTTCCTTCCTACGCACTACAAGCTCAAACCCGGTCGCTTTGGAGAATGCCTCAACCTTATTTCGGTGCTGCTGGTGGGCATGGCGCGGATACGGTATGACCTGAGCGTGCTGTACGGCCTGCCTTTCGCGGACGAAATATACGCTACCTACCGCAAGGAGTGCGTCGTAATGTGGAAGTTCATTCCGTTCCGAATCCAGATCTTCAAGACGTTTGGGTTCAGGGCCGTTTCGATGATGACACTTTCGTACGAGTGCACCCAAGGCTGGGAGAGGGAGTATATGAACGACTTGTTCCTGAAGGAAAACGAGCACCCATCCAGATTACCCACAGATAGGCGTGAGCTAGAAGCCGCCATGCTGTTGCGCGCCAAGGCAATGACCGGCCGGCTACCTTTTGTCCCCGAGGGTGCGGCTTCGCAAAAAATAGACGCTCATGACAAGGTGTAACAGGGGGGACACCGAAATTTGCTTCTTCAGATGATTACAATTGCTAGTTGTGAACGAAAGCTATCGGCACCTTCTGCTCACTGACGGTACCTGCGATTGCTGGGAATTGGTGCAACATCTGAGGTGCATGCTTACCCCATGATGATATCCTTCACCATCCTCTCACTGACCCTACTCCCGACCGACGCAGGCTAACCACCAACGGCGGCCAATGAACTCCGGGCCGCGAGCTCGTTTTCCCCGTTCTGGAGGTCGTTGTCAATATTGGCGCCTTTAAGCCCCATTGGGCTTGTTCTCTATCGAAGATAACCCAGGACGGCAAGCCAGCTCCAGAGGCTCTGCCAGACTTAGTCTTTGAAATTCACTCAAATCCTCAATCACCTTTATTCACAGTCATACCTCGTTTCTGGTCGCATCAATGCTAGGGACTCCTGTTTAGCTACGTACTATCATTGCAGTAGTCGTATACCGAACTGATATTCCTAGCTTCTCAAAGCTTCCTAGCTTCTCAAAGCTTCCCCCCCTCTTTGAGAGCCCAACTTATATCGACTACAGTATCATCAACAGACTAAACAGTGAAGGCATCCCTTAGTTCCACCGGTACAGCTCATATCGATTCCGCTCACAGATTATATGAACCAAACTAGCAGTTCCTCAAGGCTTGGAGTAAATAGTCAATGCAATCGCTACCAACATTCGCAAGGAGGTGTCCCAGTCCTGTGAACTCGTTGTCTTCGACACCGATGCCATCGAATTTGTTCCGGCTGATCGAACGGACGAAGAGAACTCTGCCCGAGAGCGTTGCCGCGTGGAGGCGCTATGGGCATCGAGCCGAGATCCTTGCCGTTTGTGGTTGGCTGCGCCGAGAATGTTCTACTCTAGCTCCTGGATATCTGCATGCTCACGGGGAAGGAAGTAATGATCTCTTATCACTTAGAAAGAGGATCTAGTCTGGAAGTAAAAGCTCCTCAGTACCATTTCTCGCCTCGTCACCGCACTCGCCACGGCCGACCTGTGACATTAGCTTTCGATCAAGGCTTGACGCACACTCCGTTAATCAGTGTACCATAGGGTGCTCCCACATGGAACTTGACTTGTTCGCAAGGCTGTTATTTATGATTCTACCTACGAGCACAAGGACGATCGTCGATGGGCGACAAAATCGTTGAACAGATTCTTTCTTCTCTAGCGCGGATAAACAACCTCGTTCCGGGCAAGTATTCTGAGAGCGCGGCGAGCCACTGGAACAACGGCGGGTTCTCTATCTGAGCTCTCGCATGAGGGGGTTGGAGTTGGGCTTGGGAGTTGGGCTTGGGAGGTGGGCGGGCGAGAACTTGAGAGCAGGAGCGGTTCTCGCCTGGCCGCCCTGTAAGTTTCCGCGCTGTTGCGGCGGACAAGCAATCTAAGAAGGAACTGGCTTAGCCAAGAATCGGAAGACGGATGCTGAGAAGGCCTTGGATCGCCTTAAGAAGCATCCAATGGCCTGACGGCTCCCCGAGAATCCAACGATCTGACGGCTCCCCGAGCATCCAACGACCTGACGGCCTATTCTCGTGCAAATCAGAACAATACTTCGTTTGCAGAGTAGAGAGCAGGAGCGGCTCTCGCCAGGCCCGCTTTGTAAGTTTTCCGCGCTGTTGCGTGGACAAGCAATCTCAGAAGGAATTGGCTTAGCCAAGAATCGGAAGACGGATGGTGAGAAGGCCCTGGATCGCCTAAAGAGGGAGCATGGCTTCGAAACGACTTTTGAAGCCATTGCCAGTGGCCACCGATCCCGTTCTCAGATAATGATTGTATGGGTACAACTTCAGATTTGATTTTCAAGATGCAATGATAGCACTACGTATACGAACTTTTTATAATAACTTGGTTCACCAAAGCAACTACTTGACCTTAGACGCATGCCCTTTGTGATTCTTTGACGAGTTCTAGGCTAAACAATGTGAACTGGATTGGAATTCAAGGCTAAGACAACTTAACCAAACAACAAGACGTTTTGGTTTTCTCTGATCTAAGCTTATACTTATCTCATTTAAGATCACCAAGGGAATCATTGTTGGCCCATGTTCCTGATGCGATGATGTCACTCATGTTGTGATTAACAGTCGTGGCCGTCTGTGACGAAGGGTCAGGGTGGGCGGCATTGATGCATAGGTACGCTCCCCAAGCCTCTCTGTGCTCTATGTTGTCAGACCACTCTCACTTCTCTGATGACTTCACTAGAGAGTTGTGCAATCGTCATTTTCTTTCAAGCTCCATCACCGACCTATACAATATCAAGCATCCGTTTAACAAAGAACAAGTCGATCACCAAAATGCAGCTGCCAGCTCCGGCCCAGCTCCTGGCCTCGGTGGCTCCCGTAGATTGGGAGCAGCTTGACATACCGATTCTCGCTCGCCCGTCCGAAGAAGAGAGGCGCCATGAGAAGCTCTGCGAGTTTTCAAAGGGCAAGTCCACTCCTCTGACCAAGTCTGTCGGCCCCTTCATCAGCCAAGGCCTGCTCCTCAAATACGGAATAGAGGTTCATGATCTTGACTTCGTCACCGGAAGGCCTTCTCATGGAGGGAAGCAGGTCCTGAACCCAACCCCACCGTGCAAGATCGAGAAGTGCCTCCGCTTGACACGGCCGTGGGATGGAGGTGGAGACCTTGCTGACTTCAAGAACTGCTCGTGGAACTCCAACATTGGCGAGGCTCAGCATTTATACCAAATCATCAGGCGCTACCTCACCACGTTGGGATTTGAAGACGGGAAGCAGCCCAGTCTTCTGAGTATGACCCCGTGGAAGCCATTCATGTAAGGGCCTAACTTTATCAAAGGCTAATGCCAGGTGACTAACACGTACCGTTCTCCTAGGAACAATTACGGACCACTCCGTCCGTCCAAGCGCGGCTGGGAAGCTCAGGACATCTGGCGATACACCATGAAGAACGAGAAAAATGAGGTTGTTGGTGATCCATCAGTCCCTCACATGTTCTGTTTTGTTGCGAGTGAACCCAGCCTCGTCGAAGGCGAGGTTTCGATAGGCGAGATGACCACGATCGTCTCGCTTCCGATGATCTATGCCTCGCATTACCGGCATCTACCCCATCAACCCGTTCCTGTAAGCTCACAATCCAGATTCTAGGATATCCAGACCCGGCTTTGACTAATGCCTCCTAATAGGTTACACTTATTTCGTGTTCGTGGCGATCGTTCCGCGTAGTTCAGGGCATTGTCGATATTGATAAGTCTCACATCGAGATCCGCATGACACCCATCATCAGCTTCGTGGAAGGGATCAAGAGCAACTGGCTTGGGTTCCTCACCTTGCTGGGATGGATCATCTCTAATCCTGTTGGGCAGGCTGAGTGAGCGGTAATGCATGCGTATCAACTGATGTAGTATGAATCATAGTCAGCCATAGAATATCTCAAAACTATGAACTTTTCATGTCTCAAGAATTTGAATTGATGAGGGAGAAGTCCCGATTAGCGCGTGAACCACCCACAGCCAGACCCTCCTCCAAGCTTAGCTCTCGCCCATCCACCAGGTCATCCACTGATCTGCTATTTCGGGGTATCTTTTCGTCCCCAGATACCTCTGAACAAGCCTCCTCCACTCCGGATGCATCTCAGGGTCGTCACATGGCAGATCCATGCCACTGGAGACGCGGAACTTGGTGCGTATCCACTCCAAAGGGACAAATCCAGCCGTCTCCCAGTCGATAATTCCGAAAGAGCCAGAGGCAGGATCAATAATGATATTTCCAGGTCCAAGGTCGCAGTGATAGAAGTGAAATTTGGAGCAATCCATATTGAGGGCCTCGCAATTGCGTAGTAGCGCAGAGGGGCTGCAATCCGTTGAACCCCGCGGCGAAAGGTAAAGGTCGGCCAAGTGGTTGCCGTCCACGCCATGAACCCCACCTCCCAAATAAGCTCCGAGCTCTTCGCAGACACCTGCAATCCGAGAAACATACTCCTGCTTCAAGTCGTTGTTCAAGGTTGGCCAAAGTGAAGCAAGAGTGCTGCCAGGCAGCTTTTGTTGAATGATGTAGTACCGGCCATTATAGTCCGTCTGAAAGAGAACATCTGGGATTTCGAAGCTCGGGCTTTTGCTACGAACGTAGTCCAACGTGACGTGCTCTCGGGTTGCCCTTGGGTCAATTACCTTGACCTTGACAACAGCCTCTCCGAAGAGCCACACTGCTGACACACCGCCAGCGTCGTGGACTTTAGGGATGTGACTGGTCTCCGCTAAAGCACGGGACTGTGGTAACGGCTCTGTAGCTGTCGCAAGGTTGTAGAATGAGCCATTCCCAGTACCCCATGAGATGTCAGAAACAGGTGAATCTGTTCTCGATAAAGTAAAACGGTCCCCAAGAAGCCAGGAATCTTGATCAATTTCACGAACCGATTGGTTAACAGGGTGAGCAGCCATTGTTGGTGAAGAAGGAGGATGAAATAAGGGTTGGACCTGCGTTTCTTCTACATGATGTAGGGATCGAGTCAAAACATCGCTGATGCCATGTCTCAATCAGAAGTGCACACCGACTTCGAGGCATGCGCAACGCTAGGACGAATTAGGAATTCTGGCCCATCTTGCTGGTTTATCGGGAAAGACAGGTGCTGAAGCTTGTTAAAGGGGGATATTCTGCAGGTAAGCCACACCAAAAAAAAAAATATTGAAAAAAATATAGCAATTCCCGGCTGTATGAGGCCAGAATGCAAGAAAAACTGTTGAAAGGGCTTGATCACTAGCAGGCGCATGCGCTAGTAGGTGCTCTCGCCACTGTAGGAACCAAGGCCGGGGCCACAGCAACAAAGGTAGTGGCTCAAGAGACAGCACCCCAATAGCAAGCCTTTCAAAAGAAGGAAAGAAAGAAAGAAAAGAAAGAAAGAAGAAAGTAACTTGAATTATTTGGGCTCAATATGAGCTTAAACCCTACTTATTTGTATTGTTCTTAATTAGTTCTAAGAATGGAAGCAGACGTTGGTGAACTTGTTTTGTAGGATAGTGCTTAGCTGTTTAGATATCCGAATCTGAGGGCCGCAGTCGCTCATCTCTTATTGGCAGCAAAGTTGCCTAAGCAGTCTGCCTGCCGCAGTGCCCTCCATCAGCCCATAAGATTCCGATGCGACATCAGCTAGGGGTTTACCAGATACTATCACTCACATCGTAGCCACTCCACCCCCGAAATATCACTGCCCCAAACACAGCCACACGCCTTAACGCCTTACCAGACGAAGGCGCACTCAAGAAAGGCGACCAAAATCGATGCAAGGAGGGGAGAACGCAACTTGTATAAAATCCAATGATGGGATCGATAGCCTCTCGATATCTCCAGCCAAGACTTCCAACGAAACCTACAGACGTACCTTATAAGCATTAGTCGACACTCTTCATTACAACTTAAACAAGAAAGCAACCACCATGACGCTCCGCTGGGACAAAAAGAATAACCTCTTGCACCGCGGCGGCAAAGTCTTCAACCCCTCCCGTCTAGAATGGTCGTCAACCCCCCAGACGACCAAGCTGAGCGGCTCAGAAGTCACCCCGCTCGAGGCCCTGCGGCACCTGGCCAAAGAAAAGAGCCTGCGGAGAGTCCCCGTGGGCGTCATCGGCACCCGGACAGCAACGAAGAAGCAGCTGGAAGTCGCCCGCCAGCTGGGCGCGGCCATGGCCGACCACGGGATGCAGCTCATCTGCGGTGGCAAGGGCGGGGTGATGGAGGCGGCCTGCGAGGGTCACGCTGCCCACGGCGGGCTGCCCGTGGGGATACTGCCCGACGGGGAGTGGGATGCCGCGAACCCCTTCTGTGCCATCCCCATCGCGACTGGCCTCGGTGTGGCGCGGAACGCTGTCATCGCGAGGGCGAGTGTTGCTCTGATTGCCGTGGGAGGCGGCATGGGTACGCTTTCCGAGATGGCTATGGGTATGCAGTTCAAGCGGCTCGTGCTGAGACTGGACGGGGCGCCGGAGGTTGAAGGTGCGGTCTCTCTCGGGAGTGTAGAGGAGGCCCTAGATCGTGTTGCTCGTCGTCTGCTCTCGCTTTGAGAGGCTCGCAGCAGCTGGTGGCCACGGTGGGGATTACATTGTCCAAGGAGCTCGAAACTAGGGTGGAGTTGAGGTCATATACAAGACGAGGCTGTCAGATTCTACAACTACGAGTGCTATAAGTTAGGCGCCGAGAGCACTATAAGAAATACGGTATATGTGGCATGTCACACTGTGTAATGGACACTGTGCCGGAGGTGTTTATGGCTAGTTTGGCTCTTACTCGGATACGTGCGACTGTTGGAGGTTGGCACGCTACTTTCATGATGTCTATTTCCGGACGTATAGAATGAATAACATTACTAGAAGCTCTTAAGGTTGCATTCGGAAGGATAAATATCAGTTCAGGCAGTAATTTATCTGCCTGGGCGTGGGATGATGATCCACTAGACTGTTTCAAGGGCTTATAAACACCAATGGCGTTGCTCCTCCGTCAGCACTGATCCTAGATAAAACAGATACCCATCACTTGTTTGTCCGTGCCTGAGCTTTCTAGATTGTTGTCGCGCTCTACTTCTCATCAGCATCAGAGGTTTGTCTGACCTTGAACTGCGCATACATACCCGACTCATGAGCAACATGTCCACCTTTCACCCATTTCCCCGCCTTCCATATGAACTCCGCATGCAGGTGTGGAAATTGACGGTCGAGCCTCGCACCGTCGAAATCCGGGTAGGCGGCTTCTACAAAGACCTCGGCCCAAAAACCGAAGACAGACCCGTAGACAGACAATACGTGCAGTACCTCGTCACCAAGACGCCCGTCCCGGGTCCCCTACAAACATGCCGAGAAGCCCGGAATCTGGGACTGTACAAGCGATCCATGGCCGAGCTATCCGACCTCACCGGCGACGAGAAGCAGTACGTCTGGCTAAACCTGGACATCGACCTCATCTGCTTCAGGGGCGGCGGGCTGTCCAAATTCAACCAGGTCGCGCCGAGCGTGAAGCGGCTGAAGCTGGTGCGTGAGATCTCGGAGATGTGGTACTACCAGGGAGGGGTGAGCGAGTTCCGCCATTTCGTCAACTTGGAGGAGGTGCATATTGTCTGCAAGGACGGGATGAGGGCGTGGTACTGTTCCACGGCCGATAACCACTGGCCTTGTGGCCCGGAGAATTTGATCTTCATCGACCCGCATGATGGGCAGGTCTTGAATGGTGTCGAGATGGAGGCCAAGTTTGATGCGATGGATCGGTTTGCGATAGGGATTGATGGGCTTGACCATAGTTCCCAGGGTCCTCCAACCTCAGGGTGACTCGGAGAGAAGAGGTAGTTGAAATCCAAATGTTTGTGGATTTATGTGCTGCAGAGGGATATATATGACATAGACGATGACTTCCGGACGTGGAGCGTTGACGTACAGATACTCCGTACATTGGAGTGCTACAGCTTCTCACCCAGAACGGGGTTAGCCTCACCAATGAGGCGGGTGAAGGTGCAAGGGGACGCCGGAATTCAATGTTATTTATCTATCTACTAGCTCCGTCGGATGCCACATTGTGGGCACATCGTCGGATTACTGCGGACTTGTCGACAAGCTTGCTTTAGTGCGTCGGGCTCCTTGAAGTCCCCGAGAGGTATTCAAATATAGCTATGTAGCTAACAGTAGTGAGCTTTCTACATTAACTAATAACTGCTTGTTGTAGCATCCTCACCTCACCATAGGGATCTGACCCTAACAGGCCCATTTCAATCACATCACAATGTCAGTCGAAACAATCAAGGTCGCCGTCCTTGGCGCTGCCGGTGAAAACGCCGGCTTAATCCTGGACGGTCTACTCGCTTCCAAGAAGCCCAAGTTTGTGTGTACTTTGCACGGCCTTCGAGGTCCACCCCGAAACGAGACATCTGAATGCTGATAGTTTGAACGAACCATCTAGGAGATTACCGCCTTGGCGCGACCATCATCTGTGTCTAAGCCATCTTACATTAAGCTGGCTACGAAGGGCATCAGAATCATCACGGTCGACCTCGACGGGCCAGATATTCATATTGTTGAAGCTCTAGAGGGGCAGGATATTGTCATTGCCTCGGTGCCCCCTAATGCGTTGGATTCACAGCTTCCTCTTATTCGCGCTGCGAAGCTTGCCAATATCAAGCGCTTTGTTCCCAGCGCCTTCGCCATGGCTATTGCACCTTCCGGTATTTGTGGCGTGCAAATAGAGGTATTATATACTCAACGCGACATATTGCCTTCCCCCTTTAACCTCCCTATCCTCTGCCCTGGTATTAATATTTCATAATTTTTAGAAAGAACGAATCTATGCTGAGCTCGTAGCCTCTAGCATTCCATATACTATTATCGATGTTGGATGGTGGTATAATGGCTTCATCCCTCAAGTGCCATCAGGAATCACAGATTTTGCTATTGCTCTACCGGAATTTATCAGGAATCTTGTACCTGGGGACGGCACTATAAAGACTCATGTTATCGACAATGAGGATGTCGGTCGTCTGGTCGCCCGCATTATTACTGATCCGAGAACAATCAACAAGCGGGTGATGGCTTCAGGCACCGCCCTCTCGTTCGATGACATGTTTGCTATCGCTGAAGAACTGACTGGTGAAAAACCTGAACCTAGAAATGTATGTTCATATATCGAATTTTTTTATTGATCTTCATCGTGGCCTGCATAACTCAGCGGAAGCTCATAACTTTTTACAAGCAGGTGTCGGCGGAAGGGCTCAAAAATATGATTGCTGGCCTGAACGCAAAGCTTGAAAGTAGTCCAGATGACTACTTCCTCTTCGTCGGCAAGAGTTGGCTTGAGTACTACTACTCTTCTTTCATCGACTGTGATAACAGTCCAGATGGCATAAAGCGCCTGGGCTATGTCTCATCCACCGAACTATACCCTGACTTTGTGCCAACTTCATTTCGGACGTTTTTGCAGGAGACTATGGAGAAGAACAGGCGCCTTCCGTACTCAGACCGGGCATAAGCCAAGTCGGTTCAGTGATGTTAAGTTTAGGACAAAGATGCATGGTCCATCCTAGTATCTCTGGAAATTGATTCCTCAGTCATGCTAATCTCAAGGTTTGGCCTCGATTGCCCTTCGTGAACCGAGCTCATCGACGGATCTCCTCCGGCGTCTGGTATATGATTACAGCCATCAATTTCCCAATCATTGCTTTTTACATACCACCCAGTTCACGTAACAAACAGGCCAGAGGTAAATATGGGTTACCATGTACCACATGCCAATGTTCAGCCCCTTCACACGTGCGCGGGAGGGCTTTGACCTCGGCACATAGAAGAAGACTGGATAGTAGGACGAGTGTAAATGGAACGAAGGAAAGGTAGATGGCCAAATTGTGCCCCCACTTATGCAGCCTCTTTGTGTTGGCAAGGGAGACAGACTATGCAGGCCAAGCCGTTAGCCTCAACTTGGGGACCTCCCTTTTCCTACTCTTTGTCTGATTCGCTGGCGGAAAGCACTAAGCATTGCAACGTACATATATGGAGGGTGATCGTCTGGCAGGTGTCCATAGCATCAGTACTTTAACCTTGTTGTCGCTTTCTTGTATCCTAACAACTAACCGCAATAGTGATATCTTATAAATGGGATTTTTCAACCTTAGGGGTATATTTGAGTTCGGTCGGCTTTTGTTGTAGTGAATAAGTTAGTAATATATGAGATGCTTGACAGTCAAGATAGATCGATGGTGCTCTGGCACCACGAACGGGTGGCCCACTCGCTATCACGTAACTTAGCTGTCGTTGCGGTTTTGCTGCTGTTAGAAAGTTATCACTTATTGGTTCTGATTGGCACTGGGAAAGCAAACTCGCCAAATCGCTACGAGGTAAAACGCGGTCAACCTTCCGGCTCCGTGCCTACAAAGCCCCACACCTCTTCTCATACCTACACGTCTACCACACGCAAATCTAGACCTTGCCAAACGTCTTTGTCGTCTTATTATCTCTGTTTTATTCTAATTCACATCAAAGGAGGCATCGGTCGCGGCTTGGATTGTCCTCCGAGCCCTGTGCACCAAGTCCTCCTGGCCTTTTTACAAATCGAAGGCACTTTGTTCTTTTTCCATCCAACGAAAGGCGCGTGAGGGTAAGTGGCATTGTCAAATCTTCATTGAATCAACTGAAACTGAAAATCTTCGTGAAAATAATTTATGCTGGGAACGTGGTCGTCACCTCCCATTGTGTAACGACTGCTCTCGCTGACATATCACATTACACAAGAAAATTTTTGCGCAGACAACATAACCAATTCTCCTCTGCGCCCTCTTCCCCGTCATAGTTCTTCCTCCCGTTTATTCTCCCCTCATGCCGGGTGCAAGATCTAGACCAGGAGTGCTGGCTGCTCAACAAGCCAACCGCGCATCCACACACGGTAAGCAGACGATCGTCAGCAATACCAGTTCACGTCTAATAAATTGCAATAAAAGGCTCAAACGCCAAAGTGCGACAGTCTAGGACTACTGAGAGAAGCACCCGTCAACGTGTACGTATTATGTCGCATTTGCTTGATCGAGTTGAGACTAAGACGCAGTATGAACAGCCGGCTACAGTCCCTTCAGAGCAAATAACAAGAACACCAAACACCGAGACTATTCCCCCATCCCGATATCTTTCTGAAAAGACATACGCCCGGTTATTGGAATGGCTTGATGACTTGCCAGTTCGCCGAACCTGCCGAATTCCCCTGGTTCTGCGTTGCAATAAAGAAACATCAACTATGGCTGATTCTCCCTTGCCCACCAGTGTTCGGGCCGCCAACGATGGAGTGCGCCATAGGAACTACCGTGAACGATTACAGAGCAATGGAATCAGGATGCTCCGCGCTCATGGAAAACCCCCTCAACCCATTCAAGCGATCCTTCTAGACGTGCTGCCGGTCGAGCCCATTGCAATTACTGGACGCGCTGAAGTTACCGCAACCAGAGGTTTGGCAATCAGTGGTGCTGATGAAACTCAAGTGAAGCGCTTGTTCGAGCCAATGATATCGGATCGGATTGATACATCACGTCTGAAAGCCCCGAGCAACACTCCGCTTGACCCCCTACGCGTGCCCAACAGACACGGTCAACGTAGAATTGTCACCCCCAAACCAGATATTTATCTGGGATACGACCACGAACATTTTGAAGATGGTGTTCAGGGCTTATTTAAGAATGTTGACACAAATGTAGCCAAGCTTGCATTCCTGAACGTGGAGCTCAAAGGCGATGGCGAAACGAGTCTAGGTGGCCTTTGGGTAGCAACGAACCAATGCATGGGAGGCGCATCAACGTTTCTCAATATTCTGAACAAGCTGCAGTCTACTTTGCTCGAACACCACCTTGTTGAAGAGGCGAATGCCTTCGAGCCAGTGATTTTTAGCATCGCTAGCAATGGTACCGAAGCTAGACTGTTTGCAACATATTCTCAAAGCGAAGGAGATTTCACTACGTACTTTGTCAGAGGCTTTCTGCTGTACGACGCGTTAAGCAGAGCGACTCTCGACGTCTACATTCAATGTATCGTTGACTGGGGCACGAACAAGCGTCTACAGACGATCGAATCCGCACTCCAAGCTCTCCACCAGTCCGGTGTTCGTGGTGATAGCCCAGCTCCACCCACAATATCCGGCAACGAGGAAAACGAAGATCTCGACAACAGCGAAACAAACCAGTCTTATATTGGAATGTCAGCTTGTTCCATGACTCATTCGCACGCAGACGAGGACATGGCGCCTGAGCCGAGACAGAGGCAGTCGAAAAAGAGAACCGCTGAAACCCAGCCAAGCCCTCCCAAACGGAGAAAACCAACGGGAGCCTAGACAAGATTGCCTAGTAGTTGCTCAGTAATCTATCATTGCTGTTACCATTCACTATGGCCTATCATTCACTCTCTCTCGCATAGGAAGCAGAAGGAATCAAGATACAGCGGGCGATGGAATGGGACGCACTGGTAGAGCCATCAAAGGAAGGACGGTATCTTGCAGGCAGGGGTTAGCATGGCACTATCATAGCTGTAAAAAGAAATCATCGCGCCCCGAGCACTTCCCAACGAGAGCGGAGGGATGGGGCAACCCGCCAAATGAATACGGCTACAGTCTGAAGAAATTTCTTTTCCTACCTGATTTACAGTGCTTTTTCTTATCAAACGTTGAGCGTTGATGTTATACTTGCTGGAACTGCCGGGCTTGGCGTTTGGTAGGAGGGTTGGGGGGGTTGGTAGAGGGCATAGACAGTATAATTCGCCAAACCGCCGTACATCTTTCATTACTATTTCAACTTTATACTCGAACTCTCCCACCCGCCGTCGAGATGGCGTCCATTCCCCGAGCCGAGTTAGATGCTCCGCCACAGGCTAGATCTGAGGCAGGGAGCCAACCCCAGCCTCACGACGCCAGGCAACTCGTAGAACTGTTGCAACCATCTGCGTGACAGTTTGGACCGCCGGCCGCGGCATACAACGGCCCCTCCCAGCTTGATGTCCTGACGCCGAATGAAGGACATCTACTTCGCAAACCAGACGGGACGGCGCGGTACTTTGGAGAGTCGTCAGGAGCAAACTTTCTCAATCACGTCAAAGAATTCATGGTGACTCTTCAGCCCCTTGTCACAGGCGTAGCAGTGCATGAGGGTGTTTCAAATGGGGGCACAATGATCTTAAGGAGCCTTGGGTCGTATCAGACGCACGACTCACGACCTCTAGGCTTGCTTTCCGTAGACTCATTGTGGCTACCTACCCGCACCGAGACGACACTGCTCCTCACCGAGTTTCGGTACTTTTTGCAGGACGGGAATAGCGACTTTCCTAGCGGCAGTATCTTCTACTGGGGCCATGTGCCTGTGATACCGCGAGACCCTGACCGGGCCGACCTCGAGTCGAACGGGCAGCTCGCCCTCCTCCATATGCTCTTTGCAATCTCCGTGAGACTTGGCAGTGGTGCTGGGTGGGAGGAGCAGGGGCATCGAACCAGCCGTGCTTTCTACTCCAGAGCCCGATCACTGCTAGGCAACCCGCTCGACATGATGGCCTCCTCAGAAAGCGAAGTCCCCGTTCTGCTGCTCATTGCTCTGTACTTCTTAGAGATCAATCGCCGTGACGCTGCGTACATGACTGTAAGCGCGACACTGCATCTGGCGGTCATTTACGGGGCGCATACTACATGGGACTGTGACGAGGAGAAGAAGAGAATGTTCTGGACGGCTTTTATCTTGGACACGTGGCTCTCATCTTGGCTAGGTCGACCTCCTTCCATGACTGAGACAGCCATCCGTATCCAGCTACCACAGCACGTAGTGTAAGTTTGCGTTTTCCTGAAGTCTTTTCTCCCATCCAGTGTCCTTTCAAATAGCTTACGCTGAGTAAAGCGGGCTGCCCGACCCAGCCGGACTTGCTGCTCATATCAAACTGGCACGAATCTCTCGTTATGTGACATTTGAGATTTACCGTATTGCCCCGTCAGACCAGTCTGCAGCAACTACTCCGCAACATGTCGAGAAAGCCCTGGAGATGTTACACGATTGGAATGCCTCTCTCCCGCGGAAGTTGTATCTCGACTATGAGAACTTGACCCAAGACAGAGCCTGCTGCGTTTTACATCTGGCATTTAATCAGGTATGCTCAAATGATGTTACATCGTAAAGCATTCTAATTGGTTTATGCAGGAAATCATCCTCACCACGCGGCCAATTTTCTTCATCGCAGTCAAGAAAGCCGTCGCAGACCGCTACATATCGTCCCAGACGTCCCAGTTGCCTCAGTTACCCCAGCAGAGCATAGACGATCATCCACACGCAAATATAATCCGGCAGATCGTCACAACTGCCCGCAACAATCTGCGCCTCGGCCGCTGGATCCGCAATCTCAGCCCCAGGCAACGGCTCCTGCACAATGAAGCCCACGCCGTCTTCAACGCCACCGTCATCATCCTTCTGCAGCAGCTCGCCTTTGCGAACACACCAATGAACGACCAGGACAAGGACGAGATACATATGGCCATTGAGACATTCGAGAGGGAGGCAGCCTCGGGGAACAACTTTGGCCTGGACTGTGCGAGGGTTCTGCAGGACTTGACCTTCCTGGAATCCTGGTCCATCGGGTTCATGACCAGACGGAGACGCCTACCACTCGAGCGCATACACAGTCCTTTTATGACAATCTGGAATCCGATAGTGATGTGCCAGCAATGCCTATATTGGCGGAGAACGAGATTGATTTTCTTCATAGCGAGCTTCAGGGGTGGCTTGACTATGATTTTTTGCAGCTGTACAACGACCATATGTTGTAGTAATAGTAAAAGTTCCAATATAACCCACGGTATTGATAGACAATAGCCAATAAGAACAGTAATAATAGTTTATTGAGCAACTACTCGGCAATACTGTCTGCTTACTGTTATATGATATGAAACAATAAGGAGCATTATATACTACGGCCACGACAGTTGCGCCAGAGCCCCCAAGGTATTCTCTACAGCCCGTAAATAAATGTCCTCTTGCGGTCAGCGTACCTCGTGTTATCAATCCGCTCGCTGGCAATCTCTTCGGGCGTCATTTGCGACAAGATTCTTCTCTTGCGGCGGTTGACGGCAGCAAGCGTAAAGCGGTAGCTGATGTACCCCAGAAGTGAGACGATGGCGATCCCCAGAGTGATGAAGAACGAGACACGGTACGAAGGCCCGTACTTTGCGTCGTACACCTGGGAGCCTATAACACCGGCAAGGTTGCCAAATCCGTTGATGCCCAGAATAATCGTCCTCTTTCCGGGTTCTATTGGTTTTCATAGCGTATTAGAACACGATCCATCACAATTCAGCAACAACATCGAATCAAGGGGGCTTACCTGGTGTGTTCCCGCTCAGCCAGGCAACCGTCAGAGGCGCAGAGACGTAGCAACCGAAAAGCAAGATGCATAAGCCTGCATATTTGGCACCATTTGCGTTGACCGTCGCCGCAATGATGAGACCGATAACTCCAATGCCTATACCTGCGATGATATGGAAGCCTCTCTCCATCCTGTGATGCTCATGAGCATGTTTTCAATGTCGTGGGAGCTTATCATGCGCAACCAACCTTTTGTCAGAACTCCAGGCAAAAAGGAACAGCCCAACAGCGCCGCAAACATATGGGGGGATCGTCATCTACACCAAATAGTCAACAAAATTGTCTCAAAAAGGCGTCAAAGCCTAGTGTTTGCCTACCAAGTTGGCCTCGATGCTCGAGTACCCCAAGCCCTGCACGACCAAAGGCATAAATACGCTGAAGGCTTGCGTGGGTACACTGGCGCAGATGTTGAAGACGAGGACGAACCACAGCTTCCAGTCCTTGAGCGCCTCGACGATGTCTCGCCTGGTGAGTCGGTCCTGCTCCAAGCCGTCTTCGCCGTATTCGTGGCGGATGTACAGGGCAGTGTCTCGCTGCATGCGCTCGGTAGCAAACTTGCGCTCCTCGGCAGTAAGAAACCACGCGGATCCTGGGCCAGCGGGGAGCATGAACCAGGCTATGATTGCGACAGCGCAGGTCAAGACGCCTTCAATGATGAATAGGTATTGCCAGTTTCGGAGGGACCCGGACTTGAGGTGGAAGATGCCAAAGGCTTCAAAATGATCAGTCAGACTATTTACACTATACGAGATTTGGCGCATCTACTCACAAATGGCACCGGCAAATGCACCTGCGATCGCATATTGCCCATAGAAGATGGCTATCCGAATAGCGAGGTCGAATCTGGTATAGAAGAAGGAGAGGTATGACACGCATGTCGGGTAGAAGCCAGCCTCAAAGACTCCGATTACAAGCCGCATCGCAATGAGTGCGCCTAGGAATGGGAAATGACCGGTGTTAAATTCAAGTTTAATGGGATGGGCTCAAGGAAAGGGCAGATACTCACCACGACCCTTGATGAAGGCTTGTCCAATAGTTACGGCGCCCCAGGCAAACTGCAAAGACTCCTTCAGCGTTGTGTCAAGGTTAAGCGAGTATTGTAGGAACCATACCGTCATGAAGGGAATCCAATGCTTTGGCCCGATGATGCGGCCAAGTGCAGCAGAGGGAGGTTGGAATAACACAAAGGTGATGAAGAAAAGAGACACGGAGAGGTTGAGGTCAGATGGTGCAGCTCCAATATCCTTGGTGAAACCTATTGCAGAATTCGAGTCAAACCAGGGCTATTGGGGTCAGGTAGAGATATACTGACCTTGAGTCTCTGCATTGCCAATGTTGCCTTTGTCGAGTCCGTTGAAGAGGTAAAGCAGAGAGAGCATGGGCAGCATCGCAACATCCATCTTACGGTTGATGCGACGGCTGAGAAGTGCCTCTTCTGGAGTCATGTCATCCACGAGGCCGGCAGGAACATTTTCCTTGGTCGTGAGCTGCTGCTCAACCTCTTCGTTGAGGATTTTGGCATCATCAACATCGTGATGCTGCGTTGAAAGCGCGACGGGTTGAGCCATGACTTTGGCCGAGTCTCGAAATGTCGGTCAGAGGGATTAAAGATGAAGAGTGCAATATTGAGAATGCTACGGTGACTGCAGATCCCTTTATATAAATCCAAGGACTGGTCAGGAGCGAAGTGACAAGGACAAGGCCCAGGAATATCCCTGATTCGTGTTTATCCGAGGGTAGAATTCGAACACGGGTCAATGACCCGTGAGTGGGTGAGTGACCCGCCAATAATGGAGAGGAGATCCAATATTTAGAGAGGAGCTCAGCACTAGAAAAACAGCACTTGAAGCAACTGATTGGACAGAAGACGATGCTTTTGAGCTCATCCCCACGGGGCCCCGGTGACTGACCTTCCAAGAGCCGAGAATCAGTACGGGTAAGGACCCGTGCGAGAGGAGAAATGATGTCCTGGCACCAAATCCAATGTTAAATATGAGCCCGGGCCAGGCATCTTCCCAATAGCAAGATCAGCTCATGCAACCAATAGATGGTCTTGGCATATTGCGCTCTCGATAAACGGATCCAGGGACAGCCATGAGCAAACCATCACATCTCTCTGGGCAGGATTACGCCAGTCCCCTCTCGTTCGACCTTGGCAAGGCAAAGCTCAACAAGACAGTGGACATTGGAAATAACGGTGTATCCGCGTCGACTGACCAGTTTGGACGGGTATGTCACCTTTAATGACGGCGATGGTGTCACTGTTAACGATGGCTTCGCAGGTTCTTCAGCTCAGTACTTACCACCCGATACACGGCATCATTGTCGCTGCGCCGGACTCTCAATTCGACAAGACCCGGTATCACGACCCTCAATATGTTCGCCAGTACCGAACCAAGATGCTTCAAATGTTGGCAAATGACGAGGAAGGATTCGGAATCGTCGTTCGCGACTTGAATCTCACATTCAGACTACAACACTTATCGATGAGTGCGGCAAGATCAAGTTGCACTACCAAAAGGGGCATCTGCGTTACAACCACCATGCATGTCGATGATGAAAGAAACTTTTCCCAGACGGTTGTGCTTCGGAATCCAACGACGGCCCCCATGTTCGTCGACTATCGGATCAATCTTCGGCTCAGTGTGCACCGCGCTTCTTACGGTCAACTAACAGAAGGAGGGCCTTTGATCCCCCCTGACTGCGAAAATCACCTTCACCTAGAGGACAACACCACTTTCAGTGTGACTAACCCTCTACTAGGAGGTTGCCTTCTGGGTAGTCTGACCTTAGATGATAAACCCCACGTCTTATCAGGAATTCAAGAGTCGGTTTCTACGGGCGTCCTATCTGACGCTATCAGTCCAGTGCAGACGATAACAATCGATACGGAGTCCCAGGTCACTCTAAGGGCGCAATTTACCCTATTCGCGAGCATTCCAGACAAGGACCCTGTTGTCCCATCGAGAACTTGTTCCGGGGAAAACCGACGCTTGTGCTCGGGATGGAGAGACGCCAGTCGTTGTAGCACTTATATAGTCAGACGCAATGTCGACTATATACTGGGTAATTGCGTCGTGCCCATGCCCGGCGATGTTGTAGGGCTCATCACAGACCACGTTGCATTACCATTGGGTTGGAACAGAGATAACTAGTAAGTGAATGTCGAAGCCATATAGATGTACTCCGCTTGTGCTAACTAAATGACCCAGTTGGCAATGGCGGTTGTTGCTCAATGTATATCAGCGCCTCGGCAAGCTTTTAGAGCCCATCCAACAGGACGTATATAAAACCAGAATCGAGCGGGCACTAAAAGGCCACCTCAAATGGGCGCATGAGGTGGCCGAGAGACCGCACACCTTCTGGCACCGGTCATACGTGATCGCCGGCAAGCCCAAGGACGGCCCGACGTTCCAGCTAGATCAGCAGTGCTACCCCCTGCTCGAGCTTTGCGATTATTCTGATGCATTCCCTGATGATAAAACATTTGTGCGAGACCTAGTGCGCGGCATGGCTGTGCGTGAGGTACTGTCTTCCATTGTGTCAAGGCGGGATGCATCCAGTGGTCTCTTCCCCACGGACGAGACACCCGGAGACGACGCGGTCGACCACCCTTTCCACTTCTCAAGTCACGTTCTACTATGGTACACCGTCTACAGGACTGCCAAGTTGTTCCTAGAGTACGGAGCTCCAATGGGGTTCTCACACCAGGGTGTATTGGACTTGGCCACATCGATCCGTCGTGCAACACTGGAGCACTTTATTCAAAACACAGAGGGCGATGAAGAGTCAGAAGGGTTTCAAATGATAGCCTATCTGGTAGACGGTCTAGGGACCAAGACGTTCTACCACGACGCAAATGACATTCCCACCATCTTCGCCGTGCAATGGGGTTTCCTCACGTCCGAAGCTGAGATCAAAGCCTGGCACAACACGATGGCATTCGCCCTGTCGCCTCGAAATCGACTCGGTTACGTTGCCGGCGGCGACTTTTCTGGGCTTGGAAGCGTGCACTCCAAGGGTCCGTGGCCGTTGGGGTATTTCCAGGAGCTCCTCTATGCGCACATGACGGGAGACGATGCCGGCAGAGAGGGGGCCATCAAACGAATCGTCGGTTCAATGCAGTGGGATGGGACTTTTGGCGAGGCAGTCAACTCTGAGACTGGGGCAGTGACGAGTAAGGCGTGGTTTAGCTGGCCTGGCGCCATGATCGGTTCCATGATCGTCGAAGAGGGGATATACTTCTGATGATCTGGATCAAAAGTATAATCAGGGCTGTCCTCTGTCTTTTGTCATTCTGGTCGATTTCAAGAGTTTCTGGGTGGTTGTGCGGTAGTTGCATTGTAGAAGTAACTGCCCATCCCTTACTCTCTCACGTATAAAGTGAGCCAATGCCAGCATGGATGTGCCTCCCGCCTCCTTTCCTCTCTCGTATTCATTGTGTGGGTGCGCAGGTGTACTTGCTGCACTTGCAATGCTTGGACGCAGGGTCACTTGCAGCTCTACCTGTGCAAGCTCGGGTGGGCAGGATCAACTTGCTGCACTTGCAATGCTTGGGTGGGCAGGGTCACTTGCTGTACTTGCAATGCTGTGGGTGCAGGTTCACTTGCAGGGTCACTTGCAGGGGTCGCAAAGGCCGCCAAGCCCAAGAAGCGAGGAACTGTCCGAATACGGCAATGGTCAGCGCCACAGTGGGGTCTGTTCAGCCAATGAGCACCCGAGATTCTTGCAAAAAGTCCATCGCAGCTCTGTGAATCCGCCCATCCATCACAGCTCCGATGTTGGCTGCTTGGCTTTTGCAAGTCCCTGTTAAGCAGGCCAACAGGGGGGGAGGGTCTATTCGCAAGGGAAAACGCCCTGACGTCGCACAGTGCTTTACTCAATGGAGGGGTAGTGCGCGCGATGATGCACGGGAGATATCTGGTCAGGCACCTTTGCTTGCTGCCATTTACTCCGTGCTCGAACTCTCACCCGTAGCAGCCTTTACCTGCAGGCGGCTTAAGCTTTCGCCTTCAGCGCCAGCGCCCCTCTCTCACGGTATAGGTATTTGGCGGAGGAAGAGAAGGCTGCGGAGCCCGGCATGGGAGCGGCGCTTAGGGATGCATTGCTGGTCGATGCATGCACAAGGGAACCAACGATGTTCGAGCCAAGCGCCGGCGGCGGTGCGACTGCTGGGTGCAGTAGGTCTCCTACTCCATGAAACTCATGGCTGGCCATGTCTACTGCTCGCCCCTCGATCCATCCATCCCCACGCTTGTCTTGAAGTCTTGGATCTCCTGGGATCAGGCACTCATGCCATGTTGTATGTATTCGTTGTGCTGATCTGTTGGGGCGGGCATCGTCCGTTGCTTTTTTCTTTTTTGTCTTTCTCACTCGTCATGTTGTATGTCTCTCGCCACCTCGCTGAAATCGAGAGAATGCTTCCTAAAAACCGGGTCTACAGCTGACGATGTGCTTCTTAGCAACCAAGCAGTTGAGATTAGTCTTAGCTTTAGTCTGCTGAGTAGATCCTCGGCTGTCTTCCTTCCCAGCAGGTGACTGGAGGCTTTAGCTATAACATTGATGGTTTTCCCTATCACGCACTCGACATCTCCGACTGCATCTCGTGGTGTTTTGACCCAACTCCGGACCCTGTTTCCATACCCTCCCCCTCACTGTACTATCTTTTATTATATTTAAAGATTAAAAAGCTTTTTGATTAATACTATATTTTAAACCCTGATTTCTTCTATATCTTTTTCTTTCTTCTTATTTATATTGATTTTAGATTTTATTATATTTAAATAGATAATTTTATTATTTTTAAAAATTAAAAAATTAATTATAATTAAAAACTATAAATATTAGTATTAATATTTTAATTAAGAGATTTTTAATACTTATTAAATTAAGTAATATTTTTATAAATTAAAAAGATTTATATTTAATATATTAAAATATTTAGATTAATATAATAGAAAATAAAAAACTATATAAAGAAAATAACTTTAATAATTATTTAATATATAGTTTATTTTAATAATAAGTAAATTATTAATATAAAGATTTATAAAATTTTCTACTATATAATTATAATCTTAGACTGATAAAGCTTTTTTTTATTAACTTTTTATATTTATTATATTACGTTATTAGATCTGATATCTTCTTTTGCTTTAACTTTCTATCAAAACTCTCTCTGGTCTCCATACCCTCCAGTTGGGTCAGGTTTTTCCTCTCAAGTCCGTTAAACAGGGCCCCCAGAAATCACGGCCCGACTTCGCCGGAACGGCCTTGTAATGCAAGACATCTCTCCACAGCTGATGCTAGTGGTTCCTTCGTTTATTCACCAAGTTGTTCCATGGTGCTTGTGGGGTTGTCTTTGGGATCATTGAGGAGTAGAATTTGTGCAAAAAGTCCTCCCAGGTCATCCTATTTCCCTTCAGGCCCCTCGTGATTCTGGCCCAGAAAACCTCTTGGCGTGGGACTCTTTCCCCGCCTCAACTACACTTTCAAGAGGAAAGAGTTGCTGTCGAGGAGAGAAAGGCTCGCAGGGAGAAACGTCCGTTCTAGGAGAGTCTTTCGTCTTGAGAGAGACCTTGCTATGAGAGATTCGTTCGACGATTGTAAATGTATTGCTGTTCAACGGCTGTTGGCAACGAACTCAAAGTTAGCCGACACTCCACTTCTTACGTTGTTATGGTTGCGTTCTTTCAAGTACCTGGTGGCGGGCTTCCCTTGTGATCACTTCGATTAACTTGCATTTGTATCCTCTCGTCCTAGCGAACGAGGCGGTTGCGCCATTTCTCGTTCCGATGAACGATTTATTCTTCCTCTTTCCGTATATGACGGGGAGTGTGGCCTCACCAGAGGCGGGAGCCAAGTTGAGAACCATTATGCCCGGTGAACAATGCATTGTACTACCTTGGGTCGTCCGCAGAAGCCTTGATCTCGATTTTTTTTCCCTTTGCCTGCTTGGAGATTCTGGGGTTTTGTGCCCCGATCTGACGAAATACCTGGTCGTGAAATATAGTACATGAACAGAGAAGAAAGGAGGAGAAAAGTGCGGCAGATATTGAATAGCTGCCAGACTGCAAGAAGGTGCGGAGCTTCTCTTTTGCTACGCGTACGCTGTGAGAGAAGAGGTTATCCAAGTAGGTACCTAGGTAGGTCTCATGGCGCGTTAGTTAAATGCTTTCTGCCCGTACATGCCCTCTACCAAGCCGACCCAACCCTCCTACTGAACGCCAAGCCCTACAATCCCAGCAAGTATGCAATTAATGCTCAATCGTTTGATAAAAAGCATATGAAATCAGGTGAGGAACGAAATTTCTTCAGTCTCAGCATCTAGGCACGCGCTCCTCCTCTACTAAGCACTTCTTCCCTGCACAGTCTAGGTAGTTTGTAATTTGTGCGGCCAGGTGTGCTCCAGCCAGACAATGAACCATCTTTGTGCACTCTGTAGCACTGATCAGCCATCTAGAACTCTTGTCTGTTCGAGGGCATTTTTTCGGATCTCGCATCTTCACTTACATTCGGAAACGCTCAATGGCATGCAGTCTATACTCGGCGTTGAGGATTTCAACATCGCCTCCAATGAATGGCTTCATCGCAACTTTGAGCTCTGCGAGAGTGAACTCCTCCTTGGAGACGTACAGCCGCTCGCGATATTCAGGGGAGGGACTTGGCTCATTGCGCAGCTCGTCGAACCTATCCGAGTCCTCCCTCGTCCACTGGGCCGTATCACGCCCCCCATGCGAATTCCTCTCCGCATCACTGTCCGTGAGAGACGCTGTTGCGTCAGCTTCTTCGGTCGGCGCTCCCACATCAGGCTCCGTGAACGAGTTCGCCGCGTCTCTCAGGGATGGCACGGCAGTCCTTTTGCGCAATCTGCACAAACTGCTGTCAGGTGGAGGCGTATGGGTAGGATCTTGGCTTGCCATGGTTGGATCTCCGAGAGTAGCTGAACGTTTGGTTTTTCAAGTGTCTGTACCACTGGTTAGGTCTTAAATGTTGCTGTCGTGTGAAATTTCTGTGACCTGCCTGCGAATGTTCTGTTCTCCTCAAATAAAGAGAAGACTCCGGGGGCTCCCGCCACATAAATATTCAAAACCTGGCCATGTCTCTACAGGCATAATTTCGAGGATCCACCGTGTCTCAGGAGGTAGTGCACGGGAACTAGATTCAAGTACTCTGGTCACTTGATTTGATCTGATTAAAGAACAGCCAAATGGAGCGAGCTGTAAAGTCTCACCGTGTTACTGTCCGCACTAATGTTCGTCGACAAATACGCTCGACAGATCTATCCCCTTCACTCCTACCACTACGCAAGGATCAACTCTCATTTGTAAACATATGAGGTTGTGGCAAGATTGGAACCTTGCGGTCTAATCTTGCATTAGGTGACTTCAAATCACTCTCACTTTTACTAAAAAACAAATTCTGACTGGCTTTGCGTAACACGGTCTGAATTATGATTCGAACGATGAACATTTCTATTAAAATCACCAACTATGTTATGTAGCGACTATGTTGTGTCCTTGGATAATGAATGAATGAATCATAGATGATAGAACCATCTTAGCCTGGGTTTGTTTCAGTTTTCTACTTGGTGCAAGCAAGACTTCAGACAAACAAACGAAAATTTGTGCAACGGCAACAAAGGATAACATAAAGGAATATAAATTACACGGTGTGCTCATGCGTGTTTGCATATAGTGTACAGCACACAATGTCTAATACTCGAGCTCGGTTTAGTTCCCGAGTTCCCAACAGCCAAGGAGCCGGTTTGATTGGCCAGCCGGTTTGGCAGCCGATTCCCGATGCACGCAATCACCATTGGCCAGTTTCCGGAAATATGGGTCCCGATACGCACTTGCCTGCAGCTTACCCTAGAGCCCGGAGCATGGTTTGATGTTGAATACTGATCTGGCAAATCAAATATGCTGCAACATGCGGTTGGATCGTTATGCGTAAGTATTCTTACTATGGGTTTGTTCGGACCTTTTGAAGAAATGGAAACTTGTAAACTCCCCCTTTTTTTTTCGAATTGTATGCACAAAATGAACGGTCTTGAGATTGTAAGTTAACTAGTTATTCAAAAACGCTGATAGTAACTCCTCCGATTATATTGCACCCCTTTCACCAAGACACAAGGATGGGTAGTTCAAAGACGCAAGTTTGCTTGTTAGCTTGTTTGTCATTAGTCGTCAAGCCTACATCTTCCCAGCAAAATTTCGGCCGCGTGTTCGCTCCCTGAAAACCACGAAATCATAAAAATCAAATGTCAATCATAACCTAAGCAAGAGGGTGACAGGAGACACGTAAAGGATGAGGGGTTATAAATGGACTACTTTCCGCGATGAAGAGAGAAATTCCGTAGTGCAAAAAGAAATAAAAGTGACAATATGTGCTATTGTCTCTGAAGACTGTATTATTAGCACTCAACAATCCGACAATACCGGTCGCAGGCATGAGAATAAGCAGTTTAAGGTTTAAGAGGCATTTGGGCGCTGCTCGACTCTTCTGACAGGTCCGCTTGATATGGTAGGGTTCCTCATCTTTGACGATGGATTACTAGCTGAGGTACCCACGGACTTTGTAACGATATCAAAGGCGCCAAGTTTGATTTCTGCCTCGATCTTTTTGAGCGGCCGCACGAGGAACTGCTCAAGTGAGCATCGGTGGACCGTGGGGATGGGGTTCCCGATGGGGTCGTGGCGGATCGAAGCCCAGTTGGGTCTCCGGTAGCTCGAGAGAGTCTCTAGAATGCTGGATAGAGAGTAGCCATCGGCGGGGCGTGTTTCCTCGTTTTTGAGGTGCTCGAGCGTTTGCGTGGCTCTGACCAGAGTTCCTAAGAGCATTGAGGCGCAATCAGGCACAGTGCAGTTCGTCTGGCCCATACACAAGGCCTTGTGAATCCGAGCGACGTAAGTGAACACTTTGGTGACCAATTCCTGCCTTCTGACCTCGAGCATGCCTAGAGCAGGGGCGACTGGAAGATCCGGAACAAGGATTGGATGGGTGGAAAATCTGATGATTGTCTCAGCCATGACGTTGAAGATTTCGGGGCGAGCGAACACCCAAGAAATCGAAAGCCAACGGATGACATCTTCTCCAAAGACGCTTCTAGGTGGAACGGAATTCTCCCTCTGAAGGGCCGCGATCCATTGGTCAACGAAGATCTCAAAGATCTCGTGGCATTGGTAGTAATCGACTACCGTTGCTATGGAAGTGAGCATCTTGAGGTTCACCATTTTGGGAACGTTCCTATGATGCCCATGCATGATGTGGAACATGATTAAGACTGCCTCGCTGTCCCACTCACTGGAGGTGAGCTGGCGTATGCTGCCCTCTTGGCTCCCGTCCGCAGGTACGAGAGAAGACTGGGACCAGGACCCCGTTATCATTGTGCGGAAGACGGGACTTGCCAGCCCCAGATGAGCCCCAGACACCTTAAAATGAATCTCATCGGGGGGCTCACGGTCAAAGCTACTAGAGCCGGACTGGGCATATTTGCCTGACAAGGTTCTAGCTCGTTTGCTTTCACTTTCAGTCGGGGGCCCGGGAGAACGAATCAAGCGCTTCCGGTTGGAAATGTCGATTGTAATGGGTTTGTTGGGGCTCTTTAGAATGTACTGGGTGTCTCCGTTGGGGTCGAAGACATACTCGTCGATGATGACCTTTTTCGCGATAGGCGGCGGCACAACAGTGAACAGACAAGGGGGCAAAGCCATTTTGCTTTTGGACACTGATCTGGGAGCGCAAGAGAGACACTCGACAGCTATGAGAAGCTGGCCTCGAACAAGCCTAGGCGTGGCGGTGGGATTGGCGATGAGCGGGTTGAGTGGGCTGACTGGAGCGTGAAGTGAAGCCCCTCATGAACCCCCGCCGCTCTGCTGATTTTTCCTTTGTGCTCGAGCCTTCTGGTCGTCTGCTGACGTCACGTCATGCAAGTGAGACACCGAGGCGCTTCGTCTAGATATTAGTCTAACAGAGTGTGTAGCGGCCGCTCAGGTAGGGCTGGCACCCGGGGCACTGATCTGGGAATTGATGATGGCAGGTCTAAAATCGAATTCGTGCATGCTCCTGCTTGGCTTTCCGATCTACAGCGTGATTATCGGATCGGATGGGGCCGATGAATGTTAATTTCTCTGGCGGTGGAGGAGGACTAGTGGAACCAGCAGCCGAGCGGGTCTTGCTCAGCCAAAAACCGCCGTATTGCATGTCTTGGAAATGAAATAAGTGACTATATATCGTATTATTTCTAAAGCATAACTTGATAATACTGGTCACAGATTCGAGAATAAGCGGCTTATTGTTCGAGTGTCTCAATTTCAATGTCGCTCACTTGGCAAGATGCATCAATTGGTTGGAGCATTTATTACTAAGACGCATAAAGAGAAAAGACGCCTGTACAGTGTGATGGGCGCTAGAAGGGATGCTCAGTTACGGGGCAGGGAGAGGTGAAACATGGGAGGAATTGATTCCGAGTCCCACTATTTGATAACAGAGGGTCTTAGTATTTCAGAGGGCTATTTTTAAAACAGAGTGTTGGCACCGCTGGAGGGAATTCTACTGCTGCGGGATGATGGCAGCTATTAGGGGCTTGTCGTGCTGTAATCGCCAGTGCGAGGGAATTTCGGTGCAGGTGGATGAGACATATCAGAGCAAGACAAAAGGCCAATCCTTCTGCCCGCTGCACTATTCCACCTTTAATCCTCCGATATTACTGGGCTCGATGCCCTTATTTTCCCTGCTTCCAGTATCCAGATGCGACCTTGGTGCTGCGTCCCCGGTACTTGCAGTCGCCGATGATGGGGCAGAGGTACAGGTACTTTGACTAAGCATGCACTCTCACCAGGCCTGAGGTATCGGAACCTCCCTCCGTGTCTCATCACAGCCCCTTCATAACTCCGCATCGTCTATGGATCAGCCTGGATCATCCTGGCGGCTACGCAACATTCATGCCAGCCAAGCCTTGACAGCCATGTCTTGTAGCCAATCACCCCCCTGGTGGTTATGGCCCCCAATTCTCGCAACTGAATGGGCATTTCGAGCTGCTGTTCGACATCGTCATATGTAGTCCCGCCTTTCCCTCTCCTCGAATTCCCCCGCCACCGTCACTCGATGGCCAGTTTCGCTTCCCTTCACGACTGAAATCGCCATGGAAGCCAAGATGCAGTACGGCGGCGACGACTTCAGCCCGCCAAAATCCCAACCGCCCGGTACCGTCTACACTATCCAGCAGGTATCCTCGCCGACGACTACCTTCCAAGGATACGATGGCTCCGAGAGCATCGCCAAGTCCGAGGCCATCCGGCCCATGAACCGCCAGCGACTCGCCCTCTTCCTCACTGACATCGTCTCTGTCATTCTCTGCCTAGCTCCCCTGATTTTCGTATGCGTCGTCGCGGCCCTGGATCGAACGGATCTCGACGACCGCTATGACGGCTTCCAGACCGCCCTCACCACTCTCGGCCCCCTGTTCCCAATGGTATTCGCCTTCATCACGAGCCGGTTACTTTTCCAGATCGCTCGCCAGAGACTCGAGAGGGGATCGACGCTAGAGACTTTGGAGCAGCTCATGGGTAGCCGGACCCTGGGATCGACTCTGGAAACCCACGCAGAGCTCCAGATCGTCAACCTCGCGGCCGTGGGTCTCTTCATCATGTGGGCCTTCTCTCCTCTCGGTGGCCAGGCTCTTCTGCGGGTTCTCTATAAGACAACGACACCCATGGAGACGAAGATGAGGTACTGGGATACCACCGAGGCGAGCTCGCTTAGTAGCTATTCGCTCTTCACCAAATCCACTTACTATACGAGCCTTTACGCGCACGATGATATTCGCCTGGGGCCTGACGATCCCTGGGGTAATGTCAAGATCCCGTTTCTGGACACCGATGCGACGCCCGATGACCAAGGCTGGGAGGACTGGCTGCTGATTCGGCCGTCAAGTATACAGCCTTAGTCGGGATCCCCACCGGAAATACGACCGTCGGCAACAGCACCTTTAACATCGAATCCACGTATATCGACCTAGTCTGCGAGGCGTTCAAGAAGGAGGCGATCACAAGCGGCACTACACAGAATATTAGTCGGAGTGAGGTGCCTCTGACGACCTTGACTGCCGGGTCCAAATCATTGGCAAATGGAACATGGTACGGGTCACAGCACAACACATCGGCAACCGATTCATTTTGGAACTTGGCCCTGAACAGATTCGTGGGCTCGTCCTGGCAAGGCACGACGACCAACGTCTACACCATGAACGCCCTCTCTCGCTTCATAAACGAAACCGATATCGAAGCAGGCCCAACACGGCTCCTCTTCCAGGCAAGAAGAAACCAGACCGGATCCCAGACGCTCAAAGGCGAATCCCACCAATCCGAGTGTCAAGTCCTCCAGAAGTACGTCGAGTCGCAGATCGAGTGTTCAAGGGCCACTCTCAGCAGAAGGCCATCTTGTCAGGTGGTGCGACAGCGACCATCCAAGCGCAATCTCATGCCTGAGAACCTATCGGTTCTCTCCACCCCGAATATCTTCACCAGGGTAACAAGTGACCTCCCATCGCTGCTCATCGAGTCCTACGATCAAATCCTACCGTACCTATACAACCAGTCAGTCTCAGCCAAGGACAGCCTAGTCACGCCAACCCCTGATTTCACAATGGCGAACCTCAACAACTTCAGCAAGGCTCTCAGCCAAGTGCTCAACTCGTACCTACTGGTTGTCCAAGCAAACCTCGACATATACAAGGACCTGAATGTCGCCGCGTGGGAGCTGGAGGACAAGGACCCCAACACCAAGATGAGGCTCACCATCTGGAAGCCCTCGCCGGGCGAGACGACCGCCGTCCGATACGTGTACCGGATCAACTGGGGTTGGATGTCCGCCTGCATAATCGCCTGCGTCATCCTGGCCCTCAACGGCGTGGCCGGCATCTACTTTGCGCACTCGGCCGTCGGGCCCGAGGTGCTGGGCCTGGTCTCGTCGTCGCTCAGGGACTCGAGGTTCCTCGACATCCCGAGGGAGATCCGCCACCTCGACGGGTACCACTTCTCGCAGCTGATGAAGCTGAAGCGGTTCAGGTACGGGCACACGTCACAGAGCACACCTGACAGGCCGGTGCTGGGGATCGCCCTGCAGGAGGACGTGGGGAAGCTTCACTGAGGGAATGGCTTGAATCACAGAGCGCTTGATTGCGAATTTTGGCTTTGGTTATTTATTTATTTATTGGTTTGTGAATAGAAAACTATAACTATTAAGACCACCCCACCTCGTGGGATTGTGCCGCGACGATGAGCATAAACCACATTGCCAAGTTGATCGTCCAGCTGTTAAAAGCTTCGAAGTTGTCAGGACAGTGGTTGCTATATGGTATTGCGACGTATTCCATATTGGGGTCTTCTCTTCTTCTTTTACCCTTCGTGGGTGCACTGGTATCGGGAGATGATGTATTATTAGACTGGGCTTTCCAACATGCTCGCCTCCAACTGCTCGAACAAGGGGTTGCACTCCGCCATGACGGCTTCGCGCTCCTCGTGGGGGAACAGGCAGACGTGGCTGAACACAGGCGCGAAGTAGTTTATAACTTTCTCATCGAAGAACCGCCGGTCCCAGTACATGGGGTGGTCGTCCAGCTGGATCTTGCCGTCGAGTATCTTTCGCAAGATACCAGCCGTGGCCTTGGGCCCGGCAGTTCCCTCCGTAAGCGTGTCCGGGAAAGTCGTGGAACGAAGAGGTTCGATCCTCGAGTCAGCCATGGCCTGGACAGTATACCAGGGTCTTACGCACGGGCACAACTTCATCCCACGGTATACTGTATCGCATGTTTCGCCCGACGGACTTGACTTGGCCAAGCCCCAGTCTGGTACTGTCCTTGAAACCCTATTTGGCCGTAAGAAGTTGGTAAAGGCTGCTGCTACGGCGGCGGAAGCAGCCCTTGAATAGAGTAGTGCATCGGAAGTTGTTGCATTATTACCGGAGGCATCAGTGCACGGGGTGCTTCGAGGCTCAGCCCGGCTATGGTATCTCGGAAGGCCTGCAGTAGATCAAGCTCATGGCCGTATGTATTTTGAGAGTGAAGCTTCATATTGGTCCTATGGATCTGCGGGAGTCTCTTGCGTCCGCAGTAGTGAGCGTATGCCTTGCTGGCCTCGTTCTTGCTCGGCGGATTGTTGGACACAGAATCGGCGGATTGCTGGACACAGAATCGGCGGATTGCTGGACACAGAATCTGCGGCTCTGTAGAGGAACTCAAGGTTCTCGGCCCCATTGGAGTCAGCTTCCTCTTCGAAAACGACGTCCGGCCCCAAATGAACCCTGCCCTTCGTCTTCGACTTGGGGAAACTCTTCCTTATGTTGTTTTTCATGTTCTCGACTTTGCTGGCTTGTTCAGCATGAGGGTTGTTTGCCAACCGTCGAGGCCATGACTTATTCGATTATTCATATGTAAAATGAGTCCCGCGTCCGGCCCCAATTAGTGATCGACATTAGGCAAGGGCCCAAGACATGGTCGTGGGAACTGGAGAAGATTCTTTGCCCCACGGAAGCAATGTCATGTTTACCTCCCAGAGCAGCCGCGGAGCGCCGATGGTGACTTTTTTGTCTCGGCTATGGGGCACTCTATTTGGGTTCGACAATGTTTCCAGGATTCTCTCGAGAAGCGGCCTGAGCCTTGGGGGTACATCTGGCCTTATTATTTCGCGGCTAGTCTGATCATTGGCAGGAATGTGCTGGCTTTGATCAATTCGAGTACGGTTTGGAACGGCGTTCACTATCCTCGACTTGCGGTGCGACTGGTTCAGGGGAGTGAGAAGAATGGTGTGCACCAGAACCGGTAGACAGTGTCCCAGTGTTTTACTTGGGAGAGTCGATATATTGTGTAAGAAGAAGCAAGAGGCCAAGCCATCTGGAAAATAAACCATGCAGGCCCATGCAATGCTCCCCATGGTTCATGTCTTTATTTGAGATTCGTCATCGACAAATTAGGGGGGTGGCTGCTCGGCGGCATCCCGAAGGCTGGATCCTTGGTGCCACGGGAGAGAACGAATAGTTTGGTTTCTGAGTCTCGCGAGGAAGCAGACGGGACCAAGGATTACAACTCGTACTCCAGCGCGCAGCAGTACAAGCTCCAGCGAAGCACTATGAGTATCTCGACCGTAGGCGTACAATGGCGAAATGAATGCATTGGTGAGGGCAACACCCGTAGGGGTACAAAGGCGATATGAATGCATTCCCCAACATCTTCGGTGAGGGTCTGCTGTTCGGGAGATGGTACGACTCCCAGCAGCCTTCTGGACTTCGTATTTATCTTTGCTCTCCAGCCCAAGAGATGATTTGGTGAAGCTTCGGTGTTGGGCGAACGGGCCAAAGTCTGGCATTGTCGCAGCGCGGGACTAGAATGGTTGCCTTGTTATTCCTCACCAAGAACGTCCACATTGTTCTTGACACTTGCCCACCCTCTCACCATCCGCAGGGGAGATTAGTGGTGGTGGTGGTGGTGTGGCAACCTAGCGTTCTCGATAGCATCCATGCTTCTTGAACGCCGAAGAAGACCAACAGATGTGGCATGAGTAAGGTATTTGGGGGAAAGGGATGTATAATTATTTGTTATCATGTTATTAGATGTTATTTTATGTGAGTTGTTGTATGAAGATGGGGGAAAAGTAAGGAGGGGAGGGCGGTATTTATATGCAAATGCCTCGAGGCAAATGAGATCGCCTCACAAAGGTCCTTTGTTGGTATGAAATAACGGTGGTTAGTTGCATTGAAGCCTAGATCGTGGTCCGAGCCCAGCCTCAGTCGTCAAATCATTGGCCAAGCAGGTGAAAATGCGGACCTTGAATGGTTTGGGAACTCACTCTTTGTTTCGGAAGAGAGTGATGAAGAGCTAGCGCGATGCCAGTTTTGCAGATGGTGAATCTAAAGGAGATGTGTCAGTTCTGGAACTCTGGTACAACATAAAGCACAGCGAACATGTCGAGTTGAATGTGATAGTGTTGGAGATTTGGGAGGCATTCCCTGTCAGATTCCCAGGAGTTCGTGTCGTCTTTCAACTGATACCTTGGAGATGAGCCGAGCTTGTCGTCACTATCCACGGTCAGCGACCCCTTGTGCTTCAAGTTGTTTCATAATAGTTTGCCACAGATTTTCAGTTGATAGCCTCAATTGGCATCTAGTTAGACTATCCCTATCAATGGATGCAGCATCTTGGAGCCGAATAAAGCCAAGTCGAATCAAATCAAATCCAATGCAAATCAACGCCCAATGCAAATCAAAGCTCGATCGTAACTCGATGGTACCCCTTTATAATATTTTCGTGTTCCAGAAATCTTAGCCAATGCGGAGGTCAGCAGCGATGCGTCTGTAGTATCGACCACTTACTATCCCGATGAATCACAGTTTCATGCCCACTTTCCCAAAATAGCCATAGCTAAAATGCCCGAGTAAAGCGAGGTAAAAGCAACCACAAGCCTCCGTTTATCCCATGGCTGGGCGTTCAAGAGAATGTCTCGTGCCAACATCTCAACAAAGCCAGTGTACAGCAGGATGCCGCTCGAAATAGAATCAAGAACACCGGAAATGGCTTGGGCCCGGAATGAATCGCTGTCATATGTCGTTCTTAGACCCAGGCCGATGGCGAGAGCGATTGGTGTTGTCAGCCCGTAGGCGAGAGCCAGCACGTACGGTACAAATCGGTATTTCCTTGGGAATGGGATTGAACTGAGACGGGCTCCGATACCAAGTCCTTCAAAAGCTTGGTGGAAGGCAATGACGGGATACAAGGTTGAGAACTCCTTTCCAACAACTCCGAGATTCACGCCGATGATGCCAGAGTGGAAGAGCACGCCGAATTCGAGGATGAGGAACGCTGCCATCTTAGAGTAGAAGGCCGGCAGATCTTCTTCGGCCGTATGAACTTGTTCGCGGGGGATTGGTATCTCTGCCAGGCTGTGGGCGTTGGGAAATGCTGCTTGGTTTCGTTCAGATTCTTCGCCGCGTTCGAGGAGAGGTTCGATCGATCGTCGGGGTTCCTTATCCCCTTCAAGATCAAAGGGTTCCTCCTCTTCTGCTTCCTGGGACCCGAATCTTTTGCTCACGTAGTAGTCGGCGAGGAAGTCGACGAGAAAGATCAACATGGCCGATGTCATTGCCAGGGCAGGAGGCCAGCTGTAGCCCTCCCACCCCTCGGTCAGGCCAACACAGCTGGCGGGGCCGATTTCTTCGTACGCTGGATCGAGCAGGTGGATAAAGGCGGTGGCGATTATAACGCCCGAGCCAAAATGGCGAGCAACCAGGTACAGGTTGGGGGGAATGCCGAGGCGGCGGGCATTCGTGGCGAGGACCGGGAACATGGTGGCGGCGGTGGAGGTGACGAGCAGAACGAAGATGGCGACAACTCGCGAGACCAGAACGGAGCCTGGGTCATCTTCCTCCTTGGGCTTGTTGAGGTAGCAGATGACATCTCGAAGGTTGGCCTTGTCCAGGTCAACGTTGTGCGGGAAGGACGACATGGTGGTGTTGGGTGGGTGATGGGAAGGAGAATCAGTTCGGGGGCCCTTGCCGTGATATTGAAAGGAAGCAGTTCGAGGGCGGCATGCTGTACCTGTACGGCGAAATTGAGTTTCTGGGCTGCTCCTAGCTGGCTTATATCGGCAGCCTGGTCACTCAGTCACCGCGGCGCTTGAAGCCATCAAGGTTCACGCACAATGTGGACCGCCGTGTGAGAATCATGTCAGCAGGGCAAACACGGACTAAAGTATCCATTAAACTGGATGCTTAGGGAAGATATGTACTGTGAATGGGCTATTTCCATGGCACGACAAAAGGTGACTTGAGGCCGTCTCCTGAATACCTGCCGCCTGGAAATCAGGGGGGCGGGGAGAAGTTGCACGGTCAAGGCCCTAAAAGAAGCATAATGCACGGCAGAAGCTTATCCAGTGATCTCCTCTGGGGCTTTCCCGGGCCGAAAGCTGGTGCCAGCCATCAAGGTCCTTGGCAGAAGCCCATTGTCGGATGAAGACCTGCACATCAGACACACCGGCCGAACCTACTAATAGTCGAACCTACTAGACACGCGCTGCCGATGGCTACTCTCTTTCCAGCATTCTAGAGACTCTCTCGAGCCACCGGGTTATACCAGTCCGCCAAAGCCCCAGCTCGAGTACTGTGGCACCCTCGAGTGGCCCATTGCCAGGTGGAGAAGCTTCTTCCGCACAATGATAACGGGCACCTGGTCCCAATCTTCTCTCGTACCTGCGGATACAGTCCAACCACCTTCTCCACAACAACTGCCGCACCGCCAAAAACATCGACCCGAATGGTCGCACCCATCCATCTGATCTCATGAAAGCCAAGCAACGTTCGTGTCCATCATATGAGAGTAAGAAATGCGACACATGTTGCGAGATACATCCGACTACCTGGTTTCCCTGTCCACCCGTTCCCGCCTATGTGCGAGATCAGCTGCGTATCTGATTGAAGCTTGCCAATGAACCTCCGCATGAATACCAAAGGAAGCTTTGGACATCCCAAACTCAGTTCTGGCGTCGCGCACCAAGAATCCAAACTCAGAGCACTTGCCGCCCGCAACCAAACCTTACTTGTACTTGGCGGTCCAGTCGTTACCACCTGGTAGGTGTTTCACTGGTGGTGCCATCGTTTCGACAGAGTGCTAACGGATTTCGCTCACAGTAGTACGCGGAGAAGCGAGTCCCGAAAGATGACCCGGATTTCTTTTTCACACAGAGAATGATCGGCCGTGTCGCTCGTTCTTTTGGCGCCTTTAAGCCAGGTACAGGTGGTTCAAATAGCCGTTCATCTTGCTGGTGCCCTCCACCGAAGGGAGCAACCTCGGCGACGTGGCTCAGCTGGCGGAGCGGAAGACGAAGAACGACCCTGCGGACTACCGCGCCACTGTTCAAGAAAAGGCGAGAGAGCGTTTCATGGATGGTCTAAGGCTGAAAGACCCAAGCGGACTGAAGTGGAAAGGCTACTACTTGCTGGTGCCATCTTGGGAGTGAAGCATCTCAGTATGGTCATCTATCCAAGGAATGGCATTTTTTACGGAAGCAAATCTAGACATCGCTCTCATCTTCCGCCGATCTGTCCACGAGATAACCTTTACTGGCAACGCCGTAGATGAGAAGCGCAGACCCCCGCTACTACATCCATTGCCTCTCCCTTCGACCTCTCTCTAGACATGGAATCAGGCATCATGGGACCAGTTACGCCCCCATCAACCGCTGCTGGTTCTCCTGTGGCCAACAGCTCTCTTTGCCTTTTGGCTTAGATCAAGTGTGGTATCTGTTCTTTTCAGTTTAATCTCTGAAAGGTCTCTAAGGAGGCCAATCGTGATTATGCCTTTTTTTGGCTTCAGGGCTGTTCTATCCCGTCACCCAACTCCATTGGCCCCCCGCCCCTCCAAGGAACGGTGATGACGATTATTGTACCTGGCCCAAGGCGGATACTATGCTGTATATACCTCTTGCCATGTTTTGGGTGGATGCCTTGTCCACGGGGGGCTATATCTGGCCGGTTTGGTGGAACATAGCTCTCTTTTCCTTTTGGCTTCAGGGCTGTTCGCTCTGTGCTTGCACATGATTCAACCCACAGTGTCCCTGGTATTACACTCCTGTGGCCGAAGACGTGGCCCGAGGACTGGCGCAAGAAGGATCTGCGATACTTGGCTTTTCACGACGCCTGCAGACTTTGTGCAGGCAGCTCTGTTTTCTGCTGTTCGCATTCCTCGCATCACAGCCTTCAGTCACCTCCCAGCGGACTTGATCGAGTCCTTCATCCAAAACGAGTACGCGACTCTCAAATGAGTTTGAGAAGCTGGCATGTAAGAAAAAGAGAACAAATTCCAACAGCAATGGAAGCTGTCAGAGCCCGACAACTCAACACAAAGAATGGAAAGCTGGCATACCTGCTCTCAGAGCTTACGGATATGGTCTTGCAAGTGAACCCATCCAACAGCATGGGCCGGGGCAAATGACCCCAGCACACTTTACCGTGATTCAGCGGACTCGGAATGATTGAGCCCGACGAGTTGAGCTAGCTCAAGCGCCAGACTTTCCAGTACGGGTATGAGTCCACGCCAGTTATATATTCCTGGGTGTCATGCCGGGCAAGCCGTCCGACGGGTCTGAGGCAACTCCCGAGCAGAAACTCAGAGTCTACGGCCAATAACCAAAGATTCTCGAGTTGAAAAGTGCCCTGGACAGTAAAGCGACGCTTCTACAATTTGGATACATAAGAGAAAAGAGAATAAAGTTCAACAGCAATGGAAGCTGCCAGAGCCCGACAGCTCAACACCAATGAATAACATTTTGAAGTCTATCTGCCATATTCCTACCGCACTCAAGCTTATGGGAGATGGTTCGGAGTTGGTCGCAAGGTACCTGGGGCAAAACCTCATCAACATGTCCACCTCAACCTCTGCCTGCGGCCCCGGCGGCTACTCAACTTACAGCAGAAGACCGTCTCGATGCCGACGCCATCAAGATTGAAACACAGGGAATCATTGTCCTCCTCCGTTTACGACGACGTCCCTCTTGCCGACCCGGACGGTGTCCATCTTGGAGAAGATGCTAGCGGCGTAGAGGGCCATGTTGACGGTTCAGGGACTACTATGTCGTCTGACTCCAATTACCTGGCCCTCGACTTGGACGCTGGGATCTGGGAGGCCGAAGGGGAGTCAGACATGGCACGGGTAGGTGCCCGCGTTTCCCGAAGACGCCGCTTCTCTTGGAGCCAGAGGCGTGGCCAGAGGAACGTTCTCGTCCTCTGGATTGTTCATGGCAAGGGATGACATTGATCCCACAAAAGGATCCTGACGACAGGGAGATCCTGCGACTTGGGAAAAGTAAGTAACGAACGCAGGACTAATCACTCTGCCAGGCCGAACGAATACTCCTGTCGCATTAGCTAAATAACCCACTAATCCATGTCTCTAGGTGTTCTTTTCACTTTATAATCTATTATGGGGGGCAGGCAGTGGCAGCGGTATGGCAGGAGAGCCTCGAAGTTCAATGCGTCAGTCTTTGGGCTGGCCATCGCTCGTTCAGACTTCTATCCTGAGAAACTAAGGGAGGCGCAGGGTATTGCGCAACAGGCACGGGAGGCCTGTTTCAAGTGAGTTTCCTTATAGTCGTTTCTTGATTTCCTACTTGGCGGTAGCTAATGAGGATTAGTATGGCGGAGGAACGAGATAAGATGTTAACATCCCTTATCCTTACCCTAGTCAGGCAGGGTTTAGTAGCCATATAAACTTGCCAATAGGTGGTCGTGGGCACCTACCATACTGGAAGCCAGAGCCATCTAGGGGTGGACTACTTGGAGGTTGGCTAGCAGCAATACAGCCAGCAGGAAGAACAACCTAAGCATTACCGCCATGGTCTCTTGGTAGAGGAGCTGCCAAAGTTTAGTCCGAGACCACGCGTTCTGACTGAGGCATCCAAAGAAACTCCAATACATACAGGAGATCAGATTCGGTTCTACAAATTACCATTCTCCCCCTTCATATTCGAGCCCATCTAATAAGGACGAGAGTTGAGCTCTTACCGATGTAGATCAAAGGTTCAGATGATGATAAGGTTTTAACGATAGTGAAGGTCATTGCTCTTCTAATTGTCACATCATAAAAATTGCGTTAATAAAAAGACCATTTGCAAATTGAATTGACTGATAGTCCTTTTCGCGAATTGCTACCATTCCTTACGATACCTAATGAGCAAGCCCGCATTATTCACCCAAAGCCATGCTCGCATAGTCACACCCAAAATCCAAGCAGTGATCCATTGAAACCATTCCATACTCTTAATAAGGCTTCGGCTAAAGTCCACGAGCCCAACGTACGAATCTCAAATCCCGCCTGCCAACATTGAAAGTCCCCTGAAAGACACGCACGGTGAATCCAGGTGCGGCTACAGTGGTCCCCTTGAAAGGCGTTGTCAGTACTCATGAAACAAAGCATAAGTGCCTAAACCTACCGGTACAATTTCACAAGGGGAATGTCATTGGGTAGGGGTTGTATCTTCCAGCCAGGAGTGAACCTTCCAGGAGGAAGTGGGCCCTCCAAGCAGCAAGAGCGTTCGCAAAGTTTTGAGCCAATCTTCCAAGTTTGGAGCGAAAAGTTGTTGATAGGTAGCGGGTGGCTAACACACTACCCAACCAATCAACGATCCATGCTCGACTAAGAAGACTAACCCCCTACTTTGCGAACGCTCTCGCTGCTTGGAAAACCCACTTCCTCCTGGAAGGTTCACTCCTTGCTGGAAGATACTCTCTTTACTCAATGACCCTGCCCCCAACTTGGTAGACTGTTCCAATGACCAAGCCACGAACAGAACTATTCGAGTGGCATCAAAATCAAGTACTCTTGGTCCGCAAGTCGAAATGTTCCTCTTGGGCTGGCTCATCTGTCGAGTTTGGGACTTTATCCCTAGTCCTAGATCTCCTTTCCGCCTGCTAGGCAAGGAGTGGCTTGTGGGGATGTGCGTTCGAATCGTGTCTAGGGACAGTGGAACGGCTTAAATTACTCGAACGAGAATTGATAGGGGAACTATAAGTTATCACAAACATTGATTAGCTGATATGCCTTGTTGTTGTCTCCAGTGCTAAAGCTCACCTCGATTGCATACTAATAGCCGCAGTACATCACCGTGGAGGTTCGATATCTTAAATGGCGTTCGAATCGGGGCTGGGTCGGCTGGAGCAGACACAATGCGGCGGTTTTCGGATCGGTGGACGAGCTTGTGACCGGTTCAGCTTGAGGCACGCAGCTTTAGGCATTCCTGCGTAATACCTGAGTGCTCGGACAAGAATAATAGAACGACTCACCGGACCATGGAATCCTCTGACCGGCATATATGGCATCAACTTCTTCGTCCGTGGCCCTAGGCGGCCTGGTACGTCTCGAAGGTTCCCGTACAAGAGAATAGCGTAGAGGATGTGCCATCCAGAATAAGATGTGGCAGGAGAAAGCATCTCAGGGTTCCTCCTCTCACTGTAAACGATCGGATCGAAAAAGGGACGGGATGAACAGTGCTACCCAAGTCGCAGGTGGGCCAGAAAATGTTTGCTTCGAGCTGTTTGTTTTGTCCCAGCATTCTTTCATCCAAAGCTCATACAAGAATAGTGGTCTTTTCTCAAATGGCCGAACGCGGCTCTTCGGCTGTTCGAGATGGTTTGTTTGAAATCGGGCCGTGAATGTTCGCACTTTAGCTATTTTGCATGATCATCGCTCTGAAATCTAGCTTGCTGCTTGTTTTACTCTCCATCGTTGTCATTCTTCGAGTTGTTGGCGCCTCCCCCCCCCCCACCATTCCTGTCTTGATATTTAGAGATTCTTAGCTCTCAGCGTCTGGTCACTAAGTGGGAGAGCTCTTCAGGTTATGCAGCATGAAAAGAGAAAAAGAAGAAGAAGAAGGGGGGGAGGGGCGGCGCCGATTTGTGATATTGATGTATTTCGCAGAGCATCCGCGGACAAGTTTGCCGATTTGTATGATGCAGATTCTGAAGCAGAGCGCAATGGAAGGTCCTCGCAACTGTAGCCAAGCAAGACTGCCACCACGTGACCCCCAAATTTGTTCGGGGAAGGAACGGCCAGTCCAGGAAGTCTTGGCCAAGTACCCGAGTTGCCTGAGGCATCAGATATTCACAGCCCTCCAAGTTTCGGCCCAGCCTCTGCAGAGTGATTAGATGTAGCTGGCATCTACCTCACCTATCATTCAGCCAGTGACGCTGCTTATCGAAATCAACATCTGCGGCTTTCAAAACTGTCATCGGCCAGCCCATGGGCTACTCTCTAACGATGACCTAACAGAGATGCTTTTCAATCTCGCTGGCTACTTCGTCTACAATCTCTGTGTATTCTTATCCATTTTGAACTAGAAGCACTGACGCCGTTTAGAATTACCAACACTTTTCTTGTGGGATATCTACCGAAGTCACGATGCTCATGAGATACACAGCCGGAGTTGGGATGCGTAACGAGGAGTAGTACACCGTGGGTTAGATCTGTGCTATCACTGCAGAGAATATAGCCGCGACCAGCTAACTAGGTAGGAAGTACGGAAATCCCAACTACCGTCAGCCGCCAAACGACAACACCTATACCTTGACCTAAGAGACATTGGGCCGCACAAAATCGTCACCATCGTCATGTCAGATGACGAATATGGCACATCTACCGCCTCCTGTGCTATGCAAGGTATGTTGCGTACATTCCAAAGCATCGCGATAGTGCTTATGGTTGGCTTCGGCAGTAGCACGCTGAGGAACAGAAAGATCTACGACTCGCCGATGTTGTTGTGCGTTCTCCATCTCACGGCAAAAAAAAAAACAGCTTTATCCAGTACAACTTCGGCAAAGCGATTCCACTGTGAAGATCTGCGATTATCAGTCATTTGATCCAACACCTGGCCCCCTTTGCTGGGTTTGTTGCGGCCCTTTAGAATGTCCTGAGTCTCCCCGCTGATGCTTAGTACATCCTAAAGGGCTCCAACAACCCCAGCAAAGGGAGCCAGGTGTTGGATCAAATGACTGATAATCGCAGATACATAGGAATATGCCCTGTTGGAAAATTCCAGCAACGAGCCAAAATCGTCTTGGTGGCGGCTCTTTGATGCGAGAATGATCCCGCTATACACTGTAGCCTTATAGCCTCAGCCGATCAACTGATGAAGGACACCTCTGGAGAAAAAACTTCGAGCAAAAGCTTCATGCTCTTTGTTTTGAAATCGAGACAGCGGGTGTAACGAACCATTCCCCGCGTAGCCATCTGTGGCTATGATACCCACTAACAAACTTACGCTGATGTTGCGTGAAAAGATTGCGAGAGCATCCTTTTTTTTTCGGCTTGATGCAAGTTTACTGTATCTGGCGAAAGTGGGCATAACATACATCGTGATTTACCTTACTGTTCCCCCTTAGATCTCAGCCTAGAAGTATCAAAGCATGGATCACAATATTCACTCATATTCAACTCTGCATTTGCTCATTGAAGTACTGAATTTTAAAATGCATATACTAACCAGAAAATATATATATATAGAACCAAAAAAAGAAAAAGAAAAGAGAAAACAAAGACGCTCATAATCATTCCCATTCACCCTTCAACAACTCATTCACCGGTTCCGACACTCTAAGCAATAGACATTCGCCCAGGGTGGCGGGCAGGGCCTCGGTTGAAGCCCGCTCTGAGCATCCGGCTCTCGAGAACAAGCTCACTCTCGTCAAAGTAGCGAGTCACGAGATCACTCATGTCACGCTCAGCAAGCCCATCCTCGAAATCCCGCTCCTCCACATCGCGGAAGAGGAGCTTCAGAGCCCCCTTGGCAACCTTGCCCACGCCCTTTGCAACACCCTTGGCGCTGATCTTGCGCTCTTCAAGGTCACGCTCGTCGATCTCAGTCTCATCGAAGAATCGGGCGGCAAGCTCCTCCTCATCGAAGTGACGGGCGAAGAGCTCATCAATGTCGCGCTCATCCAGATCGTCGCGCTCGGAGAGATCACGGAAGAGGAGCTTCAGGGCTCCTTTTGCGACCTTTCCAACACCCTTGGCGACACCTTTGGCAGTGATCTTTCGTTCCTCGAGGTCGCGCTCCTCAATTTCGGAGTCATCGAAGTATCGGGCAGCGAGCTCCTCAAAGTCACGCTCGTCAAGCTCTTCCAGGTCACGCTCATCGAGCGCGTGAAGGTCACGGAAGAAGAGCTTCAGGGCTCCCTTGGCGACCTTGCCAACGCCCTTGGCAACACCTTTGGCAGTGATCTTGCGCTCTTCAAGGTCTCGCTCCTCAAGTTCGCCGAGATCACGCTCATCAAGTTCCTCGAAGTCGCGCTCTTCGATCTCCTCGAGGTCACGGAAGAACAGCTTCAAGGCACCCTTGGCGACCTTGCCGACACCCTTGGCCACACCCTTGGCGGTGATCTTGCGCTCCTCAAGGTCACGCTCATCAAGCTCGGTCTCATCAAAGTACCGGGCAGTGAGCTCCTCCTCGTCGAAGTAGCGCTCAACGAGCTCCTCGAGGTCCCGCTCCTCAAGTTCGTCAATATCACGCTCCTCGATGTCGCGGAGCAGGATGTTGAGGGCACCCTTGGCGACCTTGCCGACGCCTTTGGCAACACCTTTGGCGGTGATCTTACGCTCCTCGAGGTCACGAGCAGCAAGCTCCTCTGCCTCGTCATAGTAGCGAGCGATGAGTTCCTCGAGGTCTCGCTCGCTGAGTTCATCAACATCCCGCTCCTCGACGTCACGGAAGAGGAGCTTCAGGGCACCCTTGGCGACCTTGCCAACGCCTTTAGCAACACCCTTGGCGGTGATCTTACGCTCCTCGAGGTCACGAGCAACAAGCTCTTCCTCGTTATAATAACGAGCGATGAGCTCCTCGAAGTCTCGCTCGCTGAGTTCATCAACGTCTCGCGCTTCGAGGTCACGGAATAAGAGCTTCAGGGCACCCTTGGCGACCTTGCCGACGCCTTTGGCAACACCCTTGGCGGTGATCTTGCGCTCCTCGAGGTCCCTCTCCTTGTGCTCGGGCTTGGATTCGGGGGCGAGAGCAACGCTCAGCTTGCCGGACTTGTGGGCCTTCTTGCCGGAGGCAGCGCTGGCAGTATGCTTGCCGGCCTTGTGGTGCTTTCCAGACTTGGGGGCCAGAGCAACACCGAGCTTGCCGCTCTTACCAGCCTTGTCGCTCTTGCCAGCCTTGTGGGCCGATCCGACCTTGGGGAGCTTCTGGTTGGGCGCCAGGGCGACGCCCAGCTTGCCGCTGGGGGCTTCGGCTCTCTCCACTAGTGTGAGATCGTTGGATGCTTGGTCGACCTGGAGGGCGAGGCCCTGGCTGGCGAGGCCGAGCCAGACGAGAGCGGCGAGGCTGAGTTGCTTGGGGGCGACCATTGTGAATATGATATGAAAATGAAGTTGGATTTGGAAGTAGAATGGGGTAAAGAAAGTCGATCTTGTAAAGAAAATCAAAGGAAAGAAACCAGCAGGTCAAATTGAGAAATGTAACAGGTCGAAGAGAGTAAAGCAGACTGCTAAATGAAAAAAAACTCAAGGAAAGCTAGGAGGCCGGCTACTAGGTAGGGATTGCTTGCTGTGTTGGTTGATGAGAAAAGTACATCTTGATGGAGATCAAGTCGGATTTTATAAACATTTCTAAAGGATACTGAGATGGTGTAAGGCTGTGCCGTTGAGGAGTGTCTAAAATTAGCGGCGTACACAATCTCCAATGGGCGGCACACAGATGGCATCCAGATGCCCTTCTGGTGGGTTTGCAGATACGATGAGGTGCGGCCTGTCGCAGACGGAGGATGCCTGCAAGCTGCAACACACATCAGGTACCTGGATCTGGATCCTGTGCGTGGAAAGCGAAAGTACGAAACACGGCGCCGTCCCAAACACCCCAATGGGGATCGACGATTGTATCGCATGGCAGCCAGCCCACCCGCACTAGGAATCACAACTCCACTGTGCCGTCACGGAATCCGGGCTTGACTAAGGAATTAGCACCCGATGGTGGCCGTAATATGTGTAGGGCTGCCGTTGTCCTGATCCATACAGGTCTTGGCACCTACTATCCCTACAACTATCTAATTAACACTTGATCAACCCCAGTTTCTCACTTGGACATCGGTTTTTAATTGATGTTGAGAGAGAATCACCGAATGTCCTTTCCACCAGGCGATTTGGAAACATAGAGCAATGACAGGAAAATAAGTGGGGGAAGTGGAGCACACCGTCTCCCTGACCGCCTGCAGTGAGTGTTGGTCCTGTTCTGCCAGCAGCCACCTCGACCTGTTTTCACTGCCTGCTTCAATGACAAGAAATATCAACGATCGGCAAGTGGTCGGATAAGATGCCGACCACGATCTAGCCTACCTAATGATCTATCGAGTAATAATTACTAATTAATCCCCCACTGCCTTAGTCAGTCTGAGTGATTCGGGGCTTGGTCTCACACCACTTCGGCCTGCGTCGGTGCCGACCTGCGACGAGCCTCCCTGGACACCTCCCCCATGCAGCACAGATCAACGCCGCTTCCTAAAATAGGCGGGACACTGCTGTCACATCCAAGCACGCTCAGCCCCAGGTTTTACTGATTGGCATGAGTCGTCTATTCCTCCCACCGCTTGATTCAGCGCTCTGCCTTGCATCAGCCTGAATAGACAAGGGGTGGCCGCACTCGTTTCTGTCGCGAACCCAATTCAACCTGCTCCTCAACTCGAGTTTCAGGCACTTGTTGACCCACATTTGTCCACAGAGCATCAAGTTTGCTCTCACATGCTGCTGGCCTGCCCTACCCCCCTTGTTGACTGTTTCAACCCAACCCCAGTGAAACTAAAGGAATGTGGGCATCACCCGTTTGCCAGCAATCACCAATACGGGAAGATGCAGCCTGAAGATGCGGGGTCGTCGCTGAGAATGTGTTGATCAATTGACAATCGGATGTTATTTTTATCACCTTGCCTTTGAACGCACTGCGGCCAATAAACGGCACATGTTTTCGGGCCCGGTTATGCATGGATGAGCAAAAAGTTCTTCGAGATCTCAGTTTGGAAGGCCTTTGTGTTCCATCTGCACGACACAAACCCTGTAATTCCCAAAGTACATCAGTTTGTTCCTTTATTTATTTTTTTGACGAATTGCAAATAGTCCAAGAGATGATGACGTAAAGTTCGACCCGCACCAACCACGACATTCGAGGCAGTCTTTAGACGGAGCGAAGATACGCCATTCGATGCTGTAGCTATAGGGTAGACAGATCTAAACGAAGCGAGATAGTGTCAGGCGTGATGTGCGCAGCGGGGTTAAGTGTGTTGAACATGCCTCAATACCTTCCCTGCAATACGACTTCTGTTGTCCTTGAGATTCCAAAGTGTAATTGATGAACGGAGAGTATGGCGCTCTCTCTCTCCGATGTAAAGTACTCGGACATCGCCTTGCTTGTCCGAAGTATCGATTACCCTGCAATGCAGGACGGTCCACTGTACCGGATCATGTTTAACGCCATCTTGGGAGATGACGAGCGCGAGGATATTGTGAAATGGTATACTGTTAGCATGGCGCGTGCCTTCTACAGCGGCACACAACTTTGCAAAGCCTGCGCAGTCGATGGCACACCGCTCGGATTTGCTAGTTGGGTATTGGAAGACACGACCATGTGCAGTACGCCGGACCAATCGAAAAGGAGCTGCAAAGAAGGAAATTACCTTCCAGACAAACTTGACATATCTGCGTGGCTGAAGGTATCAAATGCTCTGATGAAAGAGCGGAAACGCATCCTCAGTAACCTTGATAATGTGATGCGTAAGTACATATAGCAAATGTTTGACTCGCGGTCCTGAACTCTAAACTTCATATAGGCTTAACGTTTATGTCCGTACATACGGAACACCAGAACCAAGGAGTTGGTTCATTTATGATGAAATGGATTTGCCAAGAAGCAGACCGACACAATAGAGATATGTATGTGCTGGCATCGCCAGCAGGCGTCTATCTGTACGCAAAGTTTGAGTTTGAGACTGTCGGCCAAGTAGACACAGGAAAGGGCGTGATCACAAGCATGTTACGGAAAAGCAGATAAAGTGTTAGTTCAAGCGCACAGAACACACGTTTACTGTTTGTTCTCTTGTTGTGATGATAAATCGTTGTGGCAGAGATCATTACCTATAGGGTATGTATACGGGAGTAACGCTACTGACGCCGGAGATGCATTCCTGGCTTTTTGGTGGATCCGTGAATTCCAGAGCTAGATGCCCAGCGCTTATGATCGTGCGCATGGGCGCTTGCACAGTGAAGAGCATGGCCGTGATCAATAGTCCGGCGCGGGGCAAATATTGAACCAGGTCAGCGACGGCTACAAAGCTATGGGCGGCTCGGCTCGGCGGCAAGTGGCTAAAGCTCTTTTCAGTCAAGGCAGGGACCTCGTCTTTGAATAATACTGAACATAATAATAAGAAAATAACTAATTATTCCACGATATTTAGCTTAGTATTGTGTTTATTACCGGCTTGATTGTTCAGATATTGTGTTGAAATTCACGCTCGAGGTTCGAAGTGTGCCAGTTTCACGCTGGGCGGTTAGTTAGTGGATGTCAGCTGATGGATCCGCACTCTGGTTGGAATTGGCCATTTCTGCCTAATCCACCACACGATCCCCATGATCCATCAATGCACCTTCGCGCCGGCCATCCGCCAGCAGCGAGGATGGTCGACCAACGCGGCCGCCTGCTCTCGCCAACGAATCGCACGAAGCGCCCTCGACTGGATGCCGACATACATATCCCAAAGAAGCGCAAGCTCAACCATCCCTCTGTTCCTCCCCCCCAGTTCTGGGACAACCTCTCGGAACCAGTCTTGACTCGAAACGCGTTAAGAGAGCTCGATCGTCGTAACAGCATCCGCGATCAGAGTCGAACCCATACGATACATCGACGGTACAATACACGCAGCGCTTCCTTGGCGGCGCATAGGACTCCTACACAGACTCTCCTTCAGTTGTCTCCGACAGGTCGGGTGCAGCTCAAACTCTCGGCTAGACACGGCGGCCCGGATCTACAAGACGTCAGAGGAGTATGGATTCCTTCCGAGTATCATGGTCGTTTGTCACTGACCTTCGGCTAGTACCGACCCCCTCAAGATAATCTCGAAATGAGCCGGAGCCAGTCGAGTCTCGGTCGCCGCAAACGAGGGTCACAATCAGCATCTGAGAGCAATGCGACACCCGGTACTACCACGACAAGAAGCACAGGGCCATACGACCGTGCCTTCCACCAACACTTAATCGATCACCATATATATCCTCCCCGCTATGAGTACCCCAATGGAGACAGAGTTACCAAACCCGAGAACATAGAGGACATCAGGAAAGCGCTTGCACAACCCAGGAAATCCTTATCACCCAGCCGATTTTCTGAGGAGGAGTTTGAGAAGTTCGAACGTGCAGACGCCCATGCAACAACGGAGAGCCGAGTGGTTGCGACTGTGATTCCACTCATTGAAGGAGATACCGGTGATCTGAGGGCTGTCGCAAGCGATGTTGCATTCACAAACCTCGAACATTTGACCGATGGATCGCTTGTCTGTGCCAAACCAGACTTATACTATGGTACCCGACCGGAACAGTTGAAAAAGGAGGCCCGAGAAGCACTCAGCAACTTTATTATCCCTTCAACTCAAGATGATCTACCAATAGCGCCGAACAATTTCCTCGAGGTCAAGGGACCGGATGGTTCTTTGTCCGTGGCAACTCGGCAAGCGACTTACGACGGAGCTCTCGGCTCCCGGGCAATTCACGCTCTACAGTCCTACGGGACCGAACAGATTCACGATAATAAGGCCTACACCCTCACGTGGACATACCATGGAGGCCATTTAAAGGCTTACACAAGCCATCCTATTCCGCCATCGACCCCCGAAATGCCATCTGGCTATGCTATGACACAATTGAAGGGCTGGTCTATGACAAGTGATGTTGAGACGTTTCGTCAAGGAGCTGCTGCGTATCGTAACGGTAAGGACTGGGCTAAGCAGCAACGAGATGAGGCCATTGCGCAGGCAAATATGATCACGCTTTTGCCAGCCGCTGTTCAACCGCTACATACCGGCGCACCCTCAGAAGACGCATCCGAGACCACCACTAGTCGAACCACAAGTAATGATATCAGCCTAACTTCGCATCAGACGACAGACATGTCCGAGGATGAGCTGTCTCTCGACTTTATACATCCACCCAAGCGTTCACGCTCCCTGAAAAAGAAAAAGCATGATTCAGCCATGAACGTGCATGGTCAAGATCCAAGTGGTAAGAGACTGTTACATGAAGTGAACCTAGGTGTAATTAGTGAAGGCAAAGGCGCAGTACGAGGCCGCAAACCAAATAAAAAGGATACCAGTTAGTGAGAATGAAATGATAGTATTAAACGCTTGTGATATTGTTCGCATTGAATTTACCTATTCGGCATTTAGAGATGATGAGGCATAGAATAGTATAAGCAGTCAGTCACATAAAATATTGTGTAATAAGAGGTAGATAATATTGCATAATAACTAGGTACTCAATGATTTATTAATATTATGATCCAACTACCTGGTTTTATCATTATTGTGGCCTGTATTGGAAAGTTGGGATAGAAAACCACCTTTTCAGTCTGTTATTCTGGCGCCTACTTGCTACCGTAATAGACGGGAAGGTAGCAAATAGTGGATACCCCATGCTCCAATCAGTTGTCGTGCTGGTAACAACAACACACAACACATTGAACACAACCACATGAGATTGGATACACAAACTATTGACCTAAATAAACACTTGTTATTACCCGTATTAGTTTTAATCCAATAATATTGCACCTAGTTATTGAATCACCGCTGCCTAAACTGACACGAATTGGTCAATATTAACCCTAAGGGGCTGTCGTCACCATGGATCAGGCGCGTTTGAAGACTATCGAGGATAATCCAATTGAAGCAGGCCTTGATAGTTTTCAAGCATTTTTCCGCACGATCCGCCAAGACCAGAATCTTACTGCCACACCAGAAAGCTTCGAGAGCCTCAACGGAAACGGTAAAACAGCCCCATGGCTACTCTAGGGTGCGCCGCTGACCTACTGCAGACCTTGAAGAGCTTGCCGTCGACCTTCTATTAAGATTGCAGCGTCTTCGCGTCTCGCGTCTGCTTCCTTCCAGTGGCCGCGGCAACAACCTCCTCACCGACCTAGCGAAACTCGCAGTTGCGATCGTTTCGAACGATTACGACCTCGACCGTATCAAGCCTCTTCTCCATGCCGTCATCACCGAGAATAGCGTCGATACACTCATTTGGGAACAGGTCTACGCAGCTGTCGCCGAATATGCACCACCTCCCCAGACGATCTCCTCCTCTCTCCAAGAAACCCCACGGCTTCTCAGTGCAGCCCACTTCTCGAACTCCTCTGGATATCGTCAATATATGGATGGTGTCCTGAAGGAAGAACTGGGCGCATTGTACATCGGGCTTCCCAAATTCCGTGAGACTTTCTTCGGTGCAGTTCCAGAACTTGGTCGAGCATCTAAGGCTGTATTCGAAAAGTGTCTTGAGGGCGACGAGCCGCTCTTTCGTGAAGGATGGAAGGATTGGCCAGCAGACGCCAACCTAGATGGAGTTTTGAGCTGGTTTTCGACCGTGATTGGGAAGCTCGAGGACTTCGCGGACGAATACAAGCCAACCACAGCATTACAGCGGAGGCCTCTGGCACAACCTAGCAGACCAATTCGAGAGTCTACAATAGAACGCAAATTGGACGTTGGGTTCGTTAAAAACCCAAGTGCCCAAAAAGACTCTCCATGCCATTGGTCGAAGATCCTGGTGCTAGGAGAACTAAGGAGCAATCCATCCGCCGACACGGCTTCGAAGGCTTGGCTCGACCTTGGGAGATATGCTAGAGAGGTGCTAGCTGCTCAGGATAGCCGCCGCTTCGTTTTAGGCTTTACGCTTTGTGGATCTCAAATGAGGTTGTGGGAGTTTGACCGTCTTGGAGGGGTTGCCTCACAGAAGTTCGATATCAACCAGGACGGAGAACAATTTGTGTATACGATTCTCGGGTTTCTCTGGATGAGTGACGAATGCCTTGGGTTTGACCCTACAATCATCTCATCGGAAGGAAGACGGTACATCGAGATCGAGCGGAACGGTCAGACGGAGCGACTTGTTATTGATAGGCTAATGAACCGAGCGCCTTGCGTGGCCGGCCGCGCAACAACATGCTGGCAGGCCCATCGAGATGGAGATGGTACGCCCCTTGTCATCAAGGATTCCTGGCAATATCCTGAACGAGACGAAGAGGGCAGGCTGTTGCAAGAAGCGACCGCAAAAGGTGTGATTAGTGTGGCGAGATACTATTACCACGAGACTGTCCGCGTTGGAGGCAGAGATGATGATGTTAATAATAGCATTCGAGCTGGCATGGACGTCAGAGATGCTACAAATTATCGCGCGGAGGATTCAATGGCGTCCTCAAGCACCCCGGCCGTGGTCAGCGAACGGGCCGGTCGAAGCACGAGCATTGCGAGCCGAAAGCGGCCGTCTAGCTATACTGATACACCATTACCGCCCAGCAAGCGAGCCTGCTCGATCTATCCCGTAAAGCAGCAGAAAACGGCGGCGCCAGCTGGGAAGAATCGAGTCCACCGGCGTATTGTCCTTCGCGATTTTGGCAAGCCGATCTACAAGGCAAGCTCCCGAGTTTCCCTCCTCTCCGCACTGGAGGCATGTATCGAGGGGCATGAATCCCTACGCTCAAAGGCCGGCATCCTCCAGCGAGACATCTCGATCAACAACCTCATGATAAACGAGGACGAGGAGAACCCATCCTGGCGTGCATTTCTTATTGACCTCGACCTAGCTATCAAGGAGCAACATGAAGGTGATTCAGGGGCAAGAGAAAAGACCGGCACAATGCCATTCATGTCTATCGGGGTGCTTCTTGGTGAACAGCACTCTTTCATGCACGATCTTGAGTCATTTTTCTGGGTCTTACTCTGGATATGTACTCACTACGATGGTCCGCATCGGGGCAGAGTTCTTCACGAGGACGACGAGTGGAATCCCACTAGCCCCAGCCAGCTCGCAGCCCTGAAGAAAGGGCACATTTCTCATGAGGGTGACTTCCTTAGATCCGAAAAGAAAAATTTCACACAATACTACCAGCCGCTGGTTCCTTGGGTCAATAGGCTACGGAAGGTAGTGTTTCCAAATGGTAGAAGATGGGAGAAGGAGGACGCCGGTTTGTATTCTAGGTTTAGGAAAATCCTTCGCGATGCCCAGGAAGACCCAGAGGTTTCACAAGCGTGAGCTGAATAAAAGTCCTGGAACATAATAAAACTAGCTCACCGATGATAAAGAATACCGTCCAAGTGGCTGTCTACATCTCGACGGAATTTTTGTGGCAGTCAGTTGGCAGACACGAGAATGCTTCCTATTGTGTAATACTTGGTAGATGATATTATCTAATAACTACTCAATGATTTATGATTATTATTATCAACTATGTCCATCAGTATTGCGGCCTGTATTGGAAAGTTAGGACACAAACACCGTTGCAGTTGAGTGCAGACTAGGTACTGACATGTCTAAGGATGAGCTATCTCTCGAGTTTATGTATCTACCCAAGCGTTCACGCTCTCTGGACAAGCATGATTAATCCATCTTCGGCATTTAGAGATAATCAAGCATAAAGCATTACAAGCCCAGCCGTACGTACTCCTCCAGTGTCTCTGTGACATCAAACCAGATAAAGCTCCTAAGAAGCACTAGGCTGACTACTAAATGTAGCCAACTATTGCATCTTGGAAGCCCCGCAGGCCCTATCTGACGGGCAATCGATTTTTGTTGTTGGCTGGGGTTAATGACCAATTGTAGACTCTCGCCGCAATCTCCGGGGCTAGAGGAACACCGACATCTTCCGAAGGACCGTTAAGGACAAGCATCCATACTGAGATACCGAAATAATTGTCCAGAGAGCAGGGAGAATGGTACTAGGCTTCATGACAACAAATTCAGTACAGAAAAGGCGGGAAGACCCCCCTGCAGCCAGGACTTCAATCCCAGCCTCCTTGTCATCTTCTTTTCACCTGCTTTTCCTTATGGAGCTTATCCACCCATTGGCTGCTATAACATGGACATTCTTATTCCTCTGAGAGTTCCCGATTCAGCTGCAAAGGTAAAAGGCTGAGAGGTGGAGGCAGCCCCTGGAATGGTGGAATGGGAGGTATCACATTTCTCGGGCGCATGAATTTTTCCGAGATCAACCGTGGGTAATATTTAAGGGTGTGGCTATCCCTTCGCTGACACCCAAATTCTTCTCTTCTTCGAAGGCCAGAAGCCATGCAAACCATTTTACCATTTACTGGTCGCCCCGGGGACTGTTTGAGCGTTGGCCCATCCCAAGGCCTTGTCTACACCATCGACGACGATATCGTGATCAAGGTGCCATTTCAATATCCCATCTCCCAAAATCTGGATTCACACCTGTTAGACCTCTCACTCAAAAGCTTCGTGTGTCTGGAAAGAGAGCTAGCGGTGTACGCCGTGCTACAAACCCATCCGCATCCCAACATCGTACGACGGCTGGAAAGTGACCAACTTGATTGTCTCTTCTTGGAGCGGCTTTACACCACTAGAAGCGGCATGGCCTCACTCAACTGAATCGGACCGAAGACGATGGGCCCTGGAGCTGCTCGGCGCAATCAGCTGGCTCGAGGGGCATGGCTGGGCGAATGGCGACCTTGCAGTACGGAACCTGGGCGTCGATACCACAAACCGCTTAAAGGTCTTTGACTTTGGATCCTCCATCAATAATTCTCATCCGGATTACGCAAACGACATTGTCAGGGACCATTTCGACCTGGCGACATGCTTGAATTACATCCTTTCGGGCATCGATCCATTCGCAACTGCACGTTCATACAGAGATGTCAAGAAGATCCGAACAGAGCTGATGGAAGGTCGCGGTAGCGTTGGGCAAGGCGCTGAGGTACTGGCTGGTATTATTCAAGGTGGCTGGACCGGGCGGGGTTCATCTACAGGCTTCCGTCAACTTTTAGAGCAAGCCTCTGACATCTTTGGTCCTCTTACCGGCAACATTTTGCCAGAACATCAAGAAGGTCATTATGAACGCCTCGAATCTCGTTGCAGGGATTGGCTCCGCAAGTCGTCCAGGAATGAGCACTGGAAAGATGTCGATGGGTACCTTCTGTCTTGTAAATCTGCGGGACATGAAGCAGACTTGGAGATCTGGCGTTAACGGCATAATATCACTGCGAATGCACTTCAAAGAACATCCCTAGTTGCCAGCTGAAGGTCGATCATATGCTCTACATGGTGTAACTAGCTCGATGCGACTCACATTTCCCGCATGGGAGGGTTAGCTATATGCGCAGGATATTCCCCCTTTGAGCGAGTTCCAACACGTTCTTCATCCTGCCGAACTTTATCTAAATAATAAGACATGTCATGAATACGGTGGGGCGTAGCATCTCGATCCCTTTTCTTCTTTGCTGGCATGGAACTCTGCCGGAAGTATGCATCTGGAGTTGAGAATCCTACGCTTCTTGCGTGCATGCCGATAGTTCTTCTCGCGGGGTGAAAATTCGAGCTTTTCGAAGGAGGAAGACAACTCTAGAAAGCTAATCAATGTATATTTCTGAGCTACTGATATCGTTTGCTTCTTTTCTACTACATTATTGACCTTTAACAGTGGAGACCAAGGCCATCAGGCCAAGCCAAGCTTAGGCGGGAGATTTGGCACCCCTGATGAGAGATGTCTGAAAAGCCAGTAAGTAGCAATTGACCTTGCGGATCTTTGTCATTGAGGGGGCAAGTTGGACGTGTAGGTTGAAGGTGTTGATAGTCTGTGGGAATGGACATTTCGGGGTTGGGAAGCTCCAAAGTCAGCGAGCAGTATGCTATAGATGATCCACGAAGTTTGTAATGAACGGGTCACGATGTTCCTACATAAGCCACAGCATCTCATCCAGGTGTAGTACTATTGACGAGATTGTATTGTTTTACAGTGTTGGGAATTTTCTTCTTGGCTTCGCCTTTTGACTTGGTGCTGTGGACTCCTTGGTAGTTGGTGACAGGGGCAGGAACTGAGTTTCAATCAACTTCGGATAATTTCTGCCTCCATTTGATCGACAAAACAGTTAGGTCATCTAGGTTCATTGCTCGCCTCATGTTCGTCAGTTGAGGAGAGACTGACGCATCTCTCAGGTAAAACTTAGGCACCTCTCTCATAAGTTAACCGTACTTTGATTGTCGACCTAATGACCACTGACTAAGAGTACATAACATTGGTGATTCATGTAAAAGCTAGAAAAGAACGGGCCAAAGATTTCCACGCAGACGTTATACTTCCTCGATAGCCATACCGACTTCTTCAGTCTCTCTTGATAAAACACAATTTTCATGCAGATGTTTGACTTTCTCCATGCCCATGCGGACTTGCACGGTCTCTCTTGATAGAGCGGAATAATCCATGCAGACGTTTCACATCTTCGATAACAACCCGACCTCCCCAATTTACTGTTGATAAAACACAATCCCAGTGCCGAAATTATTCTTCGTCGGTGACCGAACCCAACTCACCAGTCTCTCGTCCATAGAAATGGGCTATCTATTCCTGAATGGACCATGGGAGGGTTGCTCCACGTTGGCCAAGTCTCTAATTGCCGGAGCTGTGTCTGGTGGTTCCCTCACACCGGTCAAAGACCATGATGGTCACTTCCTGCGGGACACTTCTTTCAGACTCTGACCAATTGTAGAAATCCGAATAAAGCCGACCGACCCTTGACTTCGCAACCCATCCAGGTGTGGAGAAGTCCTTGATCAACCAGCCGTAAATCTCCACTTCGACTTTTCGCAGTGCAGTGAAGGGTTTGTATCGGAGGATGTCGCGAACCGCCTCCAACAGCTGGCTGTCTCTCATTTCGACTTTACGTGAGGTGCGTACGATGTAAAGTGACTCCAGGCCCAGAGGTAGATTGTCTTTCAAGGGCGCCGAGAAGACGTCTCTGTCCTCATCCTCTTCCTCGTCAACAGTGCCGTCCCCTTCAACGGTGGCGTCCCTGAGTTTTAGAATGTCTCCTGCGCTGATCTTGAGATGGCGCAGCGATTCCAACGTATGAAGCGAGCCGATGGGTCGTTTGGCTTGGTAGAAGTAGCTGTAGTCATAGGTATCAAGCTCAAAGGTTTCAAGCTTTTTCCCATAGGTTCTAAGGACATTTCCCATCTCCTTCAGGCTCACATTAGGGTTCAGTCCCATGAAGCCTACCCTGCGGAGGTCGGGAAGGGTAATCGAAAGATAGTGGAGTTCTTCGCAACGGGACAGAATGTTCTCCAAGGCTTTGTCATCAACAAGACAACTTTCGAGCTGTAGACGTTTGAGATTGCAAGATATCTCACTGGATCTGGCCTTTTGATTGATCTCTGTATTGGTCCACATGAAGCCATGCAAGCGAAGAGTTTCAAGCTTGGGGTTGTATAGCACATCTTGAAGCTTAGAGATGGCTGCGCAAGCCCTGGTGCTGACGTATCTGCGTCGGATCTCTTTGAGATCAGCGAGCATGCTCTCGGCATCCTCTTCTTGCGATTCTGATGAAGCGGCCAGTGTGTAATCGCTGGTGTTGATTGCTTGATTTCCAGAATCAGGTTCAGGGTCGTTGATGTTTAGTTCACTCATGTCATCGACAAAAGGATCTGAGTCGCGTGGCTGGAAGACAGAGTTTTCGATCTTCCTGATGCCACTAAGGTATTCGGTAAAACACTGATCATTGGTGTAGGTACGCAAGTCCACAGATTGGAGCTTGGGGGAAAGGATGAGCGTGATCAGGACAACACCATCCTCAAGGTGAAGAGTGGGAAAGGTCAGCCAACCTTTGAGCAGCTTCTTCTGTCCGTCGCTAATGTCTTTGTTGGACTCAACAAGCTCACGCACCATTCCGTCTATGTTCATGTTGGTTTCCCAGGAATCGATACGCAAATGGCGGATATTTAGACCGAGTCGAGGTTCGGCAAACAGACTTCTCAAGAACGCGTCCATGAGTTTACCATAGTCACGCGGCCGGTTGGTTCTAACAACCGTCTGCGGGCTAATTCTTGTGACTGTCTCGCTGGTGATGGAAACTGTTCTATACATCAAGGGGCGCGCGGCATCGCGGAACTTGCGGCACACAAGTGAGACTGAAAGAAGATCATTGGGTGGGCCAGAGTTGTCTCTTGGCAGGTGTGGCTTCTCCCAGCTGTCGTGGGAGGGAATCTTCGACTCGAGATTCGAGAAGATGTGAGTCAGGATTTCATTGGGCATAGAATCCATGGCTCAGTAGGGATGCAGGCCAGGGCGACCTGGAGCTTCTGCTTGATGAGTTTCTGTTTGATGTGCGCGAGAAAAGAAAGCAGGAAGGCAAAGGTGTTAAATTTGGGTTCCAAAAATCAGAAATGTGAGGAGTGGAAGAGAACAAGAAATGGTGGGAGGGGGAAGAAGAAGAAGAGAATGGAAGTGAGGAGAGGCTCAGGAGAGGACTTAGACCCGCCAGCACCTGCACCTGCCTCTGCCCGCACTTGCCTCGCAACTGCCACCGGCCGTGGCATGGCAGGAGCGAAGCACTCGAAGCACTCGACCGCGGATCTATTGCTCCGAGTCACTGTGGCACACACTCGGGCAGGAGCTATGGCGTGTTTTCAGGTCCGCACAGTAAGAGTGATGATTGGGTGGTTTGGCGAGATGTTCACCTTTGGTAAGTAGTTCTTCGAGATGTGATAGCCTCTCTGTGCTAGACTCGGTTGGAGTTGGATGCCGTTTGGTGATCCTTTTCATGCTTCAGCAGCATCCAATAATATCAGATCCGATCATTTTACTATGATTGTCTAAAATAGAGAAGGCCATGCAGGAACTGGAGCGTATCGTCAAGTTAGGCGGATGAAATCCCGTGGATAGTGCGTGCTTGGTGCAAAGCCTAGAGGAGAGCGAGCTAATTTCATCACGCAGAACCCTTGCCAGACGAAAAGATATATTCATGTAAATGCAGGTAGCATTTGGGACATACCTAATTACTATTTCTTATTTCAATATGAGCCAGTTTTCTACCTCCCGGACATTTGCATCATCACGAGACGCCCGTACAAAGCCCAGTGGGATAGCCAGTTAGGCAGTGGGCACTGTCTCTCAGGATGTGCTAAGTCAATCCAGGATTCTCCCAAAGCATACCCCTTAGGAAATTCGGCCTTGGAATGCCTTTGGGGTCGCAATGGCCGCTGCCAGTCGTCCAACTGTTGGCGAGGCCGGCTGGTCACTTCTGCCCCTAGGTAAGTTAAATTCCAGATTCTAACCATCTTTAACCGATACCAGTCACTCCCTCCGAGGTCAAGTAGGTAGGTATTTACAGGCTACAAGCTAATCATATTCCGAAATTATGCTAATACGATAGGCGATGCTTGTATTGTCTCGTTCACAGACTCGCTCAACAGAGCTCCCACCACATTGTGCAAAAGAGACTCTGCCCTCGATCGTATGAAGTCTGCTCATTATTTATGGCGGCGCACCAGAGGACATGTGTGTGCTGACCAGGCAAAACTTATTGCTCCTTCAATTGACAACGGTAAGTGTCCCGTACCGAGCTGCTGCCTCTTTCAGTAGGTGCTAACGCAGCTCTTATCGTCCCCGCCCACCCTTCGATGGACCGCGATGCGACGCAATTACTACCACCTCCCTACCTGAGGGCGAGAGAGGATATCGCTTTCAAAAAGCTTCCGAAACAAGAAGGAGGATCATGGGCTTAAATAAAGCTTAAAGAACGCATCCCGTCCGCGATCGAAACCCCCCACGGCCGTACCGCGAGCACATTACCATCATCCTTCCTCCCAGCCAGCCGTTTCCCACCAATATATACACAATGGTCCAGTTTGCAACAATTGCCGTCGCTCTCCTCGCGGGTGCGGGACAAGCACTATCCGCGGCAGTCGAGTCTCGCCCAGGATCCCTCCCAAGCCGCCGGGATATGCTTCTACGGGACGAAGGGCTTCGCCTCGTAAAGACAAGCGAAGATGATCCTGGCACCTGGATGACTGAGGAGGAGAAGTTTGACAAGCTGATTTCCAAGAAGATTGGGTTCATGGACATCACCGAGACCATTGTAAGTCAATTCGTCTTTCCTCTTTGAAACACCTGCACCTCTAAGGCTCTAACACTCTATGCCTTAGGAGCTCGAAAGCTTCGGTCTCGACAGCGCGGCCAAGATCGCCGCCGTTGCCTACCCATCGGGCCCTTCCCACCAGACGGAGGCGAACGCATTGATCGCGAACGCCAAGCAGTCCAACCTCGAGACTTGGGCCAACGGGCTGGCCAACATTTACAACCGCTACTACCGGGGCTCTTACGCGGCCACATCGGCAGCCTGGATGCTGTCCGCGGTCCAGTCCGCCGCATCCTCCAACTCGAATATCAAAGTCAGCCAGTTCTCGCACAGCTACAGCCAGCCCAGCGTGATTGCCAAGCTTCCGGGAACTTCAAGCAGTGTGGTGATTGTCAGTGCTCACTATGATAGCGTTGGCTCTTCAACGAGCGGCCGTGCCCCAGGAGCCGATGACAATGCCTCTGTAAGTAAAAAAATCGTGCATTTCTTTGAGTCGGATGCAAAGGAGGTGGCTAATCCTTCCAACTCAAGGGCGTCGTGGTCGTGCTCGAAGCATTGAGAGTCCTCGCCGCAGCCGGTTACGCCCCGAAGAATACTCTCGAGTTTCATTTCTACAGCGGAGAGGAAGGCGGTCTCCTCGGCAGCCGAGATATCTTCAACAACTACGCTTCCAACAGCGTGGACGTTTTGGCCGTGGTGAACCAGGACATGACCGGATACTCGCCCAACAACGTTATTGCCGTGTACACTGACTACGTCAATACTGCTTTGACGAACTTTGTCAAGACTCTTGTGCCCGTTTACAGCTCGCTGCCTCTCTCTCTCGATAAGTGTGGCTATGGCTGCAGTGACCAGTGAGTTCTCCGCGCGAAGTGTCAGGGGCATCTTGATGGACATCAACTAACATCCTGAAGTGCATCTGCCAACTCCGCTGGCTTCCCTAGTGCATATGTCTGCGACGAGAACATGGCCGATTCCAGCCCCTACATTCATTCATCGCAAGATACCATTGCTACACTGAGCTTCCCGCATATTCTCGAACATGCCAAGGTGAGACCGAGGCTGTACCCTTTACAGGTTCCCTTTACAACTTCTTTGGCTAACACTCCTCTCTCTAGTTCACGATTGGCTTTTTGGTTGAGGGCTCTTATTTCTAGGGTGATGGTTCTTATTTCTAGCGCGAGGGCGGACAGCTTGGATACGAGAATGGAGGAAGCCAGTCAAGACAGATCTTCTCTATGTGTGATCGGTATATACAGTTGTGCGATAGTACCCAGATATGATCTATTTCTTGCCTTTCCAAGAGTCGAGCTTTCGTTGAAACCTCTGCCATCTGGTCGAATCGCGGATTTCCTCAGCTCGTACCCTTTCCTCAGCCCGGGCAGCCAGCCTTGCCTTGTTTTCAGCTATAGATTGCACCTTCCTCCTCCGCGCCTCTTCTTTCTCTTCCTCCTCTCCCTCTCGTTTTGGCCACATGGCGATAGGCTCTACGATCGTCTCCACACCCGGCAAGGCATCCGGTTCAGGGTTCGTCCAGTTTCTAGGGAAGGGGCCTCTCAGTCGCAGCGTGCGCAGCTTAGGGCACGATCTAATTCCCTTCATCATTTCGTTCATGATTTGCCCGTCCGTGACGTAGCCGTCGTCGAGCAGGATGCTCATCCGGGGATTCCACTCGAGCTCGAGCTCGGCCAGGCGCGTCGCGTCGCGGAGCACCTGGACAAAGTCCCTCCTAAGCTGGTAGGAGTGCCACACATGCTTGGACAAGCAGTCCATCTCGTTGACGAAGCGGACGTGACGGATGAGGGGCCACTCGGGGGGCTTCCCCTCGGACACCAGCACGCTCTGCGCGTTGCTCGTGGCGAGGAAGAGGGCGAACCGCCTGCCCACCCCCACGGGCTCGTGGCTCTGGCGCATCTCCTTGGACATTCGCTTGCATGATAGGGACAGGCTGGAGATTGGCGCTGAGGAGGCCGAGTACAGGTATGATGGTCTGTTGTGCTCTCGGTGTAGTGGGGCATGTCGCAGGTATTCAGCGAGGTATTCAATCTGGATTTGCGCCCGCACCTCTGGGGGCAGTTTGGCGAAGAAAGAGGCTTGGCTTTGGGTGTGCATCGAGGCGTGGGGATGCGTGCGCCTCAGATGGGCACGCAATTCAAATCATTTATATCATCTTCATATGCCTCATTCGACGGAAGGATTTCGAGATTGAGTGACATGGGCTGGTGAAAGGGGTAGACGGTCTTGACCATGTGCAAAGTACTTACCCTACAGCCACATGCAGGTAAGTGTAAATAGTGGGGCTCACTGACTCATCCATCCAATCGGAGGAGGCTGACGAAATCCCTGCAATTCGGTGACATACAACACACCGAGAACCCTTAAGGTTTTCTTGCCGTTCGATCAACAAAAGCCAATACAATCATCATTGAAATGCATGCTGGTTCGTTCATTGTGGCAATTATTGCCAGTCGAGTAATAATTTGCTCATGATCTATACAGCAAACGTTGAGGCTGGTGTATCATGCCCTGTTATGTCGCCCATTTGCCAAGTCGCACTGTCCACGCTGGAGCCTGTCATCATCCACACGGATCCGATCGCATTCGACTGGTGGCTCTAGATGGACGGCCACCACAGATGACGGCCGCAAGGGACCTATAAAAGGAAGAAACCCCTCGCTGATTTATTTGGGGCGAACATGCCTTCTCCTACACTCAACCTGCAAAATGACCGAGACTTTGGTAGTACAGAATCCCGTCGTTGAGGATCACGCCGTCGCGACTCCAAACAAGCGACCGGCTGATGCCGACAACGCCCCATCGCCGCCCCCGGACGACAATGAACCCCCGGCCACGACGCTCTCCCCGCTGCAGATCGCAACGGTCATGTCATGCCTATGCGCGTGCGTCTTCGTGACCGCCCTCGACATAACCATCGTCGCCACCGCCGTCCCCGCCATCACCCACGACCTCAGCTCCGGGACGGGCTACACGTGGATCGGCGCCGCCTTCACCCTCACGCACTGCGCCGCCACGCCGGTGTGGGCCAAGATCTCCGACATCTGGGGCCGCAAGTCCATCCTGCTGTGGGCGAATGCCATCTTCTTCGCCGGCAGCCTCGCCTGCGCCCTGTCCAAGCACATCGACGCCCTCATCGCGGCGCGGGCGATCCAGGGACTCGGCGCAGGTGGGATGGCGACCATCGTTAACGTCTGTATTAGTGATTGTAAGTCTTCCCCTACTCAACGAGAGAGAAGGTGCGGCTAATTGACAGCTGCGAAGTGTTCTCACAGAGGAAACGCAGCTTCTATTACGGACTGACATCGGTCGTTTGGGCCTTGGCAAGTGGAATTGGGCCCGTCCTTGGAGGAGTGTTCACATCGAGGATAGGGTACGTTTTGCACCTGCAGAATGGAGCAAGAATGCTAACGAGTCTCTGGTTAGCTGGCGTTGGTGTTTCTGGATTAACCGTGAGTACACGCCCCGCTAACATCTCAACATCTACTTACACGTAATACTACTAGTCCCCATAACCGGCGCCGTCTTCCCGCTCCTCTACTTCACGCTGAAGCTACCCAACCCGAAAACCCCCATCCGAGCCGGCCTGAAAGCCATCGACTGGACGGGAAGCTTTCTGATACTAGGTGGCGCAGTCATGCTACTTCTGGGGCTGCACCTCGGTGGTGAGGTGAGCCCGTGGGGATCGCCCACCATAATCTGCCTCCTCGTCTTCAGCTTCGTCGCGGGAGGCCTGTTCATCGTGAACGAGTCCAAGGTCGCCAGATACCCGGTCATTCCGATGAGGCTGTTCAGAGACCGGTCCGCTGCAGCTTCCTTTGCCGTCAACTTCCTGCATTCGTTCGCCTTCATGGGAGTGGCCTGGTATCTCCCCCTGTACTTCCAGGCAGTTCTCCTGTCCAGTCCCCTGATGTCGGGCGTGTACCTGCTTCCCTTCATCGTCTCGTCGTCTGTGGCAGCTGCCCTGACAGGCGCGTACATCCAATGGTCCGGGAGGTACCTCCCTCCGATCTTCTGCGGCCTGGTCTGCACGACGCTGGGCGTGGGGCTGATGATTGACATTGGCGTCGAGGCGCACTGGGGTAAGCTCATAGCCTACCAGCTTGTGGGAGGGGCCGGCTTCGGCATGAACATCGAGGGCCCGTTGCTGGCCGTGCAGACGACGGTCTCGGCGCAGGATGTCGCGGTTGCGACGGCGGCGATGAGCTTCACGCGGACCATCTCGACCGCCATCTCGATCGTGATCGGCGGCGTCGTCTTCCAGAACCAAATGTCGCAAAAGAAGGGGGGGCTGGAGAGCCAGCTTGGTCCGGATATTGCTGAGCTGTTGGGCGGAGGGTCGGCCGCGGCGAACGTGGAGATTGTTCAGAGCCTGCCGGCGGAGCAACGGATCATCGCGCAGAAAGCCTTCTACGAGTCTATCAGAACCATATGGATATTAGTAAGGCTTCTTCGGGGACCTCGCCTACAGTTCCAAGTCACTAACATCGCATAGTACGTTGCCTTTTCGGGCGCCGGTTTACTTCTAGGGCTTCTGATCAGGGGCAACCACCTGAACACGGATCACGAGGTCACAAAGGTTGGATTGGAAGAGTTGAAGGGGGACCAGTCGACTGACCAGTCTCGGTCTAACAATGATCGCTCTGCGGCTACCATGCCGTCTGCTCGCAGGACTGACAGCTGATGTGATATGGGCCGAGGTTGTCGGATGAAACCGACGACTTTCCAAATTTTGGAGATGTCTAAGATCATACTTATCCGAACGCAGCGAAAAGAAATTTAGGAATTCAAGGATAATGAGGGATTGAGTGTTAAAATTACTGCAATTGACAAAGACGACGTGAATACAACTCCTGTAAGCTGTTTGTTGTCATTGTTTGCTGTTTAGTCGTTGAGGTAGGAGGACTGGCGAGCGTTTATCTCGCGCCTGTGATGGCTTCCGATTTCGTACGCTGTTGCAAATATAGGTACCAAAACAATGGGTAGGAAAGACAGCAGTATAGTCACTGTCGGAATAGATCAAGTAGTAATTGATACCGGTTGCGTGGAGTTTTCCCTGTAAGTATCGTCCTGCAAGCTCGTTTGCCTGCGTACGTGAATGACCGACGGCATGTGCGACTCCTTGCGCTGACGCATTTTTGAGCCCTCGAGCCAGTTTGGTCTCACTGTGACGGGCAAAGAGTACTGGAATTACGCAAAGGGACACCGCCAAGAAGGCTCACGGTGCTCTTGAAACACCTTAGTCTCCTATTCTATACCAGGCGCGTGTCTCATGGTTGCTCATAGACGCATCTTTTGATATTATAGTATGTATATTCCAATTGCGAACACTGGCCCTCAGCCTTAGCCTATCATCGACACTGCCCCTACAAACACTGAGAATACCACTGATTGGAAACAGTACATGTCCCCGACGTGCAGCACGTTGCCCCAGTCCATCCCGATCCGCCACACTGGGCATACAACGCCGCACAGGTCGGGCTCGTGCCACCACCACCACCGCTACCCCCGCCGCTGCTCGCCGACAGCGAAGCCGAGTACCCCGTGGTCGTGAAGACGGCATTGGTCCCCGTGAAGGGTTCGGTGCCGGCGCCGATGGAGTACAGGCACTGGGAGGAGGGGTACCCCTGGGACGAGGTGAGGTACTTGATGAAGTCGTTGAGGTCGCCGCTGTAGTTGGTCTGCGACGACGAGGCGACGAAGCTAAAAACGGTCATCTGGCCGTTGACGCCCTTGTACAGGCTCCACGAGATGCCGCCGACAGTGACGGTGGCGATGGGCGAGCCGGTCGAGCTGATGGGGCCGGCGCCGCCGAGGGCCCCGAGCCAGATCATGATCTCGTAGAGGGGCGTGCTGCCACAGTCGTCGTTTGAGAACAGGTCGTAGGCCACGTTAGCCACGAGGTTGGATCCCGTATAGCTGCGTATCATCATTAGCATATGCCCTGGGCGTGTGCCCCGGTTGTTTAGATGACTTACCTCCACTGCCACTTTGAAGGGATGGATGAGATGGCCGAGACTCGGGCGGCCGAAGCCTGCAGGACGGCATTAGGGTACGACTTGACGTTGTACGGGCCGCCCGACCACGAGTACGAGGTCGACCACTTCAGAAGGCCGTTGGTGATGCCGTCGACGGTCAGACACTGCGAGCCCGTGCCCGAGGACTTGCCCCAGAGGTTGTTGTACACGATGTAGCTGCCGGTGGTCACCGAGTCCCAGTCGCCGCAGACGGTGGTCGCGCGCTTCTCGATGGTCTTGGTTGGCTCAAGCGGGACGGCGACGACGAGCGACGCCGCGAGCGAGGCGAGGAGGGAGAACTTCATCTTGCAGTGCGTGTATTTTCAGGCTGGTCGAACGCCAATCCCCCGGCTTGAGTCTCGCCTCCAGCCCGTCTCAATTTATACCTTTTCCTGACCGTCTACATCGTGGTCGTTGGGAGCGACTCCCATCCAGAATCGAGTGTACGGATTGGGACACGGAGCATCGAAATGCTGCGTTGGGCAACTGGCAAACAACTCCCACCTATGAGCCGCATAGTCACTCCCCCATCCTGGTCGGGGATTAACTCGACGGCTTATAATTCCCCGGAAAGTCTGGGGGATTTGCGACGCGAGCGTGGCCCTCACGGTGGCATGGTGGATGTGGATTTTCGACGAACTCGTGGTGAAACGGTTTGTGTTTCTGCTGTTGTAGATCTCTTCGGCAGATGGGGGGGTTTTTTTTTAGCATATCGGCAGCCGTACCGGGGATCTTACCATGAGAAAGTTGTGCTGGACTGCAAGGCTCACAGCGAGCGCTGCATGGCTCAATGGACCGCTTTATCCCAAGCCGAAGGGAAACCCGGAAGCTTGGGTCCGAATCGCAGCACTGATTGGATCGCGTGTAGAAGAGGCGACGGACAGCAGGTTAAATCCAGGCTGAACAGAAAATCAGAGCAGAAGAAAGAACATGGACGGGTCATCTGATGCATGCCGCGGGGGAGATGATATTGGTGGGGAGGCACCTCGCTCCTTCCGTCGTAGGTACGCACATGGCAGCAGCATGACACAAACCGCAGCATCCCCGAAGGCCCGAAGGGCAAATTGGATAGAATCGCGCGATACGCGCAGTGCCGTGCCTTGATCGTGTCGTCATTCGTGGACGAGCAGCTGCACCGCACTCGAAGTCACATAGTTAGGGATGCACCCAAGGCCGCCGACGACCTCGCCCTGTTAGATAGTCTTAGACATATGGCGGCGGTATATTAGCCTCGAATGATAGTACAGACAACTATGTATACATACACATGACACGGCGCCATGACATGATATCCCGCGGGCCACATCCGGACCCCTAACTGCTTCCGGCAGACTCGCCCCAGCCAGCACGACGTGTCTGCTCCTTCTCGATCGCGGCCTGCTCCTCCCGGAACGACTCCAAGGAGGTCGTCTTGGCCGTACCCCAGAGCTTCCAGGGAGTCCTCTCGTACGTCTGCGTGTTCAGCATGCGCATGAGCACGACGTACTCGACCTTATCCTGCACCTTCACGGAACCCGGGACCGTCTCGCCCGTCCTGGCGCTGTACTTGTGCATCTTCTGCGTCGACGCGATGGCCACGATGGCCTGCTCCTGGACGTTGACCCTGTCCTTGGGGTTGTACTGCGAGATCATGTACGACGAGAGCCGCGGGTAGAAGAGCGGCTTGTTGTATTTCACCACCTCGAAATGGATCCGCTCGTCGCGCGGGCGCCGGTCGATGGCCCCGGACATCTTCTCGGCGAAGAAGGGCGTGCAGAGTTTCTCCAGGGCGCGCTTGTCGCCGCTCGCGAACGCCTCGAGCATCTCCCTGTACATGGCCTTGGCCGTCGGCGGGATCTTGCCCCTCTGTGCCTTCCACCTGGGCCGGGTGGTCCAGCTGTCCATCGACTGGAGCTTAATGTTGAGGAGGGCGACGACGCCGGTGAAGTAGTGTCTCGTGCGGGCCCAGTGGTAGGCGAAGAACTGGCCGGGGGATTTCGGGTATTGGGAGAGTGGGAGCGACACAAAGGTAGCTGTCAGAGGTCAGTTTCACGATCATTCCGGGGCAGCAGTTGAGGGGACCGTTGCGTACAGGGAAAGAGAGGTACTCCACCGCTCTTGAAGAAGATGTCGTTGGCGTTGGACGAAGCGGCAGATATCGTCTGTTCGTTCTTCATGCCCCGCTCCATCATTGCCCTGCTCTCGCGAGACATTTTGGCGTCCGAGGGCAGTTTCACCGTCCGGCGGGCGGGCGTTCTCGACTTTGCGGCGGCACATGCTCTGGTGAATAGGACCGGCCGGCGGAGGGGCCCAGCGACCGTGGCGCCCATGCCGGGCTGTAGGAACGGCATGGGGAGAGAAATTGAGGGGCGCGCGCGGAGGAGGAGGTCAATTGGTTTGTTTGGTTGGGGGTGCTACCGGCGAGCAGCCGGCATTTTTTGTTCACGAGCGAGTCGAAGAAAAAAATGGTATGATGCCCAATTGGAGATCTTGACGGGGAATTTCTTGACGCCCACCATGTCGAGAGCGGAAAATCGCTGTGCCGGATCCCGGATGTCGGCGACACACATCCGTGGGATTAGTCATCCGATCTCCTCCGCCGGATGATGCTGCTCAACCTCCCGGCAGTCATCGTGACTAGCACGGATCGAGAGCTACGGGAAGATGCGTACCGCACAAGCTTGCCTTCTTTCAGCAAGGAGGTGTCAATCATTGGTGATCACCCAGGCATAATTCATTGGACATGCATGTCTCAGTCCAATGACGGTACACCGTGCGCACTGTTTGCTCATGAGGCGGGCTAGCACTACTCAGGGCTGTCAGGGCGCACGATGGAAGCCAATTCCTTTGTTTTGCGCGAGCGGTACACACAATTATGCTGGGGCTGATGGGATATTGACACGGGGTGTGACGGGGACCGATCCTCGGGCTGGGATGGCGTCCCCTTGCTCTGCGTAAACAATCCATCAGCACTGGTGGTGCCTGTCGTGATGCAAGAGGTGGTGAACAATGACTGCTCGGCCAATATGCCAATGTCTCGCCATGCGTGCGACAAAACAGTGCCGATTTCACCGCTCCAGTTCCCCTGAGAGGGCGCCTGCGTTCAGCTCATGCGGGCAAGTGCTAGATGGCGCTATTGTGCGGCGTGTCTCAAGCATCGGCCAGAGAGACTGGCGGGCTGCGTTCAATTAAAGGGATCCGCATACCAAACCAATTGCGCATATATAAACGCAGCACACCTCCAGGTATGAACGCTGAACTCACTATTCCTGGCAATCAAGATTCAATATGAAGTTCAGCGCCGTCGCCTGTCTCTCGGCCCTCTCCGCCCCTGGCCTCTGCGCCAGCGTTGGCGTCAGCAAGCTCCATGATTTCACCCCTGCCACCGGCTCATTGAAAGTCCCTGGCGAGTCGCCCGCTGAGTTCTGCAATGCGGATCGCGACCAAGATCTCGTGCAGGTCCAGCTTCTCAGCACGGACCCCAACCCCGTGAAGGCGTATGTATTTCCCAATTGACTCCCAGAAGATGGCGCGCGGTTCTTTGCTCACTAGACCCAGTGGCAAGCAGGTGTCGGTCAAGGCTACCCTAGACATCAAGAAGACGGTCACGCGTGGCTCCTACGTCAAGGTCGTCGTCAAGTACGGCCTAATCCAGCTGCTTTCTACGACGGCCGATCTGTGTGAACAGATCTCGAGTGCGGGCATGGATTGCCCCGTCGAGGCTGGCAAGCATCAGATATCCTTCAAGGCCGACATGCCTTCGGTCATTCCACCAGTATGCATCCATGTACCTCCTCCACATGGCTCTCTGCTGACCAATGACATTTTTATAGGGCACATACAATGTGTTGGCGGACGCCTACTCAGAGGACGATGAGCCGCTCACTTGCATGAAGGCTGCTGTTAACTTCCCTCGCCCGGGGGAACTTGGCCTCGAGCTGTGATTTTTGTGGCTGTGATTTTACGGTTATATGTGCGCCTTGCGGTGCACCGCTCGGCCGGGAGATTGAATGTTTACCATGTGCCTTTCATGTGCCTGTTGCTACCCTGTACCCAACTGCCGTGCTTTTTGCTCCTCCTCATGAGGCGAACGCCGGACCAAACAATGATTATCTAGTACCTCCTGCTCAATTCTAGTGTTCGCCAAATCCGTCTATTCACCCAATGGTCTGAGTTCGTTGATGCGAAGTAACATTTTGTCCAGCTATGTTTAGACATCGTGCACACTTGTTAATTGTGCACAAGCCACTAAAGATCAGAAATAATCCACAACAAAGTAAGGCTTTCATTATTTTTACTACCAGCACGTTTATAGTGTTTCAGGTGGTGACTTATTTATTTACATCCCTCATATTTCTTTCTTTCTCTCGGGTGCTTTCTCCCTTACTTCATTGATTTGTACACAATGCTTGTTGCAATTGGAAGTAGGAGAGAAAAGCCGTCTTGGTGGGCAAGTGGTTACGTAAGCGGACCTGGAGTGAAGTGAAAAGTGGGAGCATTGGTCGCAGCGATCTGTCTGTGGGAGCGAGCGCCCAGATGCCCCGAGCCCAGGACAAAGCAAAAGGCACACATAGAATTGTCCGAGATCTGTGATCCTCTCTCGTATCAACCCTGGTCACCTATCCAAAGAACCGAAGTTCAGACTAAGGGTGTGGTCGTGCCCGCTTTCCAGTGGCAGTCTCCGGCAATTCTGCTCCGTTGCATTGGGTCCTGGCCACTGGCTCACCCGCTCAGCGGGGCCTGGAGGCCGCTGGAGATAGCGGAGGATCCATTGCGAGGGAGGACCCTGAGAGAGGACCTGAGGAAGGCACAACACAGAAGGAGCGAGTTGCACCAAAACCACGTCACTGCCTCACACACGGCCACAAGAGCAAGTTGCCTTGCATATCGCCCAGCGCATTTCTGCCCAACTCATCCCCTCTTGTGCTGCTGCGGGTGTGTGCACTCAGCGATCACGAGACTGCTGGCACGGACAACTCCAGGACCGAGAGTCGCAGGACTGGCCAAGACGGCCCCCCGCATCGTTTCATCCCTGCCCTGCCATCCCTGATCCCGACGGTGCGCCCGTGTCCGCCGCCCACTCGATCCGCCGCTCCATCCATCGCTGACCAGCGCTCTCTTTCGACGACATGTGGACCGCTCGCTTCTGACGACGTCGGTTGCAGTTACCAGGCGTATAAAAGCCAGAGCAGCCACGCTCCCCCCCTCAGACAAAGACGAATCTCGCTCGAGCGCGGGAGAAATCCTCGTCTAGTTTCCGGCTGTGTATCGCCAGACGGACGGGTGGGTGCTTCAAGAGCAGCAGCAGCACCCACTCACACCTCGTTATGGATTTACCGACCGCTTGACTGCTCTGGACTCGAGCGCCAGCAGCAACAACAACAAGAACACCCGCGTGGCCTGCTTCGACATCCACCTTGTGAAACCAGACGGGTTATTGGCCGCTGGGGAACTTTTTTCTGATGGACTCTTGCGCATGCTGTGTCACGGCTTAAATACCCTCGATAGCCACCAACGAGAGGCGTATTTTGGTCGCCTTACGCCAAATCTCACGGTCCGCATGTACCAACCGCTCTCCATCACGAGCATATCACCGAGTCCCCGCCTCCATCGACCATCGTCTACATCATCAATGCAACCAAAACAGTGCTCCCGCCGCTCGGCCAGTCAGGATATGCCTACTCTTCAAGCCCCAGTCCATGTTATCTGTGGCAGTTGGTGTTGCCCATCACCTCCTTGCGCCACCCAACTTCATCATTCATGCGCCTCCAGTTTCGCCATGTTGCACACAACGCGCCCAAATGGCGGTGGAAGTAATGGCATCTCCCTCACGTCCATGGGCGCACGGCATAGTTGCCAGCGCAGGTGACCACCCAACGGTCCCTCTTGGCTTCGGTCGGTAGTCGCAGCTTGGATGACTCCCGCACTGACTACGGACTCGCTTTCCTGGAGTAGTGAAGCATAAGGTGCCAGTGACCGTAATTAGCGGAGGGGAGACGAGGACAGCAGCGGGGCTGTGAAACCAACGAGGATGGACCATTTGCCCCCCAACCACTGTGCAACTCTTATGCCTCGCCTGCGCTTGCCCCCTTACTTCAGGTCTGGCCACGTCAATAGCACTGTGATATGAGACCGGCGCCTCAAGCGCCAATCATTCAATCTACACACGACAGGAAGACCGAACCAGCGCAGGCGGCCTTGAGGAGAGCTGCGCGGAAAGGTTACAGGTTACACACGTAGACATCACAATCGCGCGCACGTTTGGTGCGATTCCCAGCCATCTCCCGGAGAGTTTATCTTCTTGTGTGCTGTAGCTCAGGCCTTTTTCCTGATGCACGGTAGGGCTTGCCCATGTGTTTCTGAGCCAGGGGTCAAGCAAACTGTTTGGACATTGCCCTGCTGCGCATCATCTCACCCCGTAATGTGCCAGGCCGTAAGGATTGTCCAGTTAGCTGCGAGGTGGACGATGTGGCCGGGTTTACCGGGCTTGCAGACGCATGATGGCCTCGGTGCTGTGCTGAGGTATGAGTGCCCGGCGATATGCATGCAATCATGTTCTGTTCTTGGCTGCCGAGCCGACGGCCGCTGCAACACACCGTCTCGAGCCAGTTGCAATCCTACTTGGTGGTGATCGGCCGCCACTACATGGATATCTCTTCATTTGCGATAGCACCCTCGTCCCTTTGCCCGCCTTTTGTGAGCTCGCCATTGGCTTGTGTTTCCTGGCAAGGATGGCCAGAGCCCAAGCCTGTATGCTTCTGCCGTGTTCGTGTTCTCACACGACTCACACTACACCAAGGTCGCACAACATATATCATCACGACGCTAGGGCCCTCTTGCCTTTCTCATTCGACGGTTGTCGGTCCCGCACATTCCAGCTCGCTGGGGTCTGAGGTTGTCGCCCGATACATTGGCTGGGTATTCGCGGCGCTTTTTTGGCTGTCCGCTCAGATCATGGCGAGAGGAATTTTGGGACCGCTTCTCTCAACAATCGATGCCCCGCCCTCTCCCCTCAAATTTCTTACTATAAGATCACCAAGATCCCTCACATTATTCTCTGGCTCTTTTTCAGAAGAGTCATGATCATATTTCCCCAAATGAGTTGATTGGTTGATTAGTTTGTTTCAGTGACTTGCGCACTGCATCACCTCTTTCATAAATCATACGATCTGTCTAATCATTGTTCACACTGGTACCACGATTACCTTACTCTAGAGTCACTGCTACCGATTATCATTCTTCTAGAGAACTTCCTCTTATTTCATCTTATTTCTTCGAGGGAGTGCCTCGTTGCTCGGTATTATCTCTGCTGGAGAACTTCCTCTTGTTTGATATCATTCCTTCTAGAGACCCCCTTTTATTCAATCCTTTGAGGACTTCCCATTAGATCCTTTCCCTTGGCGAAATCCTCACAAGATATCGTTCTCTTACAGACTTCGAACCCCGGTACTTGTTCCCCAGACACCTTTCTTCAGCCGAATTAGGCGAAACGCATAGCACAATCAATCCCAGTACCTCGGAGATTTCATTTCTGAGATCTCTACCCCCGGACTGGGCTTACGCCTTGGTCTCTTGCTTCTTTTTACACATCATCTTGATCCTTCCAAGCATAACACTGGGACAATGTCTACCGGTTCCGGTGCCCACCAATCCTGTCACTCCACGGCTTCTTTGGGAGGCAAGCAAGACAGTGCTTCCGTGGGAGGCGCCAAAAACACCACCTCTAGCGCTGGTTCGACTAAGGATGCGAGCGGCATTTCGAGTGCATCCAAGCCCTCATCGGCGCCCTCGCACCAAGGCTCGGCAGTACTTGCAGGGTATATAACCTCACCTACCAGACACTCTTTAGATCTAGGCACTCGCTAACTGATGCTCCTAGCAATGAATCTGTCGACAATGCCCAACCGTTTCAACCTCCTGTCGGCCAAGGAGAGATGGACGATCCTATTGGCCGGTTTTTGTCTGAGACTGAGAACCCATTCGCTATTTTTCGTGACGCCAACGGCGATCCTGTCACTGTTGGGCGCGCTGGACCATCTATCGCACAGACCATAGACAATATCCTCAATCCTACCAAGTAGCTTTACAGTATTGAGCCTATTCTGGATCTTTGTTGGCATGTTTTTGCACCTACCTAGCTGTCCGGAGTTGGTGCGTCCAACTAAATGTCTAGATTCACAAGTCTGATCTTGTTCTGGAGGACAGGGAGGGAGGGAGGTATGTATTGAGTGGTTTCTTGTTTTACTTTTTAACTGTTACGACGAAATGACTGGTGAGAGGTCGGAGTTGGTATGAAGGGTAGAATTTTTCTTTGCATCGAGAAGCCGAGTGTTCTCATGGAGGTCTCTTGTCTTTTGATAAGCTATTGTTTACTGTCTCTAGTTGGTATCTCTATTCTATTTTTATCTCTGATCTGGCCAACTTGTAAACACACCTAGGGTTCGGCCAACTTCTTTGAGCTGTCTTCAAGGTGGGTGGCCTGGATCATGCATTTCTCCAGCCATTACCAATAGATTGACTGTTCCTCCCGTGGCATAGCAATCCTTAGCATTCCCTCTTCTCCGCTGTTTGAGCGCCAATAACGAGGCGATGGTGTAGCATATGCGAGCATCAACCTGAGCATATGCCAAGACTAATCCCAGCATATGCGAAGAAGAATGATGCTCTTGCCAATACAAAGCCTATCTCCTCGGGTTTTAAAAAATTGCAGGACCTTCTGCTTCATACTCGACACCATCTGCATCCTTTTCGTGCTGCTTCTGCGGCTGATACGATCCTTCCCGATTCACCCCCTGGCTACACCTGAGCGCAGACTCTGAGTAATCCGGCATAGTTCTAACCCTACCATTGCCTAAACTACTGCTGCCCTCTCAGTTCGAGCGGCTCGATTATATATCTCTCATTGGAGGCCTACCGTGGTCCCTGCGTCATATATAGTGTCTTGGCTCTTGGGTTTTCAGGATCAATGGAGGAAGCCTCTGGGTGGATTTTAAGGGCTCTGAGGAAGATTGCCGGCTGAATATGGGCTATTAAGCCTGCACACCGTGTTGCTTTGACCCCTCTTTACACCTAGGTAGGTAGGTAGAGGGCTCAATCTTCAGTGCTGGGCGCTGGTCATTGATATTATTCCGACCTCAAGGCATTCCAAGTAGTTCACAGCGGATGAAGCCAGGTAGACAGCGTAACTACTTGGTGGTAACGTTTATATACCTCGTTGTGGCTCCCAGTGATTAGGGATTGGTGGAGGCATCGTGTGCAGCTCGCGACCTAGAGCTCGAAGAACCATTCTCATACTTCAACCCATTTGCCTTGCGGACGGCCCCGTAGATTCCAGTGATGTCGCTCTTGTTTGGTTCGGCGATTTTCGCTAGCTCCTCCAGATATCCACGACCATTCGCCGCATTCTTCAGCTCTACACCAGCAGCGTGAGAGAGCCCGATGAGGTGACTGGCATCCTTGAGGCCATTCTGGGCCGAGAAATACGGCTCGTCCAGTTTCCAGTAATCTCCGCCCAGCATCCGACTCGAATACACCGTGTATATGCCCCCATACATCATATCGACGAGCTGCTTGACAGTCGCGGGATCGACACCGGCCTTCTCGGCTAGAGTGAATGACTCGGCAAGCTGCGTGACCATGTTGAGCGCGAATCCATTGCCGATGAGCTTGAACTTAGCAGCGCTGCTGTACCGCTTGTCCTCAAACGTGATCTCTGCCTGTCCCATGACGCCCTTGATGAATGGGCGGACTCTCTCAATTGAAGACTTTGGGCCCGCCGTGACGAAAATGAGCGTGCCCTTCTCAGCCATTTGAGGTGGCCCGAATACTATTTCAAAGGTTAGTTGCGCCTCGTGTTTCCTCAATGAACTTACTTACCCGGACTGCTGACGAACTCGGCCCCGGAACCTACCATCATCTTCCCAACCTTGTCTGTCGAGTCTGGGTGCACGGTTGAGCAGTCGACAAAGAGCTTGCCCTTGGTATTTCCGCCGTTGACAATCGATTCATACGTTTCGAACACGGCAGCGTCGTTGCTCAGACAAGTGAAGATGATCTCGGCGGAGCTGACACTTTCTTCCAGCGAGTCCGACACTGTCGCTTTTTCTAGCCCAAACTGGCCCACGAAATCTTCAGATCGCTTCTTTGTACGGTTGTAGATGAGAAGAGGCCTATCAAGTGAACCCTTCTGAATGAGATTCAGGCACATGCCCTAAAAGCAGGTCTCAGTCTGAGTATGTACATCAGAGATTTCTTGAAGGTGGTTCTTACCCGGCCCATATTACCGAGGCCGATCCACGAAAGTTGAGGAGCCATGGCAAAGGTTGTTGACGATTCTTGTGTTTTCGACTTGGAGGTGTGGTAAGTTTCCAATTGTTTGTGGGGGTTGATATCTGGACGTTCATAGCATAGCATCATCTTCAAGCTCCTTTATGTCCTCAACTCTTTGGAACTGGCGGCTGATAAATCTTGGCCCGAGAAAAGGTGGCAACATAGTCAGAAATGGGTGATGGTGATGACTGTCGCAAAGCCGCATGCTTTCTCTCTGGTTTCCGGCCGGAGTTCCTGAGCTCAATCCCGGGAACCCATCGTAATGTGACAAACTAGTGACACTTTTGATATGTCGATACATGCCGTAAATAGGAGGATTCGTAGGGAATGAAGGTGGCGGAACCCCATGGAAGAGGATCTCATCGTGCTCGGCCTTTTGCATCTCGCTGCTCGGTCTTCGGAGCATGAAAGACGCAGACGTGATTCCGACAGAGGCCCATAAAAGTGACGGAAATCCGGCCGGGTGGTCCCACTCGAACCGTGCTTTGACAAGGGTGTTGCGGCCTGCAGGCAAATCAACTCTGGGCAGTACTGCCTTCACCTAGAGTATTTAGTATAATGGCTTCTTCTCATTTATTTGCAACCAAGAGTTGTTGATACATACCAAATCAGTTCAAGAGTGATTCAAATTAGCTTTCAACATGGCCTCCAATCCTCCCGGTCAATGCTGCGTCACGGGCATGAAACATGAGTATGTCCCTAACTGCGGTCTTTGCTTCGTTCGTACAGTAATTTGCCGGCTAACTTGTCCAAAATGTAGAGGCGAGCCGACTGGACAGAGCTTCAAAATCGACGGTTATGATGCCTATCTAGCAACAGCTCATGGACCCAGAGCCCACGAAGGTGTCGCCCTTCTTCTTCTCACCGATGTCATTGGTATCTGGCAAAATAGCAAGCTGGTTGCCGACCAGTATGCAAGCTATGGCTACACAACTCTGATCATTGATATTTTCAATGGAGATGCCTTGACTCTGAACCGTGCGGACAATTTCGACTTCTTTTCGTGGCTCAAGGGAGGATCCACAGGCGACAACCCGCATACCAGCGATGCTATCGATCCCATCGTCAAGTCTGCGGTCAAATATCTGAAAGAGAGGAAAGGCGCAACAGCAATTGGGGCCGCTGGGTATTGCTTTGGCGCCAAGGTTAGTTGAGCTTGTCTAACCCTCATGCGGCACTCCTGTCAGGTGGTCACCACTTGGCTGACACACAGCTAGTACGCCGTTCGACATTCTCCAGATATCAAAGTCGGATTCATCGCCCATCCATCTTTCGTGGAAGAAACAGAGTTGCAAAGTTTCCAGGGACCCCTCTCCGTGGCTGCAGCTGAAAAAGACGACATCTTCCCAGCCGAAAAGCGGCATCTGAGCGAGCAGATTCTGGCCAAAAAGGGGCTTCCGTACCAGATGAGTCTTTACAGTCAGGTCGAGCATGGCTTTGGACTGCGTGCTGATCACACCAATAAGATCAGCCGCTTTGCCAAAGAGCAGGCTTTCTATCAAGCCATTGCATGGTTTGATGCTTGGCTAGCCTAGATAGCTCATATCGGAGGAGTGACGTTGCAGTCATTTAGCCACTGGATGAAACTGTTGGCGAACGTGACCGGCACGGTTGTCACGGTTCAAACGGGAAATAATGCAATATAGAACAACCATTTGGAAAATTATGCTAAAGCGAGTAAGAAAACTTTTAGTGATTAGGGTGATTGCTTCAGGCTGGTCGGATGGCGAAGGAAGCAGACAACTGCGCCTTCGCACTCGTTAGAATGCTCTCGCCGAACGGCCCGGTTGTCGTCAGCCATGCATGAATGTGACCCTCACGGCCTGTGTGTTTTCCGTTTGCCCAGTGAATGAGATCTATACCTAGCAGCGGCTTACCGCAGTACGTGTCCCAGCTCCGGTGGTGAAATGCCCAAGCCTCGGAAGAGACGGCTTCCCACACATGGCTTGGGTAGGGCAGTGGCACCTCGGGAAAAGCATGACACATGGTCGTCGAGAAGCCTTTGCGCGAATTTGACACGACATTCAGAGCATGTAGAGCAAAGAAGTTCCTGGGGGAAGTCTGTTAGGGTCTAGGATATTGTGAAAATGGGAGAGACTGCTGTTACCAACCTCCGTGTGCTCTCGTCCTGTATCCACTTCCTCCAGTTCTCGGGCTGCACGTTCTTCTCTGGCTCTAGACAGTGCATGCTATGGCGTAGTACATACTGCGTCGGAATTAGCGATATTGTTAGCCCTAGAAGTTGTTATGTATGTATTACCTGAGTAAAAGTCATGGCGATGGTGTCCACAAGATCATTGACATAATGGTTTAGGCTGTAGATGCGCATCGCAGAATATATGACAACGGCCTGAAAAGCCGAGAGAAACTCGACACGGCTCAATTTCTCCCGCTGGATAGTAGAACACTATCTGTAAGCATTCAAATTTCACAAGGAGGTTCTTCTGATTTACCTTGGAGTAGAGTTGTTGCACTTCATGATTAACCATATCTAACACAACCTGTTCCGTTTCCATAGTCCTAGTGAGATAGAACTGGGAGATGTTGGCGACAGTGTTCAAAACATCCGCTCTCTGCCCTGCTTGGGTTTGTACGAAATGAACAAGGGGTAGCCGTTCTTTGCCGTACGACATTCCTTCAAAGACCTCTTTGAATACGTCATCAATAGCACTTAGTTCATGCTCGGTAGTTATCGGTGTTTTGCTGAGTCGAACCCTAGATGATAGATGGCTTGAGATAATTTCATCTTCGAATTGGCTTCCGGAAGGTGCGTTTTCTGTGCCGTACACGGTTTCAGGCGCGATCGGAGTTTCGAGTCCCAGGGCAGGGAGGAGAGGGATATCTTGCAGGTCCGCCTCGTCAAGTCCGTATATAGAACTCGTTGACTGTCCACTGGAGAGCGGTAGAGGCGGAAATGACTGCATAGTTTTCTTTAAATTAGCGGTGGGTGAATGACGACCAGGGGAGCTTGTTGTTCAGCATTTACCTGAGGCGCTTCACTCGATGCGATTGGCCACGTTTCCTGCGAATACTCGCAAGGTAGCGATTTTATCGCACATCTGCCACAGCTCGGCATGCCACGGTCGCATCGGGATTTTGCCCGAGCACACGCTGAACAGGCCTTCTTCCGGGTACGAGGACGCATACGGCATCTCAGATAATGACGGGTAAAGGCCGTTTCTGGGCTCCAACGTTAGTCTTGGTCGCGTTAGGTGGAGCGGTGAGAGCAAGATCCCTCGGGATAGGGGAGCCTGTACGGGAACTAAACGATCTGTTGCAAGCGCAATAATAATCCGGTAACTGTGAATCCATGGTTGTTTGCCGTCCTGGGGAAGAGATCACTGAGTGTAGACTCTACCAACTGAGGGCATTGCGAGTTAAAACTCCACATACTCCGTTGTTAGAGTCGGAGTTCCGACAGCCCTCGCATTGGCGCGAGTAAAAACCACGGCAAATTTGTTCCACCCAGAGCTGACCGCTACGATGACGTGAGCACCCGTCACTAGCGAGTCCGGCTTGTCCATGGGCCTAATGCTTCGGTCTTGCTATTTCTCTTTCTTGTTGCTGCACGGTGTCGATCATCGGCACAGGGGTTTGAGAGCACCGAAAGTGGACTTGATTGCTTCGGACTCGGACTCGTTTGTCAGCCTCGATGGAAAGATTTTGGCCTAAATAAGACACCGTGCGGCCCACCGGCGGCAGGCTGAGAGCACTCCCCGGCGTTGAAAGCCATAACTTTCCCCACTGCAGTTCCGGCCTGTGCTAAGATGACTCAAGATATAGGGCCAACATGCGTTGTCGAGGACGTGTGCTTCAAAGCGAGTGGCCAACGCGACGCCGAGCTGGCAGGGAAGTCACTATCTGGTCGGTATCTTTGCAGAGCCGGGATGTCGATTTGGCGGTCGATTTCAGGAAGGCTCGAGGATAGGCCGGGTCCCTCTGGTGAGGACATTCTTGACTTGAGAGAATATCGATGACGGAGGAGGTAAGAGAGATGTCGAGCATTAGTAAACCTATAAAGGTCGTGAGCATACACTGTCCGGACCCTGCCATGTTTCGCCAGGTTTTGAAATCATCCTGGAAGAGTGTGCAAAGAGGATGTGGGTGACTTTTCAGCAAGTAGAGCAGGGGCAACGGAAGTTTCAACAAGTAGGTACCTAGGGTAGGAGCAGACGAGACCGCGCCTGCCGCAAGACACTCACGCGCACAGAGGGAGAATATGCCAGGTCGAAAGGACAAGGTGTCTCCCCTAATTTCTTTTACCTCCTCGAACTTTGAACACGACTCGCCCCTAAGCGCTGTGTTGTTAAATAGTGATACGGGGCCCTGGGCTTGAACATCATGAGCGTCTAGAGGGCGAGAGCCATCCCATTCGTGTGCCTATATTGTTAGGTTTCCTAGGTACCCAAGCTCCCTTAGGTACGATCGGGTGCAAGCCTCGTGGCCAGTCATAGATGCCGAACTTCGGTGTGCTGATATTGCGATGATGCTGGGAATAGTACCAAGTTGTCGATTTCGTAGTGTTCTGTCCCCCCCTTTTTTAGCACAGCTGCTGCATAACCTGCAGAGCTCTCTCATATACTGCCTACTTACTGCCAACAGCCTAACCCCCAAGAATAGATGTCCTATCTGCATCATTCTCCGGGGGGGGGAATCCCATGACAGGTGCGCCTGTTCTCTTATCGGGGTGTGGGTTGCAATATTCAATGGCATAGCACCATCACAGATATCAGGTGAGCACCACAGCATCACAGTACAGATCCTAGCTCCCATCACCGCCTATTTCTTGAAAGAGATACTTTGGAGAAATGGTGCTGTGAAATTTCTAGACAGATGGAAAGACTGCCGCCAACCGAGGAAAAGGGATCTTGTTCTCTCTGGGATACCGCCCTAGTCATCTACTAAGGCTCACCCTGGATTTATTCCCTGTACCTGCGCAGAAAATCACCTGAATAAGGCAATGTAAGCAAGTAGCGTCCCAGTTTTTTCCCGCCCCGTTATCAGCGGCTCAAATTGAAGCCGAGCTTACCGCCTCCAAGTGCTCAAGTTCTGCCATGTACATATTGAGGATCGGCCCCGGCACGATAAGCGAATCATTCAATCCCAGAGTTCCATTCCAGCATTGATTTACGTTCAGGCTCAGACGCGGTACGATGAACCCATTGCGCTGGTTCCGAGGCGGTCGACCGCCTCTGCCGCCTGTCGATGGCGATACAATCTACTCGACGCATTTCATGGACAACAGGGGCTCTGACGACATTATCTGGACCACCACCTGGCAATTCAACGACGTGCTCGATGCCGATAAGTTACACGGCTCACTGTGCCGGCTGCTGGAGATTGGCGATTGGAGGAAGCTGGGTGGCCGCTTGAGACGAGGCTCCGGACGCAAGTTGGAGCTGCATGCTCCTCCCCAGTTCACCCCTGAGCGACCGGCAGTCAACTACTCGCACGAGGTCCTCCACGTCAAGATGAGAGAGCATCCTTTGGCGTCCAAGATCCCTCAGCCAGCCAAGGGTCCATGCCTCCACTCATTTGTCGACACGCTGGAGACTACCCGTCCGCTCATGTACCGGAAAGATGTGCAGGCCACAATGGAAGACTACTTTGTCAGCGATGACCCTTCTCTGTCTTTGCACATTGTATCCTTCGAAGACGGCACCATGGTCTCTTTGACCTGGTCACACCATCTTTTCGACGCGATGGGCGTGAGGGCCGTTGTCAATGCCTGGTCGCTCGTGCTAGCTGGGAGGGAGGCAGAGGTTCCGGCCCTCAACGGAGTTCATGCTGATGTTCTGTACGAGGGCCCAGAGAAGGAATCCCAAGAACAGCGACAGGAGTCTTTACTCGAACCCACACGTCTGAGTGGTTTCCGCCTCCTCGTATTCGCCTTTTACTACTTTTGGGACCAGATATGGGGCAGCAAGCTGGAGATGAGGCTTCTCTTCCTGCCCAAAAGGACGCTTGAGAATCTGCACACCCATGTCGTTCAAGATATAGCATCAGTTTCCGATAATGAGGGCGAGGCGCCATGGGTCAGCGAAAGTGACGCTCTCTTATCAGTGTACACCAAAGCCGTCAGCGGATCTCAACCAAAGCCCCGGCCAATCCTTCTTATGAACTATATGGATTTGCGAGGACGGTTTCCTGGTGTAAGCAAGACAGAGGGGCTCTCCTATGTCCAAAACATGCTAGCGGAGTGTTTTACAACCATATCGCCTACTTTAGCTCACTCCTCGATGGGTACAATTGCATTGGCCTGTCGTAAGTCACTGCAACAGCAATCCACTCCAGGGCAATTGGCCGCTCTTATGCGCATCATGCGGAAGTGCTGGGATTCCGGTGAGGACCCCATGATTCTTTCCGGGCCCCCGAATGGAGAGCTGCTGGTGTCGACGAACTGGGCCCGCGGCGCCTTCTTCCACGTAGCTCAGTTCGGGCCCGCGGTTGTGAAGCAGGGGGAGAACGACAGTACGAGGTCGAACCCTTTGGGGAGTCCTCGATTCTATTATGCCCTACCTCTGAACATGACGCGGGGGGCAAATGCCGGTGTTAATTTGGGCAAAGATCACAATGGAAACGTGTGGATAATGGGCAGTTTCAATGCAAAGGCCTGGGATTCTATCATGACGCAACTTCAACAATATTGAGCCCAGAAGAAATAGCGTTCGGTGCGCGTGGTTATATCAACTATAGATAGGCGCAATCTGTTGGTTGGTGTGGCATCACTCAATGATCTCACGCCAATGACCCTTCTAGCTGGAATGATAGTAGTTATTGAGGGCGGAGAACAATAAAATACCGTAGCTCCCAAGATTGTCTACGATACGGAAAATTGCTAAGCGTATGTGTGCTTCTATCCCCTGCCTGCTTGTCACTGACTTGGCTAGACGGTGGCAAGGGGTAGCCAAATCGCCTCGTCGGATATCTTAAGCTTACACTCCAGCTCCTTGGTAGTCATATGCTGTCCAGCCTCATTGATCATCGCGGTTGACAGATGAGTTTTATCGATGAACAGCGGAGTTCTGATGGACGCTGAGGAAGAGACGACGAAAAGTGTTTGGAGTGGCATGTGGTAACGGCGTGCGGCTCGGAAGTATCTGTTCGGTCCTTTTCTTCTGTTAGAAATAGAGGCATAGAGACGAATGTGTTTGCTATGGTTTCACAACCTTCAGTAAAGCCTACTTCGCAGCGGAGGTGATACGATTACGTCTATTCGCGGAGGGCGGAGGACGGAAGAGGTAACGCAGAAGGTAGAGACTTGTTTCATGAGGCCCCTTCGGCGGCTTCTCAAAGATTGTAGTCGTTGTGAGCATTGGATGAGAAACTTAGGCGAAGTTCGAACGTCAAAGCTGCACAGGGTTTTGAAGGCTGGAGTTGCAGAGAGCTCTAGGTAACTGTTGGACTTTGGCTGTTGTGAGATTACTGCCCTATGTACTAGGTAAGGTAGACCTTTGATATTCCCAAGGCACCTGACCGGTGCTATGATGGATGTTGTGCCTGAGGCTCACCAGCCACGTTGGCGTGCAAACTGTGGCGCCGCTGATACTGGAGCGATGCGCTTGTGTGGGACATCACAAACAACGTTCTAGTCAACGCATCGGCAAGCGTACTTATTTAGCCAAGGACTAAGTCACAAAGATCCTTTCCGCATGCCTCGTTCCAACCTTCAAGAGAAACGACACCGGATCCTCTTCGAAATGCAACGCCATTATCCCATTCGACCCAAAGCACGAACAGGCAGTCTCGAAACCATAAACTTCTATCCTCCTCTGCCCCCGGAATTCGTTGTTCACCGCCCAGCCTCCCTGTGTAGCCTTTGGCAGCGGATACGAGCTCAACACGCTTTCCAGGTGTTTCTGTGGTCTGGAATTGCTCAAGCTCACCCTCGTTGTGCAGTTGCAGGTATCCAGCAAGCACCCCCTTTCTATCCAGTAAGTGCAACCTGGGAGGCTTCAGAACACCTATTTTAGAGCCAGCATACAAAAATGCTCGCTCAGTACGGCAAGAAATATATGCTGACTGTTGGACGGTGGCTTCGCCCGACTTGGTGCTAGTGGCGGGGACAGGATACCAATGAAGCAACCTAGGGACAAAGCTGCTTTGTCGCGATTCCGCTGCAAAATGTTCGATTTCGAACGAGAACCGGGGGGTATATCTAGGAAGATATTCTTTGTCCGCTGGCTCCAATTGGCCCTCATCGAAATTCTGTCGCTCCCACCCCTCAGGTACGAGGCCGTTCCCCGTTTGCGCCTCCTTTTTCGAAGTATACCATCCTGGTACAAGTGCCTGCTTGCTGGAATGTTTACACGACGGTGATGGAACTGCATACCACTCTGTAACCGGAGATACGAATCCCTCTCTCTCATCAAAACTGCCACCGTTGTATGCAGCAAACTCGCAGTCATCCGGAAATGCAACATTGCCACTCCAGCCGAGCCAGGACCACGACGGGAGACTGTTCGGGGTTGCTTCATTTGATCCTTGTTTCTTTGCGGGAACACGTCGATGTATATCACCCCTAGGACGCCACAGAAGAGCCATCTCAAGAAAGAAGATTGGAAGCCCGTATAACAGTCCACCTGGGAACACGCGACTCCCGAGTACATTCTGCAGCCCAGAAAACGTAGAGGCGGCATCTTCAGGAAATGACAGTGCTTTCACATTGAACTCCTTGATCATATGGGTCAAGAAGAAAAGCACCGGAGCCCTGATCTTCAATACGCCTTCTGAATCTGGGACTTCTGGTGTATCCATCCCTGGTGCCTGGTGATGATCTTCCCACCACTCGGCCTGAGAACATAGCCAAAAAGCAGTCTCTCCCTGGAAGATAAGTTTGCGCGAGGCGAAATGATACTCTTGGAATGTCCAGGCTCGCTGGTGGTAGGGAATCCGCAATTTTTTATATGCCTCTGATCCGCTCGATCGAGGGATTGGTGGTGTGACGACGAGCATTTCTGATCCGGCCAGCTTCACAGTCACTTGATGAAGGCTGCGCGGGGAAGATACGCCTTTGAAGCCCGGAAGACCGTGGCTAGCATCCGCGCCGTTAGCGGCGACGATGGTGAAGGACGCAGAGGCATAAATGCCTGGCATCCGACCAAGTTCCAGACGAAGCTGCTCGCTGTCGTCCTGAACGATGCACAACGCATCAACCCAGAGATATCTCATTCCAAGCCAGCTCACGATACCCATTGCATCCTTCACAGTCTTTGGCATCTGCTTTCTCACATCCTCATTGGCAAAAGCTCCTGGCTCTAAGAGTTGGCCTACACTGTTGGCCATTGTGCGGAGCGTCTTCGTCCGACCCCAGACGTAGCTGAGCGCGACGTAGTCACCCATTGCGTGCTCCCCACGAACCAGCCGGTTATCAATGACATCAATGAGGTATTTGGGTCGCACAGAGTCCTCACTAGGCCAAAGCCCTGAGTCTCTACAATTCGGATGATCTCTTTCACAAGTATTAATCCAACCACAGACGATGTTGACATCTAACCATTCGGGATCAACAAGCCTCGCCTTACCTTGGTGATCTGGGATATCCTGTCGATGCACTAGGGCAAGTAGGTCTGAAGAGTTATAAATGTCAGAATCATTGTCGTCGCCACTTGACTCTTCAACCCTCGACTCTTCACCATCCGAACCACCATCTTCACCGTCTTCACAAGAGTCTTCTTGATTATCTTCGTTCTCTTCGTCGTCCAAAGTTAAGTATATTTGTTTTGATCGGCGCCCTCGGATCAAGCGGAGCAATCCAGAGTCGTAACCTTCAACTGGACCAAGCCTCCATAGCTCATTCTTAAGCAAGCCTGCATGGTACGGACAAGGTATTGCGCGGATAGATTTGAGATCCCCAAGGCGTGGCTGAATATCGTCGTCGTCATTGAGTCCTTTGAAACTGTCGACGATAGAACGGCATACATAGCAACTGAAGGGTTTCTGTTCAGATGCAACTGAAAGCTTGCCGGCTAAATCAACCATGATGGGAGATTGTGAACGGCATTCAGTGCTTATATGAACATGAAAATAACGCATGAGTCCAAACTCTTACAATATCATTCCCCACGTTTTAAGGTACCCCGCATCCTCTTTTGGCCGCCAAAATCTTACTCCAGAGGTCAGAGGTCAGACATCGTAACAAACATCATTAGTGTTCATTCGCAAAAATCATTTTATAAGTGGCTAGCTTGAATATCGTCCGCATTTGATACCACACATCAAAGTCTAGGCCAAATCATCCAAAGCATTCCCCTTGACTGAAAGTAATCTTGACTGGTGTTATCAAGTCGGGGTATCCTACTCCCTCGCCCAACAAGGATGAAGTCTCTCCAGCCAGTTTACTTGTCGGTACGAGCTCAACTTCCCTCCTGCATCAGAATTCTACGTCAGCTTACTCTAGCAACATATATACAAAAGCTTCGATCCATGTGATACTTACACAGCGCCTATGAGGGTCTCCAGGGCGCTATCAAAATGGTCAGTAAGTGTTTGGCTAAGGGGCTTATTCACGCCTGTAGTAAACCTATGCCACATACCCAAGTGCATTGTTTCTATCATGAATCTCATTAGTAAAATCGAACTATCATTTAGATATGACGCGCTTCACTCACGCTGCAACACTGGTCGTTGGCGGAGCAATGTTCATCTTTACCGCCGCAGTACTTGTTGGATTCGGGTGTTCGTTGATGGATGACATTCGCGTCATCCTGTGCGGGAACTGCTCCAGCAATGGCGAGGGCCGCAAAGGCTCCGATAAGGAAAGCCTGAATCTTCATCTCGTTGATGTTGAAGAATTGTTGAGGCCTTCCCCGAGGCCACGAGAGCAGGGGAAAGGGACCCTCTTATAGATTCAGGAGTCTGATCCTTTGATACTAGATGAGAGACATGACTTGACTTGGTTCTAACTGAGAGCATTTGAGTCATGCTAGATCGAGCTGCGAAGAAGGCCCGAACTGTCTCACAATCAAACACACTCGACGGGATGAACCAAGCGCCACACACCCACATGTTTTAGAATACGAGTATCACCAATCTCCATGCATAGCCAGATCATTCTCTCTTTCTTTACATTCGCTTACGTCACTTAGTTTTGGCCGAGATGAAAAGCCGCGTTAGCCTCGAATTCCCCAGCTAGGGATGCGCATCAGACTAGCGTACCACCTTGTACGCTTCTGCCCAGGTCTACTTGTGGCCGGCTTTAACCGAGACAATCATTAAATTCAACCAAGATGGCGGTCTGGATGCTTCCTGATCATGCCCTCACCGGCAATCCGGCATTCAAGTTTCAGTTGTGCAGGCCACGGCCTTTGAATCAAGAATCACTTGCTCTCCAATGTCACAATTTGTCCCTTCGGTCTAGATCCATGGTTATTGCCTCACATTAATACACAGATTGCAGCCTATATGATCTTGTGAGTGAGTTGATACCCCAAACACATCTGCGCAATGGTTTATCTAGAGCTCATCATTTATGCGCAAGTGAGAAAAGGATATTGTACCACGCTTCTCCCACCACGTCCTGAAGTTGCTGTCAACGGCGCAGTGTTGCCATTCGATATCTGTCACCAAAGGCTAAGCGGTGTAGCTTGATCTCTATCTTTCTGACGAGGCGAGAAAAACGTTAGGGGCGGCAATATTGAGCAAAAGGGGGCTGCCACGCCAGACCGGACTTGCCTGCGACCTTCACCATACGTCTCCAAGCAGCCACTCCAGGGGGGTAGTGTAAGCGAAGGATTCCACTCATGACAAGAGATAACTGCCAGCACCATATTTTACGTTTTCATATGGGATATATTCTCTATGTATCATTAATTCGAATCGATCTGATACCTTATGAATCAAGGCCAGGACACTGCTCAGAAGTCTTTGATGCGATAGCGTCATAAGGGGAAGGGAGTGTCCAGATCAGGTCGAACCGATCATCGGGGTAGTCCCCGGCGTCATCGACACCAAGTTCCTCGGCAATGCTAGTGAGTTCATTGTGCTCCCAGCTGATGAGAGTTAGTCAGACCTATTCTGCTGCCGAATGTTCGGTTCAGGACGTACCAGATGAGGATATTGCCACTGCCGCTGTAGTTCTTCACAGCCTTCTTGACACACTTGCTGTCGTCCCGGTCACACGAGGTATCGACGGTCAGCCCAAGATCAGTGGCCACGGGCAGTACGGTGTCGTATGGCCGCTCTCTCTTGCCATCTAGAACACGGTGTAAGTCAGCTGCCATGACAGACCTTGGCTATGAGATGCTTTGACTCACTGGACTTGTACTCCTGGGCTAAGATGTATCCAATGTTGTACTGAGAGCTCGCACCGAATACACTGCGGAGGCACTGTGCCCTCTGCTGTCCCTGTGTACTCAAGCCAGTGCCATCATCGTCGGGCTTCTCACCGTGACGGATCATGTACACCGTGGGCTTGCAGACCGCAAGCGTGGCTAGGAGGAGAACCGGGAGAGACTTCATTGTGCTGGGCTACCGTGAAAGCGGACAGATAGTTTCGGATGCTGCAATTTTATTGGCGCTTTGGCAATGTAGGTCAAGGGAGAGGAAGAGTGTGCGATATATAGTCCGAAAGCGTGTTGTTAGTGGAACAATTGCCGGTTCTAACGGCACCGTCCGCAAGGAACTAAGATGCCGATCACGCATTCTGGAAAGACGGCTTGCGGGGGAAACATCACTTTCTGTTCGAATCAGGGTGACGCTCAGGCACATGGGATCTTCACGTTTCATCACTTGGCTAGGGCATAGCCGAGTGTAAGCTGAACAATGGATCATCAGCTGCTTAGCTTGCGTTTCCACTGCCGAAGATCCGGGCCAGCTTCGACTCACCTTCCCATAGTGGACGAGCCAGGATTGACTGGTGCGCCACCAATGGCTAGATCGGCTGAAGGTAGGATTGCCGCTCCCGAATGCGGGAGATCTGTTGCAATCTTGCGACACTACAACTGGTTGCGCCGAGCAGACTGCTTATATGGATGCTGAGGGCGGTCGCACGCATGACATTACGATATCTGATTTTTGGCCATATTTAGAAAGTGGCCACGGGACTTTTCGTCCCGTTATTTCTCCTGGGATCTGTCCCTTTTAAACCATACGTCGATGTATTCTAGCTGTCGCTTAGCTGGCAAGCAACTGATATATAACATGGCACACCAATTGAAAGCTCTGTTCACACAAGTCAGGGACCTCATTTTCTTGTCAATAACACTAAACGCAATAAAAAAAGATTATAATTTATTATTCTATAGTATTTGGCTCAATATTGTATTTATTACTGATTAGTGCTTTTGATATTGGGTTGAAATTCAACGTTTCATGTCAGTCGCTTGGCTGGCTTGTCAATAAGCTGATATTAAAGCCTGTCCACAACCAGCTGCCCACTTCTATGCCCACATGAAAATGGATTTGTCTCATCATCAATCAATACCTGCCTTTGTTTGCGTAATAAATCGCGTGATGCATTGTGCCAAACCTGGTTTTGTGAATGAGTAGATCGTTAGGAAAAAAGGAGTGGGTTATAGTTGTCTGGGCAACGCCTAACCTCACGTTAACAAAGGGCCCGCATTTTCTTTGCACCTACCAACTGATGCGGAATCATCATCAGCATCACCACCCTGCAAGAGATGTTCATTTTATGATCGGGGACGGCGCCAACAATGAAACCAGCCCTCATCGAGGCGTGGGTCCAGCGGTTAACCACGTCGCCGCCATCGCCATCGCCACCACCGAAGCGCAAGCGGTCGCGTGGGACCGCGACGATAAACATGGGAGTATCGTCCCCTCCCACAAGCAATTCAGGCGACTCTGCCCTGGTCGACCCTGATACAACGCCTAGAGTATCACATCAAGCATCTAAACGGCGGCGATTCGATTTCAGCGCCCGCGCTATTCCTTTCGACAACCTGGACCGTGATGATGCAAGCTCAGCAAGGTCGAAGTCGAGGCAGTCGACATCAACAGCCACGTCCGACAGTCGATCCAGACTCTCTCGCAGCCCAACTAAGAATATGGGCAGTCTCGAGCTCGCGGATCGACCTGTTCGCTGAGTCCGTGCGGCACGCAAAGAAGACTTGCCTAATGATGTTGCCGATTTATTCTTCAGCATCCGTGACGCCAGAGAGGGAAGAGCCACCATTCCCCGTGAGGCCTTACCGACAGTTTTAGAAGCTCTAACCATCTTGGACCCCTCTCCCGCCACTGATACAGCATTTGATCAGATTCCCTGGCTGTGCATCCCTTCTCTAGATGCTCACCTCGAGCTCAAGTGTGTGCAAAAGATTGTTCGCAATACGATCGAGTGCGCAGAGGAGAATGTATCCGAGGCTTCGTGGAACTCGCGTGTGCACGAATATGTTCTCGACACGGCCCTAGAGCCTTTCGGTGGGGTTGTTTCCCACTGGGATGTGACTCGTGCTCCAATCACCAAATCCTGCTTGCCACGACACTCTTCCGGTCTCGTTCTTGAGGGCAAAATGGTCGATTTCTGCATCTGCCTTGGTGGCCGTGAAACTATTAGAGCTGTACAGAAGCGATTGAAGTTGGCACCTGAGACCCGTTTATCAACCATACCAATTACCAGCCGCTCTTGTACCGGCCCATTGCCGTTAGTATCGAGACTAAAACTCCCAACGGTTCAGATGAGGTAGCCAAGACGCAATTGTCCGTCTGGGTAACTAGCCATTTTGCCCGGCTACGCTCCTTATCTAGCACCTCCAATGATGCCATTGCAGTCGGTGTGACACTACCTCTCCTGATCGTCCGGGGCGGCGAGTGGTCCCTCTGGTTCGCTAGGGACACTGGGGACGTAGTTGACTTGATTGAGACGATCTTAGTCGGTAATACCAACTCAATCCTAGGCTGTTACAAAGTGCTTGCCATGCTTCGGCATCTTGCCGAGTGGACAAAATCAACACTATACCCTTGGATGGAGAAGCATATTTTGCTGGATGATATTATACATGCAGCTGGTCCTACATGAATGGCATATAATGTTTCCAGACCTTAGCACAAACATCGTGATTCTTGGCTGGGTGCAATAAGCAAGTAACCAAGCTTCCCTAGCTGCTGGGCACTGGATCTTATGATTTATGTGAATCTATCCTGACGCAAGGGGTTGGCACTCCACAGCGCGTGAAAGTCTACTATGTACCTCATCACATAAACCCTGAGTTACCCACCATTCGCTTGCGTTGCCTCGGAGCAACTGGGCGAGGTTGCGCGAGATCATGTTGGCCCGTGCTTGAGATGTTGCTCGAAGACTCAATCGAAGTAGCAGACTAATTGTCGCTCGAATCGTCGTCCAAATCGAAATTGAACAACGCTCGGTCCGTTTGAGTCGATTGACTCAACGTAGGTTTGGGAAGCCGTCGGTTCAGTCGTAACGCTGATTTTGTCTTCAGCCACGCTCTCCTGGTGACTTGCGTCCACTGTGACGTTGATGGAGGTTTTGGTCGGACCACGACGTCTTCCTCGCGTCTCTCTGAACCTAATAAAGATACCTCCGAGTTGTAAAAACAAAAAGGAGTAATGGGCTTAATACATTAGGGGTTAGCAGAGAAGGGGGGTTATTGCGTAACAACAACAGAACACACAACAATAACAAAGTGAATACACACACATCGTTGACCCAAATAAGCACTCATTATTAGCCGTGTTCGTTTAGCAGTAAGATGGATCATGGCCCAATTCGAGAGACTTGCATCTACTCGTCCTGATGAGAGCTCGTATATAAAGCATAAAAACAACAATAGAAGATGCCAGACCCGACATCGCAACACAATGAATATTTGTATCTACTCATAGACTACCTGATACTTGGCCATCAAGATCCCTGAACTATACAGCCTCTCTGAGCTTTGTAATTCCAACTTGTAGCAGGATCCGCTTAGACCCCCCTCCACCATCTTGAACCCATCTCGCAACAGCACGGGTATTACAGCCACGTCAACAGCGTCCAAAAGCTTGGCCTCTAAACATTCCGCAGCAAGCCAGCCTCCTCCCATAAGCCATATCCCTTTGCCGTGCCTCTTCTTCAGTTGTTGGATTACATCGATATATCCATCCTTCAAGATCGTGATGTTTGGGTGGTCTTGCTGCTTGAGAGTGCGACTGATCACAATGACTGAGCCCGGCGTTTTCTTGAGGCATGGATTTGGCTCGAGGGTGCACATAACGTCCCATGTCCGACGGCCCATGATATAGTAGTCGAAGCTTTCGTGGAGTGCGTCGAAATCAATGGATTCGTCGGGGACAATCCAAGAGGTAGATTCGTCTCGCGGGGCAATGAATCCATCGAGAGACTGCGCGACATTATACCTCAGATGCATGGTAAATCAGAGCAGTATTGAGCGATTGGGGAACTCGTGGTGTGTTTCTAGGATCTGATGCCCGAAGAACACAATTGCTGCGGAGCTGATATTGGTGCGTGAACAAATTCACGGGAGCGTATGCCAAGGCACCCTCATTTACTCAGCCGCACCGCCACACACCTTCACTTGAGGTGTCATTCCGTTCCATTAACTTGAAGCTCCGCGCCACAACCAGCAAGTTCTTTACACTGTCCCCCACAGCTCCTCCCCCTTCTCCCTCCTTCCCCTTCTCTCACCACTCCCCCGCCAGGAACTCTCCAGGTGATCCAAATCCTTCTCCACGATGAATGCCAACATTCAACAAAAGTCACTGCAATTGTCAGATGGCCAAGTCGTATGTATCCCAAAAAACTATTCCTTTCTGACTGTTCGGGTTGTCCCGGCTTTTTTTCTTTCTTACATAAATCACAAAGCCATTGCAGCTGAACGACGCAAGACCAGGGCCAACAATATTGGCCTTTTGGATCTGATCAGAGGTAAGCCGACTCCAAAGCATGAAAAGCTTCTATTCCTCGTCGGCCTACAGTCGGTGTCGATGAAGAATCCGATCCCGCTCTTGAGCCAAACTCTTCTCCTCCAGGATTCAAGCACAGTGCCACTGATCCTTTCAACACGCAGTAGTAGTTAAGAGAGGGATCCGTTTGAAAGACCATCCCTCGTCGAGGCAAGCGATCGCTGTTCAATTGACCCTTCTATCGCGACGAGCGATCGCTGCGGATCTGACCCACCTTGTCACCGTATGAGCTCCCACCACCGCCGCACTGGTTTCGGCGCCTTCGTACCGATGAAGAACACAACGAGCTGAGGGCCGGGAACCAATATGCTCCTACGATGTCTCTGTTCCTAATGCCGCCCGTGCCCAACTACATGTAGGCAGAAGTCTAGCTTCGACGAAGAGAGCTAGCTGTCTTCCATCATGACGAGCGATCGCTGTGTGGTTGACCCGGCGAAACGGCTTCTCCTATATTCTCCCACACGCAGTAATCTACTGGCACTTAACCGCACGTTACTCAACAGTGCAGTGGCGATCGACAACAGGGAGTTCTCGAGTGAGAGAGTTCGAGTATTAACGAGTGGTTAAGTGCTAATATATTACTACTTGCGCGAGAATATAGAGAGAAAAAATAATGAAAGATGCCAAACCCGACATCTCAACACAATGAATACGAAAGGCAAAAGAAGAGCCCCTACGAGCCCAAGGCTATAGAAAAATTCTGTAAACCTTCCCCGGAGAGAGTTTTGATAGAAAGTTAAAACAAAAGAAGAAGTCAGACCCAACAACTCAACACAATGAATACTCTGTAAACCTTCATCATACGAAAGAACAGGGAATCCTCGGGAACTTGGTAGCGTATCATCAACCGTCGTACGTACCTTTCATACATGTCAGTTACTGAGACAGGCTAACAGCGGATGTAGCTGCTAAAAAACAAAAGGGAGAATTGCCCAAGCACCAAGAAATCGACAAGCCGATGCTATGGCCAGCACCTCATATCGTTACGTATCGTGAACGCCCCGAGACCGAGACGGGCCTCCAGCTATTTGAGGAAATCTGAAGTTTGAGAGAAACAACATAACTTAGCACCTGAAGCCGGGCACCCTACTCCGATGGGATGTTGATAACGATGGGAACACGGTCGCGTCTGCGACTTTCATGTCGATCCCTTATGTCCAGAGTGATCCCTTAGGCAAATCTCCTGATGTCGCACATCCTAAAGGAGCCTGCATGCTACGGAGGTATCATTTTGAGACCAGGTATGTTAGAGAAGACCAAGCCGCTAGCCACATCGTAGATGATGGACAAAAACCGTTAACCCCAAGCGCTATGAAATAGATCGAGGCCCACAAGCTCTAAGAACTTGAGTTTCAGCTTCAAAATTTCAATCCAAGCTCCAATTTAGCATCTCAAAAAAGAACCGAATCAATGTATGATTTAAGGGCGACGCCGTTGAATACTACCATCTGCAGCAATGTGAAAGCTAGAGCTCTCCAGCATTGGCTGAATAGACTTGGTTTTAATATTTTCGGAACAGAGTTCGAGTATAAAGTTAAACAACAATATCAGATGCCAGACCCGACATCTCGACACAATGAGTTTTATTATTTTCATCTGGTGGTTTACGTGGTTCTACGGGTCGACAGGATTGTGGGTGATTATGGCTATTTTCATTAAGCGAAAAATTCTAAGGAATAATCTCTCCACTTTCACCAATAGATTATGTTATTTCCATTAGCTGGTCAACCATGTAAGGGCCAATTGGCCGCTCTATGCCGGGCCATAAAGGATGCGCATATTGGGTGCGGTGTGTGCAATCAGTACTTCGCGGTTTGTCTATGACGGTGTCTCGCCCTGTTTGTTGGCACGGGTGCAATGTCCCCAACCCAAACATTAAACGCTGTCAACTGCATAGCGATGCCTCGGCTCTTTGCCGCTTGACCTGTATCTAGACCGTTCGACATCTGTTGGTGCGTAAACGAACCAACTGATATGAGGAGGTTGGTTCGGTTCACTGTCCTGCTTACTAACTGAGACACGGTAAGCAGGATCATAAATAAGAATCCGACCCGTCTCAGAACTCCCCAACAAACTTGCCAACAAGCCCACACCAATTGCTAACAACATCTGCATTCAGCTTATCATCCAATGGCTTCCACATCTAGTATTAAGGACGCAGCTGGTATGCCTCTCTATAGTGAAATTTCACTCTTTCCACTTATCTTGACACCATTTTACTAAAGAAGTCGCAGCCAGTGTAGTCATCAAGAGCTATAAGTCGAACGATGTCGCGTATGAATTTACTGCTACAACATTTAAAAAGACCTCACGTCTCCCTTTCAGCGACCCATATCCTGATGGCACTCCTTTTATATGGTTCAGATCATGGTAAGAACTTTTCTTAATACTATTTAAACATTCTGACATAAATAGGAACCATGAGCGTATCACCAATGAAGCTAAAGCTCTGGAGCTAGTTTCTCAGCAAACAACAATCCCTGTGCCGAAACTACTTGCTCACGGGGAGTATCCAGACGGCCGGCGATATTTGGTCACAGAGTTTATTGAAGGCGTGACCCTGGATACACTTCTTACCCAAAATTGCTCAAGGCCAGATGATCAGAAACACACAAACCATGCTCTATGCAGGGCATGTTCAGACCAAGCCTACTCCAATGCGCTCAAGTTTATCGAGGGTACTGTTTTGCCGCAGCTTGCGAACTTAAGATCTCGAGAAAGAGGTATTGATGGGTTTGTTATGCCACCCTCTTGGCTTAGCCCTGATGGTGAGCCTCCATGGAAGGGCAAAAAATCTTGGAAAACTCTCCCTTTGAAGGAACCAGATTACATTTTTCAACACGGCGATATCGCAGCTCACAACATTATCATGGATCCACAAACTCTTCAAGTCAAGTCCTTGATTGATTGGGAGTATGCTGGCTACTTCCCTCCAGGGATGGAAAGATGGCCTGGATCACTGGACATGGTTGCTTACAGAAAGCGGGCTAGAAACCAAGCCCAGTTAATAGCAGAATTTCTCCCGGAGGAATACCTAGAATGCTATAAGAACTGGAGCAATAAGGAAGAATTACAAACGTTGATTGAGTCTGGGGAGCTTCCACATCCTAGTTAGCTACATAGAGAAGAGGTGAAGAATTAATGGGCAAGTCATTCAATTTCACAGTCACCCTTGCTAAACTCTCGAATACCATCAGGTAGAGCTGCCAGTCCATGTATTTTTTGATGAGCTAGAAGTCGACTCGTAAAATCTGCACGGCCCGGCCGAGTCAGCGCATCGTGGAAACGCTCAATAGTGGTAAGCGTAATAAGTACCCGACCTTCCTACGATCTCACGCCGTCCAAGGTATTGAGGCTAGAAATATGCCGTTAAGATCTGACCGCGAGATGACCATTTCATAATGCCGTTCGGCAGATCCTTCCGCTGGTGATTGTCTTCGGGTTCAGAATGAAAGTTCCAACAGTCTCACGGGCGTTGTACTTAACAAAGAATTGGTCACCAGCAAGTCACACGATAGTATGCCGGGCTACTATGAATTGCCATATCACTGTAATGTTGCCAGGAAGTCTGATCCTGTCCGCCGCGATAATGAAGGACTGAACTCATCACAACTTGGTATCACGTATGCTTAGTAGTCATTATCATGACTCAGTATTAGGCAAGAAGGCTCAACGAAAGAAGAGCTAAATGTGGCTTCACCCTCACCCCAGATATTACGAGTATCCGTACACACGGGGGACACTATATTTAGAATGGGAAGAAAGACTTGGGACGCACCTGGGAACTCACGATAATAGCGGAACTCCAAGCTGTCGTGGTGTGGCGTTCGCAGGCACAAATGTGGCTACAATCATGGCTTGATAGGTAATACACAAATGTGGCTTGAAGGTGCTCAGCCACATGCCACATGCGAATTCTGGGTGTTCGTGTTGGCCACCGCTCGTCATGCCAGACGTCATCTGATGTGGCGGATTCAGGTTGCGTCAACCGGATGCTGCATTGATTGTAGGGAATCGGTACGACTGTGTGCAGCGCTAAATCAGGAATCGAACCCGGTGTATCACATTTAATGCGCAAATTTTCAAGTCGCTCTCTCGGCTCGCTTCGGATGGACGACGAGAGAAGATGATGGAGGAGGTCTGCATTTAATCCAGCAGGCTCGGGCATCGATGCACGAAATCCTGATCTTATCTCAGTGGCCCAACATGCAGGTCAATGCGGTTCTGCAGCAAATGTCACCCTAGACAGCGGGAACAGGTCCGTCGGTTGGGCATGGACTTGTGTCGCGTAGTGAGGGGGCCGTGATGCAGCCATTGTGCCCATTGTGAGCCAGTCGCTTAGCTGAGTCAGAGCATATTCGAGGTGGCCGTCGTGGCAGCGACCAGCGGCTGGCCAATGGCAGGCGGGCAAGGGCCTAAGCTCAGCGCCAGGCCCACCGTAGTCTGCCGGACCGCGCCTGAGGCCTAGCGCTCCCTCGGTAGCAGATTAGGCTGCTGCTGCTAAAAACGTTGACCGCCCTACCTCACAGGCACCTCATGATCATCCAGCTCTGGCGCAGCCCCTAACTCTAGTGGTCTGGGAGCCTGAAGATCCACCACGACTCCCACCTCCACCACCTTGGCCCCTGCGACTGGCTCCCCAGGCTCCCCTACAACACATCAATCACCCCACACGGACGCCAACTCACGGCGGCCGTCTGCTGCTGGGCTGGGGCGGCTGTTCAATTTGCGCTGCCCTTCGCTGTGGCTGGGAGGCTAGCGGCAGAAGACATCGCAACCCGAACGGCCCTTCTTCCTCCTCCCTTCATCCAACAAATCATCCATCCTTCTCCATTGCTTCTAGCTTTTCCCATTCACCACCGCCGCGTCGCCCTTCCACGTCCCGGGCTCTGCTTCATTTGCCAGCACTTCTCGCATTAACCGTCCGTCCCTGCGTCCATATCCACTCACCCCTCCGGAAGGGCTCGACGGAATTATCTCCACCTATCCTTGGGCAGCGTGCGCACATTCACTGACCCAGCAATCCCCACCCTCATTCCCAACGCTCGTCGAGCCGCCCGTACGTTACCCCGACCGTCGAGAAGAAGAAAAAAAGGATAGTCCATCGCAGAGAGGGAGCACAACTCAGCACACCATCCCCCATGGTTTAAAAATGCCCTCCAAAGAGCGGGAAACCGAAGCCGACGCTGAGGAACGCCCTCGTGAGAAGCATCGTCGCTCCAAGCACAAGGAACACAGGGATGACAAGGAGCGCTCTCACCGCTCCTCCAAGTCGAGCCGGCCCAAGCCCATCGAGGGCAGCGAGACACATTCGCACGCGTCGTCGAGACGACACCATCACCACCGCAAGCGAGACAAGGACAAGGACAAAGATGAGGTGAGGATCCGGTCAACGTCCGGGAGCGATTTGTTCTCTGGCGTATCCACCTCTCGCCTCTCGTTCCCGTACCCCTCGTTCAGCAAGGCACACAGCAAGGAGGCCGTCAGTCGCGAGGATGTGTCGACGCTGAGCCGCCACACCAATCCTTTTACTCCAGAGCCGACCGATGTTGGCGACGAAGAAGCCAGGCGATCCAAATCCTCCGAGCTCCCTCGGAGGTCGTCGACGGTCTCCAAGAAATCCCCCCGACCCCCAACACCCCCCGATACCGATCTATCTGCCGACAAGAAACATGACGAAGAAACTCCAAGGGATGTGGATGAAATAAAGGAAGAAGATGAACAAATTATTGAAGAGGAGGTCCTGCGCGAGGCTGAAGCTGCTGAACCAGACCCGACACCGAATCCAGAACCGGAAGCAAGACAAGACCCTGAACCGGTATCAGAACTAGGCCCTGAGCCATCGGTACTTTGCCCTCCTGAACCAACACCGGAACGCTCTCCATCGAAACTCGAAACCTCTCCCAACTCTCGACCTAAATCAAGGGCGTCGACTCTGTCACGATCGGCCTCGTTGCGAGACGAGAGGTCTAAAATCAGCCATAAATCCCGGACATCGAGCCAGGCAACCTACGTCAAGCACAAAGCACACGAGAAAATTCGCACAGACTCTCGAGCATCAAGTCTATCCCGCCGCTCGTCCAGGGGATCAAAGGGATCGCCATCCACACGAAGCGTACGAGACCGCGAGAGAGGCTCATCCCCATCTAGCCCGCGAGACTCGTCTCCAAGAACACCGACCCAATCGGCGGTACCATATACCCCTCATGTGTACGGCACAATCCATGGCGAAGCTTCCGCTACGCTCGTAAACGATGAAGAGACGTCCGAAATCCCATCTAAAACCGCCACGCCCGCGTCGGTCGTACCCAGTGCGCCTCCGCCGCCGCCTCCTCCGCCTCCTCCTGCTATTGATATCCAAGACCTACCACGCGTAGACTACCTTTTGCAGAACGGAGGACTTGCATACCCAGCACCAAAGAATTTCCTCCAAGTCCTCCCTCGGCAAAATGGTACCCGCCCTTCAAACCCACCACTTGCTGGCGCCGACACTCTCTTTGCCCCATTCTTCAACCTCCTCGACCAGTACCAGACCGTCCTCGGAAAGCAGGGGTCTATTGCCGTAGCCACTGGTCATCGGTCAGTGGCGCGACGTCTACTAGACCGACTCGAGAATGTCTTCTCTCGAGACCTTCCTCCCCATGGCTGCTCGTGCGTCATGTGTGATAATCAGGGCCACCAAATTCACCGCGGACTTACCTGGGGTGATGTCCTTGAATGGGTCAGTGGACGAATTGAGCTCCCTCAGTGGCCTCCATTTGACTTGGCCGAAATTGGCACCAAGGCCGCCGAGATCTCAGCCGAAGAGCCGTTACGTCCACGGTCCCCCGTGAAGATGGATCCTGATATCGATGAGCAGTTCAGGGAGCATTATCTGCGCCAATCGAAGAAAGTGCGGTCGGCAGTGGACAAATGGCTGACCAACACGGGAGAGACGCCCGTTCCTCCATCACAAGACGTGGATGATGAGACGCTGACATTTGCAATCCTCACAAATCTGGACGCTGATAACCGACCATTCTTCAATGCACTGCTTTCTGGGTCGCGAGAGCTTCGTCCAGCCACGAGGGCCCCCACGCCAGCACCCAAGACCCGCAACGACTTTTTGGTCAAGACTGGACTCTCCCTGCAGCGGCTCTACAGACTTCCACAGGCACCGCGCGATGCCGAGTGCGCCTGTTATCTAATCAAGAACCCCCAAACCCACGACTTGCTAGTCACGATGGCCAACATCAACAATTCAGAGTGGGAGATTCTTACCTCGGGACGATTTGACGGATTTTTGTGGTCTGGTGCTGATGCCGAGGACGCCGGCAGCCCCGCATTTGACTCGAGAAACACGACACCATTCTCAAGGCCAGCCTCGCGTGTGCCATCATCAACAGGGCTCCGGTCCTTCTCGCCCTACTCACGCGGCGCCACGCCTGCATCATTCGTGAGCCTGTCCTCAACCGGGACGATGGGTGGACGACACCCAGTGTCAAATGATGAGGAGATGGAGATGGCTGCGATTGCCGAGATTGAGCGAGAAATCTACACTGGGATGGAGTCTCTAGAGGATGCCTTTGAGAAGCTCCATCGGCGGGCGGAGATGGTGAGGACGGCGCTCCGCCAACGAGGCGCCGGGCTGATGCAGAACCTCCAGATGAGGAAACGCATCGATGTCCTTCCTCCTGGCTCTGGCAACTCGAACTCCTCAGGATACGAGCGACCCGGTTGGGCCACTGCTGGCAGTGAGTTCGACGTGAGCGACAGCGAGTGTGGAATTGACGACTTTGAGATCATGCCCGACGACTCGGCGAGCAACATCAGCAGCTCGCGGCACCGACGACCCAAGAGAAGGACGGAGAGAAGAACTCCTGCTCCTATCGAGGAAGGGGACGAGGAGTAAGGGAGAGCTTTCCCGGTACTCTAGAGATGATGGATTGGGAGGACTGTTTATAGCAAGCGGCATTTGGGGCTCTCACTGCTCCCCGGGCAATTGATTTGGCAGGACATATTTGGGATGGTTTCAATTACATGGCTTCTTTTTTTTTACGCGAGGATGCGAGCGAGGACCAACAGACTCGACGCAGCTTTATCAGAGTGGACCAATACCAGTGGGAGGAAATATTATGCTATCGGAATGATCGATGGTGGTGACGGACTTGATACCTCATTTATGAACACATGTTTCTGCTTCTCCTTCACCGCCACGGGGTCCTGAGCCTGTCTTGGCTCCCTCCCGCTTTCTGCTATTTGTGCATTGACATTGATTTTGGCTTTAAGACGATACCACTTCGTATTTTGGGTGCAGCTCACGAGGGCTTGGGGTTGACGAGGGGAATACGCTGGGTCACCTAATGGAATTACTAGACTGCGCGCGCAGGGGAGGAGAAACCTGGCAGCTAAATGGGGTCAATTGAATTACAGAGCGAATGACAATTGCAGGCCTTGTGATTGGCACCCTTGAATGATGTCCAGACTGCTGAGCGGTGACGGAAATGACAGCAAACTGAATGTCGTGATAAGACGAGCTGTCCCAGACCCAAAACCGGCGCTGCGCCCGCCGAGTTCGCCGCCTGCAGTTCTGCCGCTCTGAGCGTTGCACAAACTGCCGCAATCACCAGTGAGAGGACACGCCCCACCATCGTCGTCATCCTCGTCTCGACACGGAGCTGCAGGCATTCTGGCTTGTGCTTGCCTGTGCCTGTGCCTGTTGGTCTCTTGGCCGTGCTGCTGCTCGACCGCCCATTGCAGCCACCGCCAACGGCCACATCATCCACTGCTCTCTCCCATCCCTCTCCTTGCTCCTCCACCAGGCTTTGCTCGCGTGCTCCCGGCAAGAGAAGGGGGGTTATTCCCCAAGCCGGCAAACCCTAACCTAGGTGTCTACATCGACGACCAGCCAGACCAATTTCCGTACCCTCGAATGCCGTAAACCGTCGTGTCCACGAAAGAACACAATCCGCCCCCTCTCTGTCTCTCTCCTCCTCGTCGCCCGGGCGCACCGCCGCCCCCGCGCCATGTCTCTTCGTGGCCACAACCGAAGCAACACCAGCAACCCGCCTCACGTCCACCAGCGCGCATCCTCAGTGCCGTCGTCGAGATCGCCCTGCCCTCCACCGCCCGTCGCCGCATTTACTGCCGCCGCCGCTGCCGCCGCCGTTGCCGTCGAGCCAAAGATCCCCTCCCCCTCCCCAGACGACCCCGACGACGATGACAACGACGAAAAGTCCCGCTCCGCGACCGCCAACTCGGCCTCGCTCCTCCAGCCCCGCGTCGCCGTAGCCCTCAACGTCCCGCAGCCATGGCACCCGTGGCTCTTCGCCCTCCGCCTCGCCTCCATACTGCCCGCCGTCTTCTGGGGCACCCCCGTCGCGCTGCGGCTGCTCCTCCTCGCGCTCGAGCTGGTCCTCGGCCCGCCCAACATCAAGGCCGGCGAGGGCGGCGGCGTCGCCCACCACCTGGCGTCGTACGGTGGCGGTGACGAGGGGGGCGGGGAGGTGCTGCTGGTGCCCGTGACGGAGATGGCGCTGGCGTCCATCTGGTGCTTTGCGTGCGGGTACCTCTCCTTCTTCTTCACCGACTGTCTCATGTCGAGGTGGTACGTTTCTGTCCCTGCATGCTTGCCTCTCCTATATTGCTGCGTCTCATATCTCCTACGGTTTCTTGTTTGGTTCGCGGGGGGGCAAACCGAGGATCTACAAGCTGCAGATGGGATGCAGCGTTTCTGTTCTTTGGAGCTAACTCCAGTGCTTCTACCACAGGCTCATCAACTACACGCCGCAGGCCACAATGGTCCGCCTGCTCACCATCGCCGCCGTAAACGCCTACGTCACAATGACCGTCCTCTCCCTCGCGGGGGGGTTCCAGGACCTGCGACTCCTCCTCCCAGGCTGGATCGGCATCGCGACGGTAAGTCTCACATCCCCATCCCCACCATTCCTCTGCTCCCCCTCCCTCTACAAGAACCAAAACAGTTGACTGAATCTGACATGGCCCAGACCCTAACCGTTTGCTACCACATCACGCACCAGAAGATAAACATCCGCAAGGAGACGTCCACCTCCATCAACGTCTTCTCCATCGCCAGCTACATCACCATGGTCACCCTCCTCCTCCACATGCACCTGTACAAGCCCGACTACCCGCCCATGCCCATCGTGACGTGGGGACAAACCACCTGGCAGCGCGTCCAGGACAGCGGCCTCCTGTCCAACCTGGCGGGCTCCGGTGCCAGCAGCAGCAGCAGCAGCAGCGAGTTATGACATTGCCTGATTTTCACCCTTTCTTTTTCTTCCCCTCGGCGACGAGAAGCGACGAAGCGACATCATGCAAGTTCTGGGCGTCTTGGCGTTTCCTCGCATTTGCACTTTCGAAAGCCACGGTGTTGTTGGGGTTTCTTTTGCTAGGATATATATAGCTATCGTTAGTTCTTGGGCGGCCGTTACATTCTTTTTTGCTTCAAGTCTGTTGAGTTACATATGTTTGGGGCAGTCATGTTCGTGGAATAGCATGGCCTCTACCACAAGGGGCTGTCTATCACTTGGTGTTGTCTTTTATTCTCAGTCTTCTTGAATCACGTCAGTATCTACGTAGGCAAGGCGCCTGGTGTACGGAGCTCTGGTGTTTTTTCAACGCGAATGCTTGATTGCACATTTCCTAGACTACCTGTGAAACATGCGCAGTATTGCAAAGAAAAAAAAAGTTTGCTATCATTGTGTCCCAGCAAGCCATAGTCACGAGGCCTTGCCCACGATTCCCAGCGCGATCAACCCGCCGAGATGCGTAAAAGGGCCGAGCAGACAGGCAACCCATGTAACTTGATCCCGCTGCAAGATGGTCAACACAATACCTGAAGGGGGTACGGGAGGCAATCCATCAGGGAAGTCTCGAATGGTTTCGGAGCCCGCCTCTTTGCAAGAGGACAAGGGACCCCTCAGTTCCCAAGTGTAAATCCCGATCATGTCCTGGCGCTGCGTTGTCCTCCTTGCCGCGGAAGGAGAACACCTGGGGGCTGTGGGCCAAGCGCAATGCTCTCGCTCTCTTCTCTGTGTGGATTCTCGTTGGGGTCCGTGCCCGACGAGAAGGGGGCACACTATCTAGAGGAGGCTGCTGGCCGCCCGGCAGGACATGGCTGGTTTAGAAACCGTGGATCTTGATGGTCTTGCCATCAAGGCCCAAGCCCTCCTTCTTGTTCTCGAGGAACTCTTGAACGTCCTTTCGCTGATCTCCCTGAAGCTGGATGACCTCACCCATCTCAGAGTCGGTCACAATAGTGCCATTGCAAGCTGGAGAAGACGCGCGTCAGGTTAGCGCTTGTTTGTTTGCGTCGCGCGTGCGGCAGTGCCGAGGAGGCAAGGGTAGGGAACTTACCGAACTTCTTCTTGATGACTTTGAGGATCTTTTTCTGGTCGAACTTCTTGGGGAGGCCCTGGACCGTGGTCAAGGTCTTACGTCCATTGCGCTCTGGATATGAAAAGTCAGTCGTGGCTCGAGGAGGATGCGATACGGGGCGCCTTCGTCAAAAGAATCGTCTCGCGAGGGATCTAGGGGTGTGCACATACGTTGAATACGTATATGGATGTAATTCTGAGTCTGTTTGGTTTCGCCCGTGTCTTCGTCGGCCTCGGCGAAGGGATCTTGAGAAAACTGTTAGCACTGGTACCAAGGCGTAATCTTTGGCTGCGGCGCGTGGCAGCTGATCCCAAGCTGGATGCGAACACCTTGACTCATTGAGGGATGAGCTTGGCCGGTGGTGGTCACGCGGGTCAACAGCTGTGACAAGCGCGGTGACATCACCAAATCCTTCCGGCACAGCAAGGGATACAGGCGCGACGTCGCGTCGCCAGCAGCCGAGGGCAGGCGAGGAGGGAAAACATACCGTAGGTCTTGAGATTTTCGATGGACATAAACTCGGAGTGCGCGGGGTGTCCTTGGGAAATGGGTTTTGTTGATGGGGACGGGGATGTGGCAGCTGACGACGGCCTGGGGAAGAGGAAGCAGAGTTTGGATCGACGGCTTGGCGACGACTTGTGGTTCCGGGATGGATGCGGTAGAGAGTTCGGTTGGGGGGTAAGAGATGGGGACTCTTGTATATATATTAGTTGGCGGAAAGCTGGGGCGAGACACACGAGGTGGCGGGAATTTGGTTGTTAGGTCAGGATTGTGAGTGTGAGAAGTGGAGGGTAGAGGGGTCGAAAGAAGGAGAAGGCAAGGGCAGGAGTCAGAACTCAGAAGGGGGGCGGGGCAGCCAGTCAGAGACGCTTGAGGCGGGCAGCAGGTGAGACGGAAGTGCAGCACCACCAACTGTGACTGCTGCACGCAACACCGCTCGCAGTGGGCCGCCCTCCTGTACCTGCGGTGTACCAGGCCCTGGGCTGGGCACCGCCGGAGGCCAGTGGTGCGTGTGCCGGTGCTGGGGCTGGCCCTGCTCCAGGCGGGTGGCCCCTGGCAGCTGCTCGTGTCTGGCCAAGTCACTCGCCAGTCACTTCTCAGCCACACACAGGCGGACGGTCCGGCCGAGGCCTGGTTTGTCAGGCCACCATCACAAAATCGACCATGGTGGGGGTGGTGTGAAAAAAAGCCGCCCACTGCCAGGGCCGGTTAGTCATCGGCATCAAGCCCCTGCGCTTGAATGAGGCTGTGCACGACAAATGCGACGGATGCAGTTTGGACCGCCAAAACGAATGAATGCTCGCTCCAGAACGAACCAACTCGGAACCTGGCCTAGGGAGAGATATCCGAACGGGATCCCCGCTGCATGTCGTACCTTGTTGATGGGATGCACGCCTCAGACGCACTGGACTCCTCGGATCCCGATCATGGCGTCCCATTCATCAGCGACGAGACGAGACGGCCCGTACCTTGCATTCGTTCGTTCCACCGCTCAATCTCCCATTCACTGCTCCCTCTCCATGCCTCATCCACCTCTCCGGCTCGGTCATCTCTTCGACGACAGCCCTGTCCTTGACGCCCAACCGCATGGGCCTCCCACTCACAGACCGACCATTGCACCACCGCGTCCAGAGAATAAGCCAACCAACAGCTCCCCACTACCCCCCTTCCCACGCCCCCTAGTGTCTCGTGACAGCTGTTTCGTCTTGTGAGGGCCTTTGATTGCGAGATAACGCCCGCGTGAACCTGCAGATCAAGGTTCTTTTACCGGAAGCGCCAACTCGGGGCGGCGAATCAGCGCAGCCATCAGCCGAGCAGATGATTAGGCATTCACCCGTTGCTGGGGGGTCGATTGATAACTAACCAGCAGCTCCTGATTGAACCCTAATTGCATTTTCGCAAGCATTTGTGGAGACCCCAGAGCCCATCTGCGTCATAACCCAACATGGATCCTCATCCCGCCCGTCTCAGCAGAATGAGGCTTGCTTACCCTATAGTTGTGCACATTTTCGCACCGTCGATATGAGAATATGCTTCATGTCATGGTCTAAACCGAGTGAGGCGATTTTTTCCAGTGTCTTGGCTTGAAATAATCACGCAAATGTGTGAGTATTTGGAATACACACACCCTGTAAATAAGTGAGGTGCACTTCCACGGCATCGTTCTATGACTTACTCCACCCGGGACTTTTTCGAGACGTCCCGATATCTTTTGTCCGAGAAGTGAAAGAAATGAGCGTTTATCCACCCTTCACACCATTATCCATCCGTCGTATTGCCGTGATGAATCTATAAATATTTATTGTCAATTTGATTACATATAGATTTGATTCACAAAGGGTTCTGATAGGCATAAGAGTGAGTTCTTTCGGAGACTCTCTGGGCAATGAATGGTCTCTGGGTTGTCTCACACAACCCAGTGCGTTTGAAATACACTAAGAGAACACTATCATACTGCTCGTTTTTACCTCGCCAATATCTCTGATCCATATATAAAAGGATTTCAAATTGAAGTCTCCTAAAAAGTCACTTGACTGCTGCTAGTGAGTTAAATTTCCACGGAGAGAGCACGTTGAACTCCGCAACCACTTAATAGTAATAGTGCAAACTCGCCTCATTTGACGAATGGGGGATAGCCAAACCAGCTGATACCGATTTATTACCTCTCTCGGAGTCATGGTTCCGTTATGTCTGCACTGTAATGCTTATGGGCTGGTTCCCACCCTGAGCCAGGATCCGTTCATGGTTAGGTATGATCACTACCCAACATCCGGCCCAAAGATAATGTATGAGTTGCAGAGAAAGCGCGCACCAGAAATCACACACTGAGAAGAGCACTGAAATTTGCTGGTATAAATGACAGATATACTGAAAGAAGGAATGCAGTTGCTACGGTGTAACGTGTGAGCCTCCAATTGGCCAGACAGATGCTGTCAAGTGGACAACAAGGTAGAGAAGCGTTCGGGTATTAGTGCATATGGTACGTGTTGGACCCAATGTCACCAAAACGCGAACAGGTGAATTCATTGGGCGCAAAGGGGTTCTGGCGCTTCCAATGTACAAAAGTGGCAGAAGAAGACCTGACCTCTGCTCTCATCCATCTTCCACAAGTTCGCTTCAATAATACCCTTTCCATAATACACTTTTAATAATACCCCTTTGGTCTTATCTATATTCCTAGGCTGTTTTGTCAAGAGTTTCAAACGTCCAACTCAAGCACAATGAAACAAGATTCCGAAGCCAGCGTTTTATTTTCCGAGGTGAAGAAGTTCCGCCGGCTCGCTAAGCACACGGCGATCATCGCGGTGGGCAGTCGCAAGGCCCTACAGGTCATTGACAAGAAGCATGGCCCGGTTGTTTTCAGACCGCCCTGGCATGAAAGACTGGCGTTTTGGAAACGCACAGGTTAGCATTCTCAAAACCCGTTGGAACGAGTGGATTGAACCAAGCTCATGTGATTCTTAGACAACTTTGCCCCTGTGCAGTTCACTACCGTCGGCAACCTTCCAGATACAATTGAATCATTTGAACATTCCTGCAAGAAAGGGGGTTTCAGGAACATGTTGATTCTAGTCGCGGAGTCAATCAGCAGAATAACAGTGAATGTCGGGCCAGAGATTGAGAAACTCTGCATCGCGCGGACTCCCCACTCTCGGCTACCGCTCTTCGTCAGCAGCTCTTCCACGCTCGCTGACGTGGCACTTCAAGAATATCACGGCCAAGTGCCCGGAGGCAGAGAAGTCATCTGCGGCAAGGGTGTCAGGCTGGAAGTCGACCCTGCCGGGAGCCTGGCCTGGCGTTTCGACCCAAGCTCAGTAAGAGGGGTGAGAGGAAGGGACATTCAAGACTCCTTGTGTGAGATGGAGAACTCGGGCAACAACCCGATAGGTTGGAAGAACTGGAAGCTGCCAGTCTCCTGCCTGATCAGCCTCCTGGGCGACGGCTTCGGCGGCTCAGCCAAGGTCACCGTGACGCCAAAGGGGTTCTGCCTGACCTACAAGACGCTCTCAATTTCCCCCAACTGGGTTTCGGGCTTTGGCACCGCTCTTGCTGCCTCTGGTGTCAACCTGCCCCTTGCTGGCGCCATCCTCCTGGCGGTGTACTTCATCCCCTGGGACAGCTTTTTCCAGTGGCTGGGGAATACGCTGTGGACGCTGTGGAGTTGGCTGGTGGATTTCTGCTCGAAGCTTGTGATTCTCGCGGCTAATTTTCTGGATATTCAGCGAGGGAGTAAGCCAACTCATAGGTCGCGAAGGCTTGCGGCGAGTTGACGTTCTCGATACGTGGGAAGCAGATTGTACATTATTTCCAGGGCAGCGCCCTAGGCTTCTGGGCTGAGGATGTAACACTATTTTTAGGGACGTGTAAATAATAGCCATATCATAATGAACTTTAGTTTTCAGTGCACCAGAATTCCAGATCCATTTGACCGTCTGATTGGAACCCATAATACGGTGCCAACTTTAACGTGAGGTACCATTCAAGCGACCCGTAGCTGATAATAGATGGAGAAATATAAATCAGTTGCTAGATGAAGCGTGTAAGATTTCTGGAGACGGTTGACTGGTAGGTCTGGCCGAGAGACATTGGGAGCCCCCCAAAAGACGATAATTCGGGTCAAGGCAGGCACTCGCTGAAAAGTATCCAAAAGAATTGGAAGTTGTCGAATTGGCCACCCTTCACGGTGTGGAAGGTCATTATTGTCTCACCTGGACTATACCTAACGAAGTATATGTGCTCGCTGGTTCGTTATAACAACTTCTCCGTGGTTGGTCTAATGGTTGACAAAGATGGCCTGGGTTGTTACGGAGGATTTCCATCATTGGTCTGCCGAATGAAGACCTCAAACCACTCAACGTAACTCACAAAGTGAATTGTAGGCTCCATGACACTGAATTAGACCAGAGAAGATCCCGCTTGGTCTGATTGTGCCTTTCGTAAATGGTGGAAGAGCCTAAACGAGCTGAGGTCACGTATAACTCAAGCGAGTCTATGTTTAAAGTTGACAAAAGGCTTCGATGCGAAGGAGATGTGACTTGTTAGTACATTCAAACAAAGATACCTACAAGATCGAGCTAATATGAAGTTACACCTCTCTATCTTCTCGTATCTAGCCATTTTACCGACGCCGAAGATTGCGCCAATCCTATTGTAGTAAGAACTAGAGGTTGAAGCGGCTGACGATATCGTGAAGCTGTCTTTTCAGGACGATTTAAGTCGCTGCTGAACATGCTATTTATAATACAACAGAAAACGGCAGGGTAAGCCTGATGCAGGCCCCTCTTAGTAGAGGTACTCTTACTCACATTTGAACTAAAGCTTTAAAGGGGCTGATTACTCGGAGTCCAACTAGTACAGATATCACAGCTATACTTTTTATTGAGGCCGGCGAAGAGTTGAAGTTCAAATAAGATAGTAAAATGGTTTGGCTTGGCTAGGATTGTTGGTGAATTTCCCTCAGTAGAGTCCTTTAGTTGAAAGAAAACAACATGCCTTCATCTATATATCATCTCCAGGAAAAACTGGAGGAGAACGGGTTACTTCCATCGAACCAGCGCGTAAACTATTCCGAGAGAAAATGATTAGGTTTCAGCTGTCTATAGGTAGTAATCATTCTTAACTTGAAGCGTCGTAATGATACGTCTTCAGAGTTTCGGATCAGCGGTGGATCACCGGCGCTACTTTTCTGGTACTTCCGTGGAGCGCGGGAAGGAGGCACTCAAAAACATCAAGAATCATCCTCTCGACCTTCTTCAAAACGACATTTTCGAAGTTTGGGATAACGTTGATACGATCCCAAGCGTGTCGGACTGGGGCAATGGGCTTTTTGATTGATCGATCGGAAACCCTGCAAACTTCACTAAGGTGTCGGTTGGTTTGCTGAGATCGGATCCGATGACGCCAACTTGAGCCGGCTCGCTTCTGAAATTCGCCGTTAGTCCGGAAGCGCCTCGCAGCTGAACCCAAAATCCATGGCTCTATAAGAGGCTACGCTAGATCCTACCAATTGCCTCTAATGCCGTGGAAGTTAATGCTTAGCCCTTGATTGTCTAACTACTAGCATCTGTCCCCAGTTGACTTCTAAGTTCCCCTCTCAACAAGCACCATGTCGTCCGAAGATCAGAACCTGCACAAAAAGCAATTCGAGACCGGCATCAAGGTGCGCCGGGAGGTCGTCGGAGACAGCTATGTCGATGGCGCATTAAACAGAGCGTCCACGGCCTTTGCGGCACCAATGCAGCAGCTGGTGACGGAGTGGGCTTGGGGAAACGTCTGGACGCGGGAGGGGCTTGATCGAAAGCAAAGAAGCTTGCTCAGTATGTTTCAGATCCATCTAATCCTTTCTTTCGTCCCTTCAGCGACTGATGTATTGCGATAGACCTCGGTATGTTGATTGCACTCAAGAGCTGGCCGGAGGTGGGGGTTCACGTTCGCGGAGCCATCAACAATGGGCTGACGGAGCTGGAGATCCGGGAGGCCATCTTGCAATCGGCCATTTACTGCGGCGCTCCGGCCGGACTAGAGGCTATGAAGGTTGCCGCAGCGGTGCTGGAGGACATGGCTGCCAAAGGGGAGTATGTGCCCACCTTGATAAACAAGGAGGAGAAGCTCAACTGAGTCTCCCGAATGTGTTATGATTTGGACGATCTCATTAATATCAATTGTCGATTATTAATTGAAGATATTGCACATTAGCAAAAAACTAAGGATTGGCTTCCTTAGGGAAAGGCGTCTCTGAACCGTAATCGGAACTCTGCACTTTACATTTCATCCCCTGCGTCATACTGATCAGGTATGCCTTTTTTATAAAGTTTCCGCAGGAGGAGGTTCGAACCCTGAACCTTGTTCGTGCTTTAGGGCTAGCGGAGGTCAATAATGCAATTGCCAGTTGCGTTATTGCGCTCGCTGAACACCCCTATGGTTATTGACTTGAGGACTGTTTAGTCCTTATATGGAAGCAGGCAAAGGGAACAGCCAATCTTGAAAACTACTGAACAAAGTAGTGTCGAAGATACGCAACATGCACAGTTGAGTCTGCGCTGATGTAATTCTCTCTTTATCCTCCCAGACTCAAGATTCGTATCAATATAGACGACTAGAGTAGGATTAGGGCATCTTCGAGCTCCTCACTTTCATCGTTGACTCTGGCTTTCGTCTTTAACTAGATAGTACGCTTCGTACGTGACAAGGCAATGCCCTTGAAGTGAATTTGGGACGGGTACTCTAGCCAAAAATATAGCTGGTTGATATGGGTTGCCACGTTGCACGTTAAGAATCAATCCTCACGAGCGAACATAGACGTCCAACATAACACGCAGCTCGTTCATTTACGAGATATCCAAAACTTTGCCATGCCGTTTCCACTGTCTCTTGAAGACGGTGTCAAAACTCTTCCAAGTTTTTGAGCTACATGAAATAGAATGATCAGCAATATCTTGTGCAAAGACCACCAGTGAAATATCATCAGTAAGTCATTGATGGTTGGCTCCACCAATGTCCCGGTGGATGTCTGCAATGGCAAGTTGTAATGCTGTGCCATCTATAGGCTCCCGATGAGCTGAGCTGGAGGATTGGCCAGCCCTATATCATAAGAGAAGACTTTATTGGTGGATTGCTGAACAAAAATCTTCCCTTCCATAGAGAGAAGTTCAAATCTCAGCAAACGGTTGTCTTGGCATGCCGTAACAGGCTAGCTTTGCGCAAAACGATGCACGATTGAGAGGCGATGACATGCTTGTCAGATCGGCTAGCGGAAAAGTGGATGATACTGTGCAGATGCGGCTTGATTAAGACTCGGAGCAGGCTGACTGTTACATTGGTAGAAAATGGGCTGGTTGAAGTGCTTGGGAAGGCGGCCGCCTTCTGGTATAAATAGGCATCATCGCCCCAAGAAGTGACTATAGCTTCTGTTCTATCATTCTGTGTCTTTGTCCTATCTTCACCTCACTTACAACAACAATGCCTCAATTAGTCTGGCTAGTAACCGCAACAACCTCCGGCTTAGGCGCCGCTCTCGTCCAGCATCTCGCATCAAGGGGCGAAAGGGTCATCGCAACGGGCCGCAAGGCAGAGGATCGCCTTACTCACCTAAGATCGGAGAGTGTGGCCGTGTTAGACCTTGATGTTACGGCACCTCGAGCTCAAATCGACGCTCAAATTGCCAGAGCTTGGCAAGTTTGGGGGAGAATCGACGTTCTCTATAACAATGCTGGGGTCTCAGCTCCTAAGAGTATCGAAGAGGCAAGGTACGCATGGAGCTCTCGACTTAATCTAACGTTGTGTTGACCAATTACAGCGACGACTGGGTGCGAAGCATCTTCGATGTGAACCTCTTCGGTGCATTGCATGTTACCCAGGCTATCTTGCCATACTTTCGGGAGCGGCAGAGTGGAACTGTCGCTTTTACCGGTGCAGGAGTTGGCTGGGGACCGCTTCCCTTCCTCACACACTACTCTGCGACAAAAGCAGCCTTGGGTATATTCGTTGAAGGTTTGGCAAAGGAAGTCGGGCAGTTCGGTATCAACTGCATGATTATCGAACCCGGTGGGTTTCCATCCCAGCTTGGCGCATCACGCGAAGGGTCGCTGGAGGGTTTCGGCACGTATCAGCCTTCGATCGAGGCATACAATCCTCTCTTTGCGGAGACCATGGGAGTCTTCGCATCTGATATAATGCCGAATATCCCGGGCGATGTTAACAAATTGGTGGAACGCATTGTCGATATTGTCAAGTCGGAAGGAATCTGCGCGGGCAGGTCACGACCATGCCGGGCCATTATTGGTAGCGATGCACTCAGACTGATACAGCAAAAGTGCAAAGAACAGTTGGAGCTTTCGGAGTCGTGGGAAGATGTGAGCCTGAGCACTGATCGTGATGGCCATGATCATGTGGCGAGTGGAGGAATGCTTCGCCTTGCGTCGATTTTGCCGAAGGAGACATAGATTGACTTGGAAAATAGAAGCACCTGCGAAAGAGGTTAGAAATTAAATTCGATACAAATGTTTGTCAATCGGTAAAGGGATGCATTCATCTTGCTTTACCGTCCGTGGTGGAGAAGACGCTAAATGGAGCCTGCGTAAATTACGGAAGATCCTCCAGCGTTAGTATTACGGTTGTTGCTTAATAATCAGATCCGTTCAACCACCTACCTCGGATTCACGGTCTGAGTGAACTGTCACAGTGTGATTGCAAATGAACAGCAGGCAAAAAGAAGGCGATGGTGAACCATGGACCTTCTCGCGCATGCATCGAATGCAAGAAACGCAGAAAGAAAGTAAGTGAAGTTTTCCCCCTCTCTAGTCTGCCTGCTGGAGACCGCCAAGGCTCACCCATGTGCGTGGAGTGCGATCAAACACGCCCCTCATGCAGCCGCTGCGTGAAGTCTCGAAGAGTATGCCCTGGTTACGGAGATGATTCATCATTGGTATTTCGCCATTACCACCCATTCAAGGACGCGACTTCTCTTGATTTTGACCGCTGGTCCCCCGGAATTCCATCGATCTGGGAAGATGCGGCAATTCAGATCTTTCTTGATACCCTGGTTGTTCCATCTCAGAACCGACAGAAATCCAGGGGGTTCCTTCATGGAATACAGTCATTATTGGCCAGTGCGACGCCCGGCTCTGCCCTATTCTCTGCAGCCAAGGTCGTTGCCCTTGCTGCGATCTCAAACAGCACTAGGTCGTCTGATCTCGCATCAGTAGTTCAGACACTATATGGCAGCGCATTGAGGGATTTGACCTTGTCTCTACCCGTTGGCGATTCTACCGTGCCAGTCGAAACTTTTCTCACAGCTCTTTTATTGGGTATTTACGAGGTATGCTCCTGTCCCTTGCGCGGATAAACTATCATATATTCTAACAAGAACAGTAGATCATCTCAAGTAGCCATGCGTCGCCTGCCAAGCACCTCGTACACGTCCGGGGAATCGTATCATTCATTCACAAAGGAATTCATTTTTCAAATAAAGTTTCGAAAATACAGTCCCACTCACCGGGAAGTCCTCTGATCCTAAAAAGCGAAGGAGTAGGTAGACCATGGGTTGAAAGTTCTGTTGTCATAAGACCTCGCTGATTTGCCAATACTAGATGTATCGGAAAACGGTGCTCGGTGTTTTTTGCCCCCCTATAAATGACAGACCACGCCGATCTCTCGATCTCATTATCATCAAGCTTTCGTCACTCACGAACCAGATCCAGAGACTTCTACATCAGCCGTCGCCTTCCCTCGATGAGTTGACGGAGCTTCAAAAGAGCTTTCTTGATCTGGATGATGAAATTTCTGGCTGGGATAGTGATCGCCCTCCCGAGTGGGCTCCTTCACATGCTGGGTTTAGCTGGGCGAGCCGAAATCATACAGAGCATTGCTCGGCCCCATACTGCTCTTCTGGGCCGGTGGAGGAATACCTTGATTGTGAGTAAAGAGGTAGTTCATTTATTGACATAGATCTCACTGACACACACGTGCTAGGTTACGTGGCGACTGCTTGGAATTCTTGGCGCTCAATTTACGTTTTATACCTGGATCACATGGCTAACCTTGCCAAAGCGCTGGGACAAGAGGAGTGCATTCCTAGCTACGCCAAAAAGGCGCAAGAGCTCGTGCATGGCCTGAAAGCATCTATTCCATATTTTCTATCTCAAAGCCTACAGGGATATCTACAACATCTTAATACTGGGCTGCCGCCAAACCATTCGAACCGAGTGATCAGGGGCCTCCTGCTAATGCACCCTCTGTACGTTATGGCCAAATGCGAGATCGTCCTGGTTCCTGATAGAGAGTACTTGATCCAAAACTTGAAATGGATCGGTTCGAGCATGGGAGTAGGACAAGCGGCTATACTAGCCGATTATTTGCAGCTAGATGTCTTGGGAGCTAGAACAGGCCAAGCATCTGAGGTACCGCTGATGGATGTCCTGGAAGGTTACTATCTTCTTTCAGCTGCGATGATGCTTGACTTATCCTGATGTCATAACCCTCAGGAGTTGCGGTAATGGAAAAAGGAGACCATCAACAGGGGCATCACATGTCATTGTAAGTGACCATAAACACGCCTTTATCTATTGGCGAATCGAACTCTCAGCTTCATCAGCTTCATCATCTGTAACCACGACGCAAGAACCATGCGAACCTTGGTATTATCAAGATGTATGAGTATCGGCCAGAGACATTGAGTTCAAGCCAACAGGGTGTAAGGTTTGTTATTTGGTATAACATGAGGGGAGAACAATCTTCATTCGTGAGAGAAACCCCCCTTCTACGCCTCAATTGTGGTTGAAGATTGCAAGACGCCTCAAAGGCCGGAGGCTCTCTCTTGGTGGTCATAATTGATTTCTTAGTTGCTTGATCTAAATATTCACATGAATCATAAAGAAACTCATTGGACCACATTGTCTTTCCTAGTACTAGTATTGAGCATATTCTCTTGCTGTTTGCCAATGTGTCTTTCTAACATATTTTCAGATCATCCATAACCTCAGTTGCCTGCTCTAAGTGTGAGTAGTCCATGAGCTTTTTGAAAGGTCGCGCCAACTGCCTGGCCAAGTTGATGACATTCCTAATCTCGCGGCCGTTGAGCTCATGCTCAAGTAGGAGCCTCATCTTGTGCTGGATGTCACGGTAGTTGATCCTTTCACCCTTGACAAGTACTACCAAATTCTCATCTCCGGCATTAAGAACTTCATTGTGGCGCTTCAGCTAGTGGAACAAGTTTTTTTTCATTCATTGTGTTGAGATGTTGGGTCTGGCATCTTCTATTGCTGTTTTTAACTTTATACTCGAGCTCTCTTCCGAAACAAGTTTTTCCAGACTTCTTGTCGCCCTTCCTTATCAAGTCGTGGATGAAATATGGCGAGCGTCCCTGCTTGCAAAGTTCGCATGAGGTAGTCATCGAATTGCCTAGAGCCCTTGGCAGCTACTTCGAATTGTTTCTTGCCTAAGGAAGGCTTGGGGTCTCCAGGTTGCATCTGAGAAACACCATATTCAACCTCATCATGTCCTGGGGCTCATCAATCTTGATGACGCTGCCAGTCATCTGGCGGATCTCATTGGTCTTCTGCCCGCCCTTTCCTATGATGACGCCCACCATGTTGTCCTTCCGTATTCATTGTGTTGGGATATCAATTCCGGCTGTCGTCTGTTGTCATTTTTAACTTTATACTCAAACTCTCTTCCGTACTCGGGAGTTGAATGCCTGGTCATATCTTGGATCTCGTTGATCTTGATGACGTTGCCACCCATTTGGCGAATCTCATTGATCTTCTGCCCGCCTTTTCCTATGATGGCGCCCACCATTTCGTCCTCTTGTATTGGGATTTGAATGCCTAGTCGTGTCCTGGGGTTCATGACATTGAAATTGAGACACTCAAATATTAAGCTGCTTATTTTCAAGCCTGCGATCGGTATTATTGATCTTGGTGACGCTGCCACTCATTTGGCGGATCTCATTGCTCTTCCATAACCCTAACCCCAACCCTTTGCCTCCCTGGCTTGCGTGAAAAGAGCTTTGATGTGCCATGTTTATGTCAGTCGCTTGATGGCGCCCACCATGTCGTTGGGAATGTATATCTGCTGCGTGGTCGGGCCATTAGGCATATCAGCCTGAATCTTACGCGAAAAGAGCTTTGGTGTGCCATGTTTTATGTCAGTCGCTTGATGGCGCCCACCATGGCGCCTACTATATCGTTGGGGATGTATATCTGTTGCGTCATCGGGCCACCAGGCATACCGGCCTGGATCAACGTTTCCACTACAAGGCCTGTTAGTTACTGTAATCGTCTGCTTAAAAGAAGGGTAAATAGTCTACAACTCACCGTTCTTTGGCAGCCCAATTGGTGCCCTGGTCGACGTGTGCAAGCCAGAATCAAGATCCCGTCCGCTCCCGCTTGGCCGTGCCTCAAGATGAAAGGATATCGTGAGAGAGTCAAGACGAAACAAATTGATCGACTTGCGGCTGATGTCTTCCTCCCTGACCAAGATGGTCCATCAACGGACGTTCTGCCAACAAGCTCAAGCACGGGTCTGAACTAGTAACCACCGGAGGTCCATGCAAAGACAGACACTACTGCGTTTTCCTATAGATTACTGATCTCCCGTTCCTCTACAAACACATCAGCTTCGCCTAACAGGGCAACTGGGAGTATGTGCAAGCAAGGGAGCTTCTTAGGTGGACGGGATAGCTTACCTGCTCTCCAAGTGCTTCTACAAGTGACGCGGTAAAATATATCCACGGAGCGAAGATCACGACCCATAAGACCTATGATCATGATCTAGAGGGTCACTTGAGCGTCGTCCTCCGTTGGTCCAGATATTTTCCCGAACGGAGACGAGAGACAGGTGGGATGCGGTTTGAAAAGCCAAGGAGCCTGAGAGAGGTGGTCTAGAGGTGGACGTGTTGGGTGGCTGAAGGCTTGTTGTGAGTGCAATGTAAGGTTCAAGTGACAAAAAACAGATGGCAGGTCTTTAGCGGCGATTTCCCAATGCTCTGTCACGTGAAGAAACTCTGCGCCTGCAGCTCTCGGCTACTGGGAGTTTCACTGGTGCTTAGTAGGAGGATTGGGTGAGTGTGCAGATGAATAGCGCTCCTGAGAAAAGTGTGCCTGAGGACTCCAAGTGTCATCTGGAAGGTACCACGTGACCATAGTGGTAGCCACACAGTATCGAGACCAAGGAGATGCTTGGGGATGAATAAAACAACAGTTGATGCCATCCCACGAAGTATGACAATCTGGTAGCAATCCAACTCGACCCAATCCGTGACGGGGTCGCCTCAGCCAGCCTGCTTCCGAGGTCGCTGATGATCATCCTTCCACCCCGCCGCTTACGCAGACCCCTTGCTTCTCCAGGGTTTCATCTGTCAATCATACTGGATCCAGTCGGAGGGCACTTGCTGGTCCTGCGTAAGACTAAAACGCGCATTTCTTGGGCGAATCAGTGACTCCTACTCGTGGTGGCCGGCATCATCCCTCCAGGCTTTATCCTCTGCCGCACACGTTTCAGTCTGTTGGAAACCCTAGCCAATCAGGCGGTATGCATACCCTTCTCGCTCCAGGTCCCTAATTTAGGCCTCTACACCAATCCTGTTCCCAAACTTCCACATCTACCGGAGATTCACCCGCAGCCTACCGAGCCGTCCATCCAAGCATTGACTTATTTAGCTAATAGACCCTGACCAGTGGCCAACAATAAATCGGGCATTGTCTCCCGTAAATGGCTCGCTTCCAAATTGCAAAGCTATCCTTGAAGTTAGAGAATACGTGTTTTATTTTGAGCTTGGAGTGACTCACTCAGTAGATACTGCGAACTGGCTGGGAAACTATGATTGCTGATAAGGTAATTGAAAAATGGCTTAATGTCTGCATTGAAAGAACTGATCTGGCTGGTCGCAACAAAGGTGTAGACTCGCATGTTTCCGTTCAAGCCGCTGTAAAGGCTCCAAGTCCTTCCACCAACATTGGCCGTAGCGATTGGGGTACCGCCAATGGGAGTAACTGGACCAAGATTCCCAAGCCTGGTTTATGACCTTCGGTGAGTGATGGTCTTGTATAGGTATGATGTTAGCTCTTACCAGATCATGAGCTCGTAGTCTCCGCTGCTTGTGGAATGGTTCGGGTCAGCTGCTGTGAAGAGATCATATGCAATGTTGCAACGAAGATTTTGTCCCTCATATCTCCACTCGGCAACTGTCGGGATGCTGCCAATGTTGGCAACCAGCTTCTTAGTGGGGAGACTGCGACCAGAGTATGGGTAACTCTTCACCGATCCTGAGCCTCCAGCCCAGGTCCAATCAGTATGCCAGGAGACTCCTCCGCTGTTGACGCTGTCAACGTAGGTACACTGAGTGCCACTGCCAGCACTCGCTCCCCATTCGTTGTTGTTCAAGTACCAGACGTCTTGGGAATAATATGCAAATTGATCGCAAAGGCTTTGGCCGTGGCTGAGCCACACGCACGACGAGGCGAGGATAAAAAACGACTTCATGTTTTCTTAACACTTTGTAGTAGCTGAGATCGATATGAAGAGATGGAAGTATACTGAAGGCAGATGATGAACAAACGGTCATTTGATGCATTTATATATTTACAGTCCACCGGCTTCGGGACATTTGATTTCGGAAAAGGACAGAAGTCTAGCTCCTTGCTAAGAAACTTACCATAGTAAGAACTAACTCTGGCACGTATTACCTCGTCTTCTAGCGTACCCGTAATACCCCACGGGGAGGTTGGATCAGGATGTACCCCGCAAAGTATGACCGTGAAACGCCGAGAGTAAATGCTACCCACCACAACTATTTTGCTAAGCGGTACTGGTAACAATTGTGTATATTCGTTTCCGGACTAAAGATGACCGATTGGTCAGCCCAATATCCTACTGGCACTCTGCTCCCAACGAAAAGTCTCGAATCAAGCGGTCTCGAAATACATTGCACTCATTAATGAAGCCAAGGCAGTGAGGCTGTGATGGTGCACATGGGGAAGCTAGACGTGTAACCTGCACCTAGTAGATTCTTGATTACAAAGGAGAAGAGTAAGTTGCGTTTAAGGGAGTATCGTAGTAAACACTATTATAGCGGGTCGGTATATATGACTACAAAGTGCTGATAGGACTAAGTATTACAACCTCAAACCTTTGAAGCTCTTCAAACACTGAGTTCTTTGTGTTGAACCTGAAGCTCCACCTCTTTCCCCAATTGCTCCACATCCACCCGAGCAATGGCATCGTCGCCGTCAAAGATGATGGCTATCTCTTCGAGAGTTGGCCCTTTGGTTTCAACATACACAAAGTACACAAATAGAAATTCACAGAAATCCCATAGCGTATAGAACAACATCAGGTTCCAGTGGTTGGGCATGTTATTCCATGCCAGCTTGTTGGTTTGACTAATGTTTGTTAGCGAGTGCTTCACGGCGGTGGTACGGATTACTCACTTTCCAAGGGCAAGGATGGCTTGCACAGTGACATTCATAATCATCATACCCTTGGCTCGAAGATGGAAAGGGAGAATTTCCAGGGCATACGATACGAGCAGGCCAGCAAATCCTACATGGTAGAACAGACTAAACAGCCAGACAAACGCAATTTGGCCAGTGCCTGCTGCTTTGTTTGTGTATACCTGAGTGCCATTTGCCAGTGTTTGGCTAGAATTCTCGTAGACAGCACCGAGAACGGTCCAGAGAGCAAAGGAAGCAAACATGCCTGCGGTTCCCAGTAGGAACAACGGCCGTCGCCCCCATTGGTCGACAAGAAGTGCCGTGCTCACGGCAACAAGCAAATCCATGATTGTCTTGCCTGCCGAGAGCTGTATGAATCATTAGATATTGATTGTGGATTTTAGAAGATGAATTAACTTACAGCAAGTTTCTGATTCTGTTCCGTAATACCAGCTCCCACATAGACGATATCAATGTAGTTTGAGAACAGAGCATTGCCTGAATACTGGGATATAACACCCAGGGATATGATAATGGCCAATCTCCATCGGTTGCCGCGAGTCTTGAAGAAATCTAGATATGTCGCATTTTTGTCTTTTCGGTTCTGGATTGCGTCTTTCATCTCGCGGTATTGAATCTGTACCGTGACATTGTCAACGTCCCCGGCACCGTGGTACTTGGTTAACATCTGAAGCGCTTCCTCGGCTCTGTCCCGGCTTACGAGCCATCGCGGGGATTCCGGAAGCCACCAGATGCCACAAAGTTGTATGACGGAAGGCACGGCTTGGATAAGAGTAATTGACCTCCACGACCACTCACTGTTGATTGACGAAGTACCCCATCCGATGCAGGATACACCTAGGATTTGCCGTTAGCACCATTGCCAGTATCGTGAGGCCGTCAACCGTGACAAAAGATCTTTACTTACACAGTGAGCCCAAGCTCCACAAGCAGTTGTACACTGTCGTGAGGGGCCCACGATGCTGGGGGTGGCAGATTTCTGTCAGAAGCAGCGGGGAGCACATTTGCGCAAACGAATTTCCAAAGCCGAGAACAAAACGGCCAGAAATATACACTAACATAAGGTGAAGAGCACTCAATTAGTTATCGACCCAGAGATGACGACGAGGAAGATATTGCCACGAGGAAGATATTGGAGCTTACTTCCGTAGCTGGTGCTGAAAGCACCGACAAACGCGCCCAAAATCATGAGCACGCAACCAACAGCAATCGTAATCTTTCGACCGAGATAGTCCGCCATATATGGAACGACCAGGAAGGAAATCACCGACCCGATGTTGTACATATTGATGAGAATACCGAGCTTGTTCGCATCGGCATACTGAGGGAAGAACTCCTTCCACTTGTCCATCTGCTGGGACGTGTTGACCATCATTCCGTCGTACCCGGTTGTGGCCGATGCGACGAGTAGGAAGATGCAAAGACAGTAGAGCTTCCTCAGCTGAGGCTCCTTGTACCAAATGACTCTGTCCAAGTCGGGGGCATCTGCATGTCGAATATTGAGGTGTTCATCTTGACCTTTGGGTCCAGCAAGAGTCGTAGAGTTGCCCATGTTGACTAGTCTTGATGGCACAGTTTGGGTTTACCAGTTTCGCAAAGGAAGAGCACTTGAAGCAAGTGATTGAACTCTTTGATTGATCTGGCACGCTACATCCCATGACTGATAAAGGATTTGCCTTCACGCGGTGTTTGTAACTGGCACCACTGTGAACAGGCCCAAGCGTTGGCGCCCTTCCCTGGTAGTTTCGGACGCGGGTCACTCTCGGATTGTCACTGCGCCGACCCGAAGCGGCTCGATGGGGATGGCATCATGGCAACGACTCATGGCTGCGGGGAACCCAGTCACCTCCTCACTCTTAACTCAACCTAAGCTAGTGCTGATTTTGCCCCAGGAGTAAATCCTGGAGAGGTGGGCCAAGTTTTCCCTTAATGTCCGGAGTCGTCGCATCGATTTCGGAGGGATATTTACATTGCCCGACGCATGTCTGGGGGCGAGCCTGTGCTGTTTGCTAACGAGATCGTGCTATAGTGACTTGAGACACTGGCTGAATGGAGTCGACTGGAGTTACCGAGTCCCGAGACCTGCCATCGTGCGCCGGTTGTCGGGCACGCAAGCTCAAGTGCTCACGCGAGATACCTTCATGCACGAATTGTCAACGACTTGGTATGCTCATCACGTATTGAGCTCCGACCCTTGAGTCCTGGCACAGCACTTCTGACATGTCTCACATGTAGATTTATCATGTATCTATGATTCTCTGAAGAACAAACCAGGGCTGAAACGGGGAACCCTTGAGAAGCTCACAAAACGCATTGGTAAGCCTCCGCTTGTGTTAATGACCTACGAAGTGAGGAATATTGACATCCATAGATTCTCTCGAGCGCCAAATAATAGATCGAGACAATCTTGTGTCAAATGAAACCCCTGATCAAACCACCGTGAATGCTGCTGCAGATGAACGTCCTGACAATGACACATCAGCACTCACTGCACTGACATTGGAGACCAAGATCCTGTCGTCTTCAATCTCGGAGTTGTCCCGAACCATATCTGTTCTCACCGAAGCCTCGGTCGCGAAGAGATCTTCACCAGTTGAGCCTGAAACTAGGAGCGTCAAGCGACAAAAAGTCGTCGAGTCCTCGGCAGTTGTTCCGACAGGACCCTCAACCCTTTCATTGACCGCCACTCTAGATTCCCAAGAAGATGTTGAAAGCCTCCTTGAGGCATATTTCTCCAACTTCCACCCATGGATTCCAATGATTCATCGTTCAACTTTTCGAAATAAAGTTATCGATAATCATGGCGAGCTCGACAATGGCATTGTCTTGCATGCGATAATGACAGGAGCTTCACGCTATGATGATCAGCGAAAAGGTCCCGCCGAGATGTCGATGGATAGGTTTCAGATCGCTTGTGACCACGTCCTGCTGACAGCGAATCAAAGTCTACAACTTAGAAATCTGCAAGCACTCACTATTCTAGCCTTTAGATACGTAAGTAACACAGTAGCAGATGAGGGAACACGGTGCCAACTAACAAATCATAGTTGGGCGACGGTAACCTCACAAAAGCGTGGCCAATTGTTGCTGCCTTGACGAGAATGGCAGAGTTTCTCGGCATTTGCGTGGAACAATCGGAAGTGAAGGCGCATACAGAGTCCTTCTTCACCCCCTGTCCGCAAGCTCTGCCGCAAAGCTGGGCAGAAGAGGAGGAGACTCGACGCGTTTTTTGGAACATCTTTATTTTTGACAGGTGTGTTCATTCGAGACAACCTGACCCCTAGTTTCTATCTGTTCTTACTGAGACTATTTAGAATATGCTCTATCACTACGGGGTAAACTTTTGCACTACATATATATCGGATGAAGTGGCCAGCTAACATGCCACGTAGCTGGAAGGTGGCTCTGACCGCAGACAACTCAAGTCGTAGACTACCCGTATGCGGTACCTTTTGGAACGAGAACGCCCCTCGGGTGACTCCATACTTTAGTATCTGGGACAAGTCTGCCACCAAGATTTCAAACTCGGTGGCGTTCCTCCCTGCGCACTCCGTGAGCCCGAGGCAGCCGACTGAGCCTTCAAACGATGGAGAAAATGTCTCCCCAGGCGAGTCGACATCAGATCTGAACACTAGCAATACGGGCGCTTTCGCATACTTTGTGGAATCCCTTGAATCACTCTATCAGGTCAATGAATACTTTCTTCGGCAAAGGGTCGACTTTGGGAACCGCCAAGAAGTGTTTAGCTGGTTAACAAGATTCAAAGAGCTTGACTTTCGCCTAGTCCGGTACGTGCCTGAGCAGGCGTCGAATCAAATCAAGATCTAACCTTGACAGATGGAAAACACTACTCCCTCCGAAATGGAAAGATCCGAATGTCCCACCGCCCGAGACTTCCAATATCCTGGATCCGAACATGTCCTTGGCACATGTCACGCATAATACATCCATGATCATGTTGCACCAGAAGATTGGCTACCCAGACTCAAAATTGAAGGGTATTCCGCTGCCCAATTTCTACAGCGCCGAAACCTGCCATTCCGCAGCGGTCGAGACATCCAATATCACGCGAAACTACTTGAGACATTCCTCAACTTGCCGACCTTTGTCTCCGCATTGGGCATTCTGCGTCTTTGCGAGTGCCAAGGTCCTGCTTGGTAAGCTAGATTTGGAAGCAACGCGAACTGTAAAACTAGTAGCTAATTCGGAGAAAAGTTCATCACCGGTTTTATTCTCAGGATCTCAGCCCGCATTTTTGGTCTCTGGTCCAGTGTTTACAAGAGATGGCACAGAGATGGATCGGCAATAGTTCAATCGAACCGAAATCGTCTCTTGCTAGCCAGCTACTTGATAAACTTCAATCACTCCATGCCGGCTCGACTTCAACTTCCAAATTCATCAGCACGATCTACAACGGATCATTGCATTCTCCGCATGTCATTGACAGCCATGAGACTGAGCATCCATCTCCGCGAAGCTGTCTGTTTGCGACAGACCAAAGTAAACCCGGCCAATTTGCCTCACCCGCTAAGCCCTCGGTAAATCAAAGCGTACAGGTCTCTGAAGAGCCACATGCTGGGCGACCTGGCAACGATTGGCTATCTCCATCACAAATTCCCGACTGTAGAATGTCCACCGCATCTGGAGGAACGGACGATCTGTCAAGTATCATAAAAAGCTTTTCTGGGGAGCAATTTACAGGAATGGATCGTATTATCAATTTTGATGATCTCAACTTCGAAGGCATCTGTGACGTGGATCCTGCTGGTCAGGGGGAGGATATTACTCAAGCAGAGTGGAACTTTGGTTCAGTTCAATGGCCTGGCCCCTAGATGTAAACTGTTTGTCTTGTATCAGTTTTGCTTAAAGAGATGAAAAATAAATGCTGGCATACGTCCTCCTTCTGCCGTGTGCCGCAGAAAATGTTAGATTCCTAACATCTTATGCTGGAATTAGACTTTCACACCCGCGCGCATGTTCAGGTTCCTTTTAGTAAGAAACACGGAGGTTGAGCATGAAAGGAATATGTATGTTTAACTATTCTATTTATATAATTCCCATCTGTAACAAGCGGTTCTTCAACGTAAGAAGATAATAGTCTGCATAGACTAGCCCGTGGTCATGTGCCTTGTTCTTCCTAAAGCTGGAGGCATTGTAACATACTGTAGAATGCTTCAAGATGGCATCAAATCGTTCTCCTACACCAGAAATATTAATCTTGAAGGGCTCAACATCTGTGTGCACAACGTGGGCCTTTTCACGAGCCAATGCAAAGTTGAGGGTATCTTCAACTATAATGAGTGCCGCATCCAAGTATCTTGCGTTGCGTCGGTGATCTCCAAGCGCTGTGAAGCATTGTGCAAGGACTACCATCCCATTAGCAGCAATTATCCCGGCAGAAACATCTCTGAGAGGATTCTCAAAATCCTCAATCGGAGCGTCAAAGTCCCAGAGCGGGACGTATCTGCCCGATTTCCTTGGCTCAGTGGACCCGTTGGCAATAGCTTTATCGACACAGTCTGGGGCAGTCTCTAGTTTGAGCAAAAAGTATTCAGCCAAGCCACACGCTGCTTCGAGAAACTCTCCATGACCCGACCATTGGTATGCTTGCGCGTAACCCAGGATGCCCCAAGATTGCCCTCGGCTCCAAGTAGAGCTGTCACTGTAACCCTGGGCTGTGCGGATCTCCTTGATCAGACCAGTTCTGGGGTCAAAGTTGACAAGATGAGGAGTGCTATACAGTTCTCCTTGATAACCCTTTCGAGCGCAAGTCTCTTTACGGAGGTGGGAGCTCATCAAAGTGCGGGAATGCGCCACGGCTATATTAGCTAGCCGCGCGTCGCCCGACTGCGCAGCAGCATAAAACAGTAGCTCCATGTTGGCCATGGAATCGATAATGACTAGAAAGTTCTCCTCCTGGGATGTAATTTTGACGTTGTCATGCCAATCGAAAGTATCCCAAGATCGAACTGCTGAGACCCTGTTATCAAAACGTGACGCCAGACTGTTTGCAGCTCGTATGATCGTTTTTAGAGCATCCTGATCGTGGAATAGCTCCCACCGAGGCCTCATAGATGGCAAAATCACGAACCCGAGATCGTGAGTGTCTGTCCGCAGAGCCTGTCCTTTCAAGGGATCCGACCATCGGCGGCCGCTTTCTGCAAGCTCTCTGATAATGAGCTGCGGATCGATTGCTCCATGATGCAGACCAGATTTGTCAGGATGTCTGATGCAAGTCTCGAGAGCAGAGTATATGCAACCTGGGAAGAAGCCGCTCGTCCAAAAATCAATCTCCCGGGACTCCCATTTCCCCTTATTGATCCCGGTTTGAGGCACGATTTCTGGATATTGACTTGGTATTTCCTTCATTGTTGTGAGTATTATTTATACTAGTCTCGAGATACCTATGCGTAGTAATGGAGACTTACGTTGTTTTCTAAATAAACGGCGGCTGTTCGAAGCACCTTTGCAATGAGATTATCCGAATACAGCTCTGAAAGCCGAGAGCTCCATGAGCTCTGTTCGGAAATAACTTTCTCTGCATCTGGAGAGACATTATATGTGAGGCTGTGCTCAACGGGGCTGCTGCTTTTCATGTTGGGATCGTGGTAACAACGCAAGTGACAGCTGAGCGAGTATCGGTCAAGAGCGAACAGTAGCGGTCACGTATGAGGATGTATTCATCTTGGGAATGAATCATTGCACACTCTTTTCTACTACAATCTTCTGCCAAGCACCGGCGCCCGATACATACAGACATTCCTCCCGTCGGACCCGGGGGAGTTGCCACCGGGTGATAACTGCTCCGGCCCGAGCATCATTCTTCCGCCATACGTGAAAAGCCCTCAATTGTGGACAAGTGCAAGGCTGATATCAGGCCACTGAGTTGTGGGGTTGAACTGACATTTTTCCGTGGTGATGTTTGTAATTGCGTCTTCACTACTTTTTGTTCAACGTATGAGCTGAAATGAGCTGAACCCTTCAAATTATCTCATAAGGCAAGTACGGAATGAACATGGATAGCGAGTTTGAGAATTCACATTCAGAGAGACGTGATAACAAGTGCCGGTCTCAGGTAAATCTTTTGTTAACAAAAAGTTCGTGGCTATATCGTAAACATCTTTACGTGTAATTGAGTGTGTATTTCCGTGAACAGGTTCCATTTGGTTTTGATTCAGGAACTACGTAGTACTTGATAAAGGGAAAATCCAAACAAGGTCATCTTATCTCTTAGGCACCATCGTAAGTTGAGCCTATATCCCCCCATTTGATCTTGCTGAAAGTCACTGCTGTGTCTGGTTGGGCCTGTCGGATCGAGTCTGGAGACCCTTCCGCGGCGCTGCACGGCCCAGATCCTGGTCCATCGAGCCAGCTCATATTCCCTCCGCTCTCGTCCCACCAAACGCTCATACAGAGTACCATACCGCGGTCCATGGCTTGCCCCATGCCTGTTGTGCCGCCGAGATTCTTGAAGATATCGGCACCCATAGCATCGCAGAATTCGTCGTCAATGTAATTCACCTGTGGAAGGCTAGATTTATTGGCTGACGGGTTCTCGAAAATCACTCCATCCTGCACGTAGAATCGATGGATAGCTTGGAGTTCGCCGGTGCTGTCAGTGGGAAATTGAGTGACCACTTTGAATGGACGAGTGGTATCAACAATCATACCAAGCCCGTAATAGTTACTATTACCAACATTGGCGGGATTGAAGTGGCAACCAGACTTGTCACATACTCCCGACTTGCCACACTCTGCACCTTGACAAGCGTAGAGGCTGGTTATATTGCACGTATGTGGCGCGAGATGGGTGGCTCTGGAGTTGGCCTCCCAGATGTCGAGCTCATTGCAGCATGCTCCAGACCCTTGGATGTTTGGCTGTCGTGTGTTATTATCCTATTTGATACTCATGCAAGTCTTACAAGATGACGATCAAGATGACTCACCTCGCCATTGATAAACGGTGGAATGTAGCATTGAGCATCACAGTACCCAGTGCCAAATGCCGGGCCGGCCCGATTTATCTCGCTTCGCCCACCATATTCCTCCATTTCAGAGAGGTAAAATGCACCATTCATTCCACAAGGTAGCTTGGATACGTCTACATCGAAGCTAATCTCCTGCCCAAGGAGATGTAACATTTCGTAGCTCTCTTCATGTTCGTCGAGCAGATATACCCGTGGGCTGATTTTGGCCAGAGTTTCGTCGTTGAGCATGTCAAGATATAGCCTGTCATCATCGGCTTTCACGCCCACTTTCGAGTAGTCCGAGATGCTCTCCATAACGCAGTTTGCTTGACATGTGTCCACGTCAGGACAGACGGTCGTGTTTGGAGGGCTGCCATTGGTACCACAGCTCAGATTGGGCGCATTGACTTGGTACAGGGGGCGCTTGAGCGAATCGAGCACTATCGCTGTCCTTTGCGGGTTGCATCCACCGTCTTTGGTACATTTCCAAGTTGTAAGCTTCGGGTGGTTCTCACAAGAAGGGTTCTTGACGTGCTGGGCGTAGGCAACATGAGCCGCCAAAAGGCTCTGGATCAATAGAGAGCGCATGGCAAACGAAACGGGGTGTAACCTGATCTCAGTACCTATGGAGCTGTGATGAGATGTAAATTGAAACAGCATCAAAGAGCTGGCAATCATCATACTCTCACCTGCCTTGTTTATACAAATGGTCTACAGCCCATAGAAACATTTCCATCAGGGCCCCCCGACCCCAAACTACGCTATACTCCACAATCATCCACACAGTCCGGGGTTTGGCGGCATTGCTGTCTGTTGGGGACGAGATACAATCGGACCGGTTACGCTGCTCTCGGCTCGGAGTAGATATTGTCGGCTTCGGGAGAACTCTGATTCTGGGGTAGCCCCTTGTCCAAGCTCGCTCCACCATTGTACACTAACTCTTCAAATCCTGCCCGGGTTAAAGCTACGAATGACTTCGATAGTCTAAAATAACACAGAGCTCATGGCAAGGGCTCGGAAATTATCTTACTGTCAGATGTTGAGTAGCTTACCTTGCCGCTTCCGATCCCAATATCGATGCCAGCATGCCTCCCCTACCGGGCTTTACAGACAATCCTCTCAAGACTCGCGCTGACGTAGTCCTTGCATCCAAGGTACTTATTGGTCCTCTGGCCCAGTACACCACTCCTGGCTGTGCCTACGTTCGGTTGCCTGTAACATCCGGTACGCTCTATGATGATAGAGCTGCCAGGCTCGAGGGCTTTTCGCGCCCATTGTGGGTGACGGGGTCTCTGCTTGCAAGCGGTGATTGCGAGGAGGAGCTATTGTCGAGGCTCATTGCAGGATTGAGCAACGGTACAGACCCAGCGCAGTCCGAGTATTGGGGCGATATTGGAGACAACGACCAGCGCATGGTCGAGACTGAACCGATTGCTTTTACACTTCTCTCGAGCCCGCGGCATTTGCTCTGGGACCGACTAGAGGAGCGCACCAGATCTAATATTGCTCGGTGGTTTACCCAACTCAACGGGAAGCAGATGCCCCGCGTGAACTGGCTGTGGTTCCGCGTCTTTACCAACCTTGTGCTGCTGAAGCTGTGCGAAGTCGATGATTTGAGCGTACACAAACAAATGGACATGGACTTGGAAGAACTAGACACATTCCATTTGCGAGACGGTTGGTCTAGCGACGGCCTGTGGAGAAGTCCTGAGAACGACGATGATGAATGGATGCTGTTTAAACAAACAGGTCGCGTTCACAGTATCAAGCCAGATCGCTGCGTAGACTACTATTCGGGCAGCTTTGCAATACAATTCAGCCAACTCCTTTACATACGTCTAGCGGGAGACATTGATCCGCTGAGAACCTCACGCTACCAAAAGCAAGCCAGAGAATTTGGCTCCCAAATTTGGAGATACTTTGACGAACAAGGCAAGCAGATATCAAGTTGAAATCTATTTGAAGAAAGTGCTTAAATGAATTCTAGGTGCATCGATTCCCTTTGGGCGGTCCATCATATATCGTTTCTGCTGCGGGGCGTTTTTTGCAAGTCTCGCTGTAGCTGGATGTTCGGACATGGCAACACCGTTGCGTAGACCTGGTGATGTCAAGGGGTTCTTGCTTCGTCATTTAAGATGGTGGGCTCGCAACTCCTCGGACATTTTCCACTCAGATGGTACCTTGAACTTGGGTTGGCTTTACCCGTATGTGCTACTTCGGTTACTAAACACGACCATTTACTGACTTACACAAGCAACATGTATCTGACAGAAGACTACAACTCGCCGCAATCTGTATACTGGGCATTAAAGTCTTTTGTGGCCATCATGCTACCATCTGATGAGCCATTTTGGGCCGACGACGAGCAGCCATACCCTCAGCTTGATCCGACTCAAATCGTGGCTTTGCTCCATGCCCCGCGGCAGGTACTTTGCAATCCTCCTAAAGGACATCATTTCCTCCTCTCCTCGGCTCAATTCACCTCACTGTACTGGAAAGGTGCCGCTGCAAAGTACAGCAAATTCGCCTACTCTTCTGCCTTTGGATTCTCTGTTCCAACTGGACAGGCAACACTCCAACAACTGGCACCCGACAACATGCTTGCTCTGAGTAGGGACGGTACACAAACCTGGGCTGTAAAGTGGAAATGTCGCGAGCCTACATTCGGAGTGCGCAGAGTCCACTCGAGTGTGAGCCATATGGCTGAGGAACTCCCAACGATGCAGGTTGTCTGGTATCCTTGGGACGATCGCAGCGTCTCAGTCACCACGACGCTGATACCACCTTCGAGAAGATGGCCCGACTGGCATATTCGCGTGCATCGTATCCGGGTCGAAAGGGACGGTCTTGGGACTCTTTTTACCGCCGAGGGTGGATTTGCGATCAATGGCGAGCTGAAGAGTTCCGGAAGATGGCTGCAGACAATCGACGCCAATCCTTTAGATCATATTGGCTACAAACATGATTTGCAGGGGCACAGATCGGATATTGACTCTGCTGTCGTCTTCTCCGATGCGAGAGTTTCAGGCATCACGGGTTTGGTCTTAGAGAGCCCAAGTACTGCCAATGTCAGACAGACAGCATCGGTGTTGAAGCCCGAGGCGAACACCAACATCATGTCGCCTCGGTCACTTCTTCCATTAGTGGAACATGAAGTGACCAGTCTGAAACGGAGTGACGAACTTGTCTTGTGTACGCGAGTCTTTGCCGCTGTTGATGCCGCAGTTCAGCCGCGCAAACCTAATTGGCATCGGTGGAAATCCTGGCAAGATCGCCCAAGCATCGGGACAAGCCTGGGGGACTCAGGGGCCTTTCTTGAATTGCCGTGAGAATCCCCACCAAGATTGGTGTGTAGCATATGCCTCTGCCGCGCGATGGGTACGTGGATATACTATCACTATATTAGCGACTCACTCATCATGATTCCGGGATGTGGAATGCAGCTTTAACCACGGAAAAGAAATCAATTTAAACGATTATTAGACAGACAAAGAAAACTTCATTAAACTACCCACTTTCAGGAAACTTCCGCAATATATCAACTCCAGTATTCCAAGTTTCAGGCTTCAACAACCGCTCTCAAGTCTCGCCACCTAGTTCTCAAGTGAATAGAAATTGGAATCAAACTTGAACACTCTCCGCGGACATCCCTCAGCAGCCATCAATCTGTGCGATCTTTGTTCGTTCTGTGATCTCCAAGTCAAATCGGCCTAAGAATCCAATTCGGGTTCTGATAAATATCGATGTGGACATGTAGGCACACTTCGGTAGCATTGTGAGAATTTCCCAGTGAGGGGAGGAGGCTGGTATGGCTTTGATAAACATACACCATGTTCAAGACCTGCTTAGTGCACAGTTGCGTTAAGCTGCTGAAGGGGCTGGCAGTTCTCAGTTTATCCAAAAGGTAGGTCCAAGCTACACTCTAGGAAGTAGATCTTTCTTTCTCAAAGAACCAATTATTGTAGCGAATCTGATTTTACTTACATTTCTGAAAAGTTCCCAGATGTCATGGGAATCTTGAGGCTACCCCTCAGGGCATCAGGATGGAATGTGTCTTAGCCACCGGGGGTCGGGGGTGAGTGAAAGTTTTTGCCGGGGGTAGGTTTGCTGCAGTGAACCATTTTAATCATCTAGACGTGAACACGGGCCACGGCAAGTCGCATCTTCAGGCTGAATTATGTCACATACGGCTGAATATCTGAGTTGTACAGTAGATGTCTAGCCCAATCAGGGTAATTGCACGGGAATCTGGAGATGGTTCATTTGCCGACTGAGCCGAGCGGAGCCATGTTGGACGTGAAAATGGAGTGTTTCACTCCGAAATTCTCTAGTTTCGCGGGGTGGTACTACTCGTGATCCGGTTCGTGAAGCGAATACGAATGCGTTTCGCGGGGAGGTTGAAAAGAGCTCGAAGCCCATGTTTTTTTGAACAGAAATCTGAAAGCATTAGTGTTCTTGTTATCCTTGCATAAGAGAAACCACAGTGTTTTCATTCTTAACTATGCATCTGACTTCCTTTCAGCTTGTGGCTAATGCAGCTCTCTTTGCCGCTGGCGTTAGTTGTCAAAGCAGCTTGACCGCATCTTACAGTAACACCTTGCAAACAATTACCGGTTTCGGTGTTTCTCAGGCCTTCGGGAGAGCTCAGGAATTTTATAACATGAGCCCCACTCCACGGCAAAAAGGCCTAGATTATCTCTTCAGTACAACCACTGGGGCGGGGCTGACAATTGTACGAAACCGAGTCGGTTCTGGAACAGTCGCATCAGACAGTATCCTGCCCAAGAGTCCGGGCTGCCCAACTTGCCAGCCTTCATACTCTTGGGATGGGGTCGATCGTGGCCAGGTCTGGTTCAGCAAAGCAGCCCAGTCTTATGGCGTGGAGACATTTTACGCAGATGCGTGGTCCGCACCCGGGTTCATGAAGACAAACGGCGTAGAGACTGGCGGAGGATATTTGTGCGGTGTAACCAGCCGTACTTGTTCTAGCGGTGACTGGCGACAAGCATACGCAAACATGTTAGCACAGTATGTCAAATACTATCAACAAGAGGGAGTTACCATAACACACTTGGGCTTCCTCAATGAACCTGACTACACGTAAATCCTGTCGCCTATGCCAAATGATGACCCCTGACTAACAGTCCGCCCATAGGACATCCTACTCCTCAATGCTGTCGAATGGAAAGGAGGCGGCCTCGTTTATTCCGACTCTTCGAAACACGCTCAACAGTAATGGGCTGAGTTCTGTGCAGCTCGCATGCTGTGATGCCGTGGGGTGGTCTTCTCAGCGGACGATAACAACGGACCTTCTTTCGTCTGGTGTGCAAGGCCAGCTCGGCGTCATTACATCCCACACCTATGGGAGCGACGTAGACGGAACTATAAACACCAACGGCCTCCCCGTCTGGGTCACAGAAGCAGCTGATCTGAACTCGGCCTGGTGTACGACTTGGTATTCGAACGGCGGACTTTGCGAAGGTCTGACGTGGGCCAGGAGGATAGCGACCGGTATTGTCCCTGGAAACTTGTCAGCTTACATCTATTGGCAGGGCGTCGAGGTGAACCAATTTCAGGCCGCTTCATACCTCGTGGCGAGCGATGGAACAAATGTGACTCCCAGCGGTCGCCTCTGGGCGTTTGCAATGTGGTCGAGATACGTGCGCCCGGGAGCACGGAGACTCAGCACCACAGGGACGATCACGAATGTAATCTGGGCTGCTCTCAGAAACACCGACGGATCTGTTGTCGCAGTCTTCACCAACACAGGTGACAGTGCTCAGCGCGCCTCGCTAAGAATCGATGGATACACCCCAATTAAAGCTTCAGGCTGGATTGTGAACAATAACACTGGAAACAATATCGCATCTCAACCGGTATCTCTGAGCGGCGGTACTGCAGTCGTTTCCATCCCAGCCTACTCTGTGGTCACGGTCGTGCTCAGTCAGTAGGGCGCGAGGTATCTCGAAGTCGGATGTTTGGCAGGGTTGAAGGATTCGAGTACTACTTCTTAAAGTGCTGTTGACAATTTGATTGTTAGCGCGAATGGTGAATTGGGGGAGTATCAACAACGGGACCTGCTCCTGTGCTGATGTCGTTCTGACGTTCTAAATCCATAATCCATGCTGATTGTTCGATTTCGTATTTGGGGCTTCCACGGGTTACGCGAGGTAGCGAAGAGTGCTGGCATAACTTGCTATCATACCTAGGTACCTATGTAGGTATGTAGGTAGAAGTTGAGGATGAACTGTTGGCAGGCGGTGACCGTAGGCGGTGAGTGGACTCGACGTTCTGCCGGGCGTAGTTCTCGAACCTCGGCCACCTCCACCTCGTTCAGATGAATACATCAGTACCCAGAGTCTCGCAGAGACGAGACTATCTCTCCGATCTTCGTCCAGAGTTTCATCAAATACTGCCGACAGTATGGAAACCATGCCAAGCAACTTCCCACCACATCGTACTCGAGAAAGCATCAATCGCCTGACCTACTGCTCTTGATTAATAACCCGGGTGTTTGCCTGCCCAACAATCAAACCCTTGTAAGCTTACATACACCTTTTGGATAGAAGTTTGCTAATCACTGACAGATTTTTAGCTTCAGTCTAGAATTCCAACCCCACGTGGAGCAAACCTCGATAGTCAAGTGCCACGGCACTCCCCCAGTCCAAATACTAGTACCGCTGTGCCGGAAGCATGGCTCAGGACTTCAACAGAAGAGCACGCACCTTAAATCTAGGCAGGAGACCATTCAAATGACATGGCTTTGGAAATGGGAAACGAGGGACATTGGTTATATCGGACTTGGCAAACTTGGTATTCGCTCCCCAACCCTAGTCTCACAAGCTTGACTTCATTCAATTCCTCATCAAGACAAGCATGGGGTAATTTCCACGACCCGTCACGGCAATCCACATTAACTCCGTGCCAGAAGCCGGGCCGACGTGGGTCCTTTCGGTGCGCAAGGGTAAGCCAGGCTTGGTTCATCCATGATAGAGCATGGGAATTTGGTCTTTGCCCGCTCTTTGCCCACGTCACATCGTGCTTTGGGAACATTCTGGCGCTACCCTACTAGCACATCATCTCCACTGCTTGAAATGCTGAGGCTTCGCCTTTTGGTTGTTTGATTGGGCATTGCAGGGTCCCAGCCCGGAGCCATTCCCGATTCTCCAACTTTAAACCCCAAGCCTTAGTTGCGCAGGTAGACCTATCCCCTCACAACGATAGTTGCTTGACGTGGAATTGAAGTCCGCTCATGTGAAGGTAACTCTTTCCCAAATTTCAAGTGCTTAGGCATTTTGTGTTTCATTCATCCCGGTTTCAGGTAGTCTCACAACTTACCAGTTTTGTGTTCTAACTAAGACAATCAGTATCTAAACAATGGATATCCTTTACCCTTGACCCAAGTACCAGCTCTATGTTCGATTGAACTCTATCTGCAATGGTGAACAACGAGTGGGTTCCGTCCAGGGAGGACATCCTTAGTCAATTTGTTGATCTTGACTAATTGATAGGCCGACTTCTATATTCATCATACACTGTATCTGGCGCAAGACAAGAGCATACGTGTATTACAGACAGCGCATTGACAGCCCCCAAGGACTTTAGTTTGCTCATTCATGACAAGTTCTATCTAGAAACTCTCATCCCGGTGTCGGCCCCTTAAGCCGACTAACCGACAATTTACAATGTCGCCGACCTAGTGAGCCCAACATCTTTATTCTTATTAGGAAACTAGAATGAGATAACACGAGGGGAGACCAGAGAGTACCTATCAAGCCCATTGATACCGCGAAAGGGGAGCAAGTTTGGAAACCGGCAGTTCTAACATCTTGCCCCCTATATCGTTCCTCGTTCTTCATAAGGTTAATCAGCTTCTACAAATATGCCTGGAACAAGAATCTTCAATACCATCGGCGTCCACTGCGGCGGAGAAGTCGTCGATGTGGTTACCGGCGGCGTTCGCGATGTCCCTGGAAAGACCATGTTCGAGAAGATGATGCACCTCTGGAAGAAGGAGGATTCGATGCGCAACCTCCTCCTCAACGAGCCCCGTGGCTGCTCTGCCATGTGCCACAATATTGTCCTTCCCCCTTGCAACCCAGAGGCGGACATTGGCCTCGTCATCATGGAGCATGAGGAGTATCCTCCCATGTCTGGCGCCAACACTCTGGGGGTGGCCACGGCACTTTTGGAGACCGGCATGATCCCAATGAATGAGCCCGAGACCGTCTGCAGGTTTGATACGCCAGCGGGCCTGGTGGAAGTCTATGCCCAATGCGAGAATGGCGAGTACAAGAGCGTTCGCTTCCACAACGTCCCTGCATTCGTGTTCTACATTGACAAGGAGGTCACCGTTCCTGGTCTTGGCACTGTCAAGGTTGACATCGTCTACGGCGGGATGATCTATGCTTTAGTCGATGCCGCTTCATGCGGGCTATCCATTAAGAACAAGCACGGAGCCAAGCTGGTCGAGGTGGGGATGCGTGTTCTGAAGGCTGTCCAAGAGCAGACCGACCCAATCCACCCTGAGAACCCTGAGATCCGCGGCGCCTCGGTCTTCCAGTGGATACAACCCATCAGAGATCATGAGGATGGCAAGACCTCCGTGAATACCGTTGTCGTAGCACCAGGGAGGCTCGATAGGAGCCCGTGTGGCACAGGAACTTGCGCTCGGTTGGCGGCTCTGCACGCAAGGGGAGAGCTGGCCGAAGGAGAACCTCTTTACCATAGGAGCATCATTGGATCGGAGTTTATTGGGCGGGTGCACGGCACTACGAAGGTCGGTAAATACGATGCCGTCTACCCTTCGGTGACTGGTAGTGCATGGATCACAGCCTATAAGCAGGTCGTTTTGAATCCAACAGATCCGTTCCCTGATGGCTTTCGAGTTGGTGATAAGTGGCATATGGAGGGGTAGTGTATACACAAAGTATTACACCATCCAACAACACTTCCATTCCAATCAAGAATTCTTATTGAAGAATGTCCTTTCTAACGGCGGTGATCTGTTGACCGCGGCGATGCTCTTTGAGAAAACGATCCATTTCGGCTAAGGAACTCTTCTGGCTCTAGCATATCTTTAGAATCAAAGTGTTGACCGGTGGTTTAATAGAGCCCACATCGATATCCATGATTGATGACGCCTTGTTCGTAGTCAGCATTAGATATCCAAGGCCAACACCTACAAGAGTTTTCGTACATTCCATCAAGACAAGTATGCCATGCTTCAAACCAGGTGACATACTCGGGATGGTGCACGTCAATCTCCTTCGGGTCTCCCACTGCTTGATCCTGAAAAAGCCGCCGGCAGTCTCCAACGCCATGTGATGCAGCCGTCGTGAAACAATCGCCTGAGGTATTCTTTACCACGACCTCGGAAGCCATTGTCCGCGGCTGGCGGTGGTGAACCAAAATCGGGAATGAATTGTGAGCGAGGGCGTCGCAGAGGTCATTAACACAAGCGGAGGCTTACCAATGCATTTTGTGAGCTTCTCAAGGGTTCCCTGTTTCAGCCCTAGTTTATTCTTCAGAGAATCGTAGATATATAATAAATCTATATGTAAGATATGTCAGAAGTGCTGTTCCAGGACTCGAGAGTCAAAGCTCAATGCATAATGAGCATACCGCCCAGAAGGTTGATCCTTTGAATCTTCCCGTTGAGGGTCCGGAGCAACGGCAGCAGCACGCCGAGCAGCAGTTCCCTGAAGAGTCGCCATTGCCTCAAAATCGAGCAGGCCCGCTTGAGGACATGTGGAATGGCCAGTCCGATGTAGCTGAGCAGGAGAACCCTGCTCCTGGGAGTTTCGACAAATGAAGGGGTCTGGTGGACCTCTTTGATGCGTTTGGGCTGATGAGTGTGGAGGGCGTGGCGGGCTCTGACTTCCCGCCTGAATTTTTCTTGACATTATTGGCAAAATATGTCGTTTGGGGACTCGGAGGAACTTTCAGACAGTTTGGTGGGTTGTATTTGTCGACGTGGTATGCAATGTACGCGAAATTTATTCACAGTCCACATGCACTGATACTGGTCACTTAGGTCGCGCTGTGCTCTTATCTACGAGCCGCTTCAGGGACTATTGTACGCATATTGAATACACAACATGCTCGCTGCTAATTCAATAGAGCCCTGCGATTTTCGAGAGAATTTCGGATGCTAACATGGAGCACTGCGCAGCTGAGCTGACTGGTTCACGGCGCTCAAAACATGAACCCCCACGTTGCCAGCCATCTTATGTGCTGTCCAACTATGACACCACCAAATTGCAAGCAGTAGGCTCAAAGAATCTCTAAAATTCCATTGTATATATTCAGAATGGCCTCTAGGAATCAACATAACACCCATAGTCATCGTTCCAAACCTTACCCGGTGGGGTGCCTGGTTCTTTTGGCTCTGCAGTGTATGGTTCTCCCTTTACGTGTCTATTTGGATCCCCAAATATTGCTGTGAATCTATGTCTTCCAAGCTCGTTCCCTGGGGTGTTTTCGTAATGGTGGCGTGTTATCTGCCTAGCTGGATCCAGCTTATATTTTTCTTGTAGGACGTCGACGGCGGCTTTGTACTTGTCACCAGTGTCTGCCGCTATTGCGACGTGATCGGGTGTGAATTTAGCCTTGTCCAGCTCGCCAGCGAAATTTGTTACATGGTTCTTTTCGCTGCCAGAAAAGGCGTGCTGAGCGGCAAGCTTATGGTCTTTGTCCCAGGCAAAAATGCCTGTGCACCCGCTCATGTCCTCCATGTTTACCTTTTTAATCACAAATTTGTCCTCTGGCACATTCAATGTATCGCCCTTACGATCCTCGTCACCAATTTCGCCCCAGTTCTGCCCCTTTGCCCGTGGTCTAATTGAGCAGCTTGCACCAGGCTTCTGGGCACTCTTGGCGTCTTTTTTGATGTAATAAAACGGCCTTGAAGCTCCACCCCAGCAACACGATTTTGACTCCTGCATCTAACATTAGGCCAACGCTGAATTTTGCTGTTCCCCCATATCCTCGCCAACTACCAGCACTTCACTTGAACCATCGACCGTGTACATCTACGCTGAATTACAATGGACTCGGCTACACCAGACAGCTACCTGCAATGTCTGCCTCACGAGACATTGCAGCAAATCGCAGGTCATATTGCCGACTCGCATCCACCCAGCCTTAATGCATTGGCCTTGACCAGTAAAACTTGCCATGAGGTCGCCACCCTATTCAACTTTCGCCAAGTCCATCTCACAGTTCGCAATCCCAAGCAATTAGAACATGATGTTGCAGCCCTGGTTGCAGCGCTCTCCCGCACAGAGTCTATTCGCCATGTTCACAGCCTTACCCTTGAAGGCTTTCTGGATATGGATAGACCAGTGGATAAGAAGGGGACGCTAGATTGGTGGGAGTCAACTCAGGTCAGAGAACCTCATATCAACAATATCCTGCCCAATAAAGAACCAATCCCTTCCGGGTTCTATTATATTTATGATAAATTTTGGGAACTATCTTCTGAGGAGGATACAGCATGGGCCCCAGTTATTGACTTGATCAAAATGCTACCGTCTATAGCTAAGATCATATATAACTGCCCAAATCACTTCCCACCTAGCCTTCTTAATGCCCTCCATCAAAACCATACCCAGTGCAAAATTCACTACCTTACATTCCGACTACAAACCATATTACAACATCCAACTTACGGAATGACCCTGGCTACATCCCCATGCCTTTACAGTGTCAGGCTTCTCGATTCTTGGCGCGATTCAGAGGACACTGATGACTTTAGCCGCGGGGCAATAATGCAGCTTGTTGCTGGTCTTGCTCCCAACCTGAAAGAAGTCCATTTTGTAGGATTTCGGCCAAATCTATCCAACAGATCCCGTCGCCAACGAGGCTATTGGCCGGGCCTGCCAGGGTTCATTCCTGGCAAGATTGGTTCCTTGACTTCTCTGTCCCTCTTGGGGTGTGCAGACCTAAGCTCCCCGGCTCTTATCCGGGGATGGGCAAAGCATACGGATTTTGGCTCCCTCCATCACTTAGCTCTCGGAGGTGAAAAGGGTGGATGGGGTCTGAATGGTGTCAATAACGAAGTCATGGGGTGGATTACTCACAATTGCTCCTTCCCTCAGTTGAAAACCCTCGAGGTCGTTCTGGTACACGATCACCGCTTTCCAAGATCTGAATACTGTGATAGTGCTGCTAGCTTTTTGGGCGCGTTTAACCCTCTGTGTGAGCTTTCAGTCACCGGCCCGCTAGAAGTCAACATTTTTGACGCTATTTTACATCAACATGGACAGACATTGAAAAAGCTGAGCCTGCATTCATTGGAGGAGGTGCGCCCGGGAGATGAAGCTCTGCGGCGAGAAATGCCAATGGTATTCACAAAGGTGCATGTATCACAAATTCAAGCACATTGTCCAGCTTTGGAGGAGCTTGCTATCACGGTCAAGCGCACGCAATCCAACGCGGTCGAGGTTGAATTATACAGATCCTTGGCTAAATTGGAGCGGTTGCGATCTCTGTTCCTTATTTTGGATTGTTCCGATTTGAGACCTTTTCGGGACAGCTCTTGTGATGCTGAATTCGACGAAGACGATCAGAGAACCTGGTTATATGAAAACATCAAAAGAGGCCATCTACGACTAGCCTTGATGAACTGCGCAGTAGATGAGACGCTAGCACGATCAATCTGGGAGACCATATGTCACGATAAAGTCAGTACGCCATTGGAATCTCTCAAATTATGGACCACGGGAGTCGGTGAGTTTGGCAATGGTCAGGACGTCATGGCCGACTTTGCTGCCAATATGAGCCGTTCATGGCTAGTTGAACGACTTCCTCGAGATGATATAGAGGTTATCAATATCACGGAACTGGGCCAATATGCAAGGGAGGCCCGGGATCAAAGCAGAAAAGAATGGGAGACACGATGGAACAAGGGCGAGCCAACCGAGTCGGAGGAAGAATCAAGGGAAAATGACGACCGTTTTGCGACCTTTAGAGTGTTTCGCCGTATTTGGCCCCGAAAAGAGGGTAGCGGGGATTGGCGTGAAGATTGGTCAAGTCTGCCTCTACAGGTCTAAGCAGCTACTACTATGTAACAATTGATGGAAATTTCTGGGATAATGGCAGAAAATGTTGTCTGAGCCGCCAAATTTATATATGTAGATCCGTCTGATCTTGCTCTGAGGTGAATTTTTGCGAGCTATCACGAAACTTCTTTGCACAAGCCCCAACGTCGAGTGTCTCAGCGGTCTTCCAGGTTTTATCACGTGGCGATTGGTTGGATGACTGTTTCTTTGCAGGAATAGGTTGTCTGTCGATGGTTGGATATACTGAATTCAGTAAGGATTTTTGAATCGCTCAACCGACGGGCAAGCGTTACACCGATGGAAAGAATGCAGCGAAGTCGTGACGGAGCGAAGTCACGACCATGTGAGGTTTTGACGATGCTTCAGGTAGGGAGCTTCACATCTGTATGAACGAGGTCATGACTTTCCTTCAATCCGTGCGTTTGATAGGATCAGAACGCTCCTCGAGCTATCGGGTCCGCGCCGATGACTCGGGATTAGGTTGATCGTCAAATCAGTAGGTTCGCGATTGATCTTACCGGCTAGGGTTGCTTGAGCCGATAGGACAGGGCTTCAATCCTCGTAGATTATCTCGGTAGTTGACCATATCTTCCTATCGCCTGCTTGGCTCCAACAAAGGTATTACGCTTCTTAGCCCTGGACGAGCGTAATATTTCCTATAAGCCAAACTAATGCGTGATCGATGCTATGCAGAGACTAATAGAGTTAGCAGTAGAAACAAGGCAGTTGTTCGAAAGTCAACAAATTCTCACATAAAACAGCGCGCCAATAAGGCGGCCGCATCGCTCGCCAATCATTCAGATTATTCTCACCTAGTGTCCTCTGACTTAGTGTTATTGCGCCGCCCTATAGCCTTATTATAGGCGGTTTATGTCGTTTTTTTGCCTGGCTGACTCGTCCTTTGGGTATAGTGTAGTTACCCTTCGTTATATTTAGGTACATATCTTAAGATTTGCTCGAGCGTACTTGGTTATGTCTTATACTCGGGTATGCACCGTAGAATCTTTCTGTCTATTCGTGGACTTCACCCAAGGGCCCGTTGTCTTCCTTTTCTTCGGCTTGTTCTCCTTCCTCGTAGAGTTGCCGTAAGTCGTTTCCCCATTTTTCTACTTGTTGTAGGTGGAGTTTGCGATGTTTTCGTCGTCGTTGCATTCTCTGGCTAGATCCCAACGCGGTCCGTTTATTGTCCGAGTGGTGTTGACATGATCAATCGAGACATCGTTCGATATACTATCCGCACTTATTTGTTGCTCCCTTCTCAAGTTCCCCTTTCGCATGCCGTTGGTTGATCTTAGATTCCTTGTAGATCTTGCGCCAGTATTCGGGGCAGTCGTCAGTGAGTGCTTCTCCAGTGTTATACTCAGGAGGGTATTCTTCCAACCTCTTCGGTAAAACAGATAACAATCTAGACATCCTCTTCTATAGTAGCTCTTGATCAAGATATTATGGATATTTCCTACGCTAGTTTGAACAGTCACTACCCTTAGGTGTATCCCGTCTCGCGCGGCTAAAACTCAAAAATTAACCATTGCCGTAGCTCGACCACAATTATTATTGTTTGTTGCTTATGAACGCAGCGAGGGGTGGAGATGAAAGTGTTGTCCTCATTCGAACGTCGAACTCACCAGACGAGACAACTCGGCTAAGATGCCTACCAGCAACGCCTAGACCTGCCAATTATTCTGAGGCCAGGCACTTCTCTCAGCTCGAATAAGATACAGGTCATCCCACGTTCCTTAGATTGACACATTTAGATTGGAAGGTGTCCAAAAGATAGCGAATCACAAGAGCCAACAGCAATGCACCGATGAAGAAGCCCGTGCAACAGGCGAAAAGTCAAGCGGAACGGAGGACCACATGGACAGTTCACGATATTCGAATGCGGCTAGGAAAGGAGAGAAAAGGAATAATGCGTTGGCTTGGGTGAATTGTTCGCAAACATTGGAAGCACCTGTTGGTGCTGTTCGGCGATAAGAGGCCCAATAGAATCGTCTGTCACAAAGTTTGCCAAGACAGTGACACTGACAGGGACCATCGACAAGGGAGGGTCTACCCAACGAACCTTCAGTGTAGCATTTCCCTGGATGCAGGTTAGACGCAGCCGTGTAGATCCCCAGATCCCGAGCTCAATGCAACGGTGTCGTTTGTGGGCTGATGGGGTTCTCAAAAAGGAGCTTGTGGTACGCGGTGGTGTTCCAGAGCCTGCAACTGGGCGCTGATAGGTAAAGCTGAAACTGTGTTTCGGCCCCCCTGGCCGATGGCTTTGCCTAGTTCGCCAACACGAGTTTACACGAGGCCCGTTCGCCATGCTGACAGAGGACTGTGCGCGCTCCTCTGTTGGGGGGCATCCCTGCATGCCAATCGGACCCTCGGATGTTGGTTGCTGGCGCTGTCAGCCCCTTGGTAGGTCCTTGCGCTCCCCTAATAAGATGGGTAGTATGTCATGGGCCGTTTCACTCTGCTTGTGCTTTTTCATGCTTCACCGAAGTCAAGGTCAATGCGATGCCGTGTGTGAATGGACTTAGGCGGCGCCCGACCTTGGCTGATTCACTGATCAATTGCATTGTCTTGCTGTTACATTACTCATCGTGTGAGTGGTTGGTGCTGCCTGTCACATCACCCGAGTCGCCCAACCAACCCAGGCACCGGCTACACCGGAGGGAAATGTCCTGGTGGCTGCTCCGGTCGCGCAGAAGTTCTCATCTTCTCCTCCGCAGCTCTAGGAGGCTTCAGGATATCCGGAGATGAAGCCCTCCGCCATGGATCCGGGGAGTCCCGTCTCCCTTCGGTCCGGGAGGCGACAGTTCCCGTGGACCAGCAAACAGATACTGAATCACCGTCCGTCCTTCAATGTTCTTGGGAGCAGATCGGTCCCCGTATCCGACGATCAGGCATTTGAATTGGTGGCGGAGGCTGTGAGGAAGGCGCTCGAAACTCAGCAGCACGCGGAAAAGGAGTCTGCTCTCGACAAAGATATTAATAATGGCATGACCATCAATCTCAGCGGGAAGAAGATTGGTGCCCTCACCGACAGCATTATCAAGGTTGTCCCGCGGGATATCCAAAGGTATGTTTCCTCCGCCAAAATGCTTGAGCCTCGAATTAACCACCAACGCTCTTGAAAACAGGCTGGCGCTCACTGAGAATATGCTGTCGAATATCCCTTTGGAGTTCTCAACCTTCTCATCATTACGATATCTAAATGCCCGGGATAATTGGATCAAGTCATTTCCTCCAGTGGTAGGTATTAGTCTGGATGGGCCACTTACCAACGGACTTGTGCTGACCCCCATCTAGATATTTCTCTTGCCGCGGCTAGAGATTCTCGACTTGAGTGTCAACAAGATCCAGGTGCTTCCTGAGGATATTTCAAAGCTCACTTCGCTCAAAGTCTTAGCCATTAGGGAAAATCTCCTACAGGAGGTCCCTGCCTGCATCGCGGATATGACGCTGCTCCAAGTCTTCAAGGTGGAAGGAAATCCTCTGAACCAGAAGCTGAGACGGATCTTGACTTCGCACCGATCGTCGACCAATATGACATCTGAGCCGGCGAATTTGGCTGAGATTGCCGTAACCACTCGGATAAAGCAGTATTTGAAGGATAGCAACCCAAGTACCACTATAATCCATCCGCTAGGGGAGTTGAGATATCCGCAGAGCCCAATAACAGACCAGCCGAAGCATGCGTCCAGGTCCAGCCGACCGGGTCGATTCCCAGTAAAGGTTCGCGAGAGCCACTCCCAACCCACAAACCCGCCCCCATCGCCTATCGCCTTCCACTCGAAAGCCTTCTCCCAGCAGAGCCCCGCCCCTCGAAGTCCGTGTCTCATCCCGCCCACCATTACTGAGGCTGGAGATTCATCACAAAGAGCGGCAAGGGGGTTAAGTATCCAGACCGGCAATTTTCACCCAACTCCTCAAGTCAAACATCCGCTTTGGAATCCGCTGCAGTCTCCAATGATGATCGAGCGCCCTCGTAGAGTTAGTTTTGGCGCCGAGCCTCATCGACCTGGCTACCAGGAAAGGACGTCAAATATTGTCAATTCCAGGAAAAGAAGCGTCCTAGCGGCATTGGTCGTTCAGCCGTCTTGCCCATTGGCAGACGAGCCGTTGCTCGGCATGGCTCGGACCCTATATTTGTCTATTAACCAGCTTCATCTACCGCTCCAAGCTCTCGCAGGCCTCGCTTCTGACGTACCAAATAGGCGCTCAGCTCTGGAGTTGACTATCGAGAAGGCGACTTTCGATCTTAATATTCTCGGACAGTTGATCCAAAAGCATTCGGTACTGAGTCGGCAAGGACTGGAAGAAGCGGATAGGAATATTATTGGACATACATGCGAGGACCTCATCAATAATTACATGGCCGTCTGCTCTCAAGTCGTGACCAATCTAGACAGGTTGGTCGACAGAGGTGACCCGCGGTTCGTTCGGAATCTCATTAGCCTCATGTATAGCAGCGTCATGAGTTTCCGTGGGGAGTTCATGCCAAATTTGCAGAGCGAGGCCTCTGACTATAAGAGAACGTTCCGGCCAAATCGTTCGTCAAAGGCACAAATGGGGCTTGGCATTCGTCAAAGCCCGCGACACGTCACATCTCGACGAATAAAACCACTGACCGTTACACCTCCAGAGTCAGAGACAGAGGCAGACGCTGTGTCCGATCGCCGCCGTGAACGGGAGTATCTTGACCTTGTCCAAGCAGTTCTCCAGCGGTCATGCCGGCTCGTCCTCGACACCCTACCAGGTCTCAATCAGCAAATAAGGGGCAGTCTCTCTGAGATACTTACGCAGGAGCCAAAACCACACATGATCGACACCTACCAGCTTCTTTACACGTCATGCTCTCGGATGATCGAGCAGGCCAGCTGCCTGGAAAAGGATCTCCCCGCCGTCATGAGGGGTGATTGCCTCAACAGCAGGTTCAGATCCATCTGCTACGAGTACGTCGAGGCCTGGACGCAGCTCGGCGCGCTCATCAAGTCGTCTCACCCCGTGGTAGCGTTCCCGCCCGAGACGATGAAGGCCTTCCAGCAGATCCAGCGAAGCGTCAAGGAGGTTACTGGCCTCACGATGAACCCGAAGCCTACGCCTGTGGAGTCGCCGACGAGCCCGCGCTCTGATATGTCCCTGTATTCTGCGTCAACACCCATAACGCCAATGCAGGCTTCGATTGGGCCGGCCATTGAAATTTTCTCGATCCACTCACCGTAGAAATCTTCGTGCAGATGGGTCAACCTCCGTCTTATCATTTTGTAAAGGAAAGCGAGGCGTTTCTTTGAACAGTCCCGTTGACAAAGGGATGCAATGGAATGGATCATTTGTTTTGAGGCTCGCGGGTACGAGCCAAGGCAGGTCAGTTGTGCAGCCAATCAGAGGTACATAGGAACGGTGGAGCTTCCCACCCGTTCGCACCTCCGAGTGAAACAGCCCAGCAGTTTAGGCTTACCCTATACATGCGCACCGAACAAATAGCCAAACAGACAGGAAGGCATGAGATCAATATGTCGAAATGATGCAAAATGAATAGTCTAGCTCTTCTGAATTATTAATCATATGGCAAGAAGAGAAAAACAAAATTTGAACGTAGCAAGATAGAAACCCGTGAATCTATTTCAATGTCTCTACACTACTTGTGCTTAAAGTAGCCATTGGATTCAGAAAATTATCCCGTGAGGATTTGAATCTGTGATGGTGTGGCTTGGCCTCTTCTTTTTTTTCGCCTTTTCTTCATCCAACATCTGGGCCTGAGTATAAAGAATTTGCTTATAAGTCCCAGGCTGCCAATCGACCTCGTGGAATTCGTTTGACTTGGTCAAAGAGTCGATATGAGTTGAAGCTGCATCGATCAAAATCTTCCATAAATTCATGTCCAAGACATGTTCTTCAGCATCCTTCAGAAGAGCTGGAAAGGTAGCCGCATTCCAATGGTGCTTGATAATTCCCTCAGCACGATGCCTCGTCATAGCTGAGAGTGCTGGAATGCCAAAATAATCTGCGGCAACGTTCAGGCTAATCTCAGCCCCCAGACAGCGTGGGAAAGGTTGACTCGCGTCTTGTAGTTGGCTTTGTCGCTCTTCGTCCTGGAGTATCTCCATGGATGGCCATGTCCCACCCAACAAAGGATTGGATGAATAGTCTCCGACGTATAAATACTGAATGAGACGAGCCATTGTGGCGACGTCATATTGGTCGGACGAATAACGGCCCAGTCTGGCCTCCTATTAATATGAGATTAGTTTCATCCTTTTCCTTGTAGAGAGGCTGGATGGGCGGTCGCGCAAATCGCTTACCATGAATTCGCCATCAAGCGCAGCCTTAATAACTGGTGAATGAATGCAAACAACGGCCTTGTGTAAGTTCCATTCCGCTCCATTGCAAGCCAACACGAAATCGCTATATTTCCCGGATTGAAGTAGCGCCAAGTATTCTTGCTGGATTGTCTTGATCTCTGCCATGTTGGTGAATGCGATTCGTAATGAGCGAGCTCTGAGGTGGCGTCTATCTTATTAGCAAGTTAGTCCGTGATTCTCAAGGTTAGGCTGCTGGAGAGATGGAAACATCTCAGCCTGAATGAAAAGTCGAGGATTAAGTAGCCGCGAGGACAAAGAGAAGGCGAGGACAAAGTGAAGGTGACTGTAAATACTTAGATTGGATTAGAAAATACGCGCACAATGGAGCCAAGAAAGGCAAACATGGTAAAGACAAAGTGGTGCAGAGCGAAAACAAGTGAAAACAACGAAATCTTGAAAAGATGGGATGACGAAATGTCGACGAGATGAAGGAGTCGTAAAAGGGCGACGCTGGTTAATGATTGAAGACTAGGATCATCATCTGGAAAATGTAAATAGAGAATAGACGTGTTCCATAAAGAGAGGGGCGTGAAGTGACTGAGGGGAGTGCCACATGGTGGCTAGCGGGGAATGGGCTGCAAGTTTGGTTCCCAAGTTCCTCAACACCATAGTAATACGATGAACAAGACAGCTTTCTCCACGCTAAGAAGCTTCTACAGTTGAAATAGATCATGTTACTGTGGTGTTATACAGCAGAATGCGTCGGCTTTGGCGGCTTAGGCTAAGGTACTCTCCCCTACAAGGGACACCACCGCCCAGCACGCCAGCTTCTCACCAGGGAACAGCCCACCAACCGACGTGAAACCTTTATAAACTATGAGAATAACACAACTACCAGCCGATGACAGCTCAGTGGTGTAGTCGGTAGATTGCCACGTTAGGGGTATTGCTTGCACATACTTAAGCCCCTTTCGTGCCGCGTGTCTACCGACGAAGCCACTGGGTTCGAGGCCCTTCTTTTGCTTTTATTTTGCTTTTTTTTTGTTGCCTGCGTATAATTTGACACATTAAAGGTATATCAGTCAGTATTTCTGTCCCTGCTATCGCCAATGACAACCAGTGGCCTGGTTGGCAAGCATTTCATGACCCTTTCCCTTCCCCTTTCACTTCACCTTTCCCCTACCGTCCACTTCACTCTGGGTCATGAGATACTTTGCTGCCAGGTCGCTGGTTCGAGGCACCTATTTTTTCCCTTTTCTTTTTTTTTGGATGTTTTTTTTTGGTGTTGATGTTGAGGAGTGACGCGGTCGTGCGCTGAGGAAGTCCAAGCACGCGCCCCCGCAGCGCGCCCCCTTCCCCCTCCCCTTGTTCCGTGCGTTTCCTCCCCGTGCTGCCCTTCTGTAACAATCTTAATGCCCGTTGACGATACTTTGATCCCATTCTTTGGTGTTTTCCTTCCATCACTCCGCCCCTGCAGCCCCACTACATGATGTTTTCTTTCAATATACTTTTGCCCCTCTCACCAAAGCCATCTCATCTATCACTACCTACTCTGCACACACTTGCATGCCCAGTTCGATCATGCAACTTCTTTGCAGATTTTTCATTTGCATCATGTCAACATGCTCATGTATTCCAATATTTAAGCATATCAAGATCTGTTCTATCTTGAACGACTAGAATTCCAGCACCGAAAATTTGACATCTCTCTCTCTCGCAGTTGAGTCTCCCTCTGTCGATATCAAATGGAAGCTTGAAATAATTTGATACCAGTATCTTTATGTATGTAAATCTCAGCTCCATAACGCGAGTAGGTCCGTTGTTCTCTCCGCGTCAGACCGTTCGTACAACCCGTGTGACGATGTTGACCTGATCGACTACTCATCTGCATCCCATCAACGCCTTTACACTGACAAAGGCGGCGAGCTCGATATTATACCTCACTCGCAAAACATAGTTGCGGGACTTCCTACACATTCTTGTGCAGTAGACGGCAAAAACACCAAACACAGCACAATGTGAGCGGCATCGTCTAGGCTAGTTGCACCGCTATCATCAACGTTCACTTAGTTCATATTAGGAAGCTAAAGATGAGAATAGTTTTAGGTGCCAGATCCCATTCCATAACCATGACCGATGTCCTCTATCCGACCTACATGTCCGTCGCGGCCTCGTTATTTGGTGGAACACCACCTCCGCAAACCGTGTAGGGCATGACTTGGCCCGTGGCCAGCGCCAAGCACAATCTCAACGAATTTACAACTTTCTTTCTTTCCCACATCATAACCCAAAGAATTCACGCTTCTTGTCCAAACCGCCTGTCGATGGGCTCATATTTCCGAGAGGCATTAGGGCTATTCAGCAGATGCGAACCGAACGTTGAGCTGACCTTGCATACCGCGTAAAACGACAATCGCGACTTGCAACCGCCTTTTAATGAGACCGCCTTCTAATTCTGAACGTCATACTCTTATTTGGAGCCACAACAGGTAATAGGTGCTGAGTTGGAATTCTAGTGACAGCGAGTTGTGCCTTCATGATGCTCCAAGACTTCCTCATGTCTGACATATCCCTGTAGGACGAAAAGAGCACCTCGAACCTGTCTGAAATCCGAAGCATCAGAAGACCCACGGCACGTAGATACTGTTCGTGATTTACCCCAAGCCCCAATCCATCCACTCGGGGTACTGGAATTACTTACGAAACAGTCAATTCCTGCTGACGGATCAATATCCCTCAGGGTGCCGACAGTGAGAGGAGTACAACTGCCTATCGAGGTTAACCTCTAGCAAGCATCCCTCTCCGTAGCCTCTTATAGCGCTTGGAGGGTGCGATATTTCGTGTACGTGTAAGCTGGAGTCTCCATTGAGCAGCTGACAAATTCCACAGGTCGCACTATCCGTGTCAGTGGCTCGTCTTTGGCAAACGACCAGTAGGAGCAGAACGCCGGTTTTGTTCAAGGTTTGAAATTGCTAGACCGTGGTTGAATGAGCCTCGAGGTTTTGAACATTCGCACTTTCGAGGAAAATATACAGTGGTGTATCGCAGTCAAGCTAATGCCGGCTGCGGCAAACATCTTGTATCCTAATGCCGTTGAATCCCCACGAAAGCCGGCCAAGAGTCACACAGTAGCAAGCGTGTCCTTAGGGGTTGCCTGAAATTCGGTTTCGTGTACAGCTCGCTATCATATGGGCAAATTGGAATAGGTGAGTAGATGTTCCGTGATACTCAGAAATCCGGAAATGACAACGCGTTCGCAGAATTTCTCCATCGGTCTTGCCCTAAGATATCAGAGTTGCCTTGTTCCGTTGGGCTCTGGGCCATTGGCGAAGTACCGACAACCCGGTAGTGGGATCCTTGAACCCAGCATCAATCTCGCCGTATGCAGGGTCCATGCCAGATTAAAAAACCGTTCGGAGCAATTCCATTCCATTAATCGTCCCTACCTGGTACAGTTACGTAACTCGGTGGAACACTTGGACCGTGGTCGAGGCGGAACTCCGCTACTGGCGATCCTTGGGTCAGCAACGGAGAAGCCAGGGTCAAACAACAATCCTTCAACTCCGATGACTATATATATAAGAACCTGGAATATTTTCTAAAGTAAGTGACTATGATTCTCATCATCATCTCTCAACGCTAGAGTCTAAATAAGTCGAAAACTCACCCATCGCTAACTACCTAGCCACAACTATGTGTTCCCAGCCATCGATTATTTTGCTCCCGGGCTCTTTTGTCAGAGCGGAGCTCTATTTTCCATTGAGGGATACCGTGCAAGCCAGAGGCATCGATATGCATGTTCCTGAACTTCTCACGGTCCGACAGGGACACAACGACACCAGAACGCCCCCTTCAATGTACGATGACGCGGCCATGATTGTCAGCGAGGTTGAGAAGCTAGCGGATGTTGGCAAAGACGTCATTGTTGTGTCTCATTCTTACTCTGGCATTCCATTGACTCAGGCTGGCGGGAGCCTGAGCAAGAAAAAAAGACGGGCTAAGGGAAAGAGTGGCGGTCTCGTGGGATTGGGGTACATCACATCTATGGTCCCTGCCTTGGGGGAGTCTGCTCTACAGATCAGTGCCGGGTTCCCCACCGAGTCTCAACCCCAGGTCACGATAGATGTAAGCGACTTGTGTGCATAATCTGATATTTTACGTCATCAAGACGCTAGAATAATGAACTAACTGGTACCAGGACCAAGGATGGATGACACAGGCAAACCTCACTCGAGCTGCGGAGACTGCCTTGAACAACCTGCCTTTGAGCGAAGCACTGGTCTGGGTCCAAAAGTTTTCACAGCACTCGGCCCAAAGTTTTGCAGACAACGCCACTCAACTGGCATACGCCGACCCCCAGATACCCATTTCTTACCTGCTGTGCGAAAATGATCTTACGATTCCACCTGAGAACCAGCTGCTCGGGATCCAGAGGATGGAGGAAGCCAGGGGCAAGCCCGTCAAGATTACGAGGATCCCGGGCGATCATGGAGCAATGATATCTGAGAAGGATAAAGTTGCCGATTGGATTGTGGGTCTTGCGGGAAACTCCAAGTAGCCCAACCGTTTTCATAGACATCGGAGGCGGGAGTCTTTCATTCCATGCAAAAGTAGATAGGTTGGAATTAAACTGTGATCCTCTATTGACAATAAATTGAAGAGGTCCTCTTTGCACCCGCTCTCATCCCCATTCATTGTTGTCATGTATTGTTCGTCTTTTGTCTTAATAATTTCATAGACGACATGTCACGGTATCGGTGGTCTTTTGATTTTATCGAGGCGGAATGCCCAATGAACAGCTTCAGGGGAAGCACCATGCCGAACTCGTGTTCTTTGAAGCCCGCCTTGAGTTGGAGAATGGCAGCACGAAGAGTATCTGAGCCTGGGTACTTGGGGGAGATGACCTCGAGGACCTTCTGCTGGACTGGGTGGACTGGTTAATCGTGTCATTGGCGCAGACGTCAGCTGTACCGTGTGGCGGATTGTTCTTCATATCGATGAGACACTTCTTCAATTTTGTAACACCCTGTACATCAGGAAGATGGATGAGATTCCTGTAGTCTATATGTAGGCACGTACGGCAGGGTGTAAACTTAAGGTTCGCGCCTGACGCCCGGCCAGAGAACGAGGGGCAAGGCCCATGACAATCACGGACATGTGGATTCGCCCCCCAGATAAAGATCAGGGCGAAAAGGCAAATTCAAACATAAAATAAAATGATGAGACTTTTCAATTTGAACTTTGGAGACTTGGGTATATTACATGTAGGCAAACGACTTCGGGGGGCTTTCCTTGGGGAGCAAATATTTGTAGACCGACGGAATCTGGCAATTCGTCTGATATGTTACCCAAGGACTGATAGGCCGTGTACTTTGAATGCTTTCCCAGAATTAACCTCGTGATTTATGAATAATTGTGACTGCTACCGTGGTCATTATTGTGCCTGGTTCGACCCTCGAGGTACATCTCCTATCGGAAGGCCGAACCTTTCTCCGGCGCCGCGAACAAACCTTCTCCCTTTTACCCTCCACAACCATCCACCAATGCCCAAAGAACAACGACAATATGAACAACAATATGACAGATATTGTGTTGAAAGGTTGGCCACCTGCTGCCAAAGATTTTGCGATATGTCCCGATGACTTCTACTGCCAGCGACCGGACGCCCAGCAACCGGGCGAGCTGTTCATCAAGGCTAGGACCTGGCTAGAGGTCATTCAAAACGCACCACTCGACGAAATGAAGGGTGTGGTCACAAAGGAAATTCAAGACTCTATGGTCCGAGCCATTTTCGGCAGCAACCAAATCGAGAGAGCCGGGTTGAACCTGGACATTACCATCCACCTGTGTCGAAGGATTCTAGATGGCGAAGATGTGGGCGCAATTTGCGAAAGCGACCTCGACTGTCAATCCACGCTTCTCGAGCTCTATCGTCGAGACCCTGCCCTTCGAAAATTACCTAGGAAGGATGTCCTAAGGAGCCGCAACGAGGTTGTTCAACACTGCAAAGCCTTCATATTCCTGATCGAACAGTTCGTTTTCGAGAAGAAACATCTGACAGAAAGCTTAATCCAAGAGGCTCATCGGATATTGGTAGAAGGAGTTCCGGTTACAGACTGCGACGGCCCAGACGTTCAACCCGAGGAGTATGGAGGAGTTTATAGGACGTTGATCGTAGGAGCCGGTACTACAAATTTCACAGTTCCGAAGTTTGTCCCTGCCAATATGAAGAAGATGTGCGAAAATCTCCAGGATGAGCTAGAGGCCGCAGAGGAGAAAAAGGCCATCGATCCCATCTCGACTGCGGCGAAATACTCCCTGGAATTCGTTCAGATCCACCCCTTTATGGATAGTAATGGGCGGATGTGCCGCCTCATCCTCAACGTTATTCTCTGCCGCTATGTGGGAGTCATTGTGCCCATTGGGGAGCAAGAAGCGGAAAGAGAAGAATACATGCAGATCAAGCGTGATTCAAGTGAGAAAATGGAGGGACATGGGGAATATGCGACTTTTGTTCTGATCCGAGCCACGCGACGAATTCGGGAGATGAAGAAGAAACTCTCCGGCAGGACACGCAAATATTAAGCTGCTTATTTTCGAGTCTGCGATCGGTATTATCAGCTTATTGAGTATTAACAATACATACTTCAGAAATAATACGGTATATATTGTCTCTTTATTTCATTTTACACTCCTCAATTTCTCGATTCGACTTATAAAGTAGTCTATATTTCTAACCACTCATTCATTAGATGTCTCACTTCTCTGGTCGCCCACTTGCCCCAATCCTCAGGCAATCTACACTATGATCATTTTGTCGACGTTGACTCGATCATCCAACCTCATGGAAGATGGAAGCTCCCGGTTGTCGTCTAATTTCGCTATAATGGCGCTATACCCGGCCACGTCCGGCCAACCGGTACTGGCGCAAACACAACCGGATCATGGTTGTCATGTTGGGCACACAGCATTCCCCATATTATACTCTAATGAGTTAGCAAGTGGTGGCAGCTAAACTTTACGGGATTGACTTAAGCCAACGTGGTGAAAATATACGGCGCCTACCGGCTGCGAATGACGATCATGGATGCATCTAGCCCCTGCAATGCTACGCTCCTATGTGCCTGGCAACCTGGTATTCATACCTCTCAGTATGGAGCCCAGTGACATTCTTTACCTCTCGCTCTGAGGACTTTTCTCCCCTCCTCATGATCTAATCTATACCCATATGTCAATGCAGGTGGAGCGACATTCGACCCACCAACCCACATGTCGATGATGTCGTGCTTATTGAGCTGGGCCAAACCAATGGTTTAGTGGGAGGAGGAATGATGAATTCCAGTGTGACGATTGCGTGCTTCAGGTGCCATTCGATTCCGGCCACGGCAATGGCGGAAACCTCGCTATACTTAATGGGCAGTGACAATCTCGAGATATTACCCCTCCCCCTCGCTGTTTTTTTCATTCATCTTTCTATCTGCTTTGTGTACATTGTTCCTCATCTATCTTGATCAGTATTCCTATCCTTCGCAATGTCGCCAGCTGTTCTGCTCCCACAGAATACCCCAATCAAGGCTAAGACGTCGGTCGGAAACGTAAGCCTCGACGTTTTCCCTGACGGCATCAAGACTGCTGGCCAGCACCCACCTATTTACGAAAAGCTCTACCCCTACAGTGCCTTCCCTAAGCATATTGATGCTCCTACGAAATGGAACCCGGAGGACTATGAGAACAACCCTGAGAGATGGGTTCATCGGTTCACCGAAGCTGAGCTTGAGGAACTGAGCACGGCTGCCGATAAGTTCATTGCTGCTGGCACCCCGCTCACCGGCATCACTAAGGAGAACTTTCCTCTCCCCGGGCTTGCACCACTGCTCGCCACCACGAGAGACCACCTGCTCAACGGAAAGGGCTTCAACCTATTCAAGGGGATCCCTGTTGCTGAATGGGGCAATCACAAGTCTGCCGTCGCCTACGTCGGTCTGGGTGCATACATTGGCTACGCAGTCAGTCAAAATGGCCGAGGTAGGTTCTCAAGGCCAACCAGTAGGTTTCAAGCATAAAACAAAACTAACATATAAACAGGCCACATTTTGGGGCACGTAAAGGATCTTGGGGAGGACAGCACTGCCATCCACAAAGTGCGCATCTATAGAACCAATGCTCGTCAATTCTTCCACGCCGACCCCTGCGACATTGTCGGCCTCCTCTGCATCACTAGAGCTCAATCCGGTGGCGAGAGTGACGTTGCGTCTATCCACAACGTCTGGAACATCCTCCAAGCAGAGCGACCAGACATTGCTGAACTGCTCACTAAACCAGTCTGGTACTTTGACCGCAAGGGCGAGGTTTCCACAGACATCGACGAGGATCCCTACATCCGCACGGCTGTCTTCTACCTTGAGACCCCTGACCCAAACAACACCGGCCGTGAGCAGCGTGTGTACTGCAAGTGGGATCCCTACTTCGTCCGTAGTCTGACACGGTTCTCTGACGCGGGCGTTATCCCTCCCCTCTCGCCAGAGCAGCAGGAGGCTATCAAGATCCTGGAGGATACCTGCCAGAGGGTCAGACTGCATATGATCCTCGAGGTCGGCGACATCCAATTTGTTAGCAACAGCCACACTCTGCACGCGAGAACCGAGTATACCGATTTCCCCCCCGAGAGCGGCAAGCCCAAGCGTCACTTGATGCGCCTCTGGCTTTCCACTCCCGTGAGCGAGGGTGGTTGGTCTCTGCCGTTCTGGGATGCGAACGAGAAGAAGCGAAGTGGAATTCAGGTGAATGATACACCTCCTGTGGCTCGTCTTGATGCGGATTAAAAAGGTTTCGCGCATGGCAAGATGGTAAAAGCAGCTTGCAAGAGTATTTTAGGGAGACGCTGGAAGGAGACATCTAAGCCGGTCATCATGTACGATTAGACCATTACTCTCTGTGTAATTTGAATCAAGGTAAAGAAAATAAGGAGCGACCATATGTTCTCAACATCATCGAAAACGCTGCCTCTTCCCATGAACTAGACCTCTCGTTCCAACATGGCGTTGTCTCTTCCAGACTGGCATGGACAAATGGCATATAAGCCAGTTAAAATGTCTAGGCCACATGCCTGCACACAATGGTTCCTGTTCTAATTCTCTCTGCAAGATGTATCGTTTGGTTTCCAATTGTTCATTGATATCTACATACATCACTACACCCTAACTTTCACAACCATACTGGCAATCAATTTCCCCTGAACGTAAACGTGCAAACTGCCTGTTTTGCTACTTTTTGATTTGGTTGTTGCCTCTTTGGCCGTCTTAGATCCTTTGCAAGGACAGACCTCTTTGTTCTGTTTGCTTGTTTCAGTGATACATGAGCTTGGCAAATTTAGTTCGAGCACATTGGTTTTGATAAATAGAGATGCTATGACGTCAAGGGACGAATGAGGCGTGAGGTACGTACCATGTCCTTCAGCGGAAGTCAGTGGGCGAGAGATGTTGCCTGATAATTCAGGTTGAGGGAAGCCAGCATTTCACAACTCGGGCAGGTGCGAAGCACGGATAATCCTCGAAGAATTCTGAGAAGCCTTCCACCAACACCTTTTGTTGAATTCATCGGCAATTAGACTCCCGTCTCTACTGCCAATATCGATTCTTATATCCCTTGAGAAACATGCAGCAACACCATAAAAAGACGAGTTTTTCAAGCTCGAGCCTATAGACGCCCCGAGTCACTTGTGACCACCCTCATTGTTTCCTTGGATCCAACTCGTAACCGCACACCGAGATACACCTAAGGTCGAACACGATATACGAGCTCGTTCTTTGAAATCGTTAGCGAAAGCCAGCACGGTCTCGTCACCCATTCCGTCTCCTGGGATTGCATATCACCGGCGTTGCCAACCTACCTAGACAGCGAGACACTGCTCCGCACTGTTGTGCATGCGAGGAACATCCCTATGATGAGCACATTTCATCGCTCTATGGTCGACAGTCGACGGCTACGGCACCCTGAAACCTCGAGATGCGAAGCACTCAGCTCCCAAATTGCACTGCTGAATTAGGGATGGCACAACACCACACTATAGATTTGCAAGTTGAAAATGCAAGCTGCCAACCACACCAAAATCAAGCAAGATCCCACAACAGCTAATCTCATTTGATCAAATAGTTCACGCTTTCGACTAGTCAATGGCCCATGCCAGCGACAGTCAAGTCGCGAAACGACGCATCTTTCAAGAAGGGGGTCATCAACAGAAAATATAAAAGTGATAAGAGATTTATCTTTCTCTGCAGATGTCAAAAATATCTAATGCATCCCAGCCCAATCTGACATGCGGGCTTCGACCCACTGGATTCACCAACTAGCAACTCCCTCTAGAAAGAAGATAAAACAGTCACTCCCCAGACCCCTATGAAATTAGAAGCACCTCGGTCTTAGTTGTTTCTGAAAACAAAGAAGAGCCTGAAACTCCAGTTATACGGATGAGAATTGGAGTACAAAGCAAAAACAACAATGAAAGATGCCAGACCCAGCATCACAGCATAATGAATAAGAAACGTTTCAAAGCAGCTCTGCTAGTCTAAGGCTGCAGACACGCAAAAGGCCATACGGACGACTCACTTGTCGCCTGAACGAGCCGTTCGTCAGATCACTATTTATTCTACCCTCTTTCACATAGCTTCACACTCCGAGGCCTACAAGTCTCCCGGCGGGGTGAGAGCGTTCGAGTGAAAGGTTAAACAACATTGAAGATGCCAGAACCCGACATCTCAACAAAATGAATAGAAAATTCCAAAAAGGGCTTTGCTAGCTCAAGACTGCAGTTATGAGGAAGGAAATTCTGTGAACCTTCATACCGATGACTCACTTGCCGTCAGGACGAGCCGCTCGTCCAATGACTATTTTAGCTACCCTCTTTCACCTGGCTACAAGTCTCCCGACAGCAACGCCTACACGTGAGCCCTCATGCCTTCAATTATGTATGTGCGTGAGAGTTGCATTGTACTGATAAAGCATCGCAGTGTTTTCATCGAGGCCAAGATCGAGGACATCAACTCGTTTTCAATCCAAACACTTCAACCAAGCTCGAGTCTATAGACCCCACAAGTCACTTCGAAGTAGGAGAGAGAGCTATACGGTTATGCGGCAACTGCTGAAAGGAAAATGGGGAAATTCCCAAACACCAAGAATTCAACAACTTGGCACCATACCCAGTATCACACCACATTCAACTTCAGCCTTTTTGCCCGGCTACAAGGCTTGCGTCCAGCCGTACATAAGGTCCAACACCAACAATGACTCACAAGTCACTTGCGACCACGCTCATTGGAAAAGTTGTTTCTTTGGATTCAACTCTAAAACTTCCTAAGTCCATTACGTTGAGTTGTCGGGCTCTGGCATCTTCCATTGCTGTTGAACTTTGTACTCTTTCTCTTACGTACGTACACCCGCTCACGGAGCCATGTGCTACCTGTGATCCAGTAAATGAGAGAGCTATACAGTTATGCGGCAACTGCTGAAAAAAAGGGGGGAATTCCCAAACACCAAGAATTTAACAACTTGACACCATACCCAGTATCGCAACACGTTATTATCTGTGATCCAGTCCTTGCTGTAGTTCTGAATTTCCTTCCCTTCAGTGAGTACCAATAGCCCTTTGGCTTCGCAAGCTGGCAACTCCATTAAAGGCCAGACAAGACAGCCACTCCTCAGACCCCAACGAAAAGACCTCGGTCTTAGTTGTTTCTGAACAATTCTGAAAGCAAAGAAGAGCCCGGAACTCCAGCTTTGTCCACTTCCAGTTGTTCAGCCGAGCTATTGGCAACAAGTGAAACCCTTACAAACCGGAGACGAACGGCGGGTAAGAGACTTTGAGTACAAAGTAAGAAACAGCAATGGAAGATGCCAGATCCAGCATCTTAACATAAGGAATTAGGGAAAGGCGGGACGATCTATGGATTGACTAGCCAACCTCCACCCTTGCGTAAATAGGGACAGATTCGCGTTCGCACGGAGATATTGGTGCATCAACCAGAGGCTGTTCTGAAACCAGCTCACGTTCCTTATTCATTACTGTTGGGCTCACCCAGGGCACTCGCTCCGTCGGCTTGCAGTGTACGGCCCCGCCAAGCATCTAGTTGCAGGCTCTCGGTATTGGCAGCACCGAGCTCACCTTGGAGACCGTCTGCGGTTATGAGTCCGCAATCTCCACGCCTTCCCGCTGAGTCGCCACAGCGCTGCTGTACTCGGGATTGGATCTTTGGCTACTCTGGTAGATGTCCAGGATGAGGATCTGGCCAAGTTGAGAAAAAAGTCAAATGTCCGTCACTCTCATAGCAACGGACTGCCCATGGCAGCCCAATTTCAAGACAGTAGCTAACCAAGTCTATCATAGATCATTCATCGGAGAGAGAGTTCGAGTATAAAGTTAAACAACAATAAAAGATACCAGACCCGACATCTCAACATAATGAATAGAGAGCTCAAGTATAAAGTTGAAATCAGCAATGAAAGATGCGCTCTGGGTGGCTGAGAGGAGGTAAATCACTTCTTAGTAACTGTTTCAGGGGACTGGGGTGTAGACTGGCTGTTGCTGTGATGAGATAAAGATAGTGCTTACATGTCTTGGAACGATATCTCGACCCAGTTGAGGAGATTGGTCTATGGTGGCACTGTGCTGTGGCATGTGTGAATTGGTTATTGGCGTGCCAATAGTATAACATACTTGCATGGATCAATTTAACACTCCAACCAACGCCCCCTCTCCTTCCTTAGCTCCTTAGCATTGGCATCAAACGAACAGTGAAGTTTGCTCATTCGCACTGGAGTAAGCACAGTTTCCCCCGCCGTCAGCAGCAGCCCCACAGTCTCACCATCATCATCCTGCTTTTTTCCTCTCGCCATCTTCAATGCCTTTACACACACCTTGTGCAGTGACAGACTATCAGCAGAATCAAGGGCTTTGGATACATTCGTCTCGATTATGATTGATCTGTCCCCAAATTTGGGCGCATTGGCTGCCACCGCCACGGAAAACCGCTCCACCATCTTCACCGTCCTGCTCGGCGCAGTATGTCATCCTATCCCAATCAAAATGTCTGGATTTGCAACGCTCACCACCCGTAGATCCCAGTTTACGCCACGCTTCGCTGCTTCTACCTGCTGTATCTGCACCCTCTATCGCGATTTCCCGGGCCCCGCATTGCCGCTGTGTCCAACACCTGGTATGCCTATCACTGGTACGTATTCTCCAGCCATCAGCACAGAGGCCCTCGACTGACAGACGAACGTCTTCCAGGCTTTCCGGGAAGTGGCCTTGGGTCGTAGAAAATGCCTTGCGCGAGTACGGTGATGTCGTACGCATTGCGCCAAGTGAACTCGTCTTCTTCACGCCCCAGGCATTTCGCGGTAAGACGATTGCGCCACCACCCTCTCTCTGCCATCTCATTAATGATTGACCATGGACAGATATCTACCAGTCTACCCAGAAAGGACTTGAAACATTCGTCAAGTCCGACTTTCAGAACCGAGGCGATGATCTGGGGGGCGTGGTGTGGGAGGAGGACCCAGTGCGTCACCGAGCGGTGGCCAAGCAGCTTGCCCCTTTATTCACTGCTCGCCATATCCGATCCATGGAACCCGTGATATCAAAGCATATCGACTACTTCATCAAACGGCTGAGAGAAGTCGGTTCAGATGGGATTGATATCTGTGAATGGAGCCACTGGTACAATATGGATCTTGCCGCAGACCTATCATGGAACGAGGAGACTCATCAGATGAGAGACGGTAAGTTCTTATCAAACTTCACCTGGTACATTTTACAGTGTTTAATAGTTTTCGTTACAGAAAAGAGATCTGTTTATCTAGATGTTCTCCTCGGGTTCAACAAATTCGCCACCGTCCTGCAAGTCTTCAAGCGCTTCCCCCTCATAAAACCACTACAGTACTGCTTCCTACCCATCAGCAAGATATCGAGCATCGCGCAGATCGAAGCGGCAGTGAAGAAAGGTGTTCTGCAACGAATTGAGAGGCGTGGCACTCTCGAGCATCCCGATTACTTTGACTGCATCCTCCCTGGCGAGAAGCCGCTACCAGCAGACAAGAAGGAAAGCTATTTGATTGGTTCTCTTGCGTTGCAGGTCATGTTTGCCAACTTCAGCGCGCTTTCCGACTGGCTATACGGCACAATCTACTTACTAACGGATGATGAGGGGCAAGAATGCTACAAGGAACTCGTTGCCGAGATAAGGGGCGCATTTGAAAGCTTTGATGACATCAACGCAACAGCACTCGCTTCTCTACCCTACCTGCAAGCATGCCTTGAGGAATCACTGCGCTTGATCCCGGGTGGTCTCCACACAGGGTTGCCTCGTCTGAGCCCTGGTGCTACCGTTGATGGCCACTACATCCCAAAGGGGGTACGTGCTATCCGCAACTGACAGTCTCTTCTGAAGCTAACATCTCATCTAGACTCACGTTCAGTCGAGCATATTCGCCTACTCCCGTAGTCCACGATACTTCCACGAAGCGAAGAAGTTTCGACCTCAGCGGTGGCTCCCTCCCACTCACAAACTGTACGACACGGCCTTCAAGGATGATGTTCTGCGAGGAGCGTCTCCCTTTAGCTTGGGACCGCGGGCCTGCTCAGGTCGCGAGACTGGTTGGGTCCAGGGTCGGTTCACTGTCGCGAAACTCTTGTGGACCTTTGACATAGTCAGAGTGCCCGGCCAGGATATTGACTTCGACAGAGACTTCGTCCATTTTGGCTTTCTTGACAAGCCTGAGCTAAAGGTGACATTTACACCGCGGTTTGGTTAATTTCTTATGATAGGAGGTCTCTCGCTGCGTTCTCTTTCACTGTATCTTCAGGGCCTAAGAATTATTAATGTTGAAGCTATCTTCTATCAAGCTCGAATCCCTCCCACTCCCTTTCTTCTGTGCGTGTCATCAAGCTGCCGTATTCGTTTTCCTTTTTCAGGGCATACTTCCGTAGTGACAGCCTTGGGCATGAGGAACACCCACCACTATTTCCACCATTCCACCTATTTTCAGGTTTCTGATATATCAAGATAGGAAGGTCGTAGAAAGTCCACAGAACCAATGCCCCAATGCACCCCTTATATCTTTGAGGATGGAGAGTATAAAATGCCGTTCATCCTTCGCCCCAATCCTTTGGAGGTCGTTGTGAACCTCTAATCATTGTGTTGAGATGCGTGCAAGGCGTTGGAAACCCCAGAGGATTCACCCGATCCTCCCGTAGGCACTTCAGGTCGCAATTTGGAGGCCATCACGCAGATGCACTCAGACCCTGCTCCTTGTTCTTGACGGCAAAGAGGCGAGCGCAAAGTGAGAGGATGCTCGGCTTGGTCAATGCCTAGTCCAGTGTAGATGACTATCTCGCATACGAAGACCCTTCAACTTGCAGCTACTCGAGCTCAATCACGGCATTTCCCAGTAGTGTGTATGTAGCGGGACGTCATTGTGGCCGCTCTAGGCAGGACAGCTTGGAGAAACTGTGTGCCCAAAGCCCAGATCTCGGACGTCGTCCATCCGGGAGCCCATATCAACATCGAGGTATCGAGGCAATAAAATTATAGGGGTCACGGTCTATTGGGAAGCTTCGCCATCATGTTTTTTTCTTTTCTTGGTTCGGTTCGGGGGTATCGGTGGGTTTAACGCGGCCCCTACTGAGGTTGTGGTGAGAGATGTTCCCGACAGTGACAGGATGTGGGTGTCACTTACGGAAGAGAAAGAGAATAGAGTTTAACAACAATGAAGCTGCCAGGGATGGGTGTCACTTACTATTCGTTATTTCTGTATAATTTCTCTGGTTTTGACGCTTTTTCTGGTGGGCGTTTCCAGGTAGTGCGGAAGCGAAGCTGGCGTAGGGGAGGAGAGAGATTCAATCGGCCAAGACTCAAGGCCCAAGACCGCAGTGTTGCCCTCATCGCCCAGAGCAAGGATACGCGTCCCTTGATCTCATTCTTGAAATCCATCTTCCTTTTCCAAATCTCTTCTCTCGCCTCTTCGGAAGAGAAAAGCTGCTCGTCGCTGGAGAATGAGATGGGAGAGGTTGGTGTGAAACGTCATTCTCTTTCCACAGAAGAAGGCCACCCAGGGATAAAAAGGAAACGAGCAAAAAGAATTCATTTTACGCATGGAGAGAAGCCAGTCATGACGCTAGAGCGGTAAAGAAGGTGGGTGAAGGTTCGCCATCTCGAGAAGAGGGAAAAGACCCGACGGCACAAGGAGAGGAAACTGGACGACAGAATGACGAGTATAACGTGAAAATGCTTATTTTCTCTTGTATTTGATACTTCAAGTTTCACAATCTAGTTAAAAGTAAATTCAGGCCTTCGTGCAAGAAAAACGCGAGCATCCTCCGCTCCAAAACACCAGACCACAACACGACGAAGCGACGTGACGACGCCTCGCGATCTTGAATCACAACACTCCGCGCGGTCGTTTGAACATGGCATCAACATCACCTCGTGCACAGTGGATTGAAGCAGACTTGAATTTATTCTTCATTCAGAACAAGCATCTCGTAGTTTCATCATGCCATCTGGACAAGCGGCTCACCATCCTCCTCACCTCACTCACGAACGAGGATCCCACGCAACGACTTCTTCCAAGGCCGGCATAATGCTCTCCTAAATTCCCTCACCACAAGTCCTCTAGTAGGATTGGAGCCCAAGCTTCTTCTTCACTATGACGGCAAGCCGCCAAGAGTAATGAAAAAATAAGCTGCGTCGCCTGGAGGCAGTGTAATACCAGGCACACAGTTTTAAGTCCAAAAATTTCTTCGACTATGCTGTTACCGAAATCTCATACGTACCTTTTGGGTGAAGAAGAAGAAAAGAAAAGTCTGATGCTTGGAAAGTTGACGAGCATTTATACTTGCCTGAGAGCGGTGTGTGGGGGAGTGATTGGCAGAATTCCCTCCCCCAAATCAGTGATTGCTCAGATCACTGTTCAGATCAGTGATTTTCCAGATCAGTGAATTTCCTGATCGGGCCTGACGTCAGTGATCTTCTCAGATCAGTGCTGGTTCATCAGATCCGTCATGTGCCTCAGCACTCCCCTGAATTACGATCTCGTACCTACCTAGGTAGGTAGACAACTGCTTCCCCTCGTAGTCGTTCATTTTTTGGGATCCTCGAATCATTCTGTTCGTTTAGGCCTTCTACCTTCGTGGTATGATGCATGCCAAGCTCGCACACAAGTGCTCTTTGGTCACTAAGAGCAACCATTCAATTTTTCCTTGTAGATCTCGAGGCCCAGATTTCCTTATTATTTTCTTGCCGAGCTTTTTTTTTTGTTTATTTCATCACAATACTAATACATTTAGCCTAATAGTGAACACAATACCAAAGTAAATATTGTAGAATAATTAATCATTGACTTCGTTAGTACGTTTCGTATTATTATACAAAACAGATTGAGATCCATGACTTGCGTGGAGTTTCCGTGCCCGACCTTTTAGGTGAGTTGCTTGGTAGCTTTATAAAGTCGAGTCTAGGGTGGCTGTAGTTCACGTTGCGTATTAAAGGTTCGCCAATCTCATAGATTTATTTCTGTGTGAGATCATAATTCTCATACTTGTACTTGCTACCCTCATGTTCATCAAGTAATCGAGTCTGACCAACTCCATAGATTCGCTCACGAATGGTGCCGCTTTCCCCCTGAGGAGTGTAAATTCCTCTGCGACGGAGTTCTGGAACCAGCAGGTCGACCACATCTTCAAAGCTTCCAGGGCTGACGACATAGCCGACATTAAAGCCGTCCAAATCAGCTATCTTAATCCACTCTTCGAGGAAGTCGGCAACTTGTTCGGGAGTTCCGACTGGGACAGGGCCGTTACCACCAATTGCCATGGCCTTGCCGATTGTCCGTGGTGTCCATGCAGGCACATCAGCGCCGCGGTACTTCAAGCTGCCCACCAGTGACTGTATCCGACTGTCCACAGCCGAGTCTTCCGGTTTGATCTCCGTGTCAAGGTCAAAGGTTGACAAGTCAATGCCGGCATTACCCGAGTAGAAGGCTAAGCCGGCTTCGAAACTGGCGTATTTCAGAGCCTTTTCATACTTGGCCTTCGCCTCTTCCTCCGTTTTGCCTAAAACAGGGGTGACGATAGCAAAGACCTTTATGTTCCGAGGGTTACGACCGAACTCAGCAGCCTTAGAGCGAAGTGCTGCAACACGAGGCGCAAGGATGTGTGGCGAGAGCCCGGAGAGCATCACGCCTTCAGCATGCTTCGCCGCAAAAGCAATTCCCGCTCTATAAACCACTAATTAGAAAACACTCATGAAATCGTACGCCGGATGTGGGGTTTACGAACGGTGATGTCCCTGCTTGTAAGAGAAAGGGGGTTCTCTGTGGCGATGGGTCGAGAATATGCGGTGCATTCAGGGTGAAGTTTTCGCTGTGGTGTTCAATCCACCGGACTCGGTCGGGATTTACATAGATTTCGTTCTCGGCGTCTTCTTTGAGTGCATCATCTGCCCACGAGCCTTCCCAAATTCTACATAAGCCGTTAGCGAGTTCCTCGTCGTGATCCTGGCATAGTGAAGAAGCGTACTTATAGAGAATTTTGAGATATTCGTCGGCGATTTCATAACGCTTGTCATGCTCTACGTAGGATAGGCCAACCTATTTGACTTGAGCAATGCGCCGGAATAGAAACGGGAGGCTACTTACAGCCTTGGATGCCGATGATTTGAACGAAGTGACGATATTCCAGCCGAATCTCCCCTTTGTCAAGTGATCCAGGGTCGAAAATCGCTTTGCAACAACAAATGGAGATTCATAACTTGTGCTCGAGGTGATGATGAACCCAAGATTCTTGGTTACAGTTGCCATTGCGGTCACTGGCTGTTGGGGTGGTTGGCGTTTTGTGTCAACTTCATTGGGAAGCACAACGTACAATAGAAGGATCCCCCATCGGGAACTGGACAGTTGACCTCAAGGTTGTCTCAGCACTCCCCTTGTAGACATCATGCTGGCCAAAGGTGTCGGCAATGACAAGCGCATTGATGTCACCTCGCTCAAGAATCCGAGCTAGATTGGTCCAATAATCGAGATCTCTGCGCTTGGTCGAGGACTTGTCATCATCTCTCCTCCACTGTCCGAAAGAGAGATGGCTAGGGGTGAACATGTCGAATGCATTGAGGATGATGCGTCTCTTCGAAGAGGCATTGTGACCATTGTGATTGGTGCCTTCACTCATGGTGACGACGGTGTCAATGATACGTTGCGAATAGCCAAAGGTCTCGCAATATTGTGGGATAATAACCAGTTTCACGGGGGCATATGATTTCCGAGCATCTAATAAACTAGACGGCCGATATCGGGTGGCCACACATTATGCATTGTGGGCTGGTGTCGATGTCGAGCAGCCGGCCTTCGCAAAAGTAATGGCACAACCTGGAGCATCGATGGCGTAACCGCGGCCGACTGCTTCGCGCTCGCGTAGTGGCATGACTAACGTGTCACGCGTCTCGGGAGTTTGGGTGCCAAGTAATGAACATTTGCGGTCCCCATATTTCCAATCACTCACATTATTGACTACCTGAAAGTCGTCATTCTAACAGTGACAAGTTGTGTAAGCAGTACCGCACATTCAACCCGACGACACACGGTTAGACTTCAAATCCTCCACATGGTCTCCACAGTGTGACTGACTATCGAACTAAGCTTGTCTTCATGGATACCAGCTCAACAGCGAGTTCGGGTTCCAGTCTAAACGGGTGGGGAGAAACTTAACCGGAGATTTCTGGAACAAGGAGGCTCACCCCTGACTGGATTGCCGCTGGAGGTATGTACGAAACTGTATGTACTGGTGATAGCTAATGACACTACCTTACCCACCAACTCTCATGGTACTCTCGCAGATCTATGTTCCGATCAATCGCCTCAGCTCGAAGCCAGGGAGTCAGATCCGTCTCAGTATCATCTGGCCCATCCGCAGCCAGCACATCTCTCCGCGTCCACCCATTTCCGAGCCAGGCAAATCTATTGCCCTGGCCATTGTGATACGTAAACTCGAAGTCCTCCCATCTGGGATCTTTTCGAACAATCGCTACATGGCCGGCACTGCCAGGCCAGATCCCTGTGATTCGACCACCTTTGATACCCCCGTTATACCAAGAGCTACAGTACTCGCTCATGACTGTTCTTGGGAAGAAGGCTTCGCAATACGCCCTGAAATCGTCTGTGGCAGCTTGCGTAGGCGCTAGACTCCGGATGCCCTGCGTCACAGCTTTGCGTAGCACCTTGGCAATATAGGTGATCTGGATCTCTACCGAGTGACAAAGAGTGCCGGCAGGCCCAGTAGAGTTTGGTCCAACAATGGTTAGGAAGTTAGGGAAGCCCGGTGCTGCAAGGCCTAGGTAGGAGTCTGGGAAGCCGGGAGTGCCTCCTGGACGCCATGCACTTTGGAGGTCGACACCATTGCAAATGACTGGGAATTGAGTACTGAACGAAATATCATGTCCAGTGCTGCAAACTACTGCATCAACCTCCCGGTGAATGCCTGCAAATTTCTGTTAGTACCTTTATGTGCTTCCCATTGCACTGATGGAAGAAGCAACTTACCATCTACGGTGCGTATACCGGTTTCCGTGAATACAGAGATTGGTTTTGTAACGTATGAAACGTTTTCAGCAGTCAAGGCTTCCAAATACCCCGGACCAGGCGTTAAGCGACGGCAGTTTGGTGAAAACTCAGGCACAATCTGATCAATCAGCTCAGGTTTAGCAGCAAGTCGCCCTGCCATGAGCTTGCGGATGCTTTCCTCGGTGGCGGCATTCTTGTCACTGCCCTTGAATATACCGCCAAACCGGCTGAAAAGCTTCCCCTCGAGCCCTTTCCGGAACTTCAGATAGTCTTCGGGACTCTTCCGGGCCTGCTCAATCCCCTCAGCCACATAATCAGCCAGTGTCTCTCCGCCGATCGGAGCAGCGACCCAGGTCTTGTTTCTCGCATAGTGGTCGAGATGCTTTGCCGCCTTCTGCAAGTGCGGTAGCACCTGCAACCCTGATGCGCCGTTGCCAATGACGGCAATGCGCTTATTGCTTGGGTCGAAGCCTCTCTTCCAATCTGACGTGTGGAACATGTCGCCTTTGAATATGTCCATGCCGGGGTAATTGGGGAGCTTTGGATCGCTAAAGTGGCCTGTAGCTGTGAGGACAAAGTTGGCCTCATCGATGAATTCTCCATGCTTGGCCTTGACACGAACGAGCCACTTCCCCTTTTCCTCGGACCATTCGGCGAATTGAACGCTATGCTCGAGGCGAACATATTGGCGCACCCCGAAATCATCGGCAACTTTGTTCCAGTACTCATTGATCTCAGCGCCCTGCGCATACGCCTCCGTCCATGATGTCGAGGGCGCAAATGTTGCCTGGTAAGCGTGAGCCGGGACATCGCATCGGACGCCGGGATAGACGTTTGTGTGCCACACTCCGCCCTAAAGGAGAATAATGTTTCAGCCCGGGTAACCAATCGAATGCAGTTTCTCATCGCTGAGCTTACAATGTCACTGTTTCTTTCATAAATGACCAGATCAAGCGCTGGCACTTTGGGAGGCAGCAAAACGCCAGCGGTGATGCCACTGATCCCGGCCCCGATCACGACAACTCGCAGGCGTGGGTATTCATCGATAGGATGCTCCTCAAGATCCAGGGGAGGCCAGACAGTCCTTATGATTGGCGCTTTCTCTTGTTTGCCACCCTTGGACTCTAGGTCCAGGTCAACGGTGCTTGCCGGTGCCATTGTGGAACAAAGTACAATTTCATATATTGACACTCAACAGCTGAGACAGGGAATAAGGCGGACTCACGAACTTAATGAGTATTTCTTAAGTCCGGAGCAGACTACTCATCTCATGGGGCGACTGAGTTGTCGGGTACCGACTCGAGGGCGCGCCCAGAAGCACGTAATCTGACACTATGGTTGCGACTGCGGGTGGCAGGGTTCTGGACAATTTACGGAGGGACGATATCATGCAAGGATATCAGCGATATCGCATTGCCCACGAGTCCAAAGCCAATCGGACACATGCTCCTCTCAATAAAGAGTGATTACGAAGCATAATCGTAAAAACCGTGGAAATACCCGCAAGCAATTCTTGCTAGCCATCTCGCCATCCGTCGTCGGAGAGAACTTCCCACCGTGAGGACCCGCCCCATTAGTTTCATTACCGGGAAGCTGGGCCAACCTAGCCAGATAAGTTAATTGGGTGTGGGGAGAGCTGAGAGCAGGCAGAATGGCGACATGGCAAAAGAACGGTGTCAAGTTTTTCACTCGCAAGCACACCGCATTGATTCTAATTCGACTACAGGGATGCTGATTAGACAAGAGCATGGTTTCGGAGTTCCATTCCCCTAGGCCCCTAGGCAGCGGTGCTGGAATGCGGCAAAAGGTTTCAGGGGCTAGTATCGACTGAGAACGGTATAAAACTGCTCGTCTGCCCTCTCCACTTCCCAGGGATGAATCCACGAGTAAGGCAACAGTTGACTAGTTGCATATATTGACTCGACATCGAAAGCTAACTATTAGTTTAGCTACCTTGTAAACGAAGGCGTGCTCTGAACTATGCTCCGACCACGTGGGGGCTGGCGATGAGGTGATCGAAGAACCTTGTCTAGCGTCGTTGCATCAACTTACATATTTCACCTTGCATGTTGTCACACTTGATTTCTCGTTTTGGTTTCATGCGCAGAGTCGACGAAAAAAGCAATTGGCAAGAGCTCACCATGGCGGCCGATACCAAGTCCCATATTGTCGTGGCGTCTACTCCTACGCCGACAGACCCAGAGAGCAATAACCCGGAGCATAACGTATCAACATGGGAACGAATACGTGAGGTAATTTGGGATGGGCGCCGCTCGAAGGAGGAGCGAAAGCTTGTCCAGAGACTGGATTTGTTTCTTCTGTGAGATTTATCGCTCATCCTCTCTGAATGCATGTGCTTACGCCACCTACAGGTCTTGGGCAACGTTCGGGTACTTTATCAGACTGCTTGATTCGAGCAATATCAGTATGTTTGGCTGCCTGTTTGACAAGAGACAAAATTACTGAACGAGATGTGCTGACCTGGACAGCCAATGCCTATGTCAGTGGAATGAAGGAAGACCTTGACATCAAGGGAAACGAGTACAACCTTCTCCAAACCTTCTTCACGTGTGGTTATCTGGTCGGCCAAATCCCGTCTCAGATGCTGCTTACACGCAGTAAGTAGCTCAGTCGTCTCGAAAGTCCCAAATTAACACTAACACGTGGGGTCAAGTCCGCCCTTCCATATACCTACCTGCGGCTGAGCTTCTGTGGACAATCATCACCTTCTGCTTTGCAAGTGTGCAAAATACCCGGACCGTCTTCGCTCTAAGATTTATTCTCGGCATGCTGGAGAGTCCTTTTGCGGTCGGTGTTCTTACAATTATGGGCAGTTGGTATACTCCTCAAGGTAAGTGATAGACAAAGTTCTGTAGTTCCGCAACACATGATGATCCCTCCGCTAACACCTTTGTTCCTCCCCAGAACTTTCCAAACGCATTGCGATCTTCTACTCCGCTAGTTATGCCGCCAGCATGTTCAGTGGCTACTTACAAGCGGCAATATACAGGGGCCTCGACGGCGTCGCAGGGCTTGCCGGTTGGAGGTGGCTATTCATCTTCTGCGGGCTTATTTCTATCTGGGGTCCTCTGTGGGGCTTCTATGCCGTCCCAGACAACCCGTACTCCTCCAAGGCGCGCTGGATGCCCGAAGAAGAAAAGAAGAAGCACGTGGAGCGCATGCAGAAAATCGAACGCCGTGAGCCTGAGCGCCTGACTTTGCAGAAGCTCAAAAAGATCGTTACCCACTGGCCGCTCTACGTGTTCATCTTTGCTCTCATGTAAGTCTCACACCTTGCCTGCGTTGCCGGAACAATACTCACTCAACTGGATAGATGCCATTGCGTCGTGACTCAGCCGTTGAACTACTTCTCAGTGTGGCTAAAGTCTCTGAACCAGTTCTCAGTTTATCAGATCAATCTGTTCCCCACTGCGGCTCAAGCCCTGGGCTTGGTGACCACACTCGCCTACTCATGGCTCTCCGATGGCTTGAACAAACGCTGGCAGATACTTGTCATCCCCGCAGTACGTTCTTAGCCCCAGAAACCTTAGCAGTCAGAAGGGTCCCTAACTTATGTCGCAGACTGTCAACTTTGTCGGTATGGTTATCGTTGCCGTTGGTCCTGGCTACGGCGCCACCTTCTTTGGATACCTCATCAACGCGGCATCATGGGGATTCTGGCCCGTTCTCTACGTAAGAGAGCTATGATTTCTTCCTCGCCATTGCTATTGGTCGGCTAACAGTTCTTCAGGCTTGGGCGATTGAGCTTATGAGCGATGACATGGAGGAGCGTGCGATTGTCATCGGAGTTGCGCAAACGTTTGGGCAAGCCTTCATTGCATGGGTTCCAGGTAAGGGCGCATATACGCCCGTTTCGTTTCACGCAACTAACCTTTCATAGTTGTGATTCTCGACGTCGGAAAATACGCCCCCAAATTCACGATGGGCTTCAGTGTCATGTGTGGGATTTCAGTGCTGCAGTTTGCCAGCATTTTCATCATCAAATTTGTGAGCGAGCGCTACGGTACAAAGGGAAAGCACGGGAATGAAACTCTCCCGGTAGACTCCGCAGAATCGGATGTTGATAAGTAGAGCAACTAGAAGTTGTTATTCTTGGAACTACTTCATGCTATTCAGCATTCAACCACGGGTCAGAGAGTGTTCTCTTGTACTGGATTCCGAACCCTATTACCCAGTAACATACAAAGATTAGAAATGTGCAGACTCGTGTACTGAGGCTCCCGTGCCCAGGTCAAGTAGAAAACCCCCCAAGCGAATGACATAAAGCATGGCGCATCTAGACAGTTCAGCGTTGAATTAATTTCAACACAATATCGGAATAATTAATCTAGTAATAAATACTAAAACGAGATAAATATTATAGAATAATTTATCCGTGGCTTATTATTGCATTTAGCAAACAGCGAAGTCCCTGCCTCATGCGAAAAGAGCTTTGTTGTGCCATTAGTGAGGTTTTTTTTTCATCCGCTTGCCCCCCCCTCCTCCGACCCTCAGTGGGGTTTATAAATAGACTACTTTCTAAGATAAATTAAGACATTCAGTAATAAAAATAAACAAAAGTAATAACATGTACTATGTTATCTCTTGTATATGTACAAATCCACGGACTGGTGAACAAAGACTAGGCGTGAGGTGTGCTATGCAGACTTGTCCATCAAACATTCCATTGTCGGGGATAGATCAGTCTAAATGGAAGTTTAAGACCGCTTTTTGGGATGTTCTGGGAGTCTGAGATTATTGCCTTCTTATTTTAGGACTCATTTACTTCGTAAACAGACTCTCGATGATCTTAGACTTTCAAGTTGATAAATATTGATATACTTACAGAGAAGATAGTAGGGGTAGTCTATATTGCGATCCAGGTGTAACCTAAGAGTATTGATCACAGTCTAATCAAGGCTATTAATGGCACCGATAATCTCTTGGTACAAAAACTCGTTCTAACGAGATGCAATCCGATGTTTTGGCAATGCTAGGGAAGGCTAGTTTCTAAATTTACAAGTATTAGAAAGGGAATTAGAGCGTATAACAAGCTTGGGGTTGCTAGGAAGGTCGTCTATGAATCCTGCTCTTTAGTACCTGGTGCAACTGGTGCTGTTTCTTGCGCCTTTTCTTTCAAAAACAACAAAGGCTAGGTGTTGGTAGACTGTGTTTGCAGTGGAGTATTGTGTCAAGGCGGCGAACAACAAGCGAACCTATTCCCCCCGAAGAAAGTTAGTATTTATTTATTAAATCTGTGCCCACTTCTACATGGTGCGGTCAGTTCATGCACCACCCCTTGATTTTATTCCTGCTCAGAATCACTCGCTCATCTCGCGTTGCCCACAAGGTAGATTTCACATCGGCCTCGACGGCTACCTCAGGCGTTACCTACTTATTCCATGATAACGCCAACATTCGACCATGGCGCAACGATCTTCCAAGGACACGTTTAGTGAGGAGGTTAATTATAATGCTGGTCCGCTGCCCGGTGGCATCGTCCTGCCCACACCCGAACCGACCGACGATCCGCAGACGACCGCCCTTAAGCTACGAGCTCTCGCTAAAGCTGTGGAGGAGGGCGCCAGCCTAGCTGTTCGCACCGGATACAAGCGCGCAGTTCACACGGACCGCGACGCTGTCATGATCGCCAAGCAAAGAATGACGCCTGCGGAGGCGGCGCAGTATGACATTTGGGCGTCCGGGGTCGTGATGCCTGCTATTGACTGGAAGGTCAGTGTGAAGGACGTCGGAGGCGCTGCCGGCTTCTTGTACCATGCTCAAGCGATGCGCGCCATCTGGAAGGACAACTCAATCACGCCCGGGAACGCGGCGTGGCTGCACTCCGAGCTCAGGGCCGCTCTTCCCCTTGTGACCGCCATGGCCAAGGTATTTGCTGCCCGACGAGAGCTGACTGGTGGTCAAGAGGCCCTCTCTGCAATGGAGGTGGCCGAATTGCAGACGGCTCGCAAAGTTGTTGCTATTGCAGTGGGTAACCTGAACCAGGCTTCCGCCCACCTGGGCGCCATATCTCGTGATATAAATCATTCGCGCCAGATCATACAAGCTCGAGAGAAGGCCCTCAACGCGAAGATGCCTGCAAACAGACAGATGAATGAAGGTGTCAACAATGAAGGTGTTAAGATTGAGGGGGCTTAGGATAGAAGGCTCAGGTAGCTTTGCAATCTGAAATGTACATACCTAGCCTGAGACTGCGAAATCGAGCATCCCTTGAGAAAATAGAAAGGAGTGGGCACATGGGCTTCGGCTCCTCTCCCTTGCAAAACTTGCCTTTCTATTTGTTACTAAAGTGATCTACTCAGCCCACTTCCAAAGCACAAAAGGAAATAATAATCGTAATGAAGCGGGGGGAGCCTATACACACGCATGCAACCAACAAGCACAACAGGAAAGGCACACAGCCACTATCGCGTTAGTTAACGGCATCTTCCCCCGAATTTAATTCGTCGTTCGGGAACTTCCTCGTCTCGAGCGAAGAAAGTGGTTAAGAAGAGAGGTATTCCTACATAGGGAACATTGAGATTTGTAATGGAATGGCTCCTTACGGCCACCACCAGCGTCAATTGAAGAGAGGCAACACAAGGAGTCACAAGCTAAGTTCAAGGCTGTATAAAGTAAAACTCGTTTTGAATTCATTAGAAGGCGGCTGAGCCTGCCGTTATATGGGAGTTCCCCTTAATCTCGAAGGAAGCTTGGCCCGGCTTTTCGAACCTGGGCCACCAAACTTGATCTGACCCCACACCGAAAGCATATCTAGGTTGCTTCGATGTCATTACTGCGGCATCGACGATGACTTTCTGCCCCGCTTCTTCTCAGTTCAGCGCTTGCCAGTTGGTCTCGCCACATAGGCCGTCTGAATCCTTAGACACGCCGCGCATCTTAAAATCGTACGACTCAGAGTCGATATTTTAACTACGGATCTAGGAAAGCGATTGTTGCAAGCAGTGCAGCGAAGGGACTCGGCCATAGTAGTATGAACACGACGGTTGCCCAAATGGCCCATGTCAGCATTGGACCCTTGGGCGCATTCTTCCAGGAGAGCAGAGGTATGCGCCAGTTGATCAGCTACACCAACTCTTTAAGCGAGACGCCTCGCTTCTCTAGGGGGATGAAGACGGCTCTCCAACCGAGCAAAAACGAAACAGGAGCCAGAGACAGTACGGAGAATGACGAGGGCGACTGATAGGATCGCGGTAACTTGAGTCTAGTAGAGTCGCCCGTGGTAGGATGTGGCATTTGGAGGCGAACCGATGTTGAAGACAAGACCGTCGATACTGATAGTACCAACAGTTATGGCAACGACCAATATCGCGTGGAGAAGAAACATGTACCAGGCCTTGACCACGTTCAAGACCCCTGCGTCGTCCGGCCTAACATGGCATTGATCAGTCGGCTGGGTTTCGTCGGAGTTATCGCTGCTTGTCTACTGTACATGCTCACTCACCAACGGCTTCCAGGGCAGTGAGTGGCTCATCATGACAAATTGCCGAGAAGAAAAAGACTGATACCAGCATTGATACAGCAGCTCCAAGTCTTAGAGAGGGGTTTCGAAGCCCGGGGATGTCTGGTTTCTCATCATCGCTGTCAACTACGAGTATGGGACCAGTTTCTGCCTTGCATACCACTCACTCGCCGCAAATGTCGCCTCTTGTTGCATATAGAAACTGCCTACCCTTGGAAAGATGGCCGGTGTGGTGAGCAGGGCCCGACCCCCCAGCTAAGCGAGGATGCCGCTGATACCATATTATGGAGCCATCCATGCAACCAGGTCTGCGCTTACTGCCTTGCGTCACGACTTAGTACGTCACTGCTAAGCTCCACAGAGACAATCCTTTCTAGTATGTCCAGCCTTGCTCACAGCCTATCAAATGCCTTGCTCCTGATGTTGGCTGGCAGACTGAACAACTGCAGTGGTTCGGCTTTGACGGTAGAGGTAGACAGCGGCTAGGTGCGATTGCAGTTGAAGAGCTCAAGGCTGTCTGTCATATTCATGTCGGCACTCGCGCGATGTTCCCACAAGCCCAGCGTACAACGTTGGCCGGGAGCATGGAAGTGGAGTTATGCAGGCTGACCGCAGGCTGCTTGACCTTTTCCACTGCGATAGGATTAACGCCCAGGTCTGTAACTTCCACACCCGTTAGTACATTTACAGATATAACCTCTATATTTATTCCTTAGCGCCTGCAACTTACAGCTTTATAATACCTACAAATATATAAATTCTGTATTTTTTTCCTTTTAATTCTTTTAAGTCAGAGTATAAGTTTTTATGTTATACAAATATTTCTGATTACCAGGCAATATTAGTTATACTATAATAGTACTAATTAAAGCTCAGCTTCATAGTTACTAAAGCGTGAAGTAAGCATATAATCAAAACTTCCGTAAATATGCTAACAGGTTGGGGAGTTATAGACTGGGGCGCCAATTCTACTGCAGTAGACCTTTTCTGTCCAGGGGCCCTGTCGACTTCGTAAACAGGCCAATCACGAGCTTCGTGACAATCGAAGCTGACAACCAATTTTTCTCTAAACCTTTCAGTAAGACGAGTCATCTTCCTAAAACTGGTATATATGTCAGCCGTACATGTTCCACGCGCCAGCCTTCGTGGGCCTATATCCCTGCACTCTGCCGGGGAAGCTTTCACCAAGCTGAAACACGCTGCAAGTCGAGCTGACACAAGTCGCCGGGCAGAAATTCTAAATCGTGCGTGTTAGCAAGTCGCAGGGCTATAAGTATGGAGGACAAGGATAGCATACGCCTTGGCACTCGTTTAGCCCTTGTCCTGAAATGCCTGTCGTTCTCCAACATAAAGAACAATGCATGCCCATGCCCGATCTCTGTGCTTTGATATTTGATCGATGATTTTTGCTCTTTGGTCGATGATCCTCTTTCATCCAGGAAAGCGCTTTTTGGAAGCTTTCCCTCAACTCTAGAGTGTAGGCTTGCGCACGCACGCAATATATCATGGATCGTCGACTCTCTCTATCCATCGCGGTCATTTTGGCCTGGCACGTCACATCTTGCCACGCTCTTGGCCGTACCACAGATCAATTCGTGGACTATTTTCCGACCTTTGACACTTTTACCAAACCGCACATTCTCACAAGATGCCGCGAGGAATACAGCAACTACACCGATGTGTCTCTCGAGGAGCCACCGGGCCGACACATATACTCTGGGGCTCTACTCGACTGTATCCTTGACCAGGTCTTGACAGAGACCGAGAAGGCGGGAATGGCCGTCACCGGCATCCTGTTTGCCCTTCTTCCCGTTCTCCTCGCCAACATTGGCCCCACGGTCTCGGAACTCAGCTTCCTGGCTGTTCGCAGACCAATCCTGGCCGCCCTGCTCGCGTACGGATCACTGTCGCCAAACCCTGCCTCGCCCATGAGCTTCGAAGATCTCGAAGAGCTTGTCGAGAAGAGGAAGAAGACTCGTGACCCACTTGCCAAGCTGAGATTCCTGAAGAGACCCAACCCCTTGGTTCTGACCATCATATCCGTGGGCCAATACGCCATCGGCGTAGCAGCGACAGCCAACTCCTTTTTCCAGGTCTGGAGGCTTACATACAGAGGGGTATCAATTGCCCCCATTGTCGTGTATATTGCAGGCTTACCAGAAGAAACCACGATCTTCGGTTGGGCCGTCCTCTCTCTGCCTGTCCATATCCTTGGGTTCATGGCCTTCCGTCTCGCCTATCTCCGCGAGCCCGCCTCGTCAAAGGGTGGTCGATTCCGCCGCATGCTTATCCACGAATTCACACCCAGCCTGTACAAGACGGGCTTTGACCTGCAGCCCCGGGAAAACTTGGTAGCCTTGCAAGCATTCTTCAGCTTCGCCGTTCGCCTTTGTGCCAGTCTGCACATCATAGCTGGCTCTGCACTCTTGGGCAGCGTCTACTTTGTGTTTTTGGCCGACTCGCTGATTGTCATTTACAGCTTTGTGGCCTCGGCCATGGCTACCAGGCTGGTCCTCGAGTTTGAACTTCTTGGGCTGGGGAGAGCACTCAACGAGCGTGAGGCGGAGTCATCTGATGGCGGGATTGGCGCCTCGGGCCCTCTCCTCGTCAATTCAAGCAAGACGGAGAACCAATTCTAAGGCAGTTACATTTACTGCCTGATGAAGGGTGACTACACAAAAAGGCCTGTCAGGCACGTAGGAGGAAAGGTCATCAGCCGAAGCATTGAATAGGCCAGGCAAGAGGCTGTCAGTCACAGTGAACAGGTTAAGAGCGATTGTCACGGCCCGCGCTGCTGAAGGATCCAAGATCGTGCGCCATCGGCGAAGCTGCACATGGGCCCGAGAAATATCTGTTTAAAAAATGAGTCGAGGGACATCGGTCATGGATTTATGGAAATCGACGCGCTGATTTTGCGCGTGACCAGGGGCCAATCGGTGCTCAGCTGGGGATGGCCGAGAAGCATATTCCATTTGAGCATCTGTTACTGAATCAACATGTTGTATCCGTACGATCAACTAAGCATTTTAAAGTTTTAGTATTAGAGGAGTATAAAATTCTACAAAATTGTCTCATTTACTTAAACTTATAAAAAGTATATAAGCCGATTAGAGCCTTAGCTTAGAATATAGTAACGGTCTGTGGCCAGTCAGCTCGGGAGCACGAAGGATTGGTCGTTTCAGCCACTCTTCTTTCCATCGAAGTGAAATACAAGTAGTGGTCTAGGTATTCCTGAGTTGGAAGATGTGGGATGCGCTAGTTATGCCGCGAGCAGCGAAGGCACCATCGGCTAGCGCGAGGCTGATGAGGATCAGGATAGGGCAAAAAAAGTAGTCGCTTCGTGGCCGTGAAGAAGAGAACGGTCCTGAGGATCTTAGCCAAGTCCCATTCCCAAGTCAACATGGTGCGGTCACATACGGCTTGAGTTTATTGTCCGCGCCCTTGTGGTGTACAAGTCTGATACCCATCGCCAGCACGTCCTCGTGAGTTTCGGGATGGCGAACTACCATTAGATGCACATACTCATAGCAAAGTGCTTTGGGACACTCACGACCCTCGGTCTCTTGAGTAAGTATTTCCTCGAGGATACGGGTGGCCATATCTGGAACTGCTCCGTTGGGCTCTTCGTCGTCGGGGAAGCCGCCTCGCTCATCCCAGAACTCTTCATGTGAACCGTCTTTCGGCTTTTGCTTTTCGTTATCGACAATCTCTGCCGGGCGCGCGCCGGTGTACGAGAGGAAGAGGTAGATCCCCGGGAGATTGATACGTTGTCTTTCGATAGAGAAGATGCCGGTGTCAGAAGGTCATTGGGTCCGAGTACAGGTTCTCCATCGATATCAGGGGAGCGAAGCCCATACCGTGGAACGAGAATCGCATTGTGCCACTGCGATGTCAGCATCATTGCTCATGGGCACCAGTTATCCATCGAGGGGGAGGGTGCACCTTGAGGACCTCTCTGCTGTCGTCCCTATCAATATATCTGCCCGTCACACCTGCGTAGAGCTGTCTGTCTTGACGCCAGTACTCCCAAGATGTACCTTCGGATTACATCTTCCATCTCTCGCATATGTGATCGAGGGAATCCATTGTCATTGCGCGGACGGCTTTTTGAATAACATCTTTCCAGGGGCCAAACCGGGTGTCTTTGCAGTACCTGATAAAATCAATATTAATAATCGACTGTGAGATCAATAGAAAAAGGTACTCACGTTTGCCATTTACGTAGGATGCCAGCGATGTTGATTTTGGTATTATCAACGTAGTCAGACTTGAGAAAGTGGACTTCAAGCAACGGGAATGATGAATCTGGTTGAATCAATCGGAGCTCTTTCGCGGGGGTTGCCCTCAACTCCTTTGTGCTTTGTACGCGCTGGTGAGGGCAGGGAGTGCATTGAGACGGCGGGCATGATTCTAATTTAGGACGTGTGTGCATGGCCTTAGCCGCTGGGGTAGGTCACCGCCGGTGCATGTGTAGAGTCTACATCCGAGTTGCCAGCACCCTCGCTGTCCCGACCTCCAAAAACCGCATCCTATTCCTCCTAATCTAGCTGCCCAAACACCAATTTCTCGACTTGTAGTGTAAATTTGGAGTCAGTGGCATCTGGCGGCTTATCAGATAGTGCCTTTCCCTAACACCACCAAACTACCTGATCGTATCTCTTGAGAATGGGTATTTGCGCCAAAAGATCATCAATGCTATTTATATTATTGATTAGACTATAATCGATACTTCTAAACTATATCTGGATCGTAATATAGAATTACCCTACTCTCTTCTCTGTAAGAATATTAAATTTTATTAACTCAAAGGTATAGATACCTATATCGAGAATCTGTCTACCGAATCAACAACTGGCATAGTAGAAAGGTACTAGTCTCAGACTCCAAGAGCATCTCAAGAAGCAGTCTCGGGCTCTCAGCTCAGACTTATCTCTCCCCGACAATAGAAAAAACAAATGATCCTCAAATATAGTCGACTAAATTCCCAGCCAACAACACGACGGCCTAGCAAAATCTCACTATCTTCCGGAGAATCAGCTGTTTACATGCCACTTACAGTATCCAAGGAGCAAATATTAGTGACATCAGGACCTAGGAAGCTAGTAATGCGGTATATCCGATAGACAAGTCTACATGGCTCTTTACTGAACTTTGATCTTCACCTCTCTGCTTGCTTCTAGCTAGTACAATCCCAATATACAAGATAAACAGCTCGCGACTAATCTTGTTCAGCGGTACGTAGATTGCCACATGTGCCTCGGTTCTCCCATGGGGTAATGAAGATGGGACAAAGGAGGCTATACACAAACAACTCATAACCACAACACAAAGACATACAACCCACAGCGGCTATAGCGTGAATTGACACCATCACCGCCCGCATAGGTTGAGAAGAGATGAAATCTTACGTAGGTTAAATTAAGATTTCTAGCGGCATGGCTTCCTGAGGCCTAGCCGATTTCAATTAGACAGAGACAGCGCAAGCAGTCGATTCGCTCGTCGGTCACAAGTTAGGGTCAAGTTCATCAAAAAGTGCAACACCTGTTCGATTCATTAGAAGGCGGTAGGATCCGCCTTTACATGCCAACTCCCCTCAATCTCGAAGTTTAGCCCGGCTTTACAAACTTGGGCCCCTATTTCCTGCCTCAGGAATCTCTACTTTTTGCCTTCTCGAGTTCGTAGTAAGCCGGGAGCGCCCACTTCTGCATCCACTCCGAATTGATCACTTCGCTGATCGTCGATCGTGACTCTGGTGCGAACACAAGCATCGATCGAAACAATTTCAGGAGCGCTCTCTCCTCCTCTGGATCAAACAGCGGCATCTTCTCGGCAGCTCTGGACTGTTGCATACTAATCTTGAACTTATCCTCGAGCGTCTCGATCTCGTCGTCTTCATCCTTGATCGGCTCTCCAGCTTCCGTGAACCATTCTCCTCGTTTCTCCCAGCGCTTCCACCAAGCCGGAAGCAGGGGCCTTAGTGTTTCAATCTGTTGGGCGGCGATAACGTCCTCATCTCGGAAGAAGCTCTTGAAAAGCGGTCCCTGGCCGAGAACTTCCCACATGGAGCACGCGAGCGTCCAGATGTCCGATGACAGGCCAAGGGGTTGGTTCGGTTCGAAGCGAGCTTCGGGTGGTCGTAGGAGCGCCGGTGTGCGTGACTCAAACTTCTTCTCCTTGTCCGGGTAAAAGGCCTCGCCAAAGTTCACAAGCATGATCTGGGCGTCGGGAAGAAGGATGTCTTCACTTCTCCCACCAAGCCACACTGGCAAGATACCGTGGGTCGGAATTCCGGGCGGGAGCGGCTTTCCCTCGAGATGGACTACTTCCTCCCGCCTGGGCTGACCATAAAAGTCGTACAGATCCTTTTGGGTCATGCGGCTCATGTCGGATGTCATTCGAAGTGCTATGTTTCCGAGATGTAGATCTGTTCACGAGTTAGTCAGGCAAGATAACATGAATGGAAGAGATGAGCACAGACTTCCGTGTGCAAGGCCGTGATCATGCAGTGCCGAGACAGCAAGAGCCATCTGTGCGGCCAAAGCTCTCGCAACATCGAGCTGGAAAAGCCTACAGTCGGATGCATTAAGCGCGTCTGAGACGGTCATCCGAGCAGGGAGAGTCGTATAACATGGGTGCTTTCCGTTGGGGCCTTCCAGCGTGAATCGATCCAGTAGAGGGGGTAGAAGTTGGCTCCGAGGAGCCACTTTCTCCAGAATACTAGCCTCCTTGAAGTTTGCGTCTCCCGTTCCAAGCTTGAGGGCTAGATAGCGCCATTTGAGGGTGTCGTTCGCCAGCCAGACTGTTGAAAACGTTCCGTGGCCAAGTTTGTGAACAATGCGGTACCGATCATTATGTAAACTGTCACGGATGTTAACAGCATAATAACCTCCAGGTGAGTATCTTCCCATGCGTTCCACGTTTTGGATGGGTGCAAACTCCAAGCCTGTGGGGAAATCAGTTGCTCGAGAAGACAGGGTCCGTGTTGGGGGGATTCGAGACACATGTCGGAAGGTTAGTGGTGCCAAAGACGGCGGCCTCAGCAGAGAGGTTCTAAGCCTCGAGATGAAAGACATGGGGCTTAGGCTTTTTGTTGATGTTGTTGGGTGGAAGGTTTGTTGCGTTTGAACAGTCTGTGGGCAGTGGTGTAATAAGCAAAAGGGAAACCTCAGCCTGATTAGCCAGGCAACAATAATCTGGGGAGCTGGCCCTGTGCCATTCACATCCACGTTCTGCGCTGAATGACGTAGATACAGGAATTAACATTCATTACTATCCTAGATGAGCCAGGCAATAACCCAATGTTACATAAGTATGCATTGTTCCCAGACATTGTATGTTTAGTCTTAAACCAAGTGCGGCCTCTTTCGTTCACGAATCTCTTGAAGACCTATATGCGCTAGGCTGGACAATCTCTCGTTAAGGTAAGGTAGCTTGCTTCTCCTTTTATTCTCTACTGGTTTCTAGTGCATAAAATGGCCCTGGTCAAGAATGCCAAATTCTAAGGAGCTTACAAAAGTGGACACTAGAGAGATTGTATCATTGACTTCCTATCCCCAGGAGCTCGTAATGAAACAGCCAGGTTTCGCCTCTCCCTCATTGTTCTCTTTGCAACAGGCTCGCTGGATGACTAGAGTTGCTTCGATCCTTCAAGACATAGGCCTAATCCTGAGTCCCAACGAGTAACATCCCGAAGACAATCAACCCTACACGGCTACAGTAGCTAACGTCACCTTGTCTCCTTGCTCTTTCATCACCCTCTCACAATGATTCTGCGTAGGTCACGTATGGGCGGAATCATAGTTATGCCCGAGCCAGGTAGTACAGGCTTCGCTCCCCATACGGCTTCCTCAGACCCCCCGTAGCTCATTGCTAGGGATGCAGTCCTGTATCGTCCTCTCGAGACAAGTAACGAACGCTCATGTAGGTTAATACACCTTACCACTCCGTAGAAGCTTCCCTTTTCCTTTGAAAAGGATCGACCTTCCAGGGCGCTTAAGCGATGAGCCTGGTTTCTTCTTTGGCGCCTTTTTCGGAGTGGCGGGTTTCTTCGGCGTTGCAGCTTGTTTCTTGGGTACCTCGCTTGGTTTCTTTTTAGCTGTCTTAGCCTTCTCCTGTTGCTTGGCCAGTTTTTTCGCAGCAAGAGCTGATTTCTTTGCCGCCGCAGATGCTTTCCTCTTTGACCTCCTTGGTTTCTTGATTTTTACTCCTCGCTTTTTAATCGGCATGCGACTGACACCTCCTCTCCCTTCCAACGAGGACGAAGATACTCTTCGGGCCATTCGGGTAGACTCGGAAGGCGCCCGCTTTCTCATATTACGTTGTCGTCGGCGAGACTTGATACGAACATAGTTGGTGACTGTCGGTTCTCTCTCTGTGGCACCACTCGTGTCGGCCTCTTCTTTGTACTTTGAAAAGACATCTCCACAGCATAAAAGGATTGCTATACCAACCCATATTGAGCCCTTCATTTTGGCAACGGACGGTATAGTTGTTCAAAGGCGTAGACTGAGTCGGAATATCGATTGATCGGATTTGAAAAGGCCCAGAGTCTTCGAGTGGATGACCAGTTAATACTCAATGCGAGCTGTTGCACCTGCCGATACTATATCAGGTAAACCGTAAGATGTCAGCATCCAAATTATCTCATCCAGACGACATGTGGGTAGCAGGTAGTTTGTCTATAAAAGCGATTTTCTAAACGAGATAAAAACAGGAATGCACCCATTTTTGTTGGCCGCCTGTCCTGTCGGAGCCTCTTTGACGTACCTTGAGTTGATCACAAGAGTAATCCTTCCCGTCGGCGAGGCCACTTACAGGGTGGTCTTCGATGGTGCACCAAGCGGGCGTGACAAAAAGATTGTAGGTGCTATATAAAGCAATCTGAGCATAATTTTGCCGTTGAGGATCGAAAGCATTGTCCGCAAACTCTACTCACGAACGTTGAGAACGAAGTCGATGAGCAGGGGAGAAAGTGGCAGGGAAGAAATGTGCCTTCCCCAACTGAAGCAAAGTGGGGAGAATGACCTACCCTAGACCGCAGCCCCATTTCACTTCGCACCTCTTCCGTCACTCGCGACCAAACCTCCATTGACACAAGGAATTTTCGATATATTCCAAATACAACATGCAGCAACCCAGCAATCTTATCCCAGCGCCTGATCCTGTTCTTTCTCCGCCGAGTAAGCTCTGTCAAAACACACGTTCAGGCGCATCATACTAAATCTACCCAGCCACTTAGATGCCTCAAATGTGCAACCCTTTGATCCCCTGCATAGTAAGCAATCGCTTCTCCCACAATTACATCGCTTCCTCGCCGCCGAATTTTTCTCCTCAATCGCTATCTTCGCCTTTCCATAAGCGTGTCGGTATATCCGCGATGTATGATGTCGGGACTCGAAGGACTCGGGCTTGCGGCTAACATAATTGCAGTGATTGATCTATCTGCAAAAGTCATCTCATGGTGCTCTCAATACTCCAAAGACGTCAAGAACGCCAGGAACGACATCGAACAACCCCAGCAGGAAACACACAGACTCTATTTTATGGCTGAGGAATTCGCAAGCTCCTTGAAGGTCCGAACGGTGAGAAGTCAACGACAGCTAAACGACTATCCGCCGCGGCGGGCCAAGCACATTCAGTTCTCGATACAGTGGATGAGACTTTGAGCAATAGAGAGGGGCTCAGACGGTTTGGCCTTCGTGCGTTGAAGTGGCCACACGAAAGCAAAGATGTAGAGGGGCTGCTGCAAGAGCTTGTTCGCACAAGCGAGATATTCCATCTCGGCTTACAGATTGATCAAACGTAGGTATCACATTGGGACATAATTTAGACGCTATGACTAACATGACCATAGGAATATCATCATTGGTAGTGACGAAAGGGCGAGACTAGATCGCATCCCTGTTGCTGAAGGAGCATCCTCACACGCAGACGACGAAGATGCCACGACCTGCCTCCCAGACACTAGAGTGCAACTCCAACAAGACATATGGAAATGGGTTAATAGTGATACTGCCGAACTCATTATGTGGCCCAGCGGTAGTGCTGGCACAGGAAAATCGACTATCTCACGGACAGCCTCCAGCGAATTTGAGAAGGTCGGAATCCTTGGCGCAACCTTTTTCTTCAAGCGGACGCAAAGGACCGATCTAACCTGTCCAAATTTATTTCCACCCTTGCTGCCGACTTGGCAGTCAAAATTCCAGAGACCTGTCGGCACGTTCTGGATACAATTGAAGACCAGAGTGATATCTTCAAGAAGGTCGTCGGGGATCAGCTAGATCAACCCATCATCGAACCTATCATCCAATGCCAGGCGATCCGTGTGCGGCGCCCCATTGTCATCGCCATAGATGCCCTGGATGAATGCAAGAGAGAAGCAGACATGATGTCCTTTATTCAGCTATTGACTAGATCTCAGACTGCTCAAGTGTCGTGTCTTAGAATCCTCCTGACAAGCAGACCCGAGTTGCCTATCCGACTGGGTTTCAGCCTGGCAGATTCTGAATCGTTCCAGTCTGTCACCCTGCATGATACACCTGATGAAGTCATTCGGAAAGATATCCTTACTTCCCTCTTATTCCACTTGAGCAAGATCAGAGAGGAGTACAATGCGTCCGACATTTCTTATGACCGGAAGTTGGGCCCAGCTTGGCCAGGAAAGAAATGACCCAAACATTGCTCGGAATGTCGGTGCCTCTATTCATCTTTGCCGCCACTTTTTTCCGTTTCATCGGCGATCACGTATATGGACATCAAGATAAGCTCCTCAACGAGGCCCTCGAATTTGGAACAAAGAGCCAAGAATCACAGTCAATTGATAGCAGGAAAGTCAATCAAGCATCAACAACAGATTCTACTACGATTCCGGTTGGCTGTTGGGTCTATTATTCTCCTAGCGACTCCATTGCCAATGCTTAATCTGTCTAACTTCTCTCGCTATTAGCCAATACATGGAAAGGAGCTTCTGAAATTTCTCCACGACGCCGAATATTTCACCCATGCCTATACAAGTGCGATTGATACATGTCCACTACAAATCTACTGATCACTTCTTGCGTTTACGCCTAAACACAGCATATTTCGGAAACTGTACACAAGCACGATGAGTGAGGGGGGCCAATATTCATACAAGAGGTAAAAGCGAATGGGGTTACTGTCTGCAGACACTCAAGGCTACTCATGCAGACCGTACGCTACATATGGCATTCTCCAAGACTCAGCTTTGATTGCAACGACAGATTCGATTGGTGGCATCTGGGTTTGGAACACTGTCAATGGAGAGCTTGTTAGAAACATTAAGTCTCCAGATCATGTGGAATATCTTACTCCACCCATATTCTCGCCTGATTCGTCACTCATCTGCTCAACTGCACTCACATGGAGTCACACAACCAACCAGGTCTGGAACATTATCACGGGGGAACAGGTTCTGGGGACTGAAAGTCTACCATCAATCGGTGGGGATCTTAGAATCTTTCCACCCCCTACTGCGTACATCGAAAGACAATCAGACATTACCAGGGGATCTTGCATGTGGAACAAGGTTCCCCTCAGGTAGTAGGCCTGGTCAAGCCTCGTGATTCAAGGGACATAAATTTGGCCCTCTCAGTTGATTCTAAATTCATTGCACTTTCTGGAAACGACAAAAGAAAGAATGGAGCCTGGAATCAAATCTGGAATATCAACTCGGGCAGTCATGTCTCTGCGTGGCGGCAGCAATTTCCTCAAGACACATGCTTAAACTTCTCGCTTGATTCGGCGTTGCTACACATTTGTATAGACGGACAGGCCGTCTCGGCCTCTATGATGTTAGAACTGGCAAGCGTTTGAGCACATCGTTCTCCGGAGTACCGCCATATGTATGGTCAGCTGCGTTCTCTCATGACTCGGTGTTGGTGGCTACTGGGTCTTTAAGCGGAGAGATTCACTTGTGGCATACGGAACCAGCGAATGCGTACAGACTCTAGAGGGCTATGGTCGCGGGTTTACAGGCATTGTCTTTTCCCATGACTCCAGGTTACTGGCATCCGCTTCCGAAAACAACACCATACGCCTTTGGAGAGTCGCAGAGACTGAAAACAACAGCATTGAGTGGCTCCAGAACGAGACTAATGAAGATTTCTCCAGATATGAAGAAGGTAACCACCTTGAATGAAGCTGGGTTGTGTATGTGGAGCGCCGATGCGGTGGCTGCACTTGGTCATATCGGTGCCAAGCCGGCGCCAAGCTGGTGTTTTCCCAGTTCAGCCTTCATCCTCGTTCGCGATAGACAAGAATTCAGAAAAATCAACAAAAGTGGGCTTTTACATACAGATACAGGGGATTGTGTGTCTCTTGAAGGTCACGCCCAAACAACCGAAGGAACCGAGAGGGAGCTTTCTCCGATGATTCAGCGCTCATTGCATTTGCGGACGGCGATAGTTCGGCATCATATATATCTGTCTACACAACTACCACCGGAAATCGTGTCCAACGCTTTGAATGTCTAAAGGGAAATCAGGATAACTTAAGCTTCTCGAAAGACTCAAAACTCATTGCGGCGATTGGCAACGGCATGCTTTGTACTTGGGATGTCACAAGTGGCCAGTGCCGCCAACAAACAATGCCAGAAAGTTATGTGAACGCATCCTATCTTTCCATAACATTCTCTCCCGATTTGGATTGGGCTGTGGGCATCAATTTGTACAACAATACTCGGGTGTGGAGATGCGCGACAGGGAGGCTGATCCACGATTGTTACGTTCCATCACTAGGCCTCGGGGCCTTCGACACTGACTATATCATAGTCAGTTCCTCTACTAGCTTGATTTATTTTTGGGACTTTCAAACGGGCATCCGCCTGGCTAGGACAAAGAACCTTTACCCCCATCATGGAGCTGTGAGTTTTCAACCGAAGAGTTCGCAGCTCCTCGTTGGAACTGGAGCGGTTGAGTTGGTGAACTTCCCCTGATCCGCTACCAAACACTCCGTCTTCTTCTTCTGAGGCGCTCCACGATTCTATTAAGCCTCGTCGCTCCGGCTACGGGATCAGCCTTGACTATAGCTGGATCACCTGGACGACAATTTCTTCTATCTACCAGCGAGCTACCAGCCGACGAATTCGATGCTGTCCTTGTATCCGGGTCTGTAGTTATTATTGGCTATAAAAGACTTGGAATGTCGGTAGTGTTCGGGTTCTCCTCTGCCAGAGGAAGTAAGCCAATGGCAGACATACACTTCATTGATCATTGCAACCCAATACAATCTCGTCGATGAATGCACGAAGGAGAATATAGTTAACAGGTAGAAGGTGCTGTACTGGCCGAGACCCGTCCCAAGGGCCTACATAATACTATTTCATGGACTTTATTGGTTGAGTTGAGATATTCATGCTTGACTTTTCTACCTACGGCAATTCATACCGGGATAAATAAAAAGCATTCGTCTGAGGGTGAGTTCGCCACGTTCTAGGAGTCATGCTGAGCACACTCCTTTCGATATAAGCCCCATTATTCCTTGTTATTTATTCCTCATTCGGCATTCCTAATCAGCAGCAGAGTCCCTAGTCCCAGTCAGTCAGTAGGATATTGGCAAGGGTGTGGGACAATGAGGCAGTTTGCGCGCATTGTATTGCAAGCATAATCTGAGCTAATTTCTTGGCCCGAACTCCTCATCAACGAAAAACTCCATCATCATGTCCATCGAATCAAAGCACCACGCAGTCTTCATCAAACACAGGGTCAGAAACAGGCGTCCAAGTGGGTGCGCGGATCCTTCTACGGGTCCTCTCCGTAAACATCGTCAATATTACTTCTCCTTCTCGTGACAAATTACGAAGAATGCCTACGTACTCGCATAGCTATGATATAAGACGGCGAGCTTGCCCGAGGAACGAGCCCAATCACTCGACCTAATCCCACGCGCCAGGTACTTTCGCCTTCACCACGATGCGCTCCCTTCAATTCTTGCCACTGGCGCTCGCCGTCGTGGCCGCCGCCCAAGTTCCGACAAACAGGTTCATTGTTGAATTTGCCGAAGTAGGTTCACTCCATTATTCAAGTTACTTCCCCGCTAACTGTAGAGTAGACCTCTCTCTTTCGAGCCGAGAACCACATCAACGCGACAGACGGCATCAACGTGCTCCAGACTTTTGAGTCGGACGTCTTCCGTGGAGCCAGCATAGAGCTTGACGGCGTGACCCCTGACGACGTCCTAGCCCTTTCCGAAGTCATAGCCATCTGGCCAAACGAACGAGTCGAGCTTCTTGCCCCTGTCAAGCAGCAGACCGCCGCCGATGAGAACGCCGCCGCCGAGTATGCCGTTCACTGGGCCACGGGCGTCGAAGAGCTACACAAGCAGGGCATCTATGGGGAGGGTGCCAAGATCGGCATCATCGACACAGGGATCTGGTACAACCACAACGCGCTTGGTGGTGCCTTTGGCGATGGTTCCACGGTCGTAGGCGGGTATGACTTTGTTGGTGATTCCGAATGGACCCCCGGCCAGGCCAAGAATCCCGACGAGGACCCGATCGATCAACAAGGCCATGGTACGCACGTTGCTGGTATCATTGCCGGCAATTCATCGACGGGTTGGCTAGGTGTCGCCCCGCGAGCATCATTGTATGCATACAAGATCTTTAGCACGGGCTCGACGACCGACACCGCCACCATCATCGAGGCCCTTCTCCGGGCATATACCGATGATGTTGACATCATCACGGCAAGCATTAGCGGCGCAGGTGGCTTCGCGAACAACCCCTGGGCTATCGTTGCGACTAGGCTTGTTACCAAAGGGTTCATCATCACCATTGCCGCCGGAGACTCTGGTGAGGATGGGCCATTCTCCATCGGCTCTGGAGGCTCCGGTGACGGCGTTCTTGCCGTCGCCAGCGCGCATGTCCAGGCTTCGAAGAATCAGACCCTTCCCAGCTCGTTCACGTCATGGGGTGGCCTGTTCGACCTGAACTCCAAGCCAGACATCTCGGCCCCTGGAACGGACATCTTCAGCGCATGGCTCGGCGAGGGAGATGGTGAGGGCTCCTTCGCCTTGCTGAGCGGGACAGCAATGGCAACGCCCTACGTAGCCGGCGTGGCGGCCCTGTGGGTGGGAAACTTCGGTAACAAGAAGAGTCATACGGCTGTATATGCAAAATACATCACCATGAGGATCATCAACTCCGGCAAGGCACTTCCGTGGCTGAACTACGATGGAACCGCCAACACTGCCTTCAGAGCCCCTCCGCAGCAAGTTGGCTCAGGCCTTGTCAACGCTGCGCAAGTCATCGAGCAGGTCACTAGCTTGGCGTACAAGCGATTCTCGCTCAACGATACCGACAATTTCCAGTCGAGCCAGGTGTTTACCATCGAAAACACTGCCCAAGTGCCTGTAGTCTTTACCTTCGAGCACTCGAGCGGGGCTGGCTTTGAGATCCTCACGGACTCTGATCCTGCGCAGCCAGATAAGGTCCCTCGAATTCGAACTCGGGAGGAGCTTGAGCCTAAGCGCTTTGAGGCCAGTGTGGAGTTACCGTCGAGTGTTACGCTGGGTAAATATGAGACAAGGCAGATTGAGTAAGTCTGGAGAGCCATATCGTGGCAGAGGACGAGACTAACACGGTCCAGATTCGTGTTCACACCACCAACCAGTCTTGACGCATCCAAACTGCCGGTCTACGGCGGTATCATTAGTGTCAAGTCGAATACTACTGACGTATTGGTCGTGCCGTACCAGGGCGTTGGTTTCAGCTTGAAGGAGCAGTTCAGCAAGCACTTGTTTGCGGGCTCGTATCCTCAGCTTGGATCGGCACCGGCCAAGAATAAGACGAGGTGAGGTTCAATAGCTCTAGGAGTGTTAACAAATTCTGACTGTCCTACAGCTTCACCTTTGACCTGAGTCTGCCGGCGCAAGACTTTCCCAAGATCTTCTGGAGTCTAAACTGGGGAACCACAGAGCTTCGGTTCGACGTAAGTTAAGATGATATCTCCACAAAAGTTCCTTCACTCACACTCGTAAAAACAGATCTACGGTCCTGGCTTTTCTGCTGAGAGTGACTGGGTCTATCCCCCCGCCGTTGGCGAGAACAACTACATTGGCTCCACCGCCCCTTGGATCAAAGCCAACGGCGTCGAGACATTCGATCCGTCCAAAGACGACAAGGAAGACACCTACACGTTCCCCTTAACCAACGTCAACAGGGACGCGGATAGCTCCGTTAACAGCGTTTTCTGGCTGGGAAAGCTCGCCAATGGGACATACATCCAGCCAGGCACCTACACGTGAGTTCGTATCTACCCAGAGTTTAATAGCATGTGACTAAGTGTTTGGCCAGCATTCGCTTCGGGGCTTTGATCCCTTTCTCTGACCCTAAAAATCACGAGAGCTGGAGCACCTTGACGCAAGAAATTCAAGTGGTCAAGAAATGCAAGCGCGCCGTCAGCACTGCATAGGAAAACATGTTGAGTTAATGTGTAAACTGTAAATCAGGGGGTAGGCACTAGTGATCAGCACAGCTACAAATTCACCATCAGACAGACTGTAATATAGTAGAACTGCAACTTTCATTGTGAGAGCAAAGTGAACTGTAAAACTCAGACCTGATGCTACCTTAAACTCAAACCTTATAGCAAGTTGTCCCGGACCTCATAGTAAGTCATCTGTAATGTGAAAAGCTAATCAGTCCCTACGACATCATTCCTGATCACCTAGGTGTTCTGGATTGTGTCCCACAGACTGCGTAGAGTTCCTTGATTCTTGACTTGTTCCTCGATTCCTTTTCATTTCCGTATTACAAATGCTGTTCATAACTTCATCCACTTTTTCCGACCCATTCAGTCCTGGATGTATCAAGATTCCGTCCTTCGGCCGTCCCCAAGATGCCGTCAGAGGAAACAAGTCAAACGCGAAACCCAACATCGAAACTGTTGCTCTACTATATCAGCGACGCAGATCGGCATACCACAGCGAAGATGGGGACGCAAATGCCCTCTGCTCTTGAGGGATAATTGGGGTAGCAAAGGCAAAGGAACTGGCAATGTGGAGATGGACCGGGCTAAGATCTCTCTGGCCAAGCTGCACCCAGTACCCGCCAAGATGATTGTTGGGCCCTTTACCGCCGGGAAAGGCTCTCCAGTGCCTCTCATTCTCGGCGCCGAGGTGGATTTGCTGAACAATGGCTACATTGTTCTCGAGTGCGACTCCTCGAAGCCGGGCGTACAGATAGGCGGAGCATGCCAACGTAACCTCACGAGCGCAGGGACCGAGCCGGTGGACCATCTCATCAAAAGGGGTGAGTATATCCTTCTCGAAGATTTCAATGGCTTTGGAGATATCTTTCATGAATCCCCAGCCACCGCTCGCCTTCCGCTCACCAGGGAAGACTTCTCCTTGGATGGCAATGTGGAGACGCTGGACACGCGGGAAGAAGACCGGCAAGGCTTCGAGAAACTTCTCAAAGGACCTGAAATCTCTGCAAGGCTCCTGTGTAGGTTCACTGTCACCCAGGTACGGGTCGAAAGTCCAGCTGATCTCCAAGGACTTGATGCTGGAGAGACGTTGGGGGAGCAGAAGTTTGTGCAAATTGAGCAGCATGAGCTTGCTTGCTGAATGGATGGTGTTAGTGGAGTAGAGGACCTCGATGCCCTCCTTGTAACTGTGGCACCTCATGTTAGCACAAGGATATGTCTACTCAATGTTGGGAACCAAGAGCGAACTCACGCTTGCCGGCAGCTGAGCAGCCAACCCATAGCGCCAATGTTGCAGCTTGCATCGCCGTCTTGCATATGCCACAATTCGCAGATGTCACCCACGTCTGTTATTCCGAGACCGCCATAGCGACAGAAGTCTTCAGACGGCTCCAGCTCCTTCCAGAATCGCTTCCAAGGTTCAGGCACGTTGCGGTGGCAGACGGAGCCCTGCCAGATCCACTGCTTAGGCTCTTTTAGATTTCTCCGCAGGTAGTTATAGCCCGGGCGTCCAGTCGTATAGACTCGCTTGCGGCCATGGATGTGTGCACCGTCCGAGGTGTTGTCTTTCTTGTGTATCTCGACATCAGGATGGTCCTGCCATAGATCCATGTGAACAGTGCGGCCGCCGAATGCCATGGTAAGAATCTTTGTTCGGATCTCAGATGGAAGCTTTTGGAAGAAATCACTCTGAGCTGTGGCTTCGATAGCAGAGTGGCAGAATTCTTCTTGGTTCAATGGTGTTGGGGTGAGCGGTCGCACTCTTGGGTCCAGGACCGGGAGAGCGTCATGGTCTTGCTTCTTGGCTTGGTCTATGCCAAACAGCTTGAGCAGGAACTTTTTCATCCTGATAACTGATGGTTATTGAACAGGTCGATGGTTGCTGGTCTGATGCTTGGGTTGGATTCGCTTGTTTGAATGATATGCTTGATGATGTTTGTATGTAAGTTAGGGAAGGTGTAGACTGCCAGGTGGAAGGAGGAATAAACACAAAGGCAGAGCGAGCCAGTCACGCGAGCTGGTGCCTGCAGCTGATTGGCCCTGTTGTGCCCAGGTTCTCAGCCCTCACTCACCATTCCTTCGTTGCCTCAGGCTCAAAATTGGCAATACAGATCTGTCTGAAACTGTACTCACAAGGACAATGGACAGCCGTTCCGTTTCTATATGAATCTCTGGAGAATCTCGGAGAACAATTAGTTTCATACCACTTGATGCATGATGCACCAGACAATAATAGCATGAGCGGCTTCGGCTTACTCATTTTACGGCGATTCAGATTAACTCTTGAAATCGAGAGTGGCCTTTAACTGTCACGAGGGGAGTATATGTAGACATGTTGTGCGGGGCATTGTTATTCTATTACAGGTTTGCTTTCCCATCCTGAGTGACAAAATGTACATGGTCAATACCAAACCTCATTACTCCATACCTAGGCTCCGAAGAAATTGAAATAAAATCAAAACCAGTTACTACTGCGTGTTAGTCAACGAGCCGCTGATGGACAAAGCAAGAACAATCCCGACAGGGCCAATAAAGGTCGCACGATGCTTCTCCTTGGCGAGTATGAAGATGGTGAATACGAGCTCGGCAATGAGTATACCCTCGATGAAAACTCCTTGCGCAAGCGAAGCCCCTCCTCCGAGAGTAGTGCGTACATCAAACGACTCAGGGAAGAGATATCGTACAACCGCTGAAGAGATGATGGCGCCAGTCATTTGGGCAGTTAGCAGGCAAATCCCACGAACAACTGTAAGAGCTTTGACCATGATCATTCCAAGAGTGACGGCAGGGTTAAATAGACCACCGCTGATTCGAAAGAATACCCAGACGTTAACCATCAAAGAGAACCCAAAGGAGAGAGAGATGTAAATGAGAGAAGCGAGATTGAAACCGGTGGATTCTCCAGTAGTGCTGTTAGAACCCTGGTTATCACTTTTGATGTTGGCAACTTCAGTGCCAGCAAAGGCAGAGAACAAAAACATTCTTGTGCCCACTAGTTCTCCTAGACTTGCCACAAAGTGGTGTAACGGCCAGGAGCCTCTCCTCGCCAATAACGCTCGTAATTGGAGCTTTCTCGAGGCTCTGTGCCCATATCGGCCTCCCACCCATCACAAAATCGAGTAGACTTCTGTGACTTAGATGCTGAGTTATTGAGGGAGGGATCGATTGTCGATTAGTGAGGGTGGTGTAGGATGTCAGGCCAGAAGAATGGCGAGTGCGGGCGTTCTCTTGGCTGTTTGAAGTTCGAGCAGGAACAGCGGTGGCAGGCTTTGGATCTTTGGGGCCTTCGGATTTTCTTTGGATAGTTGGACCGACGGAAACTCCTCCTGGTTCTCCAGCAGCAGCAAACGGCGAGACACCAATGGCAGGCGTGCTGCGGGAGGATCGATGTCCGAGACGGTTGTGTTAGCTTTGAAAGCAAGACATCGTGTGAATAAGATGGGATGATAAGAAGACAAATGTATGTGTCACCGCAACACAAGAAAGCGTTTGTTGGTAGGCAAAGGAGGATTATTTCAGGGTTTGTTATTGCGGTCTAGCTGCCAGCTGATCGATCAAGGCACCAGCAGCCGTTTCTAATATCTTTTTTTTTTCATGTTCTTGTATCCATTCGCAGCACAACATGTTGGCTCAATATTGTTGCTCGGTTGCTTCCTAGGCAACGACCGGAGTGGAGAGGACAGTCGTTTCTGTGAGGAGTCGTAGGGCGTGTCGGTTCAACTGTCATTGAAGGGTTACGCAGCCTCGACAGAACGAAGAGTGGAGGGCGCAATGGTAGCGGCAAAGACTGTGAGAGTTAAACAGGAGCAATCAAATCTGGTCTTACCCCCTAAGCAAGTGAGTTTGCACAGTAGGGGTATCGTGGTGAGCTGCATGAAGGATTGGGACGATCCCAGAGAAAGTGTTCGTGATAGGGAGAGATTACAGAGGGAACATCAACTAAACTGTGGAAGGCACGCCGTCCGGTTACCTGGTTAGGCAGGGACAGCCCTATATTACAGCGCTCTTAAGGCATCCACAGGCCCGTTTTAGCACGTCTCCCCTCTATATCGGCGGGAGAGACGACAAGTGGGGCGATGACATAGTTGCGCCTTCCTCCTTCCTCCTGCTTGCTGCAAGTTGGAACTTCTTCCTCGGTCCCATCACGATGGAATCGTACGGCAACGCGAGCCCGACAGCTGTCATGCAGTTACCTGCAGTAATTCAGGTTCTGGTGTCGAATAAGTACAAACACGACTTATCGAGCATGCTATCGTCGAGCACCGTTTTATGGCGTGGCATCAACGCTTTCAAACCTTAGCCAAGATTCCCCGTGAACTCCTTGAGCACGAGCACTGGGCCCTAGCAATATTGTTTCCCGGAACTCAAAAATTCCTAAAATAGGCAGAGTACGTACAGGGGTTCTCCGGATTGCACGATAGGGTACCGTGGCTGGAAGCTAACTTACTTACAGTTGGCCATGGAACAGACCCTCTTCGTCTCGACCTGATGATCTTTTCCGAGATTCGAAAGTCGTCCTTGTTCAGTGACAGAAAGCCCCAACAGCCCTCCAACCAACGGTCAAAGACTCCTTCGTCCCTATGGTGATGGGCGCGTGTTTAAGGCCAGGACGCTGGAGGGCTTCGGCCGTTCGTCAGCCGTGGAGCCCCTTTTCCACACAAGAGTTACGTCTGCCGCGGCCGTGCCCCCAATTCTTTCTCAGCAACGGCTGGGTTAGGGACCCTACAAAATCTCATGAGTCTTGGTGGGGAATTCATGCGCCAAGTTTGCATGACGTGAACTCTCTCAGGTATATCCCAACGTTTACCTCTCTATCTCCTTCTCGAGCGACGCCTTATCAGGAAATACTAAGTCAACATCAAGGCCTATGATCATTTCCAATGCCCATGGCAAAGAGCAGAGCTGGTCAGTCCACAGACCCCATTCACCCAGACGAATTACATCAGCTTGAGTTAGTCTCTACCCAGAGGTGATGCTTTCGGTTGCGGCCCAATATACAAGTTCTAAACATCATACAATAGCCTCGAGTTCGGGTCTTGATCGCTTCAGTTTTACAAGCGTAACCGTACCATGGAGAATCCACGCCGGCGGGATCTCGGCATACTTGTCAAAGCCACGACCTCGCTGCCACTCATGTCTTGAGATTTTCGATCCGCCACTGGAGAAGCCTCGATATTTTGAAATCCCAAAGCACTCTAGTCCAGAGAGGGTCTGTTTAAGTATGAGATTCGCTGGCGATATATTGGCTCAGATGAAGAACCTTCCCATCTAGGCCTCTCGCTTTGACTCAGAGCAAAGGGAGCCATTGTATCTCCTGACTAAAAGCCTGCGAGACAGAACTTATCGTCTGAGCTTATATAGCCCCATACCATACTTCTATTTCCATTCTGATGACTCCTACTATGAGGAACAGAAAGAATCGATGAGACTTAACAAATCCACCTCAGTGCTGGGTGGGATCGACAAAGGGCGTTGGGATTCCCGCCCAGCGCTCCCAGAAATACGTAAATGGAAAGTCCCAGTCTGTATCGAACGCAACGTACGCCTTTCTCAACGTATTTATGGAGACGCCCTACAGACCTATGCAGATAAAGCGCGTCATAAAGGGGCTTGATTCACGGATCAAGACATCTTGGACTCTCGACATGCAGGGTGCTACAAGCGAACACTCACTTCAATCATAACCATCTATAGTAGCACGAGAAGGGGATCGCACCCAAATTCTGTCATTATTTTTAACAATTCCTGCTTTGTAACGACGCCACGCAGTAAGCTTAGACAAAACATCCCGCAGCAGCTAGATGTGAATAATAGTCCGATGCCCCAAACGCACACTCCAAGATAACCAAGTAGAATAAAGGCAGAGGAGAACTCCCAGCGTACCTATTACATCGCAATTCTCTGTCACCCTATACACATGCACTGAACTATCTCTGTAGGCTAAAAAGAACCAAACAAGATGTATGGGCCAAGTCCACGTCGTGAAGCAGAAAAACGGTGGGTATAAGACGAACTGCAGTGCTTCCCGCTTTTGATAGATTGGTCATCAAAGCACCGCGCCGCCTTTTCAACAGTGATTCTTTGACCCTTGTAACATGTGTGAATTTCTCAGTCATCTGTGAGTGTGTGTATGTGCAAGTGTGAATCTGGTACCAGGCTTGCACGATTGGCCACAAGGGCTGTATGATCGATCACATTTTCGACTTTGTGGGTCCTTAAGAGACGAAAATCTAAGATAGAATCTGCGATAAAGTACCCCCAGGCTCCCCCGCCTTTTCGTACTGAATGCTTTGGTCCCAGGGACCTTGGCCAGCCATTCGAACGCTCCGCTTGGGCCAGACGTGCATCAGCGATTGGTCGAAGGCCATGGCTATTGAATGAACAAGTTGAGAATGGCCATCAATGTAGTGGTAAGGGCATTTCCAAGGAAATCCTGGGCAAGTAAGGCAGGTCTACGATTCAGCCAAATGCAGGCCGCCTTCTTTGGATCAGCAGCCTTTCAGGAGCGGTGCCTTTGCCACCTCACTTTTCAGCCCTCTTAGCATCTGCAGTACACACAGTGTAAATCCCAAGGAGAATTTTTAGCATTATTATTATTTTTACAAATCCTTTTCAGTAGAGTTGTCAAATTATTCGGCTCCTCTGGCCCTGGGCAGACGGTTACATCAATAAAGGAGATCAGCTTGGGCCCGGCAACTCTTGAGATCACAACATTCGGGCTCTTGTGCGCTCTGGTGGTCTATGAGGCATGCACGATGCAAGTGCTTCTCGCAGTCGGCGGCACACGGTACCTTCGCTGCACGATGCCTGCCCGGGTCGGGGAAGCACTGTGTTACTTCAGGTGCGAAAAGATCCCCTGGTATTATATAATGCAGGCACGAAAGTACCTCTTTCACTACTTTTTCTGCCCAAACTGCAGTCTTTTCGCTTGGCTGGCGCACGCCTTCCCCAATGGCTCTCGCCGTATTCTATTAGGCAGTGATGATGGTCAATGACCACAAGCACGCAGGAGCTGTGATATAATAAGCAGTCATCTCATCCCATACCTGACATACTCTTTCCATGCCTACATATGTATGAAAGCCGCCTGCTTGGGTCTACTTCTCCTCCCAGTGACGTGCAAACGAACAGAGCCAAACACTCCACGAGCCGGAGAGACTCGCCCTCGAGTCAAATTGCCAAAGCAGCCCAGTCAACAAAGCAAACAAACAGACAAACATCCTCCATTAACTTGCCACTCTGATCCAGGGTCAGACAGGTCAAGGGGGTGTTCGGCAGGCCCAAGCGCACAAGGGTCACATCCATTACACTCGCCATCTAAAACACAGACGAACAATACGGAGGTTGTTGTCCATCATACACGAACATAAACAAATAACTCAAACAACCAAGCAGCCAGCCATCTTGTGTGATCGAGGCAGGCGACTGGCACCGATCCTCTTTTGTTGGGCAGTGTAGGGCACAAGCAAGGCGCTGGCAGCCCCTATAGGACGATCGAGTGCATGCCTGCGGCTGTCAACGGCTGCCCGTCTCCGCCCTTCAGCCAGGTGACCAAGTACCTAGGGCAGCATATGGTCGACCTGTGGCGTTCTTCGTGCCTGAGGACATCCTACTTCTTTCTACTTCTTTTTACACACACAGGTTCTTGGCCTTTGTTGTTCTTCGCGTCTCACTCTTTCACTTCGAATCATCATCCAGATTCGCCGACTTCCCTGGCCGTGGAATCTTGATACAAAGCTCGTCTCCTCTCGGGGAGCTTCGTTGAAGCAAGCCATCTTCATTGCATAAATTCTCTCTTCATGCCCCCGAATTCACATCTCCAACTTTCTTGTTTTCACCTTGCAACCAAACTCTGGCTCTACTCGCCACGATTTTCCATTCAGATATAGACCCTCTCAACAAAGCATTCAAGCGTTTCGTTCAAGATCTTTCACCTACATCTCAACTCCACGTTTTCCCATCCAGACATAGTCTCCTCAGGAAAGCATTCGAGCATTTCGTCCAAAATCATTCACCTGCATCTGAACTTCGCGTTTTCCCATTCAGATATAATCTCCTCAACAAACAAACCACTCAGGTGTCTCGTCCAAGATCTTTCATCTCCTTCTCCTCGCCGCGTTTTCCTTTCAGATATAGCCTCCTCAAAAGGCCACTCGGGCATTTCGTCCAAGATCATTTACCTGCACCTCAACTCCGCGTTCTACCTTTCAGAAAAAGTATCCTCAACAGACCGCTCAGGCGTTTCATCCAAGATCTTTTACTTCCATCTCAACTCCGCGTGGAGTCATTGTCGTTATCATGGATTCTTTGCCAACTTGCTACGGCAAGGGTAAGATTCTGACTCTCCAAGTTTCAGCAGACCAGGAGCCATTCAACGTTGTCATCGAGGCTGCACACGGAATCTGGTCGCACTCCGTGAACCTCCTCGTCAAGGTTCTCGAGAACGATGCAAACATCGAGGTTACTGACAAGCTTGTCTTCCTTAAGCTTTACGACCGCCGTTTCTCGCCGGCCTTCCGCGAGCGCTGGGATGTCAAACCATGGACTCCTGCGCTTGAGGAGGACCTTCATGCATTCTCCCAAATCGGAGCTGCCCGTACCGTTCTCGACATCTGGCGTGACAGTCCCCACACGGAGTATGATTTCTCTGCTCCCAGTTACCACAAGGAAGCCCTCCTCTCTGTGATCATGTCTGAGGAGTGGGAGAAAGAAAATGACGCTTACAGAGTCCTGAAAGCTCACCAGGGAAAGTTCATCCCCCGTATGATCTGCAGCGTCATGATGCAAATTGGTCCCGTCAGCATGGTTGGCACTGAGCCCATCCCCCTTTTGGACGACCCTCTTATTCTCGGCCAGTCCCCCGAGATGTTCGAAATCGATGGCTTCCTCATGGAATACTACCCAGGTTTCCCAGCCACTAAGATTGCCTGCCAAACCGACCCCGGCGACTGGAAGCATCTCAAGAACCGTGTCATCGCTACTGTTGGCCACGTCATGGAGTCTGACACCATCCTCCACGAAGACATCCGACCCAAGAACGTGGTCATCACCTACGATAAGGATTGCCTCCGCAACCATCGTGTCATCATGACCGACTTCCGCTCCACCATGATGCGCGACACGGAGACCGACGAGGAGTGGGCGGAGATGAAGAAGCGGTATGACGAGAAGGGCATGATGGAGGCCAAGCTCGAGAATCCGCCACGCCGCCGCCAGGAGGGCGATGGCTATCGCTCCTACACGGCCTCCGCCTGGTGGAACTTTGATGACTACGACATCATGACCCATGATTAAATGGGCCTAGAGGTCATCAACACCTGCCGAGGGCATCCCCGCACGTTAATTGTGTTATTTGTTTTGGAACTCTGCTGCCGTATCGTCAAATTTTGTCGTTTTTCACGTCTGTAATAGGTAGTCAGTAGTTAGATGAATCATGAAACCTCCTCTGTTTCCTTCTTTGTGCGCCTTCCTTTGTGCTATGCGACCTAAAACTATCCGTTCTTCCTATCTGAAAATTCTTTCACACAATACACTTCCATACAGCAATTATTGCGAGGTGATCACACACAAATAACATCAGTTTCCATAATAGGTGTTTGATCAGCTCACAACATGGTGCGCATTCTGGTGTCTGCGGTTTCTCCGTGGAGAAGGTAGTCTGAGTAGGTATATTGTGAGAAGAGGGTGATGCTGCTTCCAGTCTGGACATGATGCTCCCAGTTCCACCCAGACGCCGGCTGTAATGGGCCGAGCTTCGACTAAACGAGAAACCCATTTAGGTAAAGGGAATATTCGGTATGATTTCATATCGACCCCGTCTCCGTCGCGTAGTTGTTTACTGGCCCAAGTCTGGCTAACAAAGAATTAAAAACCATTCTGTCGGAGGTCTAAATGAAGAAATTGGAAATCATTCTGACGGAAGTCCAGACTCCAGTGGTTTTATCCAGACCCTGCACCTGTTGATGTAGTGACTCTACGCCATGTCCATACAGCCACAACCTCGGGCAAATCACGCCCCTTCAGAGGTTAGTAAAGGGGCTGGACCTCGCCCACTCGAAACTCCTTCGCTTCATCCATTTCCTCAAGGAAATTGAAACAATCGAAAATCACAAACCACTGTCATCATTATGGAGTTGAGCCAGGTTAGACATGTCCCTTTCCAGCCTCGAGATCACTTATGTTGAGTAGGGAGGCACGGAGTGGCCCCTTTTCAGGCTCGACATGACCCGTCTACTACGCCATTGACCATCTACACAAGAAGCCCCCTCGATATTCCCGGGAATGGCATGGCAAGCAATGCATATCAGGGAGCTCAGCGATCTCCCTCGCAAACACCAAGATGTTTCTCGACTCATCCACCGTCTTTCCAAATACACGCCCCAGGTTGCTCGATCACGATACCACTCCTCTAACATTTCGGGCCGATTCTATCTCAAGCTTACATCCAATATCTATACGGCATTTAGCACCTGGTAAGTTCATCACAAGAGGAATATTCTCTTCAGAAGCTTGGTTAACACGTCTAAGCCATGTATTCATATATTTTCTTTGACCTTCTGTTTCAACGCCATAGTTCTTTCCTCTGTTCTAGTCTTTCGATCCAAGAAACAAGCCCAAGATTTGCAATACCCGAAATTTCCAAAAACAAACAAAGCATCATTATCTTCCGTCTCTTTCTTCTCTGCAAAGTTTCATGATATCGTCACTTTTTATCTATTTAAAAACGGTCCAGGAGACCACGGCCCTCGAGCAGCAGGATGATCTCGTGCACGATGGAGCGAACGTTCTGCTTCTCCAGGTCGACAACGAGGTCGGGGTTGACGGGGGCCTCGTAAGGGTCGTCGACACCGGTGAAGCCCTTGATCTCGCCGGCGCGGGCCTTGGCGTAGACGCCACGGCGGTCGGTCTTCTCGCAGTACTCGAGAGGGGTGGCGACGTGGATGAGGAAGAAGTTGCCGTTTCTCTCGACGGACTCGCGGGCCTGGCGGCGGGCATCCTCGAAGGGGGCGATGGGGGCGGCGATGACGGCGGCACCGGCCTTGGTGAGCTCCGAGGCGACAAAGGCGATGCGGGAGATGTTGAGGTCGCGGTCCTTGCGGGTGAAACCGAGCTCCTGGGACAGCTCGTGACGGACGTTCTCACCGAGAAGCATGGAGACGGGGCGGCCACCATCCTGGTTGAGTGTGACTTGGAGGGCGCGGGCGATGTTGTCCTTGCCACTGTTCTGGTATCCGGTGAGGAAGACGGTGAAGCCCTTCTCGCGGGGAAGGGGGTTCTGCTCGCGGAGGACCTTGACGACCTCGGGGTAGGAGAACCAGGCGGGGATCTCCTTGCCGGTGCGAAGGCGGTGGCGCAGCTCGGTACCGGAGATGTTGAGCGTGCGGGTGCCCTCGGGGATCTCGTTGGCGGGCATGTACTCGTCTCTGTCGGGGATGTAGATCATCTCCTGGAACTCGACCATCTTGATGCCGAGCTCCTCCTGGTACTGCTGGACGAGGTGCTGGGCGTCGTAGGGGCCGTAGTGGTCCTTGCCGTTCTTGTTCTTACCGGGACCGGCGTGGTCACGGCCGACGATGAAGTGGGTGGCGCCGTGGTTCTTGCGGATCACGGCGTGCCAGACAGCCTCGCGAGGGCCACCCATGCGCATGGCGAGAGGCAGGAGGGCAAGAGCACCCATGCCGTTGGGGTAGCGGGGCAGGAGAGCCTTGTAGACACGGACACGGGTGAAGTGGTCAATGTCACCGGGCTTGGTCAAGCCGACGACGGGATGGATGAGGACGTTGGCCTGCTGCGAGCGGGCGGCACGGACGGTCAACTCACGGTGGGCGCGGTGCATGGGGTTGCGAGTCTGGAAAGCGACAACCTTCTGCCAGCCCAGCTTGTTGAAGTGAGCGCGGAGCTCGGCGGGAGAGACTGCGATGCAAGGTCAGCATGGATATTGCTCGATCTGAATTCTCCCTTGGTTCTTTCCCAAATGCCAGCCGCGGCATTGCGAGATCGAAGCAGAGAATTTCTCGCAGAGATTGCTTACAGCGCAGCTCCAGGAAGTCATAGTGCTCAAGGCGCTGGATAGCCTCGAGCTTGCCACCAACGTAGAATTCCTTGGCGACGTTGAAGAGGTGCTTGACACCGGGGTGAGTATCATCATCACTGCCAAAGACCTTGACAGCCTCGTTGGTCCTAGTGCAAGTGTTAGTTTCCGGTTCCGAGCGAGACGGACGCGCGAGTCATGCCAGGCTTACTTGTCAGGTCGGTAGACATCCTCGACGGTGAGGATGGCCAGGTTGCGGTCATCTCTCAGATCGCGGAGGGTGATCTTGGCGCCAGGCTTGATGCCAAGGTCGTCAATCTGCTTCTGATCCACGTCCAGCGTGATAGGCATACTGAAGAGGGCGCCATCGGCAAGGCGGAGAGTCTCAACAACGCTAGACACGATTGATTAGCTCTCATTCCATCGCGTGCTACCTGGGTACATGAGAGCAAGGGCGCTCTCTGGTAGAGGAATCATACCTGGTGAAGTCCTTCTCAGCCATGAAACCTATGCGCCCAAAAGGGTCCAGTCAGTGATTGTCCAACTTTGCGTCATTTGTCGTGCGAGTGGCATCAATTGGGCTGAGAACAGGCCAATTGACGATCACATTACCACGACGGTAAATTTTTGCAGCAAGACGAACCTTCCAGAGGGGAGAAGCCACCGTTGAGGATGAGCTCGAGATCGCACAGGTGGCGCTCAGTCAGAGTGAGGGCGGGGAGCGTCTCGGCCTCAGCGAGAAGCTCCGACTGGCGGGGAGCATCGCGGGCGAAGAGGTCCTTGAGGACACCACCGTGAGGAGAGTTGGCCATGACGTGCGGGATGTGGTGTGGCGGCGGTGGTGAGGGGTCGATAAGGGGAAAGGGGAGGGGAGGGAGAGAGAAGGTTTGGGAAAGAAGGAACAACGAATTGATTTTGAATAATAATAAAGACGCTGCGCGAGTAATTACAGCCAATGCAATTGCCTGTGTTGGAGGAGTAGACAGAGTCGTTATGATAGAGTTTCCGCTATTCGGGCACCCATTGATCACGCAATCGGAGCACACGAGAGCCGACTGGGTTGGACAATCCCCCGGATGCGGGTTTATGGAAGGGTTTTTTTTTTTTTTGCCTGATGGAGGGGGAGGGGCAAAGTGGGTGGTGGGAGGCGATGGAGCTGTGTTAGGTGTCAGCAACACGGGTCGCCGAGGTGACAAGAGTCGAATATGATGGTCAATTGAAGTCGAAAGGGCACGACTCTTGGGTGCTAAATCAATGCTAGACGTGTTCTTTATGTATAAGGACAGCGGTGGACCAGGGAGCTCGAGACGATGCGCAAATGCCACTTATAACGGCCACCAACCACAAGATCACAGCAAATAACACGTACCCATTACCCACGAGTAAATAGGAGGTGCATCGGAACATGGCTCTCCACCATGGCATGGTTATCCTAATCCATGAGACCCAGCAAGGAGAGAGAGCTTGTGGTGTTTCCCAGTGTCTGGGACAGAGTGAGCCTCACTGTGTGTACCTACATGCCATCCAACGATCCTTGCAGCACCCTTGCAGCCGCCCAGGACCCAGCAGAATTTCAGATCAGATCAACGCAAAAACGACGGAACAGTCAGCTAGCTGGGAAATGGGGTGGGTTTCAAGTACGTATTCACGTACGTAGTCCCCAACGTACACCGTCGCCCACCGTACGTTTCTGCACATGGAATATATTATCCCAGCCGTGCACAGCGACATGGGCAGAGGGCAGAGAGCAGCACCGGCATCGTTGCATGGCCGATGAGCTGTTTCAAGCCATGATTGTCGATATCGTGGCCCGGCCTGTCTGTCTGCCGTCGACGGGTACAGCCCAGAGCCGTCTTTAGTGAGGAATTGCGTGCTCGGAATCCACACATTGCTTGGCAGCCAGGCTCTGACGGCAGCTACCCGTGCCCATCATCCATGCGGATTTTTTACTTGTGTGCTGGATCTCCGAGGATACATCATCCGGCTCTTCTCACCCACGGACTGGGCGCCTCGCTCGAGCCCCCTGCCAGTCGAGAGCCCCGACGACAGACAGCCCCTCTACATGACACCTGTTGACTAGGTTTTTTAATGGGGCCCTGGTCCGTGGTCGGCGGTTCGTCGCTCTCAGCCACCTGAGCGACGCCATCAGCCGTTTCATCACCAGACTGTGATCTGCCGTGATACCCAAACGGGCAGTAGAACGGCATCTCTTTTGTTTACGACTTGTAGCAAGACTTTTTTGCGGGTATTTCATTCACGCAAAACGGGTCCGTGATATCATACTACCTCCCTAGGTCCGGCACCACTTGTAATAAGCCTATATACAAAAACGTGCCAGCGGACGCGGCTCTCGAGCGCAGGACCCAGACGCTTCCCGCTGGATAAGTCGCTCACCCTGCTTCCTCATGGAGCACACGGAGATGGATTTCGTCTCCACACGACGTAAAAACTGGCGGATGCCGGGGATTGCGCTGATCGGGGGTCGGGCCATGGGTCGGTCCAGTTAACCGCCCTGGATAGCAAAAAGGTCCGCCTCCATTTGCCTGCCTGAAAAGGAGGGTGTTTGAAATCAGAGCTCGGATCCGTCAGTGGAAGACCAATTCGGCCCGCGATCTGCTTGCATTAGTAAACTCGCATCTGCTTCTTCCGGGTCGGTGTGTTGGTGATTCGTAAGCACAAGCCACAGGTGTTGTGGCTTGACACCTCTCTTTGCAATTCAAGCCACAACACGTGCTGGGTGATGAGCAGCCACATCACTGTCTAACGAATTGATCGTCTTTGAAACCTCGATTAATTATAAGCCAAGGTAGCTCGCTATGTCTGTCGAAATGGAAAAGGTCCTCTAATTGTCCCAATATCCAAACACGCCTGACTAGCCCTCTATTGCCTACCCAACTACAAAGCCATCCGGTACTGCACAAATTGCGTATCGGCCAGCTTGTCATACAGAGCACGCGCTGTGACGTTATCATGCTTCGTTAGCCACTGCAGCCGAAGGCACCCTGTGTCTCTGGCGACATCGGCGACTGCCTCGATCAATTTACGACCCAGGCCTTGGCCACGGATCGCGGGGTCAACGAATAAGTCTAGGGGTGCACAAATTTAGTTGCGCTTGTTGAGAGAGAAAGCAATGAAGAGGCAAAGGGCGCCATGCAGGAACCGTACCATTCAGCATCATAATCTTCTTCTCGCTCCAGGGTGTGAGCTCGGGGAAAAAGTGGGCGATCCCAACCATCTTCTCAGCCCCGTCCCCGACCTGCCTCACCACCAGAGCCTGGAGGCCGTCCTTCTCCACAATGATCCGGCCAAAGGTCTTCTTGTACTGCTCGTCGTCAAGCGAGGAGCGGTAGAAGTCAATGTATGCTCGGAACAGGACGGCCCACTCGTCGTAGTCGTCGCGTGTGAGCTTGGTGACTTTGTACTCGACGTTCGACGTCATCGTGAAGAACAGGGGCCTCGAGGTGCTATGAATGATAAATTGTGTCCGAAAGGAATGGAGAGGCGTGCAGAGCATCTACGCAGATGGTAAATATACTTAGAGCGACCGGCATTTGGACCGGTTGCTTGTCATCCGTCATTGGGTTCGGTGGCTACCCGGGACCGAAGCTCCCCTCACCGGGACGGTGTTTGGTTGTGCCTCCACAAGTGGTTATTCCATTCAAGTAGGTGATCGCTCTAGTAGCCTTGGTTGAGGAGGTGAGACTATGTTGACAGCTCAACTTGGAAGTGCGGAGTAATAAGGCGGGGGGGCACATTCCAGCCGGTAGCCATCTACATTATTTGAACATAATAATCTTGCCAAGAGCTGGGATACGATGTAGATGCAGCTGGTACTATGTTCTGCTGCAGAGGGGTGCTGTCTATGTCTTATGGTGACCAGAAAAAAACTACCGCTTGATATTTGAGATATCCATGTTACAGTATCAAGCAAGACCTATATCACCTTGTCCCCCATCCTCATGATCTCCCTCCCATGCGTGCATCTGTATGTGCTCGTGATCCGCCCGGCATTCCAGCCCTGTGACCCGTTGTTCCAGTTGATTGGATGTGGCTGGTGGCTGTGGGGTGTGATGCAACCCTCAGCAGGAATAGGTTTGATGGGGGGAAGCGGTTAATACCCGACCTAGGAAAGCATGATTTAGCATTCAAGGTCCTTGTAACGTTCTACTCTGATTCCTGCTACTTGTTGTAGAGCCTCCAGTCTACTCTGGCTCTAGCAGGCAGATCAGGAGGAGGACTGGTCATGGCGTCGATGTGCCCAATAGCTGAAAGGCAAAGCTGCTAGTAAGCAGTCTTGGCGGTCTATCCCGCCTCTAAGCAAAAATACAGCAAGGCGAGAGTCTCCACCAGCGACCACGCCATGGTTCCCCCTTGTTCTGCTCTAACCACCGTCATCGTGGCTCTGGGGTCTGACATCTGATTTTCCATCTCTGCCCTCCCGCGACACTGTTTCGAGATCCGAACCTTCCTTGCGCATGTGTTAGATGCCATCGATCTTCTCTGCCGACAATTGCCCCTAATTCTCCCATGTTTAGGTTGAGTGTCCCAGGCAGATCTCGACTTTCCAGCCGCCGTCTCCATTAGCCCGTGCGATCCGAAGCCATTCCAATCCGCAGATCCCTCGTCCAAAACACCGATTGTGTCTGAGGCCGCTGGCCCTTTGCTGCGGCCTTTCCCAAGCATACGAACCGTTTCATATTGCCAGAATAACGCGTCGAGGATTGGAGTTCTCCAGGCATGGTCGCAACCCGATTTCCAGGGGCGACCGTGTTGTTGTCCCTGGTTCTCTCGACCTTTCTTCGCACCGCTCTCGCCAAAAATACGGCCTATATCCAGGGAACCGGCATCGATGGCGTGCAGCGAAACCTCGACGTGAGCCGGTACCCCGCGCTCTACACCCAAGACTTCGATGATTGTCTCCAAGGCCAAAGTTTGTTTAACATCACGAAATTTGACGCCGCGTACTATGCCGACAATCTTACCGTCGTCTTTCATCTTGATGGCGTTACAAATGTTCGAAACGAGAACTTAGTCTGTGCGTCTACTTTGCTTTCCCTTTACTCTGATACATGCAGCTAACATGGGATGATAAGTGTATCTGAACATCGAAGCCTACGGCATCAGCCGATTCAACATCTCCTACGACCCGTGCAAGTCGGGCATAGACTCCATGTGCCCCTTGAACTCGAGCATTCCCGTGTCGGCCTCTGCGATTATCCCCGTTACTGCCGACCAAGTAGCCGAAGTTCCCTCGATCGCTCTCGATATCCCCGACGTCGAAGGCTTTGCGCGCCTACATGTGTTTGCCAACTCGAGTCGGACAGAGATCGGCTGTTTCCAGGCGGCCCTCACCAACGGCCAAACCTTCTCGCAACCTCATGTCATCGGGTCGATCCTCGGAGCCTTCACTTTCTTCGCCGTCGTTGCATCCTTTGTCACTGCCGCATACGGCGTGAGCCTGACGCACATGAGAACCCACTACGCACACTCGTTCTCCGTGCTCGTCCTCTTCGAAACCTTCCAGTCCATATTCTTCTCTGGTGCTCTGACCCTGAGCTGGCCTAGTGTTCTTCCGGCTTGGTGGAGTAACTTTGCATGGTCTGCGGGCATGTTCACCACGACGCGCATCACCCACGCTATCCTGCCGTTTACGGGTAACTTCCGCAACGTTAGCCAGGTGGGAGGAGCCGGTTGGATACCGCTGAACAACAGAGGAGGGCTTGCGCGCCAGATCTACGGACGGGATATGCTCTTTGGACGGGATATTGCGGTTGATTCCGATGATAGCAGAGTCTCATCCATCCTGCTGGAACTCGAGCACGAGACACGGTATAATGCGAGCGACCCCTACGCCTACAACTGGAACGGCGGACCCAAGATTCCCGGGCTACCTCTGCCGGGGACTTGGCCAGGCTTTGGAGGAGTCTTGTCAGTCGTTAACATGCCAATGTCGGAGGCGTTCATCATTGGAATCATCTGGATTGCCGTCGTCGCCGCAGCTGTCGTGGTTTTCATAGCTGCCTTCAAGCTTATTCTTGAGCTGCTGGCAAAGTTCAAGTTGCTCAAGACGGATGGTTTCGACTTCTTCCGCTCCCACTGGGCTGGATACATAGGTGCTGGTGTCTTCCGCACACTCTTCATCGCCTTCTCTGTTGTGATGGTCTTGACTCTGCGACAGTTTGCGCTGGCTGGGCCTGCAGGGCCAACAGCCATTGCCGCCGTGGTGTTTGCCCTCTTCCTGTTTGGCTTGGGGAGCATCGCTGCATATGCCTGCATGTTCAGACTTAGACGCGGCAAGTTCGAGGTCTCCCCCGACACGATCCGGCTGGAGCGCGGCTTTCTATTCCAGCGCATCCCGTTCGTGGCTGCCACTCGGTCCAGTAAGATCGACTCGGGTGAACCTGCGGACCAGCAGCCTCCCGTCTACCTGTCTCTGCCTTTCCTGCAGATCAACTTCATCGAAGACGAGCCTCACCGCCCAGCTGTCCACCACGATGAGCATTATATCAAGCGGTTTGGATGGCTTTTTGCTCGGTACAGGCGCTCCCGGTGGTGGTACTTCCTCCCTTACATGATCTACCAGTTTGTACGTGCGTGCTTTATCGGAGGGGCAGCTGCGTCGCCGCTTGCACAGGTCTACGGGCTCTTCATTGTTGAACTGCTAGCTGTGCCCCTCATCATCAAGCTGAGCGCCTTCGAAAGCAACCGGAACATTGTCGTGTCAGCGTGGATGCTCTCCATCTCCAAGATCATCACGACCGGCCTCTCGATCGCCTTTCTTCCCGATTTCGACCTCAACCGCACCGCCACAACAGTTCTCGGCTTCATCATCATTGTCGTGCAGGCATTCCTCTCCGTGGCTGTCTTGGTCCTCGTTATCCTGGGCGCCATATCCTCCTGGATGTCCCTCACCCGAAATTCTGAGCAGTTCCCCGAGAAGTTCGAATGCGCCAGAGTCACGTACTTCGAGCACATCGCCGAGCGGTCAAAGGACAACCGACGGGAGAGGCGGCGCCAACAGCGCCTACGAGCATCTCAACAGGCGAGACGACAGCACGCGCCCACCCCTGCAATGACTGAGACGCCAGCCCCTTCGCGACCCCAGTCCACCTCATCCTTCACCGTCGGTCAAGTGCGGCGTGTGCAGAAGCTGGAGGAACTGGCGGCAAACTTCCCAGCGTTCGAGCAGGCCTCGGCCACATATTCCGGGCCGAGCCGGACGAACTGGTCCAGAAGCCGCGCCAGCAGCACCGGCTCGCGTTCCTCGGGCGGCGGCGGCGTCCCCTCTGCCGCAGACAACTACCCCGGCCGGCCGCGGAGTCGTGCCCATAGCACCGGATCACGATACTCCAACGGCAGCCTGCACTCGTCGCGCTCCCACCGCGCCTCCTGGAGCTCCAAGGACGTAGGGCAGTGGGACGCCGAGATGAACAAGGTCGAGCGCGCCGAGTCGTGGAGGAAGAGCCTCCCGCGCAACTCCCTCCGGTTCCAACCCTTGACGGTTCCCGGCATGCCCCTCCCCGGCGGCAGACCCATGTCGCCGGCGAGGGAGTCGATGGAGGACGAGGAGGTCAAGGCCGCCACGGCCGCCGACGCGGCCAGGCACCCGAGCAGGATTTCGGAAGCCGAGGACGAGGACAACAAGCGCTTGTCGGCTGAGCATGAGCCCAGACCCGTATCACCGCTTACACCGTCAGAGCAGGAGGGCCCGGAACCAGCGGAGCCGAGTAAGGCCTCGGAAATCCATTAGTTCAAGGCACTGCAAGTTTGACGATTAATGAGGGATACACCCATCCCGGTTACGAGGATCGAGCCCACTCTCACCAACGGGCCATAGAGTCGAAAAAAATCCCAGACCATGCACCGATTACATCTCCAGAATCGCAGGATCGGAGAAGAGAAAAACGAAATACGAAGGATACCCTTTTAATAATGTTTTGTCGAGCCTTTGAGCCCCCATCACTGGGCGCGAAAGAGTTCTCGGCGTGTTTGGTTTACATGTTTTGCATTTGAGCATCTGGACGGCGTTTTAATAAACCCTGAGCCCCTTCCATTTGATATGACGGACGGGCCTTGTTTTGAGTTTTTGATTTACAATACCAACACGTTGGACATGGAGATGCACATGGCACTCCCACTGAAGCTGAGCATATGGCAGTCTGCCTCTGATTTTCATAGAATGATAGGAAATGAACAAACTTTCGATATATTTTGCCAGATGATACTGCATTGTGATAACGAGAGAATTGGAAGCATGCCTACACGAACTATTTGTTGGCCCTGTTAATCTACACATTCATTTCCTCCTTGCAACCAATTTTTAGTCTACCCCTGATCAATTCTTTCTATGGTCATATTCTTCCCCTAAGCTAACATCTGCCAGCCTCCCATGTCTCACAAGAATGTCACCGTCTTCTCCCGCTCCCTGGCGCTGCCGATCTTGAACCTCAGGGTGATCCTGATGCGCAGGCGGCGGCGTCGGCGGTTGCGGCGTGAGGCAGCGAGGGCAGAGGACGGCTGGATCCCGTCGTCTTCTAGCCTGGGAGGAGCTGATGGGCCCTCGACCTCTGACGGGACCGGCGTGGGATGGGGCGTCCCGTCTCCGATGAGTTGATACGGTGGAGGGGGCAGTGTGGTCTCGTCTGCCGTTTCTTGGTGGTCTCTACTGGACATGATCTCGTCCATCTGGATATCTCTGGAGAGATATGGCCGTGTAAGCAGATGACTGGATTAGGGGGGGGCAGGAGAAGCATGGACGTACGGATGAGCGAGGATGGACACGCCGCAGTGGTCACAGCGGTTATCGACAAGAGGGCAGTTGAGGCTCGGGCCACTTTGATGGATGGGGATGGAGATGGGATATTTCTCGCCTTGGAGCATCTTGAGCAACGATCCGATGTGATTTCGGGCAGAGTCAACGATGATCAATCAATAAAGAGCCATGTTGATACTGAAGAATTGAGAAGGCAATAGATCTAGGAAGCCCCCTATTTATACAGCGAACAAGACTCATACACACCTCCCGTGCAAGTTCTTCTTACGTTCTGTTTTCCAACAGCCGCCACGACATTCACGTCCCATGGCCCGTCCTCGCTCACATCCCCCGTCGGTAAAGAAATGGACCTGTCAGAGCACGCGCCATCCCTGCCCTGACAGTGATCGCCAAAGGCAACCTCAACCGCCAATGCCCCCAGGTCCAAGATGGGATAGGACGCGAACCAGAATCGGTTTGGGCCTTCAAAGTCCGCCGCGCCACCTGGTGCGAGAACCCTTGACGGAGGCGCAGGACCAATGGGGTGGAAAACCTTAAGTAAATTGTTTGCCTTACACGGCCAAGTTGATCTCCCCCAAGGAACGGCGCCTGCAGGACGGAAGCTTGGACCGACGATGGGGGAACCAGTCATCTCGCAGCACAAGCGAAACGCTAGGCTGCTTTCTCTGTCCCGAGGAGGGGGTCCCTCAGCCGCATATTTGCTCACGTTGTGACGGGAACTTCTTGTTGGCCAACGTGTGTTCTGCCAGCCAGGGTTGGATCTTTTGGAGCCGTCACGGCATGGATCAGGGTTGCAATGGGATTGATGACTGGCCTACCGCGACGTATTCTCGAAGCTACATTAGTTCCTCTCCCGGCGACAACGAGGGCGGGCGAAAGGGAAGATCTCGTGGGGGAGGGACAGGCAGCCGTGGTTCAGTCTTCCTGCGTGTCTGGCCGTTACCAAACAGCTTCAGGGTCTGCTCTGGCTCGGATGCCAACCGGGGACGGCACCCGGCACATCGCATCCAGAGCGTCGTGGCCTCTCTACGCAAGATGATAGCTGGTATTAGGTTGATTCGCTTATTCCCAGCAAGAGTAAGGAGGCGGACGGCTTGCAAGATCCGGGAGATAAGGCCATTATGACTTGGCTGGCATGCGCAGATGAGGGTATTCGGAGTCTAGCTCAAAGCCACGAGGTCAGGAGTCTGGGCAGGGCAGACGTTGGTAGGTAGAATTAGGCTCCGCGGCACTGATGCTCTCGCAAGCTCGCCCATCTGCCGAGAGTGTGAAGGTTGGTCGAGGCGTGGCCTGCTTAGTGCGCGTGGGCCACCGCGAAAGCCGCCATCAGGAATTAGGGCCGGCTCTCGCGTAGGCGAATGCGATGACCCCCTGACCTGAGGTCCATAATACGCGCTCAGCCTTATGGCTTGATCTGCACGCCTTGTTGATCTGTGGAGGGCGAGGGGTGTGAGGAGAGAGAGCAAGGGGGGGCGGACGAAGAGACGACTGCCTCGACGGCCGTTGCTGCCCGCTGTCACCGGTCACATGTCTTCATGCTTGATGCAGGGTCTTTGCTGCCTTGCCAGATGCGGCAGAGGATCGATGATTCGCAGGAGTTACCGTTACAGTGCTAGTTCGATGATATTACTAGAGCCACGTTTCAGTAGGCGACCTGCGATGAGCAAAGCATGATAGGAAGAAAACTGTCAAGTAAGAGGCACATGTGAAGAATGGGATGAGTCAAAGGATAACCGGTCATATAACGCGTCACACTGGGAAGATGAGGAGGCGGAGACGAGGGTAGAAGGCGTTCATACCGATGAAAATTATTAGTTAGTCTATCGTATCGTGTTCCGAATCGTACAAACCGCGTCCCCCGAGTTTCTCTATCGCCCTGATGCAGATAGATGGCTTTTCTTTTTTTCTCCTGATTGTTTGAAGTAACCCATGAACTCGCCTTACTCCATGAAAAGATTTTGGTAGGCCGACCGCCAGGGTGGACGATAAATCATAATGATGACGACAGACGAAACGAGCAGACGTAAAACTGACGAGAAATCTCTGCCCGAGCATAAAAGATATGATATGGCTGTCACGTAATGTACCGTAGCTGGCGTTGCATTCCTTCTTTTACCCTTTCTTTCTTTTTATCCTTGTATCGAGAATATAATATATCTGAGTCTGTGGTGCTCAAAGAATATAGTTCGCCCAGTGTTCGCATTACAAGATCTGCCAGGCGGTTTAGGTCCACGCGGAGATGATGATGGAAGTGAATGGTAATGGAACGGAAGCATATTAACGATGTAGTTCGAACCACTGGGCGCAGCATCTAAACTGGATCTGCTGATGGGAAAAAGCGACCTCTCTAAGTGTAGAAGGACTCGATGAGGTAGATGAGACCGAAGACAAGGAATGCGACGGCTCCACCAACGGTGACTGTGAATAGGGTTAGCAACTTGTGGTTGAAACCACTCGGGATAGAGGCTTTATACATACCAACTTTCAAACTGACTCGCCCAGCGATAGCTCGTCCACCGATAACTGCTGCACCAGTGCAGACAGCGTGTCCACAGACTGCTCCAAGGGTGACCCACCAGTAATCCTGGCCAGCAGCCATGGCGATGGTAGCGATTTGGCTGCGGTCACCCCACTCGCCCAGGAAGGTCATGACAAACGTCTGAACCCACGCGGGGCTCAGAAGGAGCGACACGAGGTTACCTGTACCATGTAGGAAGCCACGGAATGCGCCGCCTCTTGGAGCAGGGCGCGCAGGCGACTGGGAAGGAGAGCGTGGAGGCGAGGCCATCTGGCTGCGTGACCTTGGGCGACGGTTAGGGAGACCCATCTCCAGCGAGTAGGAGTCGGATTGGTGCTCCTTCTCTTTCATGGCAAGCTCCTGCTCGACCTCACTCATCTCAGCACCGACACCCTCGTTGGGGTCCATCTGTAAGCCTTCGTGGAGGAGCTTGGCGCCGAAGACGAAGAAGAGAATCGATGCGGCCAGGCTGGTCAGGCGCTTCGGGAGCAGCGTGGGGACTGTGTGGCCAAGGACGGCAGACAAGACAGTCATGACGAACAGGGCACCGAAGGCAGCAGAGAAGACAACCATGCGATCATGCTTCATAGCCATCAGCGCCGCAACCAGGAATGTCTTGTCCCCAACCTCGGAGAAGAGGATCATCGTTAGAGAAAGGATAAAGGAATGGAAAGGCTGGATGATGCCATCTTCCTCGTCGCCGTGGGGGGTAATCTTTGAATTGGTGTTGGGGGTAGACGGAGGCTTCGAGGAGAGGTCGATATCCTCGCTATTCGTGGTTTGGGTCTTCTTGTGTGGCGTGTCAGGCAGGTCATCGGGCTTCTAGAGAAGGGGTTAGCACTTCCGGTTTCGATCAATTGGAGACTAGATTGGGCTCACGTCTAGGCCAGTGTAAGTGGTGTCTTTAGACTTGTCCGTAGAAGGGGCACTCTTGCTTGAATCCGAATCCTTCTTCTTGTTGGACGTCGTGCTATGGATTTTTTGCTCCTCGCTATGAGGCAGAGGAGGTTGTTCTTTGGGGGACTCGGGCTGCTGCTGTAGTTTTCCGCCAATCTTGTCTTCACGGGCCTTTCGGTTCTTCTCCTTCTCAGAGACACCACCCTCGGTGCCCGTCTTGCCCTTGGCCGGTCGGTCGCGGTTTTTGTCGAACATGACGCCGTCGTTGGACTGGGGAATCTCCTGGCCGTCATGTTTTGTCCAGTCGTCTGGACGTCCCTTGAGCGGGGGCAGGTCCTGCACGTCGTTGGTCCTCTTCTTGTCGGCCTCGACGAATGGACCTAGATGGGGTTTGCCATCCTTGCCATCGACGGGGGCGTCCTTGGTGGGCACATCGTGCCGGGTGTTGATGTTATTGACACTCGGCGACGCTTCGGCAGCAAGAGCGCTCGCAAGGGCAGGGAGGAGGAGGAGCAGGAGGCTCGAATGCTGGGATCGGAACTTCATGGTGGCAATTGAGGGCTAGGTCGCGTGCCTGGGGGTAGAAAGCTGGCGGGAAGATGGATGAGCAACGATTGCCCTCCTAGAACACCATAGACGTGTGTCGCGACGGAACGGCGGCAGAAGATCGGTTTGCGATGGAAGAAAAGGGTTGGCGTGGCGAAGATGACAGCCAGCGAGCAGGAAGACGTAAGCTATGGGGCAAGCTAGAGTGGTCGTGGATTAAGAAGGTCGTATGCGAATAGACTGGAGCGATCGGAAAGACTGAAATACGAGAATAAGGGAAGTTCCGGTGGGATGGAAGGAACGGCTTGAGCCAAGACAGACAGAAAGACGGAGAGAGTATTCAGGGAGGTGATTGATTTTTCCTCCTCCTGATCGGTGGTGATTAAGGAGTCGCGCATTCGAGGAGGTCATAGCCCACCAGGACGTGGCTTGTCCCCAGCACAACTTACAGGGCCTAGCACAGTTTACAGGGGGGCCACAGGTACCAACCGAACGGGGGTACAAGTACCGAGGTACCCTATATCAAGCCACGAGCATGCACTTGCTGCGGCGGGCGCGGATGCCGAGGGGGAAAGGTTGATTGCTTCAATTGGAGTACAGGCTGGAGGAAATCAATCAACTCTATTGAGGGCGATTCCCCAGACGAGTGATTGATCGTTGGCCGCCCCCTCTACTTGCATGGATCTCGATAGTGTTTTTATGGAGCTTGCAATCGGTTGAAACACCTGCAGTTTGGTTGGCAGAAGGAAATGGAGGCAAGTGCCACCGAGCGCCACACCTGGCCTCCGTGCAAGTTGTACACACTTTGTATTCGTTGATTGTCGACAATGGCGCAAATGCACAGTCAGGAATGAAGCATTGTATTATGTGATAATGATAATTTTCTGGGTGTTTTTCTCTATTGCTTTCGTATTATGTTGGAATGCAGGGTCGGTGTATTGTGCTTTATGTCACCCGCCACTGAAGGACTAGCGCTGGGATCTCAGCCACTGTTCAGCAATAGGGGTCTATTGTCCAATCATGATGCACAGATGCTGCTTACATCACCAGACTTGGGGACACTTCCAGCACAAGCCGTGGCAGGTGTGCCTCCTTTTCTACAATACGAGGCAGATAAGATAATATGGGTAGGCATTGATTGGTGTATTGTCAATCCATTGAATCGCCTTTAACGCGAAGCAATATGGATTCTGTTTGGGGTAGATAATCGGAAGCGGGCTTGGTATGGACGTACGAGTGCAAATCGCTTATCTCCGTTGTCTCCAGCGTCGGAGGGCTCCTGCTGTATAATCAACTGCAAAGCATGTTAGTGTTCTTGCAGCAGGTCGCACCTTCCTCGCTAACAGCCACTGCCTGAGCCAATAACTCATGAGTCTCATGTCGTCACGAATCTTCTATCTCTACTCAGTATCAATCCAGCATCCGACCGCTTTGGTCGCTCTTTCCCTTCCATTTAATCTGTACTTAAATCGCCTATTTCTTCTGTATTTCCCGTGATTGATCCCGTCTTAGAACCTCTCATCAATAATCCCCCAACTTCCGAATTCGCCGCCAAGTTCCTCGCTGTTAAGAGCTGAAAGTCGGATCCCCGCATACTGCACATTGTAGGCCTGAGCACTCGTCTCCCCATCTTGAAGCCTTGGTTGCCGCCACAACCATGAGCGCTCCTTCTGGGGACCCAGGCGGAAGTGCCAGTCATGGTGATACATCGGAGGAACAAGGGCCTGCTAACCCCACGGGCTCTCTTTGGTACAATGAGCTCGACCCCTTCGAGCAACAAGACGATGACGATGGCTCTGATGACCAGTATGAGCCCTCGGAGAGTAATGAGGATGAACATTTTCTTGATGCCCACGAGGAGCTTGATGAGGGTGACGAGCACGATGAGTTCATGGACCAGACTGATTGGCTCGCCACCAGAGGTGATGATGAGGATGAGGATGAGGATGAGGACGAGGAAGGGGATGATGAACATGGAGATGGGGATGATGACGAGGATGAAGACGAGGACGAAGATGAAGAACTTGAAGTCGCTGACGGGACGGAACTGCTCCTGAGCCTACTTGATGGTTAGTATCACAGCCTTGTTCTGCCTATCTCAGCTGGCTCAGCTGGCATATACCGTCGAATGTAGCAAAGCTAACTCTCATCCCCTGGCAGCTCGGGGAGTACCCTACACTCGAGAGCAGATTCTCGAGTTTCTTCGCCGGTCAAACTTGAGGGCTGTCACCACAACCGTTAATGTCGCCCGTGGCACACCTTGGCATAGGTTTCCCAGGTTCCGCAGCCGGCCTCCCAAGGATCCCAACAGGTTCCCCAAGGTTCCGAGCGACGCGGGCACTAGGTTGATGTCCTCTGGCCAGTTCGGCACCAATAATATTGAGATGAACTACAACCGGCGGATGAATAAGTCCATTCAGAGGCGGCTGCTGGAGCGCGAGCTTGGCCTCGGAAGCTACGATGACCGCAGGCGGAATAATGATCTCATCACCCAGGTAGGTGGCCGCTGCCTCCCGGTCCTCCCGCCGGGTGTGTACTATACTAACGAAGCAATAGTCTCTTGTTCCGTCTGGTAATAAGGCTGATATGATAATTCACTATGAAGAGCCCGTCTACTCCGGACAATACTCCGCCGACGGCAACTTCTTCTTCGCATGCGGCAAGGACTACAAGGTCCGCATGTATGACACCTCGCGCCCATACAACTGGAGGCACTACAAGACGGTCACCCATCCCTGGGGACGGTGGACTCTTACAGATGCCTCGTTGAGCAAGGACAACAAATGGCTGGCGTATACGTCCATCACAAGCCTGGTGGCTATTGCACCCACGGACATCAACGACACCGGAGACCCGTATGCCCTCGATCTCAGCGGCGGGACCAGCGACAACCAGGACTACTGGGGCGGCGGGTTCGGCGGCATCTGGTCGGTCAGGTTCTCGGGGGACGGCCGGGAGCTGGTCGCAGGCACGAACCGCAACGCAATCGTCGTCTACGACATCGAGTCCCGGCGCGTGCTCCACCAGGTGCGCGGCCACGAGGACGATGTCAACGCCGTCTGCTTCGCCGACGAGTCCTCCCCGCACATCATCTACTCGGGGTCCGACGACTCGACCCTCAAGGTCTGGGACCGCCGTAGCATGGGCGACGGCCGCGAGGCGGGAGTCTTCCTGGGGCACACCGAGGGCCTGACATACATCGACAGCAAAGGAGATGGACGATACATTCTGAGTAACGGTAAGGACCAAAGCATGAAATTATGGGATCTCCGCATGATGATGTCGACCGACCGGTTCCGCGGCCTGGATCCGAGCGCTGTCTCCCGATTCAGCGGGTTTGACTATCGTTCTGGTCACTACTCCGATGACGACTGGGACGTTCACCCGCACGACAACTCCGTCGTCACCTTCCGTGGGCATAGGGTGCTCAATACGCTCATTCGATGCCACTTCTCCCCGCCAAACTCGACAAACTCGCGTTACGTGTATACTGGCAGCAGCGACGGGAAGGTTTACATCTACAACATCGACGCCACTATAGCTAGCGTCATCAACGTTAGCGAAGCAACCAAGTGCTTGAAGCCAACGGAAGGTTACTACCGCGGCCGGTTCTGGAATAGCTGCGTACGTGACGCCAGCTGGCACCCGCACGCCCCTATGATAGTTGGTAAGTTCCTCTCTGCGCATCTCCAGTTGTCATATAACATCACCTACCAAACAGATCATGTACTAATTATTCGGCGCAGCATCCGCCTGGAACGGGCACGACCTAGCCAACGGGACCTGCACACTGCACTCGTTCGACGACGGAGTAGACGGCGACGAGGGAGAGCCTGAGCTGCCAATGCACATGGATTCGAAAATGCAGCCAATCACTCTCGCCGAGCGCAGCGAGCGTTTTAACCGGTACATGGACATTTGAGGAAAATTCTGGGGTGATTTCCCATAGGAGTTTGCTAGTTATGATGACATTTTGCAGAAGTTCTTGGGGTGATCTCTCTTAGGAGCTTGCTAGTTATGATGACATCTGCAGAAGCTTTTGGGGTGATCTCCTCGGGAGTTTGCCAAATTTATCGGGGTAACATTAATTTGTGTAATGATGGTAATAGCCTTTATCTAGTTCCATGTACTGCACAATACATTTTTTGCCTTGCCCTACTCCCCCCTTTGCCTTTTCGCTGATGATGAATTCTTGCGGTCCTTTCTCTCTCAGCCCGCAACGAAACGCCCATGCCCCGATCACATTTTGATCATCCAAGAAAAGAGAAGGGAAGGTGGAAAAAAAAAACAGAGTAATATTGCGCGCCATTGGTATACACTCGGGAGAGAGACGGGAGGATGCTGAGGTGGTGGGCGGCGGGAATTGTTGCGCGTGCGCACGTGTCGTTCCTGGGGTTTTGTTTCTTCTGGAATCGGGGTTTATGCGCTTCCGACGAGGACACGGGTCAGGGGAAGGTGGACTAGAAGAGTAGGAATGTCAGTATTGACGCTGGATGGGGTTTTCGAGGGTGGTTCGTAGGGAGAGTCGTACTCAGCTCTGCGAGGGATGGTTAGCTCATGCCTTGGTTTTGCGAAGTTGGCAGGGAAGGGACGACTTACTAATGACGAAACCGATAGCTCCCATGATGATGAAGCCGACACCGACGGCCTGGCAGAGGCGGAGGAACTCGGTCCTGTCGGCTGCAGAGGCGTTGAATGTTAGCAAATACGTGTTCCGAGGAGCACAGGTGTCGCGTTGGGGACGGGACGTACGCTTGGTGCAGCGCTTGATGAACTGGATTCCGCTTCTGGTGAACTCGGAGGGGACCTCGAGAATCTCCTGGACCTGGTCGGACATGATGGCGGATGGCGGATTGGTGGAATTGACTGAGTTTTGGTTGCAAAGGAGCGGCAGAGGTTGATGGCTCTGGAAGGGGAGTTGGGGGCAATTTGAAGGTGCTGTGCTGGCGATTAGGGATGGATGGAAATAAGCTAATAAGGACAGGTGCCGAATGCGACCCTTCAGCGACGTGTTCTCAATCAGGGCGTTTCCCCAGAACCTGCCAGTCTGGCCCCGGAAATAGTTCGGCTGATGGCGCCACATTGAGCATAAAGAGCAGGTGCGGCTGTGGCTGGAAGGAACCAACAACTTGTGGAAGCTAGCTTACGGAGTTTAGTTAGTCCGAGCCAATGGCCCGCCTGGAGTTGGCAAACACGTTCGGTCTGCTGAACCGGCAATAGCCCGGCTGCGACCTGTGATGCTTTTCCTCGCGTGCATGCTGAGATCATGAGATCACCGTGCGGTGGTTTTCATTGGAGGCTGCCATTATCAATTGTAGGGATCTCTGGGTGCTACGTGGCTGGCCAGGCATGAGGGTGCATCCCTTACATGTATGCATTGTGATCTCTTGCCTCTGTTGACACCGGGACTAGGCCGTATTGTTTGTTAACTGCCAGGGGATAGTGCTTTCCCCATGCTTCCCCGTGCTCCTAGTCTCAGGCAGCAGGCCAGACGGGGACGGGAGGCACCAACTGCCTCTTTCACTGAGAGGAGGAGAGATTATGGGTGAAGGCACAGTCGAGCTGAGCGTACCGCATGCCATCGAGATAGATGCAGACACGTCTACTGGCCTGGAACGTCGTGCCACGGTAAGCTACTGACCTCCCTGATAAGGTCCTCAATTGCATTGGAGCCTGCGGACCGGCATTAGAGCAATGGTCCACTTTGCCATGTAAGAGCGAGGTAGCGGGTACATGCGCGTTGGCGATGGTGCATCCGCGGGTGGTGGTACAGGCTACCAGCTGGCTCTGGCACCGATGTGCAGTTGCTCGCGCGTGCTGACCTTTTATCAGCACGTTGGTTGTGCTCAGGCAGCCTCAGGAGGGTGCAGTCGAATAATAATAATCCATCACATCTCCCATTACTCCCACTGCCAACCCAACAGTCCGACCAGTAGAAACGAGCGTGTACTGTACCACAGCCGGATTGCGCGTGGGCCTCTGCACAGTGCCGACCTGCCTGCTAGTCTCCCGCTTGCCAGTCCTCTTAACCCGATTCTCGGGCCCTGTCCATCCATCCCCAAGCTCTGTTGGTCCACATCCCTTCATCACCGCAAACCTTCTCTTCTCCTTCTCCTCATCCCGCAACCAACTACACCTGGCCTGCCTGGTTCTGCAGCTCCGTCTCCTTTCTCGCCATCGCCAGCATCGTCGCGCCCTCTGCAGTCACCCTGTGGATGCACCCGCTACAGAGCCCCCTGAGTTTGACTAACCCGCAGCTCTTATCTTGAGCATCGCCTCGGTCTCGCGAGCATCGTCCGACAAGCTCTCTCCCACGCTTCCCTTCCTTTCGCCGGAGGTCTCGATCGACTCCCCTCACCCGTCTTGGGCACCGAACCGACGAGCGCCCGATCGATTCGAACATTGTCGCGTGGAAGGTGTTTTCGAGGAGTGCTCCAACGCAACCTGTGTATATCCTACTTATCTTCTCTCCCCGGGGTCGCCAGGCCCCTTGTGTGTACCAGAGCTTTTTCTTGTTTCTTCTCTTCTATTTCGCCCACTGCCCAGCTGGGCGCGAGGTCAGCAAGCGCTTGAACGTGCACTCCTCGCTGTGTATCTTATCATCTATCTCCAAGACCAAGGGCGATAAAACACTGATCGGAGGACGAGACTGTCCGATTGGAGCACTGATCTTGGGGGGCTTCAATCTCTGCCAGCCGTGTACGTACTATTACTTTTGCGAGTCGAGGTTTATTTTGCTCGTTTATCCTTGTCCCTTCCTTCACATTCCACCTTGGAACCGCGAAAAAAAAAATCGAGAGAGGAAAAAGAAAGAAAAGAAGCAATTCTCCCTGCCTCGCCCGAGCTCCTTGGTCTGTCCGACAAGGCACAGGGCAAAATCCGTTCGCTGCATTGAAAGACGTGAATGGCTAATGACCTAGCGTGAAGACCAAACCCGACTGCCTCTATCTCGTATCTCAAGCAGACGAGACCAAAGTAAAGAAGAAGAACATACACCAGCTGGCCCTAGACAGGCATTCTTTTAGTCCGCAGATCACCCCCAACCCTCTATTACTCTCGCCGGCCTGCGCCAGCGCCTTGTCGACAGCAACATGGCCGACGACGACTACGAGATTGATTTCTATGGCGACGCCGAAGACCAGCAGCAGCAACACACTAGTAATCACCAAGGTGGCGACCATCACGATTACCACGACTCGGCTGATGATCATCACGACGCGGCATCAAATTCGAATACTCACCACCACCACGATCGGGACCACGACCGGGACCACGATAGCCACGACTCCAAATACCATTCCGACGGCAAGCATGAAGATGAGGACGACCTGCCTATTGACCCCGGAGCCACCACCGCCCTCATGGTCTCCGAGCTCAATTGGTGGACAACAGACGACGACATCCGCGGCTGGCTCAAACAGGGCGGCTGCGAGGACGGCGTAAAGGACCTCACCTTCAGCGAACACAAGGTTAATGGAAAGAGCAAAGGGTATGAATGACACTTCCCACTGCGCAAAATCACCGTCGTAACTAACGAGTCAACTCCCCCACAGCCAAATATTCATCGAGTTCTCCACGGTCGCTGCCTCATCATCAGCCAAACACCTCATCGACAAGATGCCGGCCGACGGCGGCCACCTCGGCCAGAAGAAGATCTCCACCCAGTACTGGAACCCCAACATCAACCCCTTCCGGACGCTGCCTAAGGATGCTCCGGCACGAGGCAAAGATCAGACCCGGGGCGGCGCCTCGGGCTCGTACAACGAACGCGGCAACTACAACAACGCCGGAGGCGGCTTCTCTAGGGGCCGAGGCGGCTTCAACGGCGGCCGCGGGAACATGAACCAGAACAACTACAACAGGAACTTCAGCGGCGGGAACAACATGGGGTACAACAACAACATGATGGGCGGCGGAGGCTTTAATGGGCATAATGGACAGGGCAACTTTGGCTTCAACAACAGGGGCATGATGGGCGGTATGCGAGGCGGACCCAACATGCGCGGCCGGGGAGGCATGATGATGAACCCCATGGGGATGGGAATGGGTATGCCCATGGGCATGATGGGACCAGGTATGTTCCCCTTTCCTTTCCTTCACTCTTGCGCATGTGTATGCGTTCGACCGGTCGAATATCCAGCATCAGCTGGTTGTGTACCTTTGATGGCTGTGGTCAAACCCGCCGGCGCACTACTCTCAAATGTTTTCTATCCATGTGCTAACCATCTCTCTACAGGCTTTCAAGGGATGCCTGGCAACTTCAACGGCGGCTTTGGCTTCAACCAGAACCAAGGCGGCGGCGGCAGCAGCGGCGATTGGGGAAACCCCCATGGAGCAAAGCGACCCCGACCCGAGTGATCTGGGTATATGGACAATCATTTTTGCTCCTGACCTTTATCAGAAAATCCCTAGGTCGGGAATTGACGCTTGCACATACCAAGGGGGATCTTCATTCGAGCCATAATTGCCCCGGGATCCTGGAAAAGACACCTGGTGACCGATTTCACCCTTAATCCTTCCATTTCCCAGGACAGCTCACTGGTAGGAGGGGATTTCCTTTTCTTTTTTCTTTTTATTTCTGTTCGCGCAAATCCAGTTACCGGACGTTATGTACCATAGGAAGTTTACGAAAAGGGGCAGAAGGCATTTCAACGAGTTTGGCGTAATCACAGAGGGCTAATCTGTATTTTCTTGATTCTTCTCTATTCTCTCTCTCTCTCTATCTCACATGTCAAGTTGGGCACACCCAGTCTTTTTCCTGCTTCTGCGAAGAAAAAAACGCAACACCTGTAATTACTTTGGAGCGTATCTCCACGCGGTACGCGAACCATAATAGCAATAAGGAGAGCATGGGGGGTTGCCATCTGAGTGGCACCACGTGGTGACAATTCAAAACATGTCTTGTGTATGTCTCTGTCCTCTCGCGTGACGAACCAACACACCTAAAACGATCGGCCATTCACCGCATTTTCCTCTATGTTTGTGTAGGGATGGTTTAATCTATGTATATACTTTCACTGCTGGGATAACCGCGCCGCATTGGTATCTATCAGCTGCCGGATCTCGATCCACCGCTCCCTCAGCAGCCGCCTTGACTCGTCCTCGCCCACCTTGTCCAGCTGGTCAATCTCCGTCACGGTGGCGCGCGCATCCTTCTCGTACTTGCGCAGTAGCTTTAGCAGCTCGGCATCGACGAGGGCTCCGTCCTCGTCCTCGTCGCGCTGGCCGTCGAGGACGGCGCGCCACTGCCACTCGGGGAGGCAGAGGAGGCGGAGAGCAGTTTGGGTGCGGTAGCAGGCCGTCTGGGAGTCGAGCATGTACCCGGTCCAGAAGCCCTCTTCCTCGAGCAGCTCCTTCTGGGCGGGCGTGAAGCGCGGGCAGAGGTATGGGTCCAAGGCTGTCTCGTCGAATGGGTTCTCGGGGGAGGGGATGGTGAAGCCGTACTCGACGAGGAGGAAGTCGTTTGAGTGGGAGCCGTAGCGGATGAACAACTCGTCGCCGGCCTTGTGGGCGTGCGTTGTGGTGATTTGGAAGCCTTTGTGGCCAAAGGCGACGGAGCAGCCGTCTGGAGAGTGGTTGAAGAGATCTGCGACCGGTTGGAGGACCATGTGGTCTTCTTTGGGTAGCTTGGCCTTTGTGGCCGGAGTGGTGTGGTAAAAGGTACGTGTATTAACGAGGAGCCAGGCGTAGAGGAACTGTGGCCGAGTCATGCTGGCGGGCAGGCTTGCTGCGGCGGATGAGACGACAGACCAGTCCTTGTCGAACTTGGCACTCTGCTTGGAGAGGAGAGTCTGAGCCTTTGGGGGTAGGAGGGCGACAAGATCTTGCGGCCAACAGAGGGGCATGCTGGTTATGATATCTTGAAGCGAGGGGAAGACGGCCTTCCAGATGGCAAAGTCATCCGGTGTGTCGTGAAAGTCTAGACATAGTGCCGTAGCGAGGATTGCGTGGACGGTAGCCCCTTGGAGAGCCTCAGTGATGGACTTAGATGTGTTGTCCAGAGTGCGCAAGGCATTCGACGGTACTGTTAGAATGGTTTCATTGGCCTAGACACGCTGCGTTAGCATCTCGATGGAGCTGAGTTGGCCACCTGATGGTGCTCAGGACTGCGCCCTTACCTTGAGATCGCGAGTCGCAAGAATACCTATACCTCGTCCCGGCAAGACTCTGGGCCGTATCCCATTGAGAACAATGCCTTTGACGTCGGCCCAGGTGAGCAGATGGTCGATTGGGTCCATTGCGCATTCCCGCGACGAAGACAAACGATACTGAAAGAATTTGCATTGATGTCGTGGGGTCGGTTTGAGTGAAATAGCAACTCGAGTCCGATAGCTTGATGTAAACGACTGTCGCAAGCCCGTCGCAGCTCCCAGAACACTTCCTCGAGAAGAGCGACTTCGTTCTTTTAATACAGCCGCATTCCTATAGCAAGGTTGCCCATGCAGCATGGAAGGGCTTCGAGGACCGATGATGGAGCTTGGTGACTCATCTGATGCGGTATAGGGTAGGCAGTAGATCAACTCATCCACTTGATTCATGATGTGATCGTTGCAAGTCGAGGCTGGTGTTGTTGAAGGAGGCTTTATGAAAATGAACCCAGACAATAAAAAGAGTATGTTTCAGTTGGAATCGTTGATGAGGGTTTTTATTTTCCTTTTTTCTTGAATTGGAGGGAAGCAAGCTCAAATTTGGCTTCACAAATGTAGTCACAAATGCTGGAGGCATGGTAGGTTTGGGCGAGTTTTGTTGTGGAACCGGGAATGTAAATAAGCTGGATAGATGGTTCACAATTGTTGTCATCCATGCTTTGGCCATCATTGATCTCAGAGAAGTGGTAAAGGTTCAGAACTCTGTAGCCTTTTCCAAAGACACAAGTTCTTTGAGTGTGGTGGCTAACCTGATAGTTAGCTAATTGCTCTGGTTGAGAAGATTGGGCTATTTTCACTTACCAAAATCCAAGATAGATAGTTAAAGGGAGTGGTAATTCGTTGAAATTTGCAGGCACGATGAATCTTCCCTGATTTCGGACCTTTCAGACCTTTCTGAGGGACGTCTTATTTGTTTCCTGGGGATACAATGCTTCTTCATGACGGCCATCAGTTCCGGAAGGACTAGATGATCGTTTTGTTCAGGACATCTGTACTTAGTTAGATATGGTAGAAAGCTGAAGAGACTCAACAGTATTCACCTGAACAGGACCCAGGCATGGGCTAATATACAACAGCCGGTATTCGTGGTCGTCACCACTCTCTCTCGTACTCCACATTTCCGCATCCTAAAACCCATGGTTAGATGATAGATCTCTGTCTCGAATGATAAACATGGGCAGGAATGCCGAGTTGAAAGTACATACCCTTCCACACCGCATCTCAGAGGCGACCGCAAGCGCTGCCCAATAGAACAGCGCTTGCAGCCGCCTCTGAAATAGCAGTTCCGACGACGCGCCGACCAGTATGGAGACCGTGGGCGCTGCCCAATAGAGCAGCGCCCGCGACTGATCCTGGTCTTCCCCCAGATCCCTTTCGGTTGCCTGTACTCAGGCCATAAGCTTCTGTCTTGTAGAACAGCGCTTGCAATCGAGCATGCTTTCTCGGATGGATTTGAGTAAGAGCATACGGGCCCGGGTGGATTGGCACGTCGGGAGTGCGGAGTGTGGAGTGAGGAGGGAAGAGAGAAAGAAAGTGGGTTGTGGATTTCAGGTGGCTGCGGGCTGAGGTAGGCGATTTGCCGACACTCAGGGCTGGATCACCTGACTTTTCCTCTACCAGCGAGTCGATGGAATCATTTGGAAGCCTGAGGGAAAAAGAGGAAGTCACTTTGTACTTGGGGGAGCAGCGGGGAGAAAGGGGGAAGGTGCTCAGGAGGTGCCTGCCTTGTCAAGACTGTACGCGTGTGCCAGGCGCCAGCGTTCGGCAGACGAACCAGCATCAGCACAGACAGGGCCCAGAATGTGAGATGCCTGATTGTTATCTGCAACAGGCGGCCAATACCTTTTCAATTTAATGAGCTATGGCTTATGCAATGAGATGAGTTGGACTTGCACTTGCGGCACCGATATCGTCCCAATGCAATGCCACTCCCCTGCTAAGGAAGGGGACGCAACTAAAGAAGCCAGATTGTATGATCTCTCAATAATAATACATAGGAGGAATTGCATTGGCCTCGATTATGTCTATTGATGAATGATGCGGGCGGGTTGCAACCCACATATCTTCTGAAATGCAAGAGTTCAACACTCCAGCTTGCCACAATCCAAATTGCTCTGGTCAGCACTGCACCAAAATACCTACAAAAACATGCACCAAGCAAGGTTAAGAGCTCGGTTGCCCCAATTTGCACTTTGCCTACAGAATACATGACGCCCAGCGCATCAAGCTGCCTTCTCCTTGAACTATCATTTGACCAGGAATCGGGGGCTGAAGGCAGATCCAATTTCCTATTTGGCTATATTTCGATCTATGTGCGGTTTTAAGGTAAGAGGCAACCTCATCGGTCTGAATGGCTCTCTGGAATTCTACGTGAAGACTGAACTAGTCGGATGGCCGTTGTTGTCATCCATTCTCTATGTGTGCATTGATGTTCCAACTAGGCCTCAAACACACTGTTATTCCTCCTGCTAGATGGCATTTTTTTTTTTAGATATCGTATTAAGATGAAGTCCGAAACTCACGCCCAAAAAGTACCCAAAGGGAGCCAAGAGAATCATATCAGACGAAGCACCGCCACCTTGAAACGGGAAAAGACCGCCACTGGGGGCAATCGGGGAATGCCACGCTGTTGAATCGCCCCTTCAGAAGCCTGTTGAATGTCATCTATCAGCTTACATCGCCGGTCACCGGTATCGATCTCGGTATTCAACTTCATGATCGTAGAGGCGGCTAGCTAGAAATGCATCGTCGTTTGGTGTTGGGTTGATATACTCCTGATACTCCGTTATTGAATCCAAGCGGGCTATATCCCCCGCACTCCGATACACATCCTCATACCTGAGTACTTAGTTCACGAGGCTCACCTTGAGTTACTAAGACCAAAAAGATAAAAACCACAGTAATACCAGATACCGCTTACTATCTATATCATAGCCTAAAGAGAAACAAGCGCCCATTTTGGATAGAAGCACTATGGGATATCTTGATTCGTATTCATCTGATTACCTTACAAATAAATTATATCTGATAAGGGGAAACTGTTTCCTTTCCGGTATAGCTATGCTCCGACTTTAACAATAACCTCCGATTCCAATAGATAACGATCCGAGAGGCCATGGTGATATGGTCTACTGTAAAGAAAAAAATATCAAAGACTAACATAACAAAAGCGTTTACCCTTCCTGAACAAACCCGCCGGAACTAGACACTGCTGATGGAATTGGTGGACCATGATCGAATTCTGTAGCCGTACTTGTAGAAGAGAATGGGGATCGGAATCATGGCAATGCTGATGAAGCCAAGCGTGCTCGTTGCCCAGTCGACACCCAGATTGTGGTACATGTAAGGGCCAAAGAGCGGGAACCCAGCGCCGAAGAAGCTGCGGATGAAGGTGTTCCCACCGATGGCACTGTTTGCGATGGGCGCGTACACGTCGATTAGGTAGTTGAAGCACTGGACAAACACCATGTACATGCCCATGCCGGTCGGGATGCTACCGACGACCATGCCGGCCCAGTGTATATCCGGGTGCGAGGTCCAGGCAAATGTGAACAGGCCCACGGGGAGAAGACAGCCACCCATGATCATGAGCGGGAGACGCTGCTCCGGGACGACTTTTCCTCCGCTGGCTTCAACAGCGGCCGCGAACCTCGTTTTGGTGTGCCAGACGACGAAGGTGGCACCGATCAAGACGCCCACCGTAAGGCCTAGGAAAGGCAGGGCGCTGATACCCGGTGCCCAACCTCGGATTTCGCGAAACTCAATGGGGTATGATACGAAGACTAGGTACAACATACCATAGATGAAGGATTGGTATATGGTAACTAGGAGCAGAATTGGTTCTGTAGCCAGGAGCTTAAAGGGTCGTATGAGATAAATGCGCACGATACCGGCGAGACTCGCTTGCTTCATGTTGTCAAACATCGTCTGGGCTTCTGGGTTCTCCCCGCTCTGGCGGAGCTTGAGAGCGCGAGCGTTTAGGATCATAGGAGCCAGTGTCTCAGGAAGACAAAACAGGCACAGGAAGAACGCGCATCCGCCCATGATGCAGCTGATCCATTGGGTCCAGCGCCAGCCAAGGTATGAATCTTCAATGAAGTTGCCAATGATGGGAGCAAGAATAGGGGACCCGAAAATGGTGCCGATGCAGGCGGCGATGGCCACGCCTCTATGCGCGGGACTCCAAATGTCCACAATACCACCGCCAACAAGGGCAAGAGCTGCCGATCCGAAAGCACCCTGGAAGAAGCGAGCGATGAGGAGCGTCTCGAGGTTGATGCCGACCGCGGCGGGGATGCAAAAGATTGTGAAGAGAAGCATGCCGAGAGTCATCGGCCACTTGCGTCCAAATCTTTCAGACAGCGGTCCCCAAATTGGGGGAGCCATAGCGTAGCCCTAGGGAGATGCGAAGAGATAGTTAGTGGTCGGACTCATTGGTACAGAATACCTAGATAGAACTTACCACGAGGAACAAGCTAACACCCAGAGTAACGACAATGTTGCTGGCGTGGAACTCTGCTTTTATGGCTGTAGCACAACTGCTCCAGATGCTGCTGCCAATGGCAACTACCAGATTTCCGTACACCCATATGGATGTGATGAAGATCTTGCGAGGGATGGAATAGTTCTGGGGGTTGCCTGGGTCATCGGGCCCGGTCCACGTCACGAAGAGCCCATCGTTCTTTTTGTTCTCAGGATTGGCGGCTGCGGCGGTTTCTCCGGCTGGGTCGCTTGGTGAGCTCATTGGAGAAGCTGACATAGTTGATGATCTTTGATGCTCACATGCGTTTCTTCGGGGGAGGTTGAAATAACTGGCAATCAATGGCTTTGTTAGAACCAATGACAGAAGGGGCTGTTGGGTGGGATTCTCTCACTCAACAGACGCCTCTTTAACATTGCCGCCTTGTGGCTGATGCTCTTCATTTGTTGGTCCTTGCTGAGCGGATGCAGGGGGTGGTGTATGCTGGCGCCGGACATATTTGCCGACGGGCAATAACAAGCTCAGAAACATGGTGGAATGTTGGTCCGAAAAGATGGGGCGGTCGGAAGAAGAGATTGATTGTAGCTGATAAATCCAAGAATTGGTGGTGGGGGAAATTGGTGATTACTCGAGAGTGTGGTGGAAGAAGACAAGAAACTCGCGCCCCGGCGGCCGAAGCCCGAGTTGCTCACATGGACGAGGCACGCCAACTGAGCCCCTTCGCACCTTCTTCAGATGCTCGACTGTGGAGTGATTGCAGGCACAAGTCCTCTACAATGTGTCATTCAACTGAACGAGACCCTTCCTTTTGATTTCTTTTTGCATCATATCACGATGGCTGCTCCTACCTGCTCCAAACTATTTTTCGAGGGTCACCCCGTAGCTCCTTTCTTGGTCACTCTACCTTATCCCTAGGTACACCAGATGCCGCTCTGTGATGTAGTCCCCTTGATGCATTTCCATTGTTGCAGTGTAGGTACCTAGGTAGGTACTGTCTTCAGTTGATACAACAAGGTAAACAGTTACAAGTCCAACAGCTGTCCAGATAGCTTCATCATAGATGGCACGGTCAAGGGATGATCAAAACAACAAGCTACAAGGGAGTATTGACTCAAAAGTATAACAAACTGATGGACACTGGATCATTTCATACATGAATGCTTAATTTTCGATCTATCTACCCTGATTTGGTCCCAGCCCGAGGACTAGGTACTGGCTACCTGCCTGCCTATTTGTGAGATACGACGCCCAACGACTCAGCAAGCTCCTTCCCATTGACGATTGGAGCTGTAGCATCAAGCGCGACGTAAAACACTCTTGCAAACTCAGTCTTGCTTGGGTTGCTCCAGGCGTGGTTGGTGGCACGCTGAACCGCAACGTCACCCTTTTTCACTATGTTTCCGGTCCAAGTTAGTGATGGGCATACAGACGATCCAGCCGCCAGCATTTGACAAACGATGATGCAAAAAGACTGGGAAAAGGGGAAGACTAACAGATCCTCTTCTCTCCGCTTTCCAGCTCGAGCTGGATCTCACCCTCAATCACAACGCCGAAGTCGAGAGTGATGGTGCGGTGCCACAGAGGCGCAGCCCCGGGATGATAGTCGATGTAGCGCGAGACGAAGCCATTTGGTATCATAAAAGACTCCGGCTTCTTGACAAGGTGGCCCTTGTACGTGTCAAGGTCGGCGTCATGAGAAAGGGGTGCTGGGAGAGCATTGCCGCTGTAGGACAGGAACATGTCTGCACCGAGAGGCGAGCGCTCAAATTCAATCTCCTCTCCGACCCCGGTGTTGAATGTTGCATTTCCAGACTCATCGTGGGTGGTGATGTAACGGTGGACCACCGGGAGTATTTTTTCTGGGGTTGTTTGATTTTGGTCAGCCATGTTGGGGTCGTTGGTCTAAGTAATCTTTCCGAGCGTCGAGCCTTGTGTTCCTGGATCAAATGCGATCAACATGCCTCCAACAGTTGACTCTATATAGTGACAAGGCATCGGCGTATTCTTCGAAAGTGTCGTGCGGTTTGAAGTTCGTCCGTGGTGCTTTTGAGCCATCAAAGCCCGTCGGATCGACTCTTCAATGGCAATGCCGTGGAGTGAGTCCAGCCGTATCGACTCTTGCTCCGAGGCGGAGCATTCTTTGCTCCGCTTGCATGAGGCTAGGTGGAGACCTTGTTCATGTCCGGCTCAGATTCTTGGATATGGCTTCGGTGCTCGGCGGCCGGCGAGCGAGAGGGTCCACCAGCGAGTCGAAATTGTACCCACCAACCAAATCGAAAGTAGGACGGTGCAAAGAGAAATACCGCGGTATAATCTCTTCCGTTTTGGCGAGCGGGTTTTCGCCGATTGCTTTTCCTCGAGTTTGTCGAGTTTCGGCGGGCTTTTTCCAACGGGCTAGCTATCTCGGCGGCCGCAGGAGTTGTCTTGTCCGGTCACTTGTGATGCTGTCTGGTCGATTATTGGATGCTGTCCAATCGAGCACTTTCTTGATGGTTTTCCAGCTAATTCTAGCCTCTTCGAGCAAACGTGGCCCTCAGTAGTTTCGAATAGTGATGGCAAGCCATGAACATGGAGGATGCCACCCTGTCGGCTCCGTATCGGCTCCGAAACGCGGTAGAATTCGAATTCGATCGATGGAAAAATGTCTATCGTTACGTTTTAGGTTTGTAAGCGTCCAGATAACCCAAGGCAATCAACCTAGTGATAAGTGTACATACCGCGACCCATCATCCACCGTCATGTCGACTAAAGCTTGAGGTCTTTGAACAATGCTGCTTGTTCACCTCACGGCACTCATCGAGGCCACTAATAATGGCACAAACAATGCAGCGGCAGAATCTGCCTCATTGTGCGTCGATGCATTCTTGACCTTGGAGTCGTTGTGTTGATGGCATAGCAGCCAGGCACTTTCCCCCCAGTCGCAGTTGCCACGGCTGTTGACAAAAAGTTGCCTGAGTACGTACCTATCTTTAGCCCGGCCAATTATCGGAACACGAGAAAACTTCGAACTGGCAGGTACGGTACTTTTGAAGAATGAGGTCCAAGACAGGGAGGATTATCCTCGGTGCAATCTCCAGCAAAAAGGAGGGTGAGGATCGGTCACTCAAGCCCCTTTTGACTCCTGCACTGCGTATCAGACACGACCTGATTGCCGCATCACTCGTGCATCCAGTCTTCATGGGCTGCAACAGAACCCGGCTGTCGAAATACAGAATCCCTTAGTTTTACAGATGGGGGAGGCCGGTTTCTTCTATTCTTCTCATACGGATTCTCTACCAATGAGTTGGCCCAAACATGCTATTCTACGCTCGTATTCCATAAATATTAACTTGAATCAGTTTCCAGTGCTTATCGACGATGAACACCCGAGTCCATCGGATAACGCATCACTGTGCCTCCTAACATTCCTCCAGCGGGCCAGTAGGGAGAAGAACGCCAAGTGACCTTGAAAAACCAATAACTGCTGGGCTGAGGGATGCATGCGGAGCAGAGTGTCTGCCAATCTAAAGATCCAGCCCGCGTTGTTGGTCAGCGCAGGATAGATGGTTTCAAAATAGAATAACCACCCACACTCGCCACCCACCATCCAAAGCCCAAATATTGCCAGATTGGTACACACTTAGATGCAGGCACGCGGCTCAGCAGCGTGGCATCCTGGGAGGGTGGCACCCAGAAGACCATCCGGTTATGCACGAGGCCATCCAGGACAAAGGCCCCCCATCTGAAACGGAACCATGGCCGCAGCAAATCCAATGCCGCCATGACCGGTAGTGACATGCTTGCTTGTCCATGCTCATATAATACCGACGCATCTCAACTTAGGAATATTTCCTTTCTCGAGGTGGCCTGCCTCCCCAGATGCCGCCGTGGCTAATATATCAGGGGGCCAGCTCACCGACTTGTGCCGACAAGGTGCATCATTTAAACCTTGCCACGTTCGAGGGATGTGCAGCGCTATTTGGGCCTTTGAAGGCCGTGGAGGGTTAAATTTAGCAGGTTTCTATTTTGTTTTGGGGCATATTTTGGTGTTTGCAATTACAACCAACAAGCCAAAAGCACTGTCAAACAAGATTCCTTTGTCGTGTGAGTCTTATTCAACACCCTCCGTACAGCAAAATTACGGCACAGGGGAAGAAAATAACCTCAGAATCCAGTCCTCTATACCATTGACCAAATTTAGAGAAACAGAAATAAAATTGCTCACCTTCGGTCACCCGCGGACCAGGCACACGGTACACTCCACCCCTGACCAGCAGAACACTCCGTCCCAAAGCAGCCACCACGACTCCAGATCCAAAACGTCCCACCCCACGCACGTTCTCGATGAGGAAGCGATCCGGTAGCGTGGGAATTGGCCCCCAGGGTTCGAGAAGGCTGGGTGGAAGGAGGCCGCGGCGGTTCAATCTCTTACGGCCGACCAACAGCCCTCTGCGCCGCCCGCGCCAGCAGGGCCTATCAAAGGCCTGGTCCCGGAGACGCTGCCGCAGCACAGGCCGGGCTCCAGTCTTCGAGGGGCCCCTCACCTTGCACACCTTACTAGCGAGGGGGGGCGGCCGACGTGGATGCCCACAAGATTGGACGCAAGGGGGGGGGGGGGGAGCATTTCGACTGATTGCTCGCGGGCGGTAGTTCTGAGCGGCAGAGTCTTGAAATGCAGAGTCTTGAGCTGCAGATCAAAAGGACAAACAGGCAGTGCTTGGCATCGTTAGTTTGTCTTGGTAGAACTTGGTCTGGGAGCTGACGCTTGGGATGAATCCGCGATGATCATAGAATCTCGAATATGCCCGGTTGATTTTAGCAACATGTACCGCCAATTAGTGGGTGGGCTCAGCGACGCAAATCACCTAAAGCAGCTAGAGCAGAGGGGTGATGTGCCGTTGGCAGCCCAAAAATTTGGCCGGCAGCGGTCCAGATCCAGGCGGGGGCCCTAACTAATCCGCCAACGTTTAGCAGCCGAACCAGGCGTTACGCGCACTGGAAAGATGGTGTGATATGAAGCCCGGGCTAATTGAGCAGCCAGTACACGCCCTGGTTCGATGCAACGGCTTTTATTAAGGGGGGCCTTCTGTGCAGCGCTCATGTAGCTAAATAGCGGTTGGTGCAGCTGTTGATGATGTGCGGCCGCCTCCCCAAGTGCCGTCATATACCGTTACATGCCGCACCCCAGCGAATGCATCGGAAGGATTAAAATCATGGCAGGCGAGGTTCAATTGCCCGCAAATGTCAATCAGCGACGGGGGCAGACCAACAACAGAATGCATCCGGGAATGACCTGGAATCTCAGGGAGGATGACAACCAGTGCTATGGCACTGGAGCTACAGAGGGGGATGTTGGCTGCAGGTCGCCGAAGAACGGCCCTATTGGGACAAGATGGCCCTCAGAAAGCTCCATATCCGATGCCCCTGTCTGCCAGCTGAGGCCCAGTCAGCGCCTGGTGCCACGCAACGCCGTCGCATTGAGCCCTACCAACGGCAGAAGAAAAGGACCGGGGGCCCTGCATGTTGCCGGCAAGGAACCCTGCTGGCCACTGACGACAGTCCACCGTAACGTTGCGCATCGTCATCATCAGTATCATCACACTGCTGAGCACTCGAGCGGCAGAGTATTATAATCGTATTGACGAAGGAGGTCTATGTGAAGCGAAGATCAAACGCATCAGGAGTCCAGATTCCAGATCCGTCGCCCCTGTGCCATGCTATATCCCTGTAGTACGTACATCTTAACCACATATTCAGTACCTTACAGCAGGTATTCTTAGCACTACTGGCTCATATCCTGCCCGTCCTCCATGGGGATCCTCCCCGTCAACATCTGGCCCTGGAGATGCAGCATCGCCCTCCACTCCTCTCTCCCCGTCGGCCGACAGCTGCGCCGCGCCTCCTCGTGGCACTGCACCATGTCCAGCAGCCTCTCCTGCTCCATCGGGTCGCCCCCCTCGAACGACACCGCCAGCGGCATCATCGACTTGAACGACACCAGCGCCTCCAAGTCCAGCATGGCGGGGACGAACTTCCACATCAAGATACAAATCTTCCGGTACTGGTCCCACAGGAACTCCACGTCCTCCGGGTCGTCGTAGAGCACGCTCAGGTCGTACTGCATCCGCGCCACCACCACCCGCGCCGTCAGCGACATGAGCAGGAACTCGCCCAGGAACCCCGGCTGGAACCGGTAGCTGCTCTGGACGAAGCTGTACGCGTCCGCCACCTCGACCAGCTCGCCCACCTCGCACGCCCTCTGCGCCAGGGCCGTCCACTCGTCGTGCAGCTGTGCCTCCTCCCCCGACAGCTGGTCCATGAGCTTGAGCGCCGTGCTCCGTGAGGTGCCCGAGTGCGGGTTGCTGTAGATGGAGTTGAGGCTGGCCAGCACCGTGGGCACGTTGGTGTAGTGCTGGGTCGTCAAAGTAAGGATAGGCCCGGCGTGGGGTCTGATCCGCATGGGTAGATGGCTCAGGGCCGTTTCCGATAGTGCCTGGCCCCAAGCCCCCTCCCCGAAGAAATTGACCGTGCCCTTCTTCATGAAATGGACTCCCTAGTTGTAGAAATTACTGGTTAGCAAAAGAGCATCTCTTCCAGATTAGGTAGAGTTTGCGGAATTCCTCGGGGTTTTCTGCCTATCCCAACCGTAGAATGGTAAACTCACTAGATTTCTAAAGTTCTCGAACAGGAGCCCAGCATACAGCTCGTCCCCGGGTCTCGGGGGTCCCAGCTGATGTGACAAGCAGAGGACAGCCTCCGCGTGTACGTGGTTGAACGGCTTCCACGGCCAGTCCCCGAGGATGTAGCCCTCTGCTCTGTTCACCAGGGTGATGGAGGCAAGAGTCTCAATGGTCCCGGCCTGGTCTCCCCGCAGCGCCCTCCTCAAGCTCCGAAGTGCCTTTCCGTACTTGTCCATGGTCTGCGAATCCGAGGGTGACACCTTCCGCCGGTAGTCTGTCAACGTAGAGCAGAAGAGGGAGGCGGCGTCTCGGAGGCAGCCGCTGTTAGGGATACGCTGGGGCAGGAACTTGAGGTACTTCATGTTGAAGATGGAGTCTAGGTCCTCGTCGTGCTGGACTAGATTTAGTAGGCGGGAGGCGGTGCGGTCGCCCATAGTGGTTGGCCGGCCCCCGCCTCGCGGATAGGGCGACGAGGTCTCGATGACGCCGATGGCCGAGTAGTAGGCATGGTCCTCAGACAGCACGGGGCGAGTGCCGTCTGTGATGATGAAGCGGTGGTTTATGGGCGCCGCGGAAGTAGCGGGCGCCGCCTCTGGGCTGGATGAAGGTCGGTGGTGTTGCCAGAGCGGCTCGGGCTCTGAGCCTCTGTGATCTGCTCTGGAACCGCCGTGGACGAATTTGACTAGGGAAGTGGGACCGGAGCACTTGATGTCTCGGCGCTTGCAATGGGAGCAGACGGGCCATTTCTGATCGCACTGTACCGGGCGGTTAGAGAGGCGACCAGCGTTTAGATGTTGAGACGAAAGAGATACTTGCCTTGATCTTACGCGCCTTGCAGCTTCGGCAGCCATGGGATTTGGGAATGCCAGGCATGGTAACCCAATGTAACCGAACGGGATGTCGAGGAGCAAATGTAGGAATGGGTGAAGGCTCTTTAATAGAATGCTATAGTCGGTTGATGATGAAAAAGGTGTCGGAGGATATTAATGAGTTTTAGTATGTTCGTGATGGTGGTGAGTGGAAAGGGTCGAGAGGTCGAAAAGGGAGAAGGAAGCCGATTCTATTTATATGGCGATCGATCTGTGAGTGTGTCGTTGGCCCGCAGGATACGGCAGACCTGCCACCGTATGGTTTTTCCTCTTGCATGCAAAAGCGCCATGCAGGTGTACAATTGGAGAATAGTTCATCTGGGACTGATGATATCGGGAGTCAACCAACGGGTCCAGGGCGGAACAGGGATCCAAGTGCCTGATTTAAGGCTGCGTCCGAGGGACGCTCCACTCTATAGGTACCCTTCGTCGACGGCTCGAGAGCTCGTGATTGGTCAATGGGGAAGGTCCTGCCTGGAAAAGGCGGACAGTAACACCGGCAAGAACGACTTAGCCCGCCAGGCCAAGCTGGAGGCATGGACAGTGACACTTGAGGCCAGAGGGGGATGGGCGGCAGTGTAACGAGAATGTGCGCCATCCTGGCTGTTGACGATTCTCCACTAACGAGCCAAATTGCCCAAAAAGGAGATAATTGAAGTGGAGCCTGCTGGGTGCCATCACACATCTCGCCAGAGTGGTGGGGATCTCGAGGATGACCAGGGTCAACCCTAGCATAGCATCATGCAAATCGAGAGTCAGGGTGGCCGAGTTTGCAAGGTGGGTGCTCTGCACGTGACGGCGATTCCGCTACGAGTTATCTCTCTCAATACGGTAATTCTGGGGGAAGGCTGCCTCAGAATGAAGCCATCCCGCGCCAGGCTTACGGTGCCCCCTCCCACCTCTTCCCCCTGCAGTGGGTTGTTTCCCCTCGTGCTGCCCACGAAGCCACCCTCAACCTTGAAATCAGCCGTGGGCGGGAGTCCCACCCCACCACCTACTGGTACTGCCGCTCAGCGTCTGGCCTAGAGCCTACCTACCTTACCTACTGTAAGAAGTGGGCTGGAAGTGCAAGTGGGTTCAGCCCCGTCGAGGCAGATAGCCCCCAATTCAACTGGTGATCAAACCATCCAATCACCATATTCCGCATCTCCGGTCCGTCAATGACATCTCTCCCGAAGGTCGCCCTCCATCATCAATCTCCTTACTTATGAAAATCATACGAGCAGTTGCATATTACGTTCTCGTTAGGCGGCACTTGCTGTGGTCCAATTGGGGATTACGCACTTCTGGAGGCACTGCCCAATTGCCTTCGTGAGGACTTTGGACCTTACATAATACCTCGGGACCTTCTCAATTGGTTTTCATCGATTAGGGGAAAGGCATGATGACAGCTGAAAAAATGCCTGATGCAGCCTCTTACGTTCGGTTTGGCGATGTGCCTTTTAAAATCTAAAACATGGTGATCCTGGTTTATGTTTAATTCTCGGATTTCTATTTGTTGCCTCCTGTACAAACCAGCTCATGGATGCTATGGGTATCCTTTCGGCTATAGGGTAGTCCACATTCAAGGCGTGTGGGTGCATCGGTCCAGAAATGTGCCACACCTTGAAGGAGATCTCGCTACCACACACACGTTTGTGGCATCTTGAACTTTGGGTGTACGCATGAGCACACACCACTTTCAGGCGGTCAATATATAATTAATTGTCCGTCAGCCTCATGAACACCCTCCAATTCCAACGCCTTACACCCCCCACGACGACTCATGGCGACTCCCCCCCTCCCCTTCTCTGACCAATACCGGCACCAGCCTGCATGTGCTCTGGGAGTAATACGTATTGCCTACTTCCAATAATAACACTACCACACCTCCGCCATACGGCTGCTTGAGACGACGTCAGCTTCTAGAACTAATAACCGGCCGCTGGCGGTGGGGTCCTCGAAGACCGAAGGCCGGCTGACCAGAAAAGGACTTTGTCTGCTGATTTCTCCCTCAAGCGCGTGCCCAAGAAATTCCAAGGCGCGCCAAGGGGACTGCCGCGCGCAGCAACTAATCTCGTGATGAAGGGATATCTGGGGGGATTCAAATTCATCCAAGTGGTTGCAATGCTGTTGCGAACTAATGAAATTCATATTATAACATCTCTCCGCACGCGGTGCCCCTGTTCCAGCCACCTCTCCGGGCACTTCAGGGGTGTCCAGGGGTCTTCTGAATTTTGCCGGTCTGCCTCTGTGCCACCATCACCAATCTGCAAGGGTGCTAGGGCAGGGGCCGGAGTTTGAGCAGAAGGCTGGTCCAGCTGAGACGAAACCAACTGCGTAAGTTCCAGGGGCCGGACTTTGAGCGCGTCCCGGACATACTTTTGGCCGGGTTCGCCAATCTGGTCCCAAGGAACACTAAATGCCCATCGCAGCTGGTTTTGGTCAGACCGGTCAGCAGGCACCCAAATGCGGGAGTGCTCAGCAATGCCACAGTTTCTCCTGCCGCCCAATGATATATCTCAATCCGAACCGGAAGACGTCATGTGCTAGTTCTGATTCATCGCGTGCCGTTGCGCCTTGCCCCTCTCTGCCTTATGTTGCTCACCCTTTTCATCCTCGTATAAGCCGACCACTTAAACGACTTTTGTTGTCAGCGGATCCCGCCCCCAACGTCCCTCCTTCAATCTTTTCACGACAGAGACGGCGCCTCATTGCTGTGGCGTTTATAGGAACGTTACAAGCCGTCACCGCACTTTTGCCGTGATCAAAGGGACTCTTACCCGCGTCCTGTACTCGAACTAGTGTGTGGTTCTCTGTAGCTATCGTATTGACGGTGGACCCTGTTGCGCGCCCTGCTGCGCGCCCGGCTGCGCTCTCTCTTCGCCTTACTTCACCCATCATGGACATGGACTTGTGTTAATGAAATACCCGTGGCAATTGCGTTGTCGTAGAATCGAACCTCGGCCGCCGATTTGCGGGCTTGTGCCGTTACAACCTATCCCTGCACCCTGAGCCGTCGCAGCGTCCGGTGCCGGAGACCGATGTTCGGATGAGATGATTTGAGACTCCAGAGGCTGGCCCGGCGATGTGGAGCACACGGCTAATAATGACTTTGCCGCGGAGTAGAATATGCGAAGAATGAAGTTGGGATCAATTGACCAGAATGGAAGAGAGGCCTTCATTTGCGAGCTCGGCCTATGACTACCTCAGTACTCCAGCTTGGCATTCAAGTTCGAACGGTTAATTTCGATGGAACAAACATTCCCGTCGGTGGCCGAGATTATGACAACTCTTCCCCGATCGACGGGGCAATCAGCCTTGATCTCCGGGCACACGTCCAACACCTTGAGCTGCTGGGTGTAATATGTGTCGTGCTGGGTGTGGCATATGTATTGTACTGAGCGTGGTATATGTATTGTACTGAGTGTGGTATAAGTATTGTGATATATTGTGCTGGGTGTGGTGAATGTATTGTATTGGGTGTAGTATGTGTATTGTGAGGGAATGCGAAGACAGAATAATGCAATCTTGGTACCAGGTTTGGTGGTCTTACACAAAGGATGGGCTAGGTCCAAGGTATTATAGCCTGTTTCAACTCCACAAACCCCTAGAGTGGGATCCCATTTGCGCCCTCATCTCCCTGTGCCTGATCCTGAAGATCTGGGGATGGTGTGGGAGCGGATGTCTCCATTCGGCGGCGGACTTTCCCAAGTTTGGTAGTTCATCCACCACCACCTTATCCGAGGTAATGGTTCACCACGTTCACGGGTACGGGCCAGGGGTAAGGCTTTGCCACAATATTTGGTATCGTCATTTGCATTAAGAGGATAATTGGAAGTCTTGTAGTTGCTTCGGCACAGGCCAGGCACGTGCGTCGCTGAACCGGTTGATGACGCCCCTGAGCGCCTTTCTTTCATACCAGTCGATGAAATAATGGCCGTATAGGTGTATCGCTAGGGCAGCATTGACAACTACTGGTGGCGTCTTCTCCTCTTGGAGAGACGTGCCGCAAATGTCCAGAACTATGCTCCGGACTTGGCCTTCGGCTTCGCGGAACGCAAGTCGAGGATCGGTTGCTTGTCTGGTAGCGATGTAGTTAGCGACGGATATATTCCAAATGCATTAGGCGCGATGTAACCCACGCTAGGAAAGGCGATTCTGCTATCAGGATCATTCTCGCTAGCATCATATGTTGCATTGCCGTGATTGCTGCCACTGAGCGAAACCATATTGTGGGAAAGACCTCTCCTTTTTCACGGTCGGGAGGAAGCCACATCAGAGGCTTGAACTGCGTGGCTACTTCTTCCTCGAGTGTTTTTTCCTGTTCTTTAAGACTCACTGTAGGCGGATAGTTAGTAGGCTTGCATTGCATTTGTTATAGTCTTCGATGCTACTCACACCACCCCTCCTGCGATTTCCCCTCAAACATCCATCGCGCGACGTGGCTGGCGTGCATGATCATGCGATCTGCCGGAGACACGTTGCCATAGGACTGTGGGTTTTGATCCATTTCTGGCGGATATCCCTTGAGCAGAGCATCGTATACTTCTTGCCGAAGGGCGATCCAGTAGCAGGCATTGAGAAGCTCAGACTTGAGAAACGAAACCCTCGGTTGGGAGCCTCGGAGGGCGGAGTTGATGATGGAGAGGAAGTTGACTCGACCTGTTCTTGGAGAGGGTGCTGTGTATACTTCTTCTGCCGCTCCTTCTTCTTCTTCTGCCTCGTTGTCGTGTTCCATCTCTTCAAACTGGCGGAGGATGACGGCTGTCGTCAGCGTGAGGATCCGGGTGTCTTCGTCAATCGTATCGTGGAACGCTCGTAGCGCCGGCATGCATCGCAACATGTACTCAACTGCGGTGCCTGGTGTGAGGCCGCGGAGGACCTGCCCTCGGTAGACGATGCCTTCTATAGTCCGGTATCGAGGGAGTCGGCATAGATGGCGCGCGGAGACGGCAAAGATGGCATTCAGCAATGGAGGGTAGCTCATGGCTCGCTCGGGGACCAGAAACTCGAAGCGGCGTTGGCGGTCGCATGTGTCGAACTATTTCCATTTTGTCAACTTCAACTTCAACTTCAGGAATCTGAGGAAGTGGGCTTAGGGTGGAAGAGTTTCTAACCCAATGGGAAAGCTCGTCTATGTAATAATTCAAAAGACAAGCTTCTTGAACTGCCCTCCTGTGGTCCTCCGTATACTGTTCCTGTTGTCGGACCCCATCCGGTGACTGGTGAAGTAGTTCGGACCAGCTAGGGTAGATATGAGACGAAGTCGCTGTTGGGGTTGACGCCGCAAGCCCTGAACTATTGCTGGGCGTCACCTTATCGAAAGGAGGTTGTGGGGAAGAGGCTGGCCCACCCACTTCAGATACTTGGGCCGCATGAGTGGTTTGCTCTGGGGAGTCTGAAGTGGCTTCGATCGGGCTGTCGTCGTATTCGGTTTCTATCCGTTTGGCTCGACCGCGGGAGCCATTGTGCAGACGAACTCGGGGCCGGGATTAGCAGAAGCATAGCAAGGGCCTGATGCACAAGGGGTGTAAATACATTCACGGGCGTTGGTCTTGACCCAAGTTTGCGTTTCAGGGAATTGGGAATCGATAGTTCCTATTCGAAAGGGCCGCTTTCGGCCAGCCTTGACGCAGGGAAGGTTGCGCTCACTGCATCGACGGCACTTCGGGGTGTCCGAGGAGCATTTCAAGTGCTTCTCTGTGGAAGATGCCCAGTTAGCTTGGAGGCGAGCAGAAACAGCATAGGAAATTGTCACCTCTGCATTCTACGCAGGGGAGCCTGCGCAAGGACATTGTCTCACTGCTCGGCCCTGCCCCCGCGGCTGTTGTTTGGCCGGTCCGTCTGTAATCTTTAGGGGTGGGGAAGGGGGGGGGGAGAGGGCGTAGAGGGAACGCAAGACGGCTGGCGAGAAGAGGTTCGGCGATATTTGGAGAATGAGGCAGTTGGGTTGTACTGAGATCTGGGGAAGGAGGGAAAAGGGCAACTTGAATTAGGCGTATGCGGAGAAGCCCTTTCGGCGAAAATTACCGAGTCTGGTTAAGCAAGCCCCAACTTCCCCATATTATCCGCCTTCTAGTGACGACAACATTTCCAGCTTTCCAATGCAGGCAACAATATTGATAGACAATAGTCAACAATAACAATAATAAATTATTGGGTAATTATTAGGTAATATTGTTCATAATAATTCTATCGAGGTGACTTTGTAGTCCCTGTTTTTTTGACAGCCACTTGCCAGGTACCCAAATAACCTGCCGCTGGAGCCCCTTCTATCAGGGGCCAAGAATAGTCTTCATTATTCGTGACGGGGCCGAAACAAACCCATCATGGTGTCTTTACTCAGGTATCGGCTGATGTTCTGGCAAGAAATTCTTCGAGGTCCTGGCCAAGATCACCCCATTCATTCCATTCGAACCTGCTTGTCAGGTGAGCGCAAGGACCCTTTGGTTGTGGAGGGTCGACTGAAAATGATGGCAATGGGGACGGATGCGCAGGCGGACAATGTTGTGAGAGATGAAATCCCTGTCCGCTTTCAGGTGTAGGAGGTTTATTCTCGGAGACCTCGCGCTGCCGGCTGGCATCTCCGGGGTTGAGATTGCAAAAGCTTGCAAAAATTTCCTCTTGGTTTAGGTCATTAGGGTTGGCGGTGCCGAATGGTGAAGGATGGCTGGAGTTTGTGTCGGTAATTGATTGAGAGGGACGGCTGTAAACTCCGGTTTGGTCGGATCCCGTGATTGTTTGTGGCTCCAGTGATGCTCCAAAGATACCACCGGTGGCTTGTAGAGTATCCAGGGCCCAGGACAACCCAACTCTCATTCGAGAGTAAAAGGTATACGATAGGCTTCGGAGTAGGAGTATCTGGAGCCGATCAAGGACTGCCCGTAGGAGACAAACATCACGTTGAGCATCTTCATTATATTTCTTCCGCGCGAAAAGGTGCCAGAGATGGAAGGCTACCAATTCTATGAAGGGAACAATTGGGTAGTTTCGGAACATCCTCGCTAATGCAGCCAATTGAGCAGGAGTTGGTTTCCTTGCGGAGACTTGAAGAATCAACTTCAGGGCTTCACGGGCAACCTGGGTTTTATGGTTCTGAACTTGCTCCGAGGTCTGTTCGGAGCCGAGAACAAGTAGTTCAGATACGTGGCAGCCGTATGTAAACTCAACCTGCAATGGGTTGGGACTTTCTGAGTTGTTGGAGTGATTAAGTTTATAGTTTGCATGTCGTTGGCTAAACTCGTTCATCAACGTATTCATGTGGCGTATCTGCTGATAACCTCTTTGGCTCTTGGGACCTGCAGCTTTTGAAGAGTACAAGTTGATATGGATCTCTTCCCATAGCGTCATCATGTGATTTGAAGCATCCTCGAGGGAACATCCATGTAGGTCGTGGTCCGAGTCAAACGAATAAAGATCGCACGGCTGGCCTGTCATGAAAACTCGTTGTTTGTCGAGGGTGTAAAGAACCCAAAACAGGCGCTCTCTTTCCTTTTCATCTTCTGTTGGTCTATTCGCGCTGTCGCTGTGACGACGAGCTTTACATCGATGTAAGCCGAGAGCGCGACCAGCTTGGCAAGCTGCCTGGCATACTCTCTCAGCTGTGGCATTGCTGAAAAACTCTCGAGAGACGAGTGTCTAGGCCATACGTGATGTTAGTCAGTTATGAGGCTCAATCTTATTGTAGGATAAGGGCTAGACATGATTCACCAGTATGATAAGCGCCTCGACATTGACAATAGTCGGTACCATGAACGAGGCGAGATTCCGCATAGCTCGATCGCAATTTTCCAATAAGGGGAATAAAATAGCATCATGCATGATGGGAGAATTATTTTGCGATGCATGCGCTACTCGTAATTCCAGACCTAGTTGTAGAAGCACAATGGCGTTTGTGATGAGAGGCCATGCCATATTATTTTGGGTTGTCGATTCGGTGCTGTAATGTGTGTTTATGGCGCAGCGCAAGTCGTTCTCGTCAAAGATCGGAACCTTGGCATTGAAAACTCGGAGGTAGCCATCTACGGAAGCATTGACAATGAAACGAGGCGGTGAGGTGATAGGCTCTCGATCCTTAGCCAGACCGAAATCTACACAAGGCGATTTGAAAGGGAAGGCGTCGAGCTTCTGCTGGAGAGCATCTCTTGCTTTTTTATCTTGGGGTGTATCGAAATAATTGCATAGGCTCTCGTTGGCAAAGTATCGATTGGCCCTATGTTCATCATCTGTAAGAAGTGACGCGGTAGCCTGATGTAATAGGCATTTCATCAGAACGACAGGCGCTGGATAACTGTACAGATATTCACCACCTCGATCAAACTCGACTGTCTCTAGAGGATGTTTGATATCTTGCGACTGACCATCCGGTGTCTGACCATCGTGATGATTAGTTCGAACTGAGTCAAAGTAAGGGGAAGATTCCGGCTGTGTGGATGTGGGTTTTGCGACATCAGCGGCAATCTGTCGAGTAAGACTCGTTAAAGCTCCTAAGCTTTGATCGAGATGGTTGATCTGCGTCAGTACAGTAGAGAGGTCGCCTCGCCTGCGATGATGTCAAGACGAAAGAATTAGCATTATTGATACTCAGTTGGTTTGGGATCGACGTTGGAAGTCTATTCTTACAGCTCCTTAGTTTGATTCACCCGTTTGGTAGAGTTCGACGAGCTGCATTCTACTCCGGCTTTGGAGCAATTTGAGCACGTGGGCTGTTGTCGGTCACAGCGAACCTTGCGCTGACGGCATTGGTCGCAGACGGCGGCTGAGAGACTCTCGTCGTTGTCAAGCCGAGGTCGCTTGCTCATTACGTCCTGATGGATAGGGCCAGGTCGCGACCCGAATGGCTGGATTGCAAAAGGGGAGGGGAGCAGGAGCGAGGACTAGGGAAGGGTTGCGGTGGATTCAACTGGCGATAAGAAAACGGCTCAAGTGTAGAATGGAATATTCACAGTGATTGGTGATGGTGTTGATGGTCCTGTCTTCAAGGTGTCAGTAAATTAGGTAGATAGATACGGACATGACGGAGTTGAATGGACCTATGATGAGTAAGCAGTCGGGAGGGCACGTGACGTCCCTTATGGATGTACTTGGACTACCTGCGCCGCGCATCCAGAACCCTCAAGTTGAAGTTCAGTACAATATCAACATAATATCGAAACAATTAATTAGTAATAAACACTAAATCCAGATATACAATGTATTTTAATAATCTGTAACTTCTTATTATGATGTTTAGTATTATTGATAAGAAAATGACGTCCCTGACTTGCGTGAATAGAGCGAGCGTTGGTGTGCCATGTTTCATGTCAGTCGCTTGCCAACCAAGTCTGGCCGAATAAAAATTGGGAATCATCCGATCGGGAGTCCAGACTCCAGTGGCTTTTTATCCAGACCGTGTACCTGCTGATTTAGAGGTTGTAGGGAATTAGCCGGCACTTCCACTATCATCGGCGTTTTAAGAACAGCCATGTGAAAGGCTTGGAAGCTTGGAAGAATACTAGAAAAAGGCAAGATGACGAATTGCACGAGTGTGTTTTTATTGATTATCCCAAGCCCACCAAGAGTAGCTGGTGATTATCATTCGGTTGTGTCCCGGTACCTGCAATGGCTGAACATAAAGGTTGAAGGACAATGGCCCTCGAATGTGGGATCTCGGGGCTCTACGGTGCCCTAAAAGATGCCCATGCGCTCTAAAACTTCATGGCTTCTGTACCCAGAAGTAGATACATACTAGTACCTTGATACCTGCAACTACTGTCAAGTAGCAATGGCTCGCCTCTGTAGCCGACTGCGAGCGCCTGTTGCACTTCACTGTTGGAACATCATCACTACACAGTCACCAGGACTACAGTACATATTAGAGGTTAGAGGTACCTGTTCTTCAATTTACCTGACTACCTTAGGTAGGTACCTACTTGGTGGGTACGTACCATTATTCCCCCGTTTCCCTTCCCTTCTACTGAGCGTGCCATCTTCCCTTCTCCACACAACAAACAGAGAAATCCCACTTCACTTTGTTTTGAATTTGTTTTCTGAACGCGTTTCATGTGCAAAACATCTTGAGTTGATGATCCAAACCCAACACTCGGCACTTTTACCAACTTAACATTATGAGTCGATTAAGTACGGCTTTCGACGCCGCTTGCTCGCTTTACTCCCACCACTCCTGCGTGACGCGAAGTTGCGTGAAGCCGTGGAGGCAGAATGGTCGCTTGGTAATGTAGCCTTTTCAAGAGCTATTCCCTCCTTTACTCTCGTGTCTCTCTCTTCCATTTTTGAGATTTGATCTCGGTGATCTGGAAGAATGGTTAGTGGAAACAGTTACTCTGACTTTGCACCTCAGCCGACTTCTTGGTAATTTTTGGACCTCTCCCATTCCTCCCTTTGAGACATCCAGTACTGGAGTATGAGATAATAAAGGCTAACGATCTTTTGTACCAGACTGATACCACCAAGAAAAACAAAGGAAACGGACTTCCTACGAACGCCCCGCGGCTGGCCCGGTTCGTTTCATAAAACCATAGAAAGTTGTACGTGTATGTTTTTCAACCTTCCTCTCCTCTTCAGAGCTTACTGTTACATCATTCGCAAATGATGATCGAAATTGTTTTCGTTTTGAACCTCCCATGAAATACACTTTTCTTCAATCTGATTCTTAAACCCCCTGCGCCCTTTACCATCTCTAGCATGATGAAGAACTTTGGCTGACTTTGAGATCACAATCTGGACCTAGATACGATTGCGACGGTCGCCATGCTTTTGATCACCTGAGAACTCATCAAAGATGACTTAGTTCATCTCACATAACCACAAAAACTTGTACGTGTACATTCTTCAACTGCTGTTTCATCGTCATTCTCTTCTTATTACATCGAATGAACATGATGATCCATTTTACATTCTGCTTTCATTGATATCCCATGAAAAAAGCATGACTCTATCTGAACCTTGATTTCTCTACACCCTCAGCTCTTTCTGGCATATGAAGACATTTGGCTAACTCCAAGATCATAATCTGGATCTAGATACGATGGCGACGATCAAATGCTTTCGATTCCCTGTGAACGCTCCGAGTCTGACCTGGTTCATCTCACAGAACCACAAAATTCTGTACGTATACTTCTTCAACTGGCGTTTCATCCTCATCTTCTTATTACATCGAATGAATATGATGATCCAGGAAAAAGTGTGTATCTATTTTGACATCCTATGAAATAAAACCTTTCACCAATCTGAACCTTGATTTCTCTCCACCTTGAGCTCTCTCTCTCTGGCATATGAGGACATTTGGCTGACTTCAAGATCATGATTCGGACCTAGATGCAATGATGATAACGACTACTTTCGGTCCCCTACAAACGGCCCGGCAGTTGACCTGGTTCGTTTCACTTGACCAAGAAATTCTTGTATGTGTATGTTCTTCAACTCTCCTCTCTTCGTTGGGAGTTCCTATTGCGTCAATCAATATAATGATCTTATCGGGCTTATTTTGATCTTCTATGATACAAAACAGAAACACAATCTGAACCTTGACTTTTATCCACTCATAGCTCTCTCTCTGGCACATGAAGGCATTTGGCTGACTTCAAGATCATAATTTGGACCTAGATGCGACGGTGTCATTCAACCCCCCCAAAAACTTGTATGTGCATATTCTCCTGCCATCGTCTCCTCTCCTCGCTGGGAATTTCTATTATGTCAATCAACATGATGATCCTTTCGTTTATTTGATCTTCTATGATACAAAAACACAATCTGAACTCTGACTTCTACCCACCCATAGCTCTTTCTAGCATATGAAGACATTCGGCTAACTTGAAGATTGGAATTTGGAGTTAGATGAGGATCAAGAAACACAGGTGCGAAATGGCGATGATAGACGCGCTTTTGGGCCGGCATGGAACCTGTTGTGCCAATATTAGGTACCGAGACTTGTCTAAGTATTGCATCTCTTCGGCTATGAGTAAACTACGAGAAGATATTAATTCAACGAAGAGAGCATCACTGGATAAGTACTATTAATCAGCAAAATTTTGGCCATATCTACGACTATGATGGACTTGACTACCGTTGTGAGTACTTCCCGTAAGGAGCGTGGCTATCTGCTTGTGTATTCCTCATGGCTAATCGGCTCGACAAGGCGATATAGCCACAGACGATGTGCGCTCTACATCTCGAATACCACCATGTGGTTGAAATAACTTGGATAGTTGTTTTCAAGATTTTGAGCTGAAAGGCCATCGATGGGCGATTGGACGATAGTCGAAGGATACCTGCAAGACCCTAGTTGAGACACCTTAGCTCAATATAATATGAATCTTTTGCTCACACTCTCTCGCTCAATACATAAGAGTAGTATCTTGGGCCTTTGATCAGTGGATGGCTTTGCATCCAGCTCTGGCTCCATTCTCAACCCTCTTTATATCCACATGCGCGAAGAGGAAAGGGGACAGAAAGGTCGCTTCTTGTTGGTAAGAATCTTGCAGGGTTGGCTCGATGAGTATGGCGTTTGGGGCCAAAAGTTGTAAGTAGGTTGGCTGTAAAAAAGCCGATCTGGGTTACCCTGTCTGGGAATAGTAACGTAGAATTGCTACCAATTGCTGTGCGCAAAGGTCCGAATTGTGTGTATGAATGATCTTGATTGACTATTGCAAGGAGCTGTAGTTAGCTACCTATTGCTGTAAGGCTGCTGCTTATCGTGATCTTGATAAGCGCTTATCAGTATGTGGTGTCTCCCTGCGTCAATAGATCCGAGGACAAAGCTTGCCTGGAGGATAACACTTGGGGCATTGTATGAAAAAACTTGTTCGGGTGCCACGAGGAAAAAACGTGTTTCTGATGAAATGGAACTCAGATGGTCGATCCATAGCTGTCATTATTCGACAAAGGATTGGAAATTGAGCACTTGGAGGTGTGCCATGGCTACAAATACCTCTCAAAGACCGAAAACCAGTCAATGTGGTTTCTCTCCTAGCAATAGAAAATTTGTAGTATACGTCCGCAATTCAACCTAGAAAGCAGAGTGATAATTGGCACGGATGGATAAATTGACAAAGCGTTTAATAGGCATCCCGGCGAATGTCTCTTTCTTACATAATTCAAATGAAGCTTGGATGTGAATAGAATTACAAGGAAGCTAAAGAGGGCCTGCTACATATGGTATTGCATGTCTCCTATCAATTTAGCCTTCGGCGCAACGCTTCGAGATTCCCAAGAACAGAGGTCTCGCCGCCATACTTCTGTTCCAATTCAGCGACATACTCGAGGCTCACATTGTTCTTTGTTGCACTATCCAAAATGACATCAAAGAGCCAGTGCTCCCTCTCGCCTCGGCAGCTCACACATGCCGTGTCCAATACTGTCGAGGACGAAGCTACCGAGGACGTAACATTGACCCGGTCAACCTCGGCATCTAGACGGGCACCGTGCTCAATGAGTAGTTGCACTCGGTCTTCTAGACGAACACCAGCGTTCTCAGACGGGGAAAAAGGTGAGGGGAAAGGGGGGAGTAGACCACGCAGAATCGTCACCTCTGCCATCCTTTCGAAACCATCATCCTCGTTGACTTGTACCATTCGCTTGACCGTGGCATGAGGGGAGGCAGAGCCCTCCTCGAGCAAAATCCTCATGCAATCAAAATCGGCAGCGCGCTCCGCTGCGTACCAGAGGGGTGTTCCCTGCCAACCTCTTTGCAGCGTGTTCGGTCGGTGCTCAATCAGCTCCGGCTTGTTGGTTTCTTTGGCCTTTCTAACGAAAGCGCGTATGAATTCCTGATGCAGCTCATGGTCGCGTCTGAGCTCGTCCAAGGGGTGCATCTCGTCTTCGGGTTCTCGTAGCGGGCCTCTCAAGGCGATTTGCAGAACAATTTCCTGCTTCTCGGGGTTGGCTGTCGAATCTAGCTGCGCTCCAGCTTCCACGAGAGCTGTAGCAGCAGCCCAGTTCTTCATTTTCGCGGCGAGTACCAAGGGAGTGCCAACGTTACGACCAGGTGGTCGATTCCAGCCGTCGGCAACATGGTCCAGTGGCGTTCCGGCAGCTACCAGCTTAGGAACCATCTCTGAAATGCCTGCAGCATCACCACTGACTGATATAAAGTGGAGAGCATTGAAGCCTCCTCTTCCCGAGACCGCCTCTGCCATGTTGTTGATTACCTGGCCGTGAGGCCCGGTGAGGAAGTGGCGATTTGAAAGAATCGTGTCGACTACTGGCCAGAAGCTTGCTTTGATAGCTGCATGCAGTGTCAATCTATCCGCATCCGGGCTCCTGAACGCATATTGAGTTCCATTTTGGATAAGAAGTTCCGTAATTGCTTTGCGTTCCGGGTCTTGAAGCCGCATAGCGAAGTAGAAAGGAGTATATTTGGCGCTGTCGGGGAAGTGGACATCCGCCTTGGCTTTCAAAAGAAATGATGCGATGTGGGTTTGGCCGTTATAGCAGGCGACATGTAAGGCTGTGGCTTCTTGTTCGATTTCTTTCATCTCGCGTCTCTGGTTGTATTTGTGAAAAATTTCTTTGGATACCGTGTTGACATCGGCACCATGAAATACCGCAAGTTCCATGGTATCTAGATTTCCACTCGCGGCCGCTTGGAAGATAACGGGGCGGGCAGGGGGTTCTGTGAACAACGCGCGTTTGTAAAGCATTGGAGCGAATACTGCATTAAAGCGGCGGCTGGCGCGTGCGAGAGAGGCGAGGCTGGATATATCGCAATGTGACCCGCATTCAGCGAACATCTCGTTCGGAAGAGAGTCGAAGAAAGCCATTTTGAGATGCACGGATATGTATGGGGGAGATATCCGTGAAGAATGTTTGAAAGGGCACCTTTGAGAATAAGAAACCGTTCACATAGAGGTCTTCGCAAGGTGAGCCTGAGGCATGTGCTCACCTCTGTCAACACGCGGGGTCAGTCTATAACTGGTTCAGGTGGTAACGCCTCAGCTTGAGCTTTAACACGTACAGGTCGGGGTTCTTAGCCTTATCTACAATGCGCAAGTATCCTCCTGGTTACTAGTTCGACTTTGCATTTTTCTTCTCTTTTCCTTTGTCTTTTGGTTTCTACTTTGCTTACAGTTTGATCTGTTCTCGTAGCCATCAGAGGCAGTTAGCAGCAAGTAGCACTGCCCATGACAACATCCCCAGAGCGCTGGCACGTTAGGGAGTGTATGTTGCCTGAGGCAGTGCTTTGTTTTCTAGGAGGCAGGCTCACACCAGAAACACAGCTCAGGACTTCAAGGTGACTGAATCAATAACTATTAATGGCTACTTGGGTGAAGACGGTGTTCATCATCATGGCTTTTGGTCCTCTGCATCGAGGATACTCAATATCAAAGACAGCGTACATGTACTCAGCGACTTATGATTGAATTCTTGCAAGTGTTCTGCTGATGACTGATCCTTCACTTGTGATTTTCCAGTGGCATAGATACTTCAGGTATAAATACTTGTATTTAACAGAGCCAGCACCTGACTTGAGATCACCTTGTGCCAGAGACTCGACGTGTTTGCGCAGAGCGTGAACATAACGTTTGGTGGGGCCTTCGCTCATCGCCCCCAATCATTCCGTTCCCTGACACGACCCACATTCAGCCCAGAAACTTCTTGGCGCGGACAGTGGAAAGTGAGTTGGTGGCTTTGCGCTGAAAGAGCTTGAACTTCTGGACGTGAAAAAAACTAAGCACCTATCTTACGCATTAAACACGTGTTCTGGCACGCCGCAACATAGTGTGACGAAGCCAAGCTCTAGGCTGTTAAATTTGTTTGATGTGGCAGAAGAAGTGCATTGAAACCAAGCCGGATTGTGGGGAGCTTGCCGCCCGGCAGATCTCCTGCAGGGACGACAGGGTGGATCAGCAACGAGCCGGTGAGCCTAAGGAGGTAGTTTTCATTAGCCTCCACGCCATCCCTTGTTGCCGCCTGAGTATGTGCTACCCTATAGTGCCGGATATTTCTTTCTCCACTCTAAACACCGTCATCTCCCTTTCTACTCGTGAGCAACCAGATCATCTTGACTCTTCATTGATACAACTAATGACGCCTCTCTCATTATTCTAGAAGAATTTCATCCAAACGTTCGAGCGGAAAGCCAAAAACGACGTGGCACATAACGACGACTCGCGTACGATACTGCCTCCGACAAAGCTATCCATATAGCCGATTAGCCGTATTGAAATTCTAGCCTTCGGAACAAACACCAGAAATATCCTGCATACTTTCTAGCAGAGCTTGAGACCCGGGTGGGTGTCGTGGATCAGTGAACACTACAGGCTCCGCACAACAGACATTTTCCTTATTTTTCTCGAAAAGTAGTATCCGACTCACGGCTCTACTCTGCGGTTAGATCACGATTATCCGTCGGCACCAGCACCCTTGACTAGCCACGTGTTGGCTGGCGACTAAGAAAGGCCGGGGAATGGTATGAAAGCATTTTAGGCATACAGGGGGCTATTCGCGGGAAGTGGTTTTCTGGTGTCTTGCAACATCCCTGCTGCGGTGCCTCGGCGACTCGGTTGCATACCAGGAGGTTGTAATCCCGGAGCCAGTATTGATTGGAGGACAACTCAACGTCATACCGCGCCGCGTTAGTAAGACCCAAATCCCGTCTTGCTCATATTCACAGCAACACCCTCTTTCACTAGACTAACAAGCCCTGGTTGATATAGAACATCATTTCATAGACCATTTATACGCAGTTTCCCTTTTTCCGTTAAGTTTTTTTTTATCCCAAAATCCTGTGAACAGTCACTTTTCACGGGTTGATTCAACGACAGACGACATGGAGCAATTGAAAGACTCGAAGTTTGTTGCCACTGTCCCGCTGCCCGAGTCGCCAAAACAACTGCCCAGGCTGCCTAATGCGAAGATTCAGTATCCCAAGTGGTTTGGAGGCTCGGCATCATTATTCGCCGTCGTATTCTCTCACCCGTTGGATTTGAGTTAGTTTCCATCAATTCCCGGGCGTGATTAAGTACACTTTTTGCTCACGCTTCTCTAGTCAAAGTCAGGCATCAAACTGCAGCCGGGGCCAAGCAGAGCATTACATCCACTGTGATTTCTGTGGTTCGGATAGAGGGGATCAAAGGTCTATATCGAGGTGTAAGTTAGTCCCACTTGCTTGTTGCAAGGCCAAAACTGATCATTTTGTAAACTTTTAGCTGTCCGCGAGCATGCTCAGGCAGTGTAAGTCACGTCTAGCTCTTGAGGATGCAGCTGCACGTAAGTCACCCGCTAATCACATGTCGCAGTAACATATGGCTCCACAAGATTTGCCATCTACGAATCTCTCAAGGACCGTGCCTTGGCAAACACAAAGGGCGACAAGCTACCAATGGCATTCCTCCTATCCGCCTCAACATTTTCGGGTGCATGCGGAGCCATAGTCGGGAACCCCGCCGACATCGCCAACGTTCGCATGCAAAACGACCGCTCGCTGCCGGACAACCTGCGGAAAAACTACCGCAGCATCTTCGACGTGCTCGCCCGCATGGCGCGCGAGGAGGGAGCCGGCGGCTTCGTGCGCGGGATCATCCCCAACGCTATCCGGTCAGGCTGCATGACCGGCTGCCAGCTTGGGTCATACGACTGGTTCAAGGACATGCTGGAGAAGGTCCCCGGGATGGGGAACGGTGGGATGGCCACGCAGTTTTCAGCGTCTGTTCTTGCAGGTCTTGTGGCCACCACCCTTTGCAACCCCATCGATGTCGTAAAGACGAGGATCATGAGCGGGAACTTCAACGGCATGTCCGTGATGAAAACAGTGACGGAAATGACACGGACCGATGGCCTGCGTTGGATGCTTAGAGGCTGGCTGCCTTCTTTCAGCAGGCTGGGGCCTCATACAGTCGCCACGTTGCTTTTGCTAGAACAACACAAGAAATTATACAGACAGTTAAACAAAAGAGAGTAGAGAGGGAAGATGCCGAGCAATCCAGCAGATAGAGAAGGTTTTCGGTGGGAATACGATATCAGACTCAGCGGGCACACGTTTCCACTTATTCCTCTCGAGACATCACAGATGTTCAAGTCATCATAGATAAGCCATTACATGCCAAATTTATCCAACGTCTTGATGTCTCCAATTCCTAATTCAAAGGAGGGCAAAGGCCAAAACCAATCCTTCACGTGTCAAGGTCTAGCTTAGACGAACCCCAGTCAGTTCATGGTGGTGTTGTCCGATGGCCCATCGTGGTTCATAGCATGGAGATGCCTACAACGTGGATGGATCTGTAATAAAAGATATATTTCCATTCAATTTGCTATCATTTCACATCATCTACGATCCCAGAATGCCAAGATGAGCAGGGCTGTCGGCTATTCGATGGTGATATGATCAGATGAAGACCACTTGCCGCCGGCGACTGAACTAGTAGCCGAGCCTACCCTATACCTTCTCTCCGTTCTTTCAACCGAGAAGAAGCCCTCTCATTTCTGGCCTCACGAATCATACATCTGGCTAGATTCATTAGGCGGCGGATAAGTATCGAATGGGAGGAAATTAAAGCTTTAAGATAAGGTATCAAAGCGCAGTTCCATCAACTTTCTTTTCTCGGCGTAGTGTGTTCGCCAATTGCACCAATCTATCTAATTGAAGCCGCGCTGCTGGGTTTGGAGGGTTTAACGCCATCCATTTCTGTGGCAGAAATTGTTGAAATAGATGTATGAGAGATGAGTCGTTTGATTGATTGAAGAAGCAAGATCTAACTCAGGGTCTAATTGTGCAGCTTTATCAAGATCATTGACACAGATCGTAGTCACTTGAGTATAGGGTAGGCTGGAATATCATCTACCCTGGAAGGCATCTCAACAGAAATGGACCAAAAGGTTGCCAGTCCACTTAACAATTAGCCGCATTACATAATACTTCCTTGTAAGGACCTCCTTGCCGATGCGCTTTTGAGATCCCTGCAAAGCTGCAGAGAAAAGAAAACATCCTGGCAATCTCCACCATTTATAATACCACCTCAGTTCTTATTAGGTCCCTAATCTCACTGTTGTGTGGATAAGATGGAGCCACGTGATAGCTGCGACGCCTTCGTTCCCCGCGTCAGCAAGAAAATGCTGCCGGATGCTCCCGAGCGTCGAACTCATACAACAGACCGTGGCCTGCGATCATGCCGGTACAGGCGGCGGAGAGTCATCAGCAGCCGACCGGGAACGCTCCAGCAGGCATGGACGACAATGTCACGAACAACAAGCGCTCGCCGTTCCCCAACGATGCCTACCAAGTTGGCTGGATTTCGGCATTGCCCATCGAGCTGGCGGCGGCTCGCGGCATGCTGGATGAAGAGCACGGAAACCCACAAACGCTGCCGCAGAAGACGGACAACAACAGCTATGTGCTTGGGCAAATCCACAACCACAAGGTCGTCATCGCGTGCCTCCCTAGAGGCGAGGTAGGCGCTAGTTCTGCCGCGCTTGTCGCCCAAAACATGATGTGGAGTTTCCCCAACATACGCATCGGCCTGATGGTTGGCATTGGAGCAGGTATACCGAAATGCTCTAGCAACGAGAACGATGATTCCGACGATGACGACGAGGAAGATGTGCACCTTGGTGACGTTGTCATCAGCAGCGACAAGAAGACCGGCGGTGTGGTTGCTTACAACTTTGGGAAGAAGCTAGCAGATGGATCCTTCGAGGTTGCATACCATCTTGACCAACCACCTAGAGTTCTGCGTACGACTTTGGCGAACCTTGAGGCCACACACGAAGTTCGAGACAATCTGATACCCAAGTACATCGGTCAGATGCTTGTGAAGCTGCCAGGGAAAATGCAGTCTAAGTGGATGCATCCTGGGTTAGAGAAGGATATACTGTTTCCACCTGACTACATGCATTCGAGCGGCAAGACCTGTAAGAACTGCGACCAGGAGAGAGCCCTAAGAAAGGCACTCGACAAGCGAGAAGATGATACCCCAGTGATACACTATGGAGTGATCGCGACAGGCTCCGAGGTTGTTCGGCATGCGCCAACGAGGAACCAAATCAAAGGCGACCACAATGCCATCTGCCTGGAGATGGAGGCGGCGGGCTTGATGAACAACTTTCCCTGCCTTGTCATTCGAGGCATATCAGATTATGCAGACTCGCACAAGAATGATCGATGGCATCGGTATGCTGCAGCGGCGGCCGCGGCTTGTGCCAAAGAGTTGTTGAGTGTAGCCCAGCCTCTCGAAGTGGGAGAAAACCCGAGGGCGGCAGAACTCGTTGGTCTCCTTGACAAAAGTTAGTTGTTGGGTGTGAAGGACCCTCCAAGTAGCGCATTTGCTAAATCCGTCTCAGTTGACAGTAAACTGGGCAATGTAGATGCCAAAATCAATACATTTATTACCGCATCGCAAGAAGAGAAACTCAGGAAATGGCTCTCAGCATCCAGCCCTGAGTCAAACTTCAAGGCAGCCTTGGGCACATACCATCCTGGCACATGTTTGTGGTTCCTCGAGGGAGATAAATTCAAGGACTGGAAGCTCGCAAGTCGCCAGAGTCTGTGGATGCACGGAATCCCTGGGTCTGGAAAGACAGTGATGAGTTCGAAAATTATCGATAACCTTCTCTCGGAGGAGACGAGTGTTCTATACTTCTTCTTCGATACACGAGACTCCGAAAAACAAACTCTAGATGATTTATTGCGATCCCTCATCTTGCAACTATACACTCAGGGACAATCAAGAAACATCCTCGAGAGCCTCTTTGTTGATAAATTTGGGGAGGGAAACAAGCGTCTCTTCTCCAAAGATCTTGAGACCATTTTTCTGTCCATGGTAAATTCTGTAGGACGAAGATTCAAAATCGTTCTTGACGCCCTGGATGAATGCACCACCAAAGAGGATGTGCTTGATTGGATTCAATCATCCAGTATTAAATCCGAGCTTGCCGAGGTTGGCTTCTTTGTGACGAGTCGCAACGACAAAGCCATAGAGTCTGGCTTCAAGAAGTGGCTCAACCATGATTGCTTCGTACCTCTTGAGACAGAGGCAATCAATAAGGACCTTACCGGCTATATTGAATTCTGCCTGCAGTCGGGAAGATATTTTGAACGATGGAGCAATCATCCTGGAGTCTTACTGAAAATGAAACAAGGGCTAGTTCAGAGAGCTGATGGAATGTAAGTTATAGAAAGCTCAGCAACAACCATAGCTCATCCAAATTGCTGACATCTATCTCACCAACAGGTTTAGGTTGGCTGTTTGCCAGTTGGAAATTCTCAAATCATGTATCGATATCGGCCAAGTGGAAGACGAAATCAAACGCCTACCAAGAACCCTGGAAGGAGTCTACGAGAGAATTCTTCGCGACATCAGAGAGCACCATCACACAAGGGTGGTACGCATCCTCCAATTTCTTGTTTACAGCCAGCGACCCTTGAGAATAGACGAATTGGTAGACGCGATCGCGGTAGACCTCTCGAGAGAACCAAAATTTGAACCTGAAAGAAGAATGCCAGATCCACAGGGCATCCTGGAGATGTGTCCAAGTCTTCTTGCAAGTCGAGCGCTGAAGGCAGAAGACAACACCCAAGGCAACAAGACAAGCATTGTTATTGAGGTTGTTGAGTTAGCACACGCAACCGTCAAAGAGTATCTCATATCTCTTGGTAGCGGCAGCAAGTTCTACTCCATCGCGAACCCGGTGAGGGCTCAAGCTATCATAACCACGGTATGCCTCGCTTACTTGTCCCATATCGATGAAAAGGAGGCACAGAAGACCAGAGCTCAGTTTCCTCTTGCCCAGTTCTCGTCGAGGTACTGGCTACAATATGCAAAAGGCTCCGATGAAGTTCTCGAAGTTCGGGAGGCTACCATCCGCTTTCTCTCCGACGAAAGAACAAGGCATATATGGAGTTCTTTGTATAATCCCGATTTTCCTACGACCGACATCCAAGGACCGTATAAGATGGCCACACCCCTGTACTACGCTTCGCTGGCTGGACTCGCACATACGGTCACCAAATTGCTCCAGATGGGTGCCGACCCGATGAATGCCGATGGGGGAGAGTACGGAAACTCACTTCAAGCTGCTTGCGCGGCTGGCCAAGAAGAGGTTGTCAAAATCCTACTTCTTGAGCGGGGCGTAGACGTAAACAGGGCGGCAGGCTCACTTGGAAACGCGCTACAGGCAGCTTCGACGCAGAAGAATGAGAAGGTCATCAACATGCTGCTTGAAAAGGGCGCCAAGTTACAAGCCAGCGGTGGGAAATACGGGACAGCTTTGCAAGCCGCCTCCGCGCGAGGCAATCACGGCGTGGTGAGGTTGCTGCTGGACAAGGGTGCGGATCCAAACATATTCGGAGGAAAATACAGCAATGCGCTCTATATTGCTTGTCTACGAGGCCACGAGCTAATCGTCAAATTCCTCCTTGACCGTGGGGCTGACAGCAATGCCGAGAGCCCTGAGCGTGGAATCCCACTTCAAGCTGCGGCAGAGGAGAACCACACATCTATCATTCAATTGCTTCTCGATAATGGGGCGCATATCAATAAACAAAGTGGGCTCTATGGCTCTACGCTCCAGCTGGCATGCGTGCGTGGGAGCGAACAAGTAGCCAAACTACTTCTCGACAAAGGAGCCGACCCCAAGCAGACAGGCGGCCTATTTGGTAGTCCACTCCAAGCAGCCTCGGCTCGTGGGGATGTCTTACTAGTGCGACTGATGCTTGGGAAAGGGGCTGATCCCAACGCATGGGGAGGCTACTACAAGACATCGATACAGGCAGCCTCAGCCAACGGTTATGTCAAGGTGATGAAACTTTTAATTGATAGTGGAGTAGACGTGAACGCTCATGATAGAGCCGACGAATATGCGTATGGACCAAATAGAGACCGGGACGATGACGTACGCCGCGAGCCAACAAATGCCCCAGTGGCCAAAGAGGATACACATCGCGAAGAGCGCCACTGGGTTGAGAAACTGGCCACGATGGAGACGAACGAGCTTCAAGAGGAGAGCTTGCTTGTTCAACAGCTTTTAATCGACGAATCCAAGCCAAGGCAGAAACAAGACGAAGATCCGAATCCAGGGTTACTGTATAGGACTCGAGAAACCCCGTGGGAGAGATTTGAACAAATCTTGCTCAGGAGATTGAAGAAAAACCGCCTACGTGATGGAGTTCACAGCAACGCCCTACAAGCAGCGTCCGCGCAAGGATGGACTGAGGCAGTCGCTCTCCTACTCGAAGCCGGGGCGGACACAAACACTTGCGAGGGTATCTATGGAAACCCATTGCAAGCCTCGTCAGCGCAAGGCCATGCAGAAATCGTGAAGCTTCTCATTGATCATGGAGCCAACCCCAACAAGCTCGGGGGATTCTACGGCACCGCTCTGCAGGCAGCTTCAGCACGGGGCCATGACCAAGTAGTAGCCGTCTTACTAGATAATTGGGCTGACCCCCGGCGAGAGGGAGGAGCATTCGATGCTTCTCTCCCAGCTGCTGCGGCGAGGGGACACACCCGAATTGTCGAACTCCTGCTTCAACACCCCGGCTACTTGAATCCCGAGGAGACCATGTTTCAGAGGGCTCTTTACTCTGCTTCGGCTGGCGCATATATCGATATCGTCAAACTGTTACTAAACAGGGGCGCTGATATGGACGTCGAAGAACAGTGGTATATTGGTGCATTGCAAATAGCCACAAAGCTCAGGCATTTTGAAATCGTGAAAATGCTCCTGGAGAACGGGGCCGGCATCAACGTACCAATAATCGGAGGCCGAGAGGAACACCCCCTCTACGTGGCCTTGATACAAGGGAATATCGACATTGTCAGGCTTTTTATCGAAGCTGGGGCAGACTTGAACACGGGCAAAGAGGCAGACAACACCCCTCTTTGCGCTGCAGCAAGAGGTGGCCATGCAGAGATGATCCGACTTCTGATTAATCACGGTGCGGAACTAGGTTCGTCAGCTAATAATGATCTTTCGAGCCCCGAACTCTCGGCGGCAGTCAAAAATGGTCATGAAGAAGTTGTCGCTCTTCTGCTCGAGCTCGGTGCCACGTTTGATGGGTTCACACTTAAAGCTGCCTGCTACGGCAAGCATGAAACTATTTTGCGAATGCTGGTTCGATCACCAGCGATGTTGACTGTGATGGGTGATCGGAAGCGTGAATGGATTGTATCCAGCGCCTTGCAGCAAATCGCACGAGCTGGTGATGAGAATCTACTACGCATTCTGCTTGAAGCAGGTATCTCTCCTGGGCCAGGCACTCTACAGGAAGCATCTGCCAGGGGCGATATAGAGATGGTCAAATTGCTTCTGCAAGCCGGAAGCGGCATCGACGAGCAAGAAGGAAAACATGGGACTGCTTTGCAGGCGGCGTCCAAGCAAGGGCATCTGGATTTGTTGCACTTCCTCATTGAGGAAAATGCCGATGTCAACGCTGTTGGCGGGCAATTTGGGACTGCACTCCAAGCCGCTGTGGCCAGTGGCCACGATCACATCATTGACGCTCTGCTAAAGGCTGGTGCTGACATCAACGCGGAAGGTGGCTGCCGTGGCAGCGCGCTTCAAGCTGCTGCAGATAGTGGCAATGAGAAGCTTGTCGAGACCTTGCTTGGACTAGGATGCCAGACGATCAACACAAACCGAGGGAAGTACGGTAATGCGTTGCAGGCAGCCTCCAGAGAAGGCCACTTGGGCATCGTGCGGCTACTTCTCGATCATGGAGCGGCCGGAAACACGACGGGTGGAAAGTATGGGACTGCTTTGCGAGCTGCCGTCAGTAAGGGCCATCTTCGAGTCACGGAATTACTATTAGACTCGGGCGCCCTCGTGGATATGGAAACGAGAAAGGAAAGGCCCTCAAGACGATACTCAATTTCAAGATACCCATGGTCTTGGGGTGAAAGCTTAGGTGCCAATACTCTCGACTCCTCGGAAGACAATGGGGTTGATGAAGAAATCTATGAGCTTTTTCCAACAAACCCTACAGACACGGACGGTGAGGTCCGCGAAACCCCCATTCCCGTTCAAAATAACAACATGGAAGGAGGAGTTTCCCAGGACATGATTCCATTCACTCCCCACGCAATTTCAATTGGGCCCGGCCCGAGTTTAGATGACCAAGGAGGTGATGGCCTAGAGGATGCAAACGAAGAAGCCGAAGATCAAGCATCCGAGCTCGAGCGGTCTCATCGTGAGATACTCGACGAAGATTGCCAGTGGGAGAGACTTGAGTTAGTCCATGGCGAAGATAGACAAGACGACGAAATAAGCTGGACCGATGAAGTCACGCACAGCACGCTCAGGTTGGCTGCACTGTCCGGGAATGAGCTTCTCATTCAACCTCTCCTAGATGCCGGCGCCAGCTTCATGGACTTGGATATCTACGAAGAGTTCCCAACCGCTCATGACCCCACGATCAAAGACGGCATTATTGAACGCTTGGTTGGCGCCGGCGCAGACCACACAATGCTGGACAGAGCAGTCCGAGTGGCAGCCCAAAACGGCGACGAAACAAGCCTAAGCCGATTGATCCAGTGGGCCGCAACTCATGGAGTTAAAACTTCCTACAGTGAAGCACTGTATGAGGCTGTAAGACACGACAACGAAAAACTTGTAAAAATTCTCTTGGAGAACGGGGCAGATCCGAGTGCGGAAGATTACCGCATAGACAACCCCTTCTTTGTCGCCTTGGATAGTGGCAATGAGTCACTGTGCCTTCTCCTCTTAGATGCGAAGGCCAACGTGTTTTCATCTTATCAAGATGGGTTCGAGAAAGCGGCTAGGAAGGACTTCCGCCGACTTATGCCGGCTCTCCTGAGTGTCGATATGGATTCTGATACCAGAACACAGAGCTATAACTCAGCGCTCCGGACTGCGGCTCGCTGCGGCAAGGGATGCATCATGGATATCGTTTTTGAGATGGCCGAGAAATACTCTGTCCAGTTGGATTATTCCGCGCCGTTGATGTTTGCAGCAAGGGGAGGGAATGAAAACGCTGCAAAACTTTTAATAAAGAAAGGCGCTCAGCTTAACTTAGAGAACTGGGCTGACAAGGCTGAAATGGTACGGGTCATCAATACTGGGGATGAGTATCTTGCGAGGCTGCTCCTTGGATCATGCTCTCAATTCGCTGACCAGAAAGAGACCGACGTACGTATTCTGCACCTTGCCGCGAGGAAGGGTTTCACGCGCATCGTCGGCATGCTATTAGAGAATGGACTCGGTCCGGCGAGCCCGTCCTCGAAATATCAAAATGTCTTCGAGGCTGCCGCCGCAGGAGGTCACAGTGACATGCTTGATCTTCTATGGGGCTCTTCTGGGCTCAAGGACGAACACAGCAGCATAGTGCTTCGGTCCGCATGTCGACACGGCAGTCCTCAGATGGTGGAGAGAATCCTGAGAACTGGTGTCGAGGTCAACTCACAGGATGAAAAGTACGGGACTGCGCTATACGCCGCTTCAAAACGAGGCCACAGACGAATTGCGAAGATGCTGATCGAAGCCGGCGCTGATGTTAATGGCCAGACCGCTACCTTTGGGAGCGCCCTTCAAGTCTCTGCAGCTCGTGGGCGTGTACGGATAGCGGAGTATCTGCTCGAAAATGGTGCACGCATCACCAGAGAGGATGAGAATGGACGAAACACGCTTCAGGCAGCTGCCACGGGCATCCATATTCATGTAATCGACCTGCTTCTGCGCCACGGTGCAGACCTAAACCCCCAGGCCGGCCGGTGGGGAGGCGCCATCCAAGCTGCTGCCAGCGTCGGCAGTCTCAAGACGATCAAATTTCTGCTTACCCGTGGTGCCGATGTGAATGCCATGGGCGGCAAGTACGGCTCCGCTCTCCATGTAGCTGCTTACCGCAATAAGAATCGGACGGCAGCTCTGCTGTTAGAAGAAGGCGCTTCCCCTGATGCAACTTGGCGCCAGTATGGCACCCCGCTTCACACCGCTATAACCAAGAAGCATTTCCTAATTGCCCACGCGTTGGTCGAGAGAGGAGCGAACGTCAATGTCCAGGGCGGCTTGTACGGGAATGCTCTGCAAGCTTTAGCAGTCGTTGAGCCATACTACTCCTTCGCAAAGGACTTGATCGAACGTGGCGCCGATGTCAATAGCGTTGGTGGGAAGTTTGGATGTGCTTTGCAGGCGGCAGCGAAGTTTTCCCCAAAACTTCTGAAAATTCTTCTCAAACGAGGAGCTGATCCTAATATCCAAGGCGGAGAGTACGGAGGCCCGCTCCAGGCTGCCTGTTCTACTGACAAGAAGAAACTAATCAAAATGTTGATCAAGGCTGGGGCTGAGGTAAATTCCCAAGGTGGGAGGTTTGAAAGTCCTCTAATAGCGGCATGCATGTTGGGGAGCAAGGAAACCATCGAAGTGCTGCTAGACCGCGGGGCAGATGTGAACTTGTGCTTGCAAGATGGGCAGTTGGGAAGCCCACTCCATGCGGCTTGCTTTGCCCAAGACAAAGAGGTCGTTGAACTTCTACTGTCTCGCGGCGCCGATGTTGACTTCCAATTTGGTGAGCACGGCAATGCACTGCAGGTCGCTTGTATGATGCGCAGGCAAGATATTGTTGAGGTTTTGCTAGCGAAGGGAGCCAACACGGACGCAACAGGGGGGAAGTTCGGAGGCGCGCTCCAAGCCGCATCTTGGGCCGGCTATCCGGAGATTGTGAAAATGTTACTTGAGCACGGAGCCGAGGTAAATCTCAAGGGTGGCCTGTTCGGAGACGCCCTTCAAGCGGCTTCCAGCGCATATATGTTTCCTATTGGACATGGCCGCCCCCTTGCACATTTCGAAGTCACCGTGGATGCTGAAGGGGTACAGGGACGGCCAGATAATGAAGGCCGCGCCTCCCCTAGCCCATCTTTAGCCACGGACGAACGTCCTGTCTACCCTCACCCCCCATTCTTGGCGCATCCTGGTGCTGAGGACACTAAATCTGAGTATCGTCCATGGCATCATGCGGAAGTTATTCAGCTGCTGCTGGATAATGGCGCCTGTATCCAGTCCGAGGGTGGCCACTTCGACAACGCCCTGCAAGCAGCAGTGATTTTAGGAAACGAGTTGCTGGTGGGAAGACTGATGGGTGCTGGTGCCGATGTTAACGCCATAGGCGGACCATTTGGCACGTCTTTGGTTGCCGCTGCTGCTTGCGGTTTGACGCCTATTGTCCGACGACTGTTGGACGCTGGAGCGGGTATTAATTCACAAAGCACATCGTACGGAACCTCATTGATTTCAGCTGCTGCTGAAGGCCACAATGACGTTGTCGGGCTTTTGCTCGAGCGAGGTGCTGATGTCCATGCAATAAACCAAGAAACTAGAGAAACGGCACTCATGGTTGCAACTAAGCAAGGCCACGAGGAGATTATCAAAATGCTAGCGGACGCAGGGGCCAATGTCAATAAACCGGAGGAAGCCAGTGCAACTGTCCATTGATATCAGTTAAGGAGATTGGCGGTTAAATTACTGCCTCGCTGGTCGTTGTGCGGACATTGCTATCAGGTACTCTCTCTGAGACGCCTACAAAACCTAGTTATAAAGGTGCAATCCCGACAAAAACGAGAATCCTATTACAACACCCCAGAATCTGCAAAACTTTACTCTACATTTTCCGGCTCCATTCGCCTAGCTATTCGTCCTCACAGCAGGTAGGTTTACCTGTCAAGACAAACCCTATGACCAAGAAACCCTAGGACTCTACCAAATAGGCTTCGGTCCATACTTGGGTCGTTTCTTTGGTGGGTAGCTCGCAACAATATAAACCCCATACAACGACATCAGAAACATTACCACTCCAGCAGCATAGTAGGCTGGCTGGGTGAAGAGCTCCGGGATCGACAGTGCCCAAAAGCTGAATGGCGCGAAGGTGAAGATGATGGCGGCAACGTTGGTCAGGGCAAACCCAAGGCTCAAGCCGTCCCGCGATCCCCTCTCCAGATATCCCGTGATTGGGCCGACAACGATGAGGACGTTGGTGAGGCAGAACCACTGCATCACGGAGCCCTCACCCATCAGAACGATCAGTACTGCGACGACGGAGTACATGCTCAGCTGCATCATGACCACGTAGCAGAGGATCTCGGGGAGCTGGGGTTGGGGGCCGAAAAGAGGCGAGAAGATGTGTTCCCGGTTCTTGGTTACATCCCTGTGAATACAGAATATCTCGAGCGCCGCCCAGATGGCCAAGGCAAAGGACGTGCCCCACAGAAACCAGTGGCTGTCATACCGCGGTGCGGCATTCGCCAGCAGATATGACCACGTCGAGTCGTGGGCGAGGTAGAACGAGTGCATCCAGAATGGCATGGGGCCCTTGCCTTCTCGGAGAGTCAGGCGGATGGCGTAGACATATTGGAGATATCCGCAGACGAAGCTTGCGACGCCCGCGGCGAGGATGGGCGTATTGTCGAAGGTGAAGACTTCTGTCAGGCGCTGGTAGTTGTCTATATCCATGGTGACGGTTTATCCCAAATGAGTTCCGGAGAATTGATATTTGGAGATCCAAACTCGGTGGCACGTTGTGTGTGGAGTGCCGCTACATTATATCTGCACCTGAGCGGCATCCTTATAAGCCCGAGGTAACGTGGCTGAGTGAAAGCTACCCGGGTAGTCACGCTATATGAAAAAGATTTTCAAAAACGAGCCATCAGCTATTCCAGTAATGGTGCATTACGAATACCAGAATGACAAAGACTTCGGTATTTTTGAAGCAATTCGCGAGGTCGTTGTGGATAGTAGCCTCGGCAATCAACTCTAGTGTCAACCGAAGCCTGATCAAGCTGCGGGCCGCTTTATGAAAAGGGAAGTTCGGCACCAAAGCAGCACCAATCTCGGCAATTACCCAGACCGTTGCGATAGTCCGAATTGTCAACCCTGCTTCTTCTCTTGAGAAATACGGACACTAAACCACTTGGACACTGGCGCCTCTAACAACCGCCTCATCAAGGCAGAATCCAGACATGTTTCCAACAAACCTTAGTATTTGTTTCTATTAAAAAAAGCCCGCCTCCTTTTCTCCAGGAGACATTTCCGCTGGGGTGGGGGTAAAATCTTGAGAACCTAAGAACTAGGGACAAGAGGAATATCGTACAACCTGGCCGTCTCTCTGGGTAAAACCTCTCACACATTCATTGCTAGATACAAAAACCTGGCGCTCAATGCCTAACGCCTATTTACGACCCTTCTTGGCTGGGGCCTTCTTAGCGGGAGCAACCATACTGTACCTCATGCTGCAGTCTTATCAGTCACATTCCTTTTCACGGCTTGTAACGGACGGGTTATTAACTTACTGCATCTTGAAGTATGCCATAGTGACGAAGGCTTTGCCGCAGGTAGGGCACACAAGGTTACGCTTGGAGAGCGAGCGCCCCTCGAGCTCGCCGTCGTAGTAGCGGACGATAATCTCTCTAGCCTCGCCCTCGTCGAGGCTGCGGACGAGGTGGTGGAGGAGGCCCTTGGCGGAGCGGGCTTCGAGGCCAAGGCCGTTGCCGTCGCTGAAGGAGTGGGCGGAAGCGGCGCTGAGGGCGCTGGCGACGACGAGAAGAGCTGCAGTTAATTGCATTGTGAAAGAATGGTGGTCGAATTAAACAAAGGTTTGAAAGTCCAAATGGCACGGAAATGAAAGATAGAAGAAGAAGTGTAAGCAAGTTGACGTTAAGGGAAGAAATGGAAAATGGGAAGGTTGACGAGATTGCGGTGCGTTGGATGGGGAAGACTGTCTATCGAGAGAAGGCAACGGTTATAATAATACCTATTCTCTTATGGCTAGTTGTCTATTGGTGCGAGCTTGCCTCGTGATACAGTTCGTCCCCTCTCGTGAGACAAGCGTCTTCAGATATTGGTCGTTGCCCTTCTTAGCAATATCGTCCGAACCGCTCCCTCAATAGCAGCGCCCAAGGCTTTGGTTTGGTATAGGATCTGGCAAGGGGACCACTGCAGTGCCCCGCTCAGGATCACTGCCCTGACCTGCACGATGGATATTTTTGGTAATCCCCCATTTTGTCCGTTCAAAAGTACATATTCCCCTACCATATTCCTGCCGTTGAATTGTCTGTTTTAGCCAAGCATATGCTGCTACATTATTGAACAATCCTGAACCTTTAGGAGAATCTCCAAAGTCCTTTTTCTCAAATTGAACGGTATGAAGTCGGATATTCCGCCACTGTGTAGCGCGTCCGTACATCCGGGAGACGAATCTTGAATGAGAATTACTATAAGTCTTCAACAGATTCCGCAGAGTGGCCTCGAGTGCGGCGAGCCAACGGACACTGCATGTTAATAAAAGGAACCAATTTCCTTCTACTACGCGGGCCACAATTAATGCGCACTGTTTTTGATTTAATTATCCTTTTGTGTCGTTTTCTCTGGTTGTAATGTCCAGGTCTCTAGGTAGTGCACCGAATAGCGTTGAATGACTTGCGTGCTATGCCTGAGGTACTTAGATAACATGCCATCGTAATGTCAACTTTTGGTAAGCCTTTCAACAGCGCGAAGCCTCAAGTTGGGCAGTCCACAAGTATAAAAAAAGGGATACGTTAGAAGCAAAGGCGCAGGTTGGCCGGTCACGTATGCACGGCTGAAACCAAAGCGGATTTCGCGGCCATAACACATGTATCGAAAAAAGGAGGAGAATCGCTCAATGCCGGCCGCCCTCTGCAAACGTCCCAACGTGAACATTGCAGTGACAACATCACTTACCTCCCAGGGAAGAAGCGAGAAAAGTATCGGTTACGAATACCATACAATAATCGCCTTTGGCTCTGTCTACGAGGACCTTAAACGCGATTCTCGAGTAAGTCCCTCTTTGAAAAGACATTGTGCTCCTTGGCTATTCTAATACAACGGAAAGTTTGAGCCAAATCTCAAGCTTTCGCATCATCATAGCCCCCAAACTCCACCGTACACAAACGTCTCGAGGCCGCAGTCCACGGAATTCCAGCCGTCGCAATAACTATCGTGCACCTTAAGAGTTACCTCGCTGCCGCGAAAGAAGAAGCTCTCGAAGGAAGACCAACCCCCGGACGAGCAAAAACTTTAGTGAGATCTATATTTCCTTTCCCACCCTCGAAGAGACTTGGCGGGTCGTGAAGGACCTTGAGGTCTTGGACTTGCAAATACTAACAAGGGAAGCGAGAGCCCCTGGCCCTGGGGTGCCCTTGCACCAATGCAGAGTGAATCCTCCAGGCAAAGATTAATTAACGCAGAAAACATGCCCGAAAATCACAAGATATTAGCTATGGTTGTACGCTTTAGATGGGAATTGAGATCTCTAGATCATCTGGTTTCGAGAAGAATTGACAATCGAAAGAGGATACACCCTTTAAATCATGTAGAAACATTTTGCACCATTGATGAACTCTTTGAATCATTTACGAATAACAGCATGATTCTGTTTCTTGGAATGAGAGCCCCCATTCCCCCCTTCTGGACTTTCACCATGTTGATTGAACCATATAATTGCTGGCCTGTCAGAGCAAGGCTTTGGCGCCCTTCACAGCAAGAAATGCTGACAGGAACAGCATTGGCATAAGAAGGGAAAAAGTTAATTCATGTGAGCACATATCCCTGAAACATAGCTTCCTTGAAATTTACAGTCTTGTCCTTGATCTCGCAGGGTTGGAACTCCTACCCGTGCACTCGACCTATAGATGCTCATCACCGAGGCGCAGTTTTGCCTGTGGCTCAGGTGAGGCGCCCGAGTCAGCGCCTGAGGCATCCACATGCATCAACAATATGTTTCCCTACCTGCTCGGGACTCAAATAATTCTGCAGAACTACCCCAGTGAATGCCGCCGTAGTAGGGCCATTGATGCAGACATCGATTGACCAGTTTGTTCCCATATCGACTCTCCGCGAACCGAGCATAATCGTCAACAAGACCCTACTTCGCCATGCCTATCCAGGATCGCAATTCCTGAGGCATAAGGCCTTGATACCAGAAACCTAGACATGGAGTCTCTTCGCCGAGGAGGAAGGGGGAAAGGGGGCTTCAGGAGGTCAACCATGTTGTTCTCTTGTTGAAGTGTGTGGTGTGACTTTCTGAGCGTGAGTAGATTTGTTCGTTCATCTGAGGAAATCGACTGTCTAACTGACAAGCAGCCTACTAGCTACCCGCGCAGCCGTTTTCGACCCTTCAAGAGACCCGAAGATAAATAGCGAACAATACTTATGGGCACTGAGCTCCTCCTACTGCTGAATCCTTGCGATCTAGTCACACCTTGAATATGTAGGACGGAGTATCGGTCGTCAAATATGTGGCCCCTTTTATAGCTCCCACAATCACTAAGAATTCTTTTCCAGTATGAGTTGTCTCGCTTCTGAGCCTAGGAGGAACCTAACTGAGAGTCCTGCGCAGGACTCTTTCTTGATATAAGCAACAAATGGTTCGTAGCTGTTGCGTCACTAGTAGCAGCCAGGTCGAATCAGCATCGCCGAACCTGCAACATACATTCGACCAACTTTAGAGACCATTAAAAGCAAGTCAGCCGGGGTACGCCACCGTTACTTGCGGGCTAGGGTGTTATATTAGGTTCAATACTGACGGGATTTAGTTACAGCCCCCACCTAAACGCCGGATCTCGTTTAACAACCTGAATGCGACAACTAACAAAGAATGTCTTTGCTTCATATGTACGTAAATTACTCTTGGCCTCATGAACGGGCCACCAGGACGTTACACAACTATTGTTGATCTCTGTATGTCTCCTCGAAACAAATCCTTTGTCACACTGGGCCTTTGTGACAGGGTTCGGTTTCTTTAAATTCGACGGCCCCGTGATCCTTCCGTCCTTTTGCCATTCTTGATGAAAATGGCACTATTAGAATCGAAGTCTAGTCCGTGTCACCCTACCTCAACTTGCAAACATGATCCGTGACAGCCATTCACCTATATCGAGCTATGCCTACGATTAGACGCAAGACAAGAATTCCATGTTAGTGATCAAGCCATCGGATGATAGTCACACGCGTATGAAACACCTTTGGTGCCATGGTTGTTTGGATCCTTCTCACAGACAGGACTGAGGTATAAATAAGCGAACATACTGGGCAAAGTCTGCTTTCATTTCCCCCCATCTCAGTGTTTTCTTGCACTTACACGAGACCATTTGAAACGATCTTTCGCGTCTAATTCTTCAATCTAATTCCAGCATCCGGACTGAAACTTCCCCCTAAATTGCAAGCAACGTCTGAGATTTATAGGTTGATCGGTCAGCTTGAAGCACATGAAGTTATACTTATGGTTGGCAGAATCAACGAGATGGCTTATACATGTACAAGCTGCGACCTCGCCCGAACCCAACAATGTATTAAATGCTACCTCTGTCCCCGTTGCGGGTCATGCAATCGATGTATGTGTCCCAAACTGGAGTCTGGAATCCGATAGTAAGGTATTCGCCCTTTTCGGATACGGCTAATATTGGATCCAGGCGTGTTTTCTCCTTCTCGGCACCCCTTCAAGCAATGGATGGCTATCATTTCGCAACGAAACTGTGGAGAGTGATTCTGGATTATGATGATGCAATCGCATAGAACAATACTTATCATCTGTCGCCTTGGGTCTCGACGGCGTCTATGACCCTTTGTTGTTTAGTTAATCAGGCAAATCAACATCTATTTCATCTTGTTGAAGTCTACACGTTTTCAATAATCAAGATAGCCTCGCTAAACTTAGTTGGTGTTGCTCTCCTAGTGGCGGTTCATGTTTCACTATGCGAAATGCACAGCCATCTCAGATATTAGACAACGGCGGCAATGTCAAATGACAACTTAAAGTAAACTCTTATATTCAGTGTGTATCAATCCCATCTTCATTGAATTTGACCTGGAGGCTTCCACTGCGATTTAAGCCTATCTCACTCTGCCGTTCCATCGCTTTCGGTCTTCCATTGAGAATTTTCTCCGCGCGTATACACATAAGGATCTGTGAATACACTCCTAGAGAACACCTCATAATGCCGTGCCATGACCCGGGAGAACACGAGCCACGTCCGTTCAAACTCGCCGCCAAAAATCGAGTCCGCTGCTCTGTTCGAAGCATCTGTCTCCAGGGATCTCAGAACCTGCTGCAGCTGGAAATGATGGTAGTTTGCTCTGCTGGATGTGAAGTATTGTTTCGCCATGGTACCAAATAAGTTCTCCAACTGCCCTCTATGCTCTCCAAAATATTCACGGAGGTGAAACAAAGCTGCCCAAACACGGAGAGGCTCACCCCTTGCTTCCCACTGCTCGAAAGCCCAGATGAAACCTATCTTGGCTGAATCCCCGATTGACGGTTCTGCCCAGACGACTTCCTCCCAGTCTATACACAGAGCCCGAAATCTCGATACTTCGATCCTGTAGCTATCATTTCCGATATCTCGCCAATCGAGCTTAGCGAGGCACGGAGGCCTTGGAATACGTGTACATGTAATGCAGGCACCAGCGCCATCGAGCAGGCGTGATCCAGGATATTGATCGCTGCCTTGCCACGTGTGACATCTGGCGCAGCGAATCATCCATGTCGGCAACCTGACGTCTCGACAATTAATCTCCTGCGGAAGAGGGTAGTGAAACTCCACACAGTCGTCTGGATCGAAATCCTGAAATCGTGATGGTAGATGGTCCAGGCCCAGCTTCTTGAACCAGCATTCGTTGCACCGAAGTGGTCCTTTCTGGGCAGCGAGGTGGGCCTCGAGGTCCTCGTCTTTCAGCTGATAGAGTTCGGTGGCCGAAAGAAGAGCTTCCTTGGGGATCCGCTGATTCCTATCGGCTGAAATGCTTGCGAAAGGAAGCAGAGCATCGTTCTTGAAGCATAGTTGGTTCAGATTCTTGTTGCAGTCCTCACAGGTGAAGAGGTAACTCTCCCACGGCTCTGGTTGCTGATCGGCCTGTTCCATATCTTCATCCATATATTCCTCCATATCTTCAACCATGTCTTCCTCGAGTTCTTCCACGGAAGTATGATGAAGCTTGTCAATAAGAGAATCCATGATAGCGATCGACTCGTTGTGAGGACTGGAATTACTCGGCTCGTTCGACGGTTTGCCTTCGAAGGCTCTGTCTGAGATGGAGGTATGTGGATAAACGTATGTGGATGAAGGTGTGTGGATGAAGGTGTGTGGACGAACGAGAAGTGGTGGTCAAGACGCGAGGCTCCGTAACGGCCAACGGAAAGTGGGACGTTGGCACGTTATTTATGCTTGATATCCCGTAAGTCATTCACGTTCTCAACTGGTAGTACCAGGTATATAGACAAAGGGCGTAGATCCTGGCACTTTCCTACCGAATCTAATAAAAGAAAGGGCCAAGAGCAAACAATAAGATTCGGAAACGTTACTATGGTCTATTACTGCGGTTTAGACATTCATAGTCTGATAAAAGAACGGGAGACAGGTATAGAACAAAAATAATTGATTTTAATGTAAGATTCAGTATAGTAGTTAGATCCAGCTAAAACATGAATGAGTCTATAATCATCCCACCTTTGTCCAATGCACATTTGGCAACAAACACGAAAAACCAAAACCAAAAGACAAGAAAACCAAACGTTTCATGAAGTGTTACCTTTTTGCTTGGAGTAGTAAGCGTATGCTTGAAGAGTAGCGTGTCTGGCCGTGACCAGCCGCACACTGGTGCCAGTTCAGGAGGTCCCCGAAGGAATTTCGGTCAAGTCACGCGTAGATGCATGACTGGCAGGTATTACGTCATTGCAAAGAATCACAGCACTCCATTAGTTCGTAACGTGCCTGCCATCAGTGCTGTCAAGAAATGATGCTTACCACTTAGAACATCACGAAATCCAACGACAATCCACACAGACTGAGGGGAAAGCAAACTTGAACAGGCACGCCAATCACATAAATCTATATCCAATCTCTAAGAATCTCTAGGCAAGCATTTTCTTCACCTCCACAGCCACCGCAGCCGCAAGCGAATCGGTCGTCCCTGAGCCTCCCAGATCCGGTGTCAGCACCGTCCTAGCTTCCACCACATTCCGCACGGCATCGCGCACAGCCTTGGCCTCCTTGGGCTGATTGGCAGCGTCCAGCAGCTCCGCGCCGCTCAAGATTAAGGCAAGCGGGTTAGCGATCCCCTTCCCTGCGATATCCGGAGCCGCGCCGTGGCTGGCTTCGAACGTGGAGGCGTTGTCGCCAATGTTGGCACCTGGGGCCAGGCCAAGAGACCCGACCAGCCCGGCAGCCAGGTCAGAGAATATATCGCCATACTGATTCGAGGTGACAATGACGTCGAAGCGCAAAGGATCGCGGACGATAGTGTAGCATGCCGCATCGATCATCATGTCGTCCGCCTCGATCTCGGGATAGTCCTTGCTGACTTCCTGGAAGCATCGAAAGAAGAGGCCGTCAGTGAAGTTGAGAACGTTGGCCTTGTGTAGGCAGGTGACTCGTTTGCGGCCGTGCTTGCGAGCGTAGCCGAAGGAATATTTGGCAACCTTGGTGGCAGCTGCGCGGGTCGTCAACTTGATGGCTTCGGCTGCGATATCGTCGCCTATCTGATGCTCGTGCCCGATGTATACGTCCTCCGTGACCTCCCTCATGATGATGACATCGAGCTTCTCGTGGCGTCCGGAAATCCCTGGGAAGCCTCGAATAGGACGTGGGTTGACGAAGAGGCGCAGTTCCCGTCGGATCGCATTGTTCAATGAAGGATATGTCTGTGAAGTCCCGTCTGGCTGGACACATGAGATGCGGCCTTGGAGTTTGTTGACGATAAGAGGCGCCTTGATGCTAAGCTTGACATCGCTTAGTTGTTTGACCGTCTCAGGAGGTAGCGGGTGGCCATGTGCGGCAATGGCTTCGTCTGCGATCGCAATGTCAACCCACTCAAGCGGCAGGCCTGTGGCTTCTAGCACATGCTGAGTAGCAGCAGTGATCTCCGGGCCAATGCCATTTCCCCTCAAAACACCGACACGCATCTTTGAGAGTTTAGACCGGATCTTGGGGGAGTCAGAGAAGAATTGCCTGAGAGAAGGGCATTGTCTGGTTCTTTTTCTCAATATGCGTGGTAGTTCTGTGGGACTTTGGATCAAGCGCCTGGGGCATGCCTACCTATATACAGGATCACATGTTGTATCTGAAATGTCTCCTATGCGGAGGCAGAAGAGCATCAACGAACTGGTCCGGCATAAATCCCACCTCGACACCGGCACAAACGTTGCCCTACGGCTTTAAGCCGAACGATCCCTGGCCATTGCAGTCAGGTGTTCACTGTGGAACCCCCCGAACTGTCTTCCCCACTGCCTCCAGAAAACGGAGAGCTCAAACCCCGCAGTCTGTGGGGTTTGGCATAGCTGACTAGGCTCCTTGATGATGAGTCAGGGACTAAGTCTTCTCAACTGAGTTGAAGCATTTGCATACGCGTATGAAGGGCAAGTTCGTCTATTGCCATTACTCATCAGATTACTTGAAAATATATTCGACATCCTTGTCTTGGAACCAACAGATGTAAAGGGGCTAAAGGTTAGTTTTTTGGACCCGGAGAAAAGGCTTCCCTACAATATCGGCTAGCAATCAAATCTAATGATGATCAGAAACTTACCCTCGATGTCGAGCCATGAGATTCCCAGCCGGCTTATTAGCATGATAACTATTAGGATTCGGCCGACCATTCTCTCTCATTCGGCAACCCTCTCTCAGTCTCGTAAACGCTTATAAGAATGCATGACGCAAGGAAGGACACACAAACGCCCGGGTCTTATATCCGGTACTTGCCGCAACGGCCATTGGATGACTGATTCCACTTGCTCGATACTAACTTGTGCATTTCGTATGTGCAATAACAACATTGGAGAATTCACGCTATCCACTCCCGGGATTATGGTTCCTACTGAAGGCACATAAGCAAGCATGGGGTATGGGGAATCCTGAACTAGAGGGAGACGGCAAAACGCCGAGTTTCCACGACTCTCGGGGACATTGGTATGTTCCACTCCCCCATATAATCATGGAAAGGAATTTGGCGGCACACACTACTTACTTCGGATGGATCCGACAACGAGCGCAAGTTGTTATCCCCCACAGTCACGATACTCCTCCCTCTAAAAGGATCGGGACACTTGAGAACATAGAGCAATGATGGAAAACAAGTCTCATGATCCTCCACAACGGCTTTGCAGAGCTCTCCGATCGAACGTGTCAATTGTCGAGTGTTTATTAGAGAGGCATCATGATCCTTATTAGACATGCATTGCGAGGTTTGTTGGAGGAGATCATGCGCGTATCGGGGTATATGGCTCTGGAACGTTACCACTGAACTGTTCGTGCTAAAGGGTTTACACGCGTCATACAGTTCGCTTCAACTTTTCGGCGTTCTCGTGGCTCATTGATATTCAATGTCCGAACAGTTGCCGGGATGCGACGAACCATAAGCGAAACAGACCTTGAGCCTAGCTCCTCGGAAAGCGCTATTGGGATCACCAGACCTATCAGGGCTCCTGTTTACGTCAAACCTCGAACACGTTGCTTCGGGTTTACCCCGACTTCCCCATGCTCAAAAAGTCGGCGGTTTGGGGAGACTAAACCGATCCCCGCAACACAGCATGACCCCAGACCTTTGGGACCGCGTCCAGCTCACCTCCCCCGGAGTTGGCGTTTCCTTGGGATGATGCGGATCGAAACGTGCCTATAAGTATCCCCCGTTGGGAAACCATCCGGCATTTTCTGTTTGACTACAACCTCGTAGCTATATTCATCTCTGAATCACGCAGCAACGATGGGCCTATCAACCTCCCCTTTCGCCAAGTACTGGAAGGCGATCAAGGAGTCGCCTCCAGGAATTTACAACCGCAAATTAATGTTCACCGTCTTTGTGTATGCGCTTTCAGGCAGTTCAAGAGGTTGGCTCACTCCCACTGTCGTTTGCCCCTGTGTTGTTACTTCGATGCTGATAGTTTTCTGTACCAGGCTGGGATGAAGGCTCAACCTCCGCCATCACCCAATTGAAAAGTTTTCAGAAACAGTTCAATGTCTCTCCCGACAAAGACGACGAAATCATCTCCAATATCGTCTCGCTGGTCAATCTGACTGCCGGTGTTGGCGCTCTTCTCTCCTTCCTCCTCAACGATCGAATCGGCCGCAGGTGGTCTCTACGGCTATACCTGGCCATTGTGGCAGTTGGCTCCCTCATTTCTACCCTATCCTACGGGTCTATCTCTGCCTTATATGTTGGACGTCTTGTCTCTGGCTTGGGTATCGGTGCGCTCACCGTCACCGGTCCCATGTCGATCGTCGAAATCTCGCCACGACTGACGCGAGGCCTGATGACTCTCTGGTTCAACATCGCCATGCTGAGCAGTCAGATGATTGGAATATTCGTTGTTTATGGCTGCAATAGAAACATTTCCCCGACGCTAAACCTTCAGTGGCAGACACCCTTCTTCGTGCAAACTTTCATCCCCTTCATTGCCACCTTCCTATCCTTCTTCATTGATGAATCGCCCCGCTGGCTTTGCATGAAGGGCCGTGTCGAGGAAGGTTTGGAATCCTTGACCAACATCCGTGGCTGCGCTCGCGATGAACCCCATCTCGTTGCCGAGTTCGACAGCATCAATGAGCCTATTCAGCTCGAGCTAGCTGAGTATGGAAAAGATACCTTAGCCTCAACTATTCGTGAGACCTTTGGCAAGAGGTCCAATCTTCGCCGTGTGCAACTAACCATCGTTGCATACATTCTTGCCCAGATGTCCGGCGCCAACTCAATCACCAATTATCTCCCACAAATCTTCGGCTATATCGGTGTCACTGGATGTGGGTTGACAGGGATTCGATACAGCTGTATGATATAGCAAAGCAAGCAAATTGAAGCAAACGATTGATTGATATCTGAGGGAAAAAGCTAACTATCATGTAGTTGAACGGAAGGTTCGTATAAGTAGGTTTACGGGTTATTAATAAGTTAATAACCCGATAAGTTATATTAATATAGGTAACTTTTTCTTTTTCCTTCTAATAGAAGGAAATATTAGTCTAATAGCTATTTATAGATAATTATAAATCTATAAACCTATAAAGTTAATAAGTTATAAAGTTAAATATTTATAGATCTATTAGATCTATTCTAAAATAATAATATAATACTCTGTTAGATATATTATATCTATTAGTCTCTTATAATCTATCCTTCTTTTTATATAGTTATTTTATTATTATTAATAAAGTATAATAGTAATAGATTAGGTTTAGATTTAGTAAAATAGTTAACTAGATTATTTTATCTATTAATCTAATAGATTTCTATTAGTTCCTATTACTTATATAATTATTTTAATACTATAATATTAATTATCAGATATTTCTCTTTAGTTATACTAAGCTTAATTAAATACTTATATAATAAGTATAAGTTAGTATAGATAACTATTAGGATTAATAGAAGGGAGAGTTTATTAATTATCTATTAAAGGGTTATTAAGATTATATATATAATATTAACTCCTATAATTATACTATAAACTTCTAATATTAATATACTTTAAGTAACTTATTTATATTTTATTAAACTAAAATATATAATATTTCTATTTAAATAGAAAGATAATTTATTATTAGTATTATATTTATTAGCTAGGATAATAATAAATCCGAGCTAGGAGGTTAGATCGGTATTATTTATAAATAATCTATTAATAAAGATAAATAACTTAACTATTCCCAGATTAAGCAGAATAAAGTTTAAACTATAATCCAGATTATCTATCTGCTATTTAATTCTATAGTTAAGTAATTTAAATTAACCTTTTTCAGGGTTTTAATACTAGGTAGTAGTTAATAAGTTAAAGTATACCTCCAGCTGGTAGATAGATATAATATATATACTGCAGGCTTATTATTTAATATATTACTATCTAGTATTTAGGTTATTAATATTAATTAGTTATAGTTTCTTACCTTATTCCTTTTACTATAACTGGATAGTACTATTAGTTATATTAAGATAAATAATCCTACTATTAAAGATAATTAGATTATTATTTATTAAGTATTACTTCAGTTTAGTAGTAAATTAGATATTAATTAGTTATTCTTCTTTATATTAGTTAAAAATATTATCTAATAAACTAATAGTATTATTAGTCTATATTCTAATAATACTAAATATATTATTTTCAGGTATTATAATTAATAAATACAGATTATAGATTAATAATTCTATCTGGAGATTCTTTCTATAGTATTTATTATAGGTATTCTACTAATATATTCCAGCCTTAGTAATACTATATAATAGTTTCTTAATAATTATAATAGTATTAGATAGATAGAGATATTATATTTAATATAGCAGTTTTATAATAATAGTATAATTTAGTCTAGTAGCTAACTGAATATATACTTATATAATATTATATAGCTATAAATATATTTAATTATCTTATTATAAAAGGGATAGGGTAATAGAGAGAATCAGATATTAGCTTATATATTAAATTATTAGAGCCTATATTAGAATTATCTATTTCTTATTATTAGTATATCCTTAGATAACTAATCTTAATTTCTTATATAGTATATCTATTTCCTTATCTTTAATTTTATTAACTATTTAAGAGTTAAATATATATATTCCAGTATATTATAAAGGATTAAATAGAATAATCTTAAAGATATTATAGTCTATTAATATATTAATTTCCCTCTAATCAGACTCTTTAAACAGTTTACTAGGTATATATATTTTCCCTTCCTTATAAAGGGAAATTATAAGTTTAAGGTTAGCTTTCTCTTTAGTTAATAGGAAGATATTAATTTCTTCTATAATATAATATAGTTTATTTAATTTACTATTAAATAGGAAATTATTTAAATTATAATTATTAATCAGATTATTAACTTTAAGTATAAAGATAGTAGGTTTATTATAATACCTTATATATCTATATTACTGTTCCTATAGTATATTAACTATAATAGTATCCAGCAGTTTATTATCCTAATAAGCAGTTATTAGTTTATCTTAATAAGTAGTTAGTTTATTCTTATTATCAGAGCTAACTAATATTTCTATAGTAGGGTTAGTTATATTATTTAACTTATTATTAATTAGTTTATCTATATAGAATAGTTTAATAATAGTTAATCAGAAGGTATATAGACCTTAAGATATCTAAATAATATATTTCTTATCTTTAATTAATAATAATTTAAATAGTTCTTATTATAACTTTATAACTTCCTTCTAAATATAGATATCTAACTATAATAGTAGATCTAATATCTATATTATAATTAGTCTGTTTTATATAGCTAATACCTTATTTACTATTTATCTAGCTTTATACTTATATACCTTATTAGTTGCTTTATAGATTACTATAGCCTGTTTAATTATTAATAGGGATAGTATATAGTTATTAGTAATTTATAGGTATATACTGAATACCAGAAGTATTAGAATAAAACTATTAGATCTAGCAGTATTATTAATAGTCTTTATAGCTATCTGTAAAGTAATCTCCAGTTTAATAGAAGGATCCTCTGCTCGGATAATATAGTATATATATTTAACTAGTCTATAATATTATTTAACCTTCCTAATACTATTATAAGCTTTAATTAGTATTTCTTTAATAGATATAGCTATTATCTATATCTCCTGATAAAATTTAATTATTTAAAAACTTATACTAGTATTAGTTATAATCCAGTCGGGAGATCCCTAATATATATTAATCTAATATATATATAATATAAACTAAACAGTATATACAGATATATCTATTAGAAAATAGATAGTATAGAATATAGTAGCAGAATTAATAATATATAAAACCAGTTTTCTATTAATATATATAATATTAATTATAATTTTATAGTTAAACTATTAGTTATCTTATAGTTTAAATCTAAAGTATTATAAATAATCAGTATATAACTAGTAGTATTTATATACTTTCTTAATTCTACTAAGGACCTTCTTATCTATATTATTATATCCAGCTTATTCTAATACTTATTATAGTTATATAACAGATAGATAACTGAATTATTTATAGATATAATATAGTTCTATCTCTATTAGGAAATAAATAATTAATTTATTATTATCTAGTAATATCTATAGATATCCCTATTTATAGATAACTAGAATAATTATATTATCTCTCTAAAGTTTATTCTTCAGATTATTATATTATATACCTATATAATCTATATCTTAGAGATAAAGGAGGAATAGTATATCTATCGGAATAATATAAAATTTAATATTACTAATTAGTATCTTAATATTTACAGAACTTATAATACTTACAGAGAGGCTAGATCTAAAATAAATAGTTAATTTAGATAATATTAATTTAACAGATAGTATTAGTTATTATAAAGCTTTAAATTAGGTATAACTGCTAGTTAAAATACTGGATATACTAATATCAGGAATAATACTATAAAATATTATATTATTATAATAACTATTTATTAGGAAATAATTATTCTTATCAGACTATATAGAATTATTAGATTAGTTATATAGATCTTCTTTTATTAAACTATAATAGATTAATTAATCTATTAAAATTATTATAAGTTTTAGACTATATTCTACTAAAAACTATATATTATAGTTATTTTATTAGTTTACTAAGTCTTAGTAGTATTAGAGGATTATATTATTACTTAGTTCTTTAGATATACCCTTATACTAAATAAGAAATTAATTATATCTATTAGTTAAATTATTAGTAATATATAATAATTCCTTATAGTAGTAATAAACAGCCTTCTGTTTATTATTAGTATATTTTATTAATTAATAACTAACTTTACTATAAATATAGTACTTTTTAGTATATTAATAAGATTTTAAATAGTTACTATTTAGCTTACTATTATATAAATTCTTATTATTATATTACTATTATTTATTATATCTTTAGTTTTAATTATTCCCTTGATAGGTTCAGTTAGTTAAGTAGTTATTATTATTATTCTCTTATTAGTATTTATTACTTTAATAATATAATTATTCCTAGTAATATACTTCCTAGACGGATAGGTTTAATATACTGATTATAAGATATAGATTATTATAAACAGCCTTAAATATACTTAATAGCTTAAATATACTTATACTATACTCCGGAATATTATAATAGTAGTTAATTAATTAGTTATATA